ACCAAAACCAATTGGAAACACCCAACCTGGTTTCAGGCGCGTGACTGCTTACAGTGGACCCAATGCCTACAACATCTTGTTCGGCTGTGAGGCTTGTGAGGATTGGCATGATCTTGCCAGCTTCAGAAAGATCTATCCTATGATCAAGATACAACTGATTCTGGCAGGATTTGTGATATGATCCTGCTCATGCCATTTTGGGCAAGATCTGTCATAGAGCCTCTCTACTACTGATCTTGATGAACTCTGCCATAACCCTTATTTTGCCCAATCCTGTGATTCCTGCACTCCTCTTCATATGACATCCATTCTTCCTGCTTCTGCGCATCCGGCCCTATGACACTCTGCAGCTCTCTCAAGCTCATCCTGGGTTTTCAGTACTGGCAAGTGCTTACCAAGCAAGTTTTTGAATACATACCATATGTTCTCAATAGGGTTAAGATCCAGCAAAGCTGGTGGGTGTTCCTGTGTCTGTATGTTGTATTCAGCCTGCCATTGCTTGTAGATAGCAGCCTGATGACAGCTGCTTCTGTCCTTGACAACTGGCAGGCCATCAGGATATGCATTAACAGCAGTTACAGCATCACAGAGTGGGCTGTTGATGATCTAATTGCAATACCTGATAGCTGTGCAATTCTCAGCAGGATCCCATTGATTATCCAACCCCAGTCATTTCTTCCTCAGAGCTAATGGGAGCACAACCAATGGGGTTTTAAGGTTGTATGCAATGCCAGCCGATACCTGGATGCTGAAACGGCCGGAACGGAACTGTCAGAGGTCGGGCACCTGAAACCCGAAATCTGTAGTAGAAGGCAGTTACAATTAATCTCGGCGAGATCTGTAGTAAAGGCTGTCATAGGTCGCACACCCAAAACCTGATATCTGTAATAGAAACACGTCTATTACGAATTCTGTCAAGATATGCAACAACACTTGTGGTATTACAATTCTTGTCAAGATATGTAGTAGAGATGTCTCTATTACTTTTCTCACCCAAAGATGCAATAATGGTTTTGCTATTGCAGGTTTTGACTGACTGCTGTGGACACTCTGTCCAGAGGTAGCTTGGCATGATCAATATTGTTGATTGTATTGCAAGACACCAAGGTCTGGTGTGATTGAGATGGTTGATGTTGTTGACACGAGTGTCCAGTGTGTCAACTGAGTACTTGAGGTGATCCCCAGACTGCAGTGGACAACTGCCTTCAGTTCTATCTTTATCTGGACCACTGGTTTGCTATGAACCACCTTTGGATGTCAGCAAGCAGTGATACAACACATGCACTACAATGGAAGCAATCTACTTGATTGTGACTATGCTGACTGAAAACTAATGTATACTTATGCTAAAGTGATAACTAGTTATGTATGGTGTAGAGTGGATGGAGATCCACTCGACTGCTATGATGAGGAGCATGGCTATATAACCATTTGCCAAGTGTCACCAGCAACGCTTGCCCCTGCTCTGAAAGACCTCCTCTGATGCTGCTCCTCCTCCCTTGTCCTGCCTGTCTTTCAATACCACTTCTCAGCACTGCTTCTCTTGCCTCTTGTGGATGGAGAGTCTTCGTGCTGCTTCACCACCAGATAGGGGCCTTTCCCACCTCATCTGAGTGGCAACCCACCCCACCTTTCATCTCATCCATCCTCCTGCTCTGATTTCATTGTGGAGTCGGCCCCCTGTTTCATCAAGGTTGGTGTCAGGGGGTCCTTGCCACTCATCTCCAATGGATCTGTTGTATGATCCTCCTTGTCTCTAATCTCTGTGGAATATGTAATACTACCTTGTTTACCACAGATCCTAGCGAGGCCTGTGGTACCATTATGGCTTGTGCCAATCTAGGTCAGATCTGTCATAGAGCCTTCTCTTTTACAGATCTTGGTGACCTCTACTGGAGCTCCCTTGATCGGCCCGATCCCTTGATTCCTGTGCTCACTTCATATGTCTTGACAGGTCTTCCTGCTTCCTGCGCATCCAGGCCCATGACAAAGGCCTCCTAATATTGTTCCTGCTCAAATCTGTTGTAGAAGCCTTCTATGACTGCTCTTGCTTGAATATGTTGTAACTTGAAGGTTATTGCAGGTTTTGACTGACTGCTGGGGGCACTCCATCCAGAGGTAGCTCAGCACAATCAATACCCAATAGATACCTTGAGGTGACACCAAGGTCTGATGAGAATGAGTTGGTCTTTGACACAAGTGTCCAGTGTGTTGATGAGTTGCTTGAGTGATCCCTGGACCACAGTGGACAACTGCCTTTGGTTCTAATGAATGAGAGAGCTGGACCACAGTATGAAACCGCCTTTGGTGTTGATTTATATCCAGACTGCAGATAGTACTGCCTTTGGATGATGTCAAGAAGTGGTGATACAACACACATGCTACAATAGAAGCAATGCTCTGCAATTGCAACTGTTTGACAGAATACTAAGTATACTTGTTGTGAAGTTATAGCTAGTAATATATTGTGTAGAGTGGATGGGGATTCACTCAACTATCAAGACCAGAATGCATGTCTTATATCAGCACCTCTTGCAGAGCTGCCCATGACACTGCTCCTGCTATTCCAAAAGGGTGTACCCCCTTCCTCGAGCACTGCTTCTCCCACTCCTTGTGGATGAGGAAACTGTCTCAGTGACACTTCATCACTTGAGAGGGGTGGCCCCCACTTCATCCCAGTGGCAGTGGTTGCCCCCTGTTCATCTTGCTCCTGATGGTGGTGCCCACCTCCTTGTGCCTAGTTCATCATCGTGTAGGGCCCTTCCTCATCAGGTGGTGGCCCATTCCTTGTCCAGTGTCCTCTTGGTTCAGGATTGGTGATAGAAGTGTCCTATAATTGGTTTCCATGAGATCTGTAGTACAAGCATGCTACTACTGATCCCAGCAGATTCTGTAGTAGGACATCACTACTGCCAATCTTGGCAAGTTCTGCCATAGAGCCTTTGACCCTACCAATCTCACTGAGCTCTGCCAGAAACCCCTCATAGCCTGATCCATGATTGTTGTGCATAGTCACTTCATATGACTCCAGTTCTTCTTGCGCATCCATCCGGTCCTATGACACTTCCTTTGCTCTGGCAAACTCACTTGGGAAACACCATCTTCCAGCCCTGTCCTCACAGTTGGCTTGGTCAGGTTTGCACCCAATGGTGCCTTTGCCACCATCTTCCTGCCATCCAGCAAAACCAACCCATTTGGTAACAGCATCACCCTCACAGCACTGACTGTCCCTCATAGGATGTGTGCAGTCAACGTGCTCCAAACCATCTGCAAAGGGTGCTCCCCCCCCCCCCCCCCCACCCCCCCTGCCCCGCTCTTTGCTCTTGAAGATGGCCTCCTGTTTGCCCAGAGTCCATTCCTTGACACCTTATCCTGCTGCCTCATGTCAGGGGTCGCGCACCTAAAACCTGATATCTGTAGTAGAAACATGTCTATTACAGATCTTATCGAGATATGTGGTAAAAGGCTGTTTATTATTGTTCTTGTTGAGATCTGTCATAGAAGGCTTCTATGACTTTTCTCGCTCAAATATGTAATAGCTTGTTTGTTATTGCAGGTTTCAACTGACTGCTGGGACACTCCATCCAGAGGTAGCTCAGCACAATCAATAAATATGGTTATGTGGTGAGCACCAAGGTCTAATGCTAAGGATGTTTCTTTGACACAAGTGTCCAGTGTGTCAACTGAGTGCTTGAGGTGATCCCCAGACTGCAGTGGATGACTGCCTTTGGTTTCTAATGATTGAGAGAGCCAGACTGCAGTATGAACTGCCTTTGGTGTCAATCAATATCCAGACTGCAGTTAATACCACCTTTGGATGATGTCAGTGAGCAGTGATACAACACATGTGCTACAATAGAAGCAATACTATGTGATTGCAACTTGCTGACAGAAAACTACTAAGTATACTTATGCTGAAGTGATAACTAGTAATGTGTAAGGTGTAGAGTGGATGGAGCTCCACTCGACTATTATGATGAGAAGCATGGTCATATATCATCCTTGATAGGGGCCACTCCCACTTCATCTGAGTGGCGACTCACCCCCTTCTTCATCTCTCCCATCCTCCTGCTCCAAGTTCATCATTGAGTTGGCCCCCTGCTTCATCAGGGTGGCAAACTCAATGTTCCCAACAACTTGTCCTGCTGAGATGCCTGTGAAATCAGCACCCATACAAGATCCATCATACAATCATGATACTATGGATCCTGGTGGAATTTGTGATACAATCCTTGCTTGTGCCAATCTGGGTGAGATCTGTCATAGAGCCTCTCTACTACAGATCTTGATGAACTCTGTTGTAAACCCCTCGATTTGCCTGATCCTCAATTCCTGCACTCCTCCTCATAAGACTTCTGCTTCTCATAAGACTTCTGCTTCTGCGCATCGAGTCCTATGACACCTCACTGCCTGTGGCATATCACCTGAGGGATATTCTGGACATTCATTCTGGTGCAAGGCCACAACTTGGGTGGCAGCCAACAGTGCTGATGATGCCACCATTCAGGGCCTCAGACACTGGCATAGTGACTGCTTCCAATGCTATGTTGACAAGCCAGTGGCTGATCTTGCAGCCTCAACAGCTGCAGCACTCTGTGCAAATGTGGACAAACCTCTCAATCTCTCCACCCCTAGCCAAGTGCAATATCTGATTTTTCAAATGCCCCTTGTGGGGGATTGCCTCTCACTTCCCTCCAGCCTCAACTCACAACTGTCTCACCTTGCGGTATGCTGCTCACACTATAGTGGCCACGGCTGGGAGCTCGCAAGTGACTCTCTTGAGTAAGGCAATTTTAACATCCTTTTTTCCTCAAAAAAAAGTGTCACGCGTGGTCAAGGGCGATAACTCACCGTTGATCATCGACTGTACACAGCGAGGCGCAAGCACAGGCACAGGTGGGTTGCGAATCATCCATAAGAGATCACTGGAGATGTGTCCCAAGTGTAAGGACTGTTGAAGGATAATATTGGGAATGACGACTGTGCTTTCTTGAACCGCTCTACTTCGAAACGACATCAATAATCACCTTACCTACGAACCTGCCCGACCCTTGCAACTGGAACGCCTTCTTTGCGTCCTCAAATTTGAACACTTGCTCTTCTAGAATGAGCGGCTTGAGCACGTTAAAGGTAGCCACCCTGTTCTTGACGTTGTGCTCTGCGATCTCGTGTGCGGCCAGATACTGCTGGAACAACTGATAGCTTCCGCACATAACACCTTGAACCTGAGCCTGGTTATAAAGCACCGCTTTGGCGATGTCAGGCAGGCCTTCATCGCTTGCGCGCTCCGACTCGGACTTGTAATCGTCCATGTACCCAACAACCCAAACACAGCCGTAAGATTTAGTTGCCATGAGAGCACGAGTCATTGTGGTACCACCGGCGATCTCCACCGTGTGATCGACACCTTCTCCTCGTGGGGTGAGAGCACGAACAGTCTGCCACCAGTTCTTGTCCTTGTTGTAGTTGACACAGTCTTCTGCCCGTACACCGAGCTTTTGGCAGAGTTGAAGTTTTTCATCCGAACTCGAGATGACGATGGGTCGTGCTCCGGCAGAAAGAGCAAGTTGAAGAGCTGCGATGCTGACACCTCCCGTTCCTTCGATCAGGACGCTCTGTCCAGGCTGAACTGTCTTACCAGCGTGACCAAAGAGACAGTGATAGCTGGTCAGACCGGCGACCGTGAGGGAAGCTGCCTGTCGGAAGTCCATGTGATCAGGAATAGGGAGCAGGTTGAATTGGTCCAAGGCAACGTGTTTTGCCAAAACGCCTGGGTTGCCTCCTCCTAAAGCTGTGGCTTGCATCTCATTGCCAATATGACCCTGTTTCCATTCGGCGCAGAGGTGAGTAACGACTCGAGTACCGACCTTGACGGTAGTGACATCCGATCCCGCGGCTAGGACTTTACCAGCTCCGTCCGAGACCGGAACCAGACCGATAGGTGGAGAAGTGGGTGCTGGGTACGTTCCAGTGGCGATCTGATAGTCTCGAGCATTAAGTGAAACAGCGTGAATCTCCACGAGCACCTGAGTGGGTCCCATTTTGGAAGCATCTGGCAGCGAGACGTTCTCGTCAAGGACAAGCCCGTCCAGGCTCTTTTCGAACGACGAGAGTTGATATGCTTGCGTGGTTCGAGGCGCCGACATACTTGCACAGAGTTTAGGCGTTTGAGGGGATCATGATGGAAGGAAGTTGCGAAGATGATAAGGAACGCTCTGGGTGAATGCCTTCGACCCGCTGTGTGATCTTCCCGGGCTCTGCGGTCAACACGGCCAATTCAGTCAATCACCTTCTTAGGAAGAGGAGGTTTCATCCGGGTTGTATAGCCGTGCTGCTCAAACATACGATGCAAGATTACTTCACTATACGCTCGCATTGGTCAAATTTTGGCTGCCGACGCAGTCCAAAACCTCCACCTTGACTTCTGCGGTCAACGGAAAAGGTGCTTGGAAAATCGGACAAGAAAAGATGGCTCAAAATTCAGCTGCTCACACACACAAGCTTCACACTGACACGCTGGGTCTGTTAGCAGGGATGCTGTCGATTGGCATTAAAAGGAAAGTAGCTGGTACAGGAACAGGGCCTCAAGAACAAAGCGACATCAGATCGATGTGAGTGAATCACTGAGCAGCTGCGCCGCCGCGGCCACCACGACCACCTCGAGGAGCAGGAGCACCACGACCACGAGGAGCACCTCCGCCCCGGCCGCCACGACAACGTGGGGCGTGTCCACCTGCTTGGGCAGCAGGCACGGCCGGAGCGTGAGGCTGGTTGTGAGCCACAGGAGGCCACTGGGGCCTAGCACCTCCGCGAGCAGCTCCACGAGCAGGCCCATTGTGACCATGACCGTGGCCGTTGGCGGCGGGGGGACGGATGCCAAGAGCAGCCATGATGGGATTGATTTCCTCCAGCTGCTTCTGTGACGAGGCGGCCGCTCGTGTCGGCTTGTGCGCACCGCTAGCAACGCCGGAGAAGGCCACGTCATTCGAGACAGGCGCGTATCTCTGCTGGGGTCGCTGCAAGATCTGCGTGCTACCGCCAGGACCCTTGCCGTTCTGAACAGCAGCGCTCGGTGTGAAAGCGTTGGGAGGTCTGTAAGGAGCGCCACCAGAGCCAGCGCCGTATCCGTGAGCACCGTTGCTGTTGCCGTTGCCCTGCCAAGAGCCTGTGCCGCCAATGGGGCCAAGGGTCCTCTCAAGAGCGCTGCCGACCGAAGCGCTGGTGTCGCCGACACCGCTTGTACCGGCACAGACGAATTGCGGCTGCGTCAAGTTGAGCACGCTGACGAATGACACAGTGGCACCCTTGTAAGGAGCGCAACGGTCGCCCAACGTGGTACCACTAAGGAAGAGCACATCGAATACGACCTCGAGAGCGTTGCTGGTGATCCCGACAACGACACCACGGGCCGAGAGCGGAACGTTGCCGCTTTCCTGGACCATGATGACACGGTCACCGAGCTCGAATCGCTGAGCCTGAAGACGGAAAGGTGCGTGGCTGGGCTTCAGCAGAGCAGTGCGAGGAATGCCCTTCATGAAGACACGCTTGACCTGACTGGCAGCGCCGATGGCAGTGCGGGTGTCGACGAGACGAGAGGTGAAGGCCTCGATATTTTGAATAGTGTCCCTCGAGAGCTGCTCTGCGTACAGCGGCACGGTCTCAAGATCGCGAACGCCCTTGGCTTTGATCCAATCCTTAAGCTGAGCCATCTTGGCATCGACCTGAGACTCGTCCCAGATCTGCGAAGCGCGTGTGATGTCGACGCCGGACTTGTGGCTGAGCATGGAAGCAATCTCAGGGAAGGTCTTCACATACTCCTTGACAAGCTCGAGTGTCTTCTCGGAGAACTCCCATCCGGCGGCCGACTTTCGCGAGTAGCCGAGCACCTTCTCGCCCTTGGCTTCAAACTTGAGACTGAGACCAACGTTGACCTTCTGATCCTTCCAAGCGAGCGTCATGCTTGAGGTGAGCTTGGCAAGCGCCAGAGAAGTGATGCCGCACCATTTGGCGACCTGGTAAGAGGGATAATACTGGACTCGAGCACGCGAGACGACGAGGTTACGCAGATAGGCATTCTCCTTGACCTGATTGGGGAAGAAAACCATTTCAATGGCGAGCGAGGCGTCCGTGCTGCCGACAACGTGGGCGGGCGTACCGTAAGCGCCGGCGCCGAGGAAGAAGACCTTGGTCTTGTCGGGGTACTCTTCGCGGATAGGCTTAGCAGGCGACTCGAGGAGGCGAGCATCGTCGTGAATGACGTTGGTTACGGTGACTTGAACGGCCTGGTCGATCTCCTTCTTCGGGCTCTCCTCGTAGTCCTTGATGAAAGCGCCATCGTCGAGGCGCTTGAGACCTTTGAGTGGTCGAACGTGGACGAGGACGTCAACGTCGCCGATGAGAACACCCATATGCTTGCTGTAGTGATATTCAGCACGCTCGGCTTTTCGGTGGAAGTCACTGAGGCTGGCGCCCTGATGAGGGGTGGCGACCACCTTCTTCTGACCGCCGACCATGCCCATCTCGTAGCGGAACAAGTTGTCCGAGACACCAACAACGAGGCCTTCAGTGAGGAAGGGCCAGTTGAGGAACGCGCGGTTACCGATCATAGCCTCGGCGATGGCCTCGGTCTTGGCGTCCTCGTAAGCATTCTCGATTGTGACGACCATGCTGACGCCCTTAGATTCAGACTGGAAGACATTGACGCCATGATGACCAAGGCGACCATAGTGGGGAAGCGTTTTGAGCGAGGGGAAACCGGCTAGAGCGCGAACGCCGAGCTCGACACCTTTAGTGAGACCCTTGACGAGGTGGAGGCCATCGAGCGTTGGCAGATCGAAATCCTTGACGTTGGCACGGCAGTGGACGAGATCCGGGAAGGTACCAGGCAGGCTCGAAGGGAAGAAGATCTGCTCAACTTCGTTGTAGGTGAACTCACGACTGGAACCGAAGCCGTTGCGCTTACGCTCCTCAATGCCGAGATATATTTCACGCTTGTTTAGGGCGTCGAGCAACCTTTTCTCGTCAATGAAAGGAATTTTGACGACGGCTTCCCAGTCCTGCTTCTTGCCGTTGAGGTCGGCTTCGAAGTTGGAAGGGTAGAAGTCGATGATGGGAGAGTTGGGATCGGTCATCAAGTCGCGGAATGCGAAAGGAATGTGTTGGTTACTGAGTGCCGGAAGCACACCCATTAGCTGATCGAAGGGTCGGAAGGGCTTCCCGAGTTCAAACTCGAACTTCATCTCGCCGACGTTCTTGAGATCGGAAATCTTGGGAGCGTAGTGGTAGTCGTAGAACCAGCCCCAGGAAGCGACACCGTCGTAGTAGTAATGTAACACCCACTGAAGACCCTCGATGTAGCGAAAGGCAAGCTTGCCCATGGCCTCATCGTCACTGTAGTCGATCTCGAGCTTCTCCTTGTAGTAGTCCTTCTTCCAAGCGGTCATCTGAACATCGAGTCGCTTCTTGTAGTCTTCCTCGGGATCAGCTTCGTCGTCGCTGGCGTTGTCGACCTTCGCCTTGAGGTAGCGGTTCAGCACACGGTCAACAGCAACGTTGGCCTCAGACTGTGCGGGAATAGATTTGTTGCGAGCACCTTCATCAGCTGAAGGGCTGGGGGATTCATCGTCGGAGTCTTCTTCAGAGTCGTCGCCGTCTTCATCAGAAGGACCATCGTCGCTGTCATCGTCCTCAGCTGCGATGGCGGGGAAAGAGAGCGTAATGGCGGGCTGTTGCGAGATAGGGTCTATCTTGTTGAAGGAGGCGCGAAGCTTGAGGCTCGAGGCGAGGTCCTCAAGGAAGCGCTTGTCCTTGTTGGGAAGGTCAGCAGGGACCAAGAGCTCTTCGGGAGCACCGGCGGGGTCATGTCGACGTGCCATGACGAAGGCATGCACCTTGTTGAATAGGTCCCGTTGCGACTTGGTCAGAACGAGACCACCTTTTGCCTTGGCCTGAGTGATGGCCTTCTTGTTTTTGGAAATTTTGGCCTTGTGAGTGGCGGTGTCACCGTAGTCGCGCTCGAACTGTTCCATCTCGAACTTGCAAAGCTCAGCCAAAACAAGCTCGAGACGGTCAGTTCGGAGGTTGCCGCTCTCATTGAGATAGCCACCGGCGACAGGAAGGATCTGCTTGTAGATACTGAAGAGCAGATCTATGGCGCCTTCGTTGATGTGAAGACCAGGAAGGTGAGGCAGGAAATCGTTTCCAACAAAGATGTCGAGTAGAATGAAATCGTCAATGATCCTTTCAAAGTCGTAAGTGAAAGGCAGGGAAGAGCGGAGATCCTGGAACTCGAGGTCGAGATATTCTCGGAAGAGGGAAAGGTGGAGCAGGAAGAAGTTTTGCGATTCGAGGCTACCCTTGGACTTGCGACGAGGGCCGAACTGGACCTCTTCTCGCAAGAGACAGAAATGAGGGTCGTGACTGAGCAGACCCAGCATGATAAGATCGGCGTCGAGACCGTAAAGACAGTGACGAACGTTGGGGTTGTAGTCGGGCTGCGCCTTGCAGAGACGAATGTACTCCATGATCTTGTGCTCACCCTCACCAGGGACGTCGTGTGCGGAAAGAATGACCTGCACGTTGCGCCAGTCGGCATCTTCGGTGATCTTCTTGGCGATGAAGTATTCGAGCTGTTGAGAGAGCTTGGCCATGAAGGGAGTACCTGGAGTGATACAGTTGGAGTCGAAGGCCTCTTCTTCGGGCAAAACTTCGCCACGACGTTCAGCCTTCTCCTTAATCTCCTTGGCCTCCTTTGCGGTACGGAAACGTCGAGAACGCTGTTGGTTCATCTTGGCACGCGGAGCGACACCATCGACGGCGAGGAAGAAAACCTTCTTGGGTTTGATCTTGTGGAAGAGATGCTCTATATATGCAAATACTGCTAAAAATATCTGCGTCTCCGTTATACGAAAGGAGGCGTCGCTGTCGTTGGGATGAGAGCAGTTGTGAATGATACCGTTCATGTCAAGGTAAAGGTTGTCAAACTCAGGAATCTTGTTCTCCTCGATGAGTTGACTGATGAGCGGGTAACGCTCCGACATGAAGCGGAAGAACTTGGGGATACCCATGGTTGTGGTCGAAACGTTGGAAGCCTGAGGGAGACTGGGGTAAAAGAGTGTGTCCTAGTCGGAAGAGCGACGGAAAGGGCGCAAGTGATGCGGCAACGACGGCACCAGCCTGGTGTGGTCGAGACTCTGTCCTGAAAGATAGAGGCGGAAAGCGGAAGCTTTGAGGCTTTGTATCAACGAGAACCAGCTTGATCGGAAACTTGAGAAAAAGTGAAAGAAGCAAATATGTTTGTAGAACAACGTGGAGAGAACGTCGTACCGAACGGGAAGCAAGAGAGAAAGCGCCGAGAAGGAAAGAACGATGGTATCGAGCCGGGATCACAAAGCTGCTAGACCGAGGCGAAGAAAGCCGTTAAGGTGGAAAAGAGGGGAAGAGGAGATGACAAGGATGGCTTGTAGACTTGTTCGCGCTCACCGTGCGCAATCATTGGTCTCGCTTGAGCCAGGGTCTGCTGTCTGCGCCCGCCACCCAAGCTGCAGCCGCTGTCTGCTGTCTGCTGCGCTTTTGCTTTACCAACACTTTCGCACAGAAATCTTACGTAAGCTCACTCAAAATTGGGAAAGAAGAAAAGAAAAAAAAACCGTGTTTCTGAAAACACGCCTCCGGACCAGGTAAAATGGTCTCCCCTTTTTGGTGACTCTCCAAAATGAAGTGCGGATGCACGGATGCGCATCCGCTTGCTTCCTTCATTATCGACAATGTACTTGATAACATACATGTTATATCGAACCAAATGTCACCTTTGTTGCAAATGTGTTTTTAGAAACACGTGTCTTTTGGGTGCTCAAAAATAGGAAAAATTGGTCAAAATCGAGAAACACGCGTTTCTAAAAACACTCAAAGTTTGATACCCTATCGGCTCTTCCGCTCACTCGTCAGGAACCCGCGTCGCGTGCGATGTTAGCATCAGACTCTAACAGAGTTGAACTTTTCTCGATCTTCCTGTGATCGGGTAGCTCAGCTTATCGGATTTTACGTGCTTTCCTCCTCCACATTCAGCTGCTTAGATTTGCCTCGGCAGTTCGAATCAGCAAAGCGTACAGGATCTTCGTAAGGTACCTCTTCATGCTCTTGGGCTGCTACTATGTCTGAGAGTGGTTTGATTGCATACTAGCGACCATGGTTATCGCTCAAGTCAAAGCTGAAAGGGCATGGCGATATGGCTGGCAAATAGAACGGGCCTTCGAGGGCACGACATGTCGTTCGACTGAGCCCAAATTTCGGACTGAGTCAATTTTTGGTAACGCCACTGACAAAGGGCAGCCAAGAGAATGACACGCAATGCCTTCAGAATTCGCCGCTTTTCTGGCAGAGACTCTCACATCTCACACTCGAGGTAAGCGAAGCAATTTAGTCATCGTGCTCCTCCCACGCTACCGCTCTCGGACCTCTCTTCCAACACTTCTCTCTGGTAGTTTCAAACAGTTCCTCTTCACTCCGTCACATCCCATCACAATCCAGCACGCAGGTTCCCTCCATCTCCTCTTCGTCACAGCGTGCAAAACCACCTCACCCGATAAAGTCTTTTGTTCTCTGACTCGGCAGCCTCGGACTTCAAAAAGGATAAGGAAGCTGGCCTTTTCGAGCTGCTTCGCTGTTGGACAAGCACCGCAGCATGATCCCCTCGCAAAGGTACGCAGCCGGTAGCGCTGCTCGTTGGCGTTCATCGGCCTGCAATGCTGCAACCATCACACAACGACGTATCACGTCTTTATCGTCAACCGCTGCCTCAGCAACTCGCAAGAATGTCGGCCTGTCCTTGTCCTCGCCAAGAATACCTCTGTCATTCGAGACAAGCTCATACAGTGCACTCGGCTCGGCGCCTGCGAGGTCGCTCTTCACCTCGCCCACTCAGTATCTTCCACGGTCCAAGAAGCTAGACAAGCTACTTCAGGAGGGCAAGGAGCACGAAGGAGAAGAACACGAAGTCGAGAACGAGGAGGAGAATCCCAAGGATCCCGAGAAGTCAGGCGCCAAGGCCGAGTCTTCCAATGCATCCGACGCTGCTAGATCTGCTGCCGGCGGTGCTGCTGCTGGTGCGTCCGGCTCTGGCTCCAGCTCGAGTGGTGCAGGATCTCGCTCTGGCTCTGGTTCTGGTTCCGGCTCCAACTCGGTCGCTCGCTCCACAGTCCCCTCTGTATACCCACAGGTGCTAGCGCTTCCCATCACCCGACGTCCCCTCTTCCCTGGCTTCTACAAGGCCGTCGTAATCAAGAACCAGGCGGTCTGCGCAGCCATCAAAGAGTCGCTCAAGCGCGGTCAGCCCTACATCGGCGCTTTCTTGCTCAAAGACGAGGAGGAGGACGCAGATGTTATTACTGACCTCAGCAAGGTGCACAAGGTCGGTGTGTTCGCACAGGTCACCAGTGTCTTTCCCGTGCAGGGCGGCGGTCAGTCAGGCGGAAACAAGAAGGGCAAGGGTGGCGAAAACAAGTCTGAAGACGAAGAGGGCATCACTGCTGTCCTCTATCCTCACCGACGCATTCGCATTGACGAGTTGATCACTCCTACAGGCCAGACTATCCCTTCGCCACCTCCAGGCACTGAGGGCGCCGGCCCTGCTAATCCGATCAGCGACGAAGCAGCCAACGAAGCCGCCAAGGCGGCTTCCATTGCTAAGGCTCACGAGATTCAGCAAGAGGCTCGCGACGACAGCGTCCTTCCCGAGGCCAACGATGCCTCCGCCGCTCATCTTCAGCAGACCGCACCACCCGCACCTCCCAAGCCAGCCGACGAGGAAGGCAACTCTGAGAGCGAAGACGGTGCAGCTGCTGACAGCCAAGATATGCCGTCCCACTCTGCACCTTTCCAGACCTCTTTCCTCCAAGACTACGTCGTTTCGCTCGTCAATGTCACCAACCTCGTAGCAGCTCCCTACGATAAGCGCAACGACCAGTACATTCGAGCTGTCATGTCGGAACTCATCAGCGTTTTCAAGGACATCGCACAGCTCAACCCGCTCTTCCGTGACCAGATTGCCAACTTCTCCATCTCGCAGGGTGCAGGCAACGTGTTCGAGGAGCCCGAAAAGCTCGCAGACTTTGCTGCAGCCGTCTCGACAGGCGAAGTCGGCGAGCTGCAAGCCGTGCTTGAGGCACTTGACATCCGCGAACGTCTTCAGAAGGCCTTGGTTGTCCTCAAGAAGGAGCTTATGAACGCACAGCTTCAGAGCAAGATCAGCAAGGATGTAGAGTCCAAGATCCAGAAGCGTCAGCGCGAGTACTACCTCATGGAGCAGCTCAAGGGTATCAAGAAGGAGCTTGGCATTGAGAGCGATGGCAAGGACAAGATGGCGGAGAAGTTCCGCGAGAAAGCGGGCGAGCTCAACATGCCCGAAGCCGTGCGCAAGGTCTTCGATGAGGAGCTCAACAAGCTGCAGACACTCGAACCAGCTGCTAGCGAGTTCAACGTCACTCGAGGCTACCTTGACTGGCTCACCAGCATTCCATGGGGAGTTCACTCGCCCGAGAATTACTCTATCTCTAACGCTACCGGTGTTCTCGATGAGGACCACTATGGTCTTTCGGACGTCAAGGACCGCATTCTTGAATTTCTTGCTGTCGGCAAGTTGAAAGGTACGGTTGAGGGCAAGATCATTTGCCTGGTCGGACCTCCCGGTGTCGGTAAGACGTCCATTGGCAAGTCGATTGCACGAGCAGTCGAGCGTCAGTTTTTCCGCTTCAGTGTCGGTGGTCTTAGCGATGTTGCTGAGATCAAGGGTCACCGAAGGACGTACGTCGGAGCCATGCCAGGCAAGGCCATTCAGGCTCTGAAGAAGGTCGGCACCGAGAACCCATTGATCCTCATCGACGAGGTCGACAAGATTGGCCGAGGACACAATGGTGATCCAGCATCTGCTTTGCTCGAGATGCTCGACCCTGAGCAGAACGGCTCGTTCCTGGATCACTACATGGACGTGCCCGTCGACCTCTCCCGGGTTCTCTTCGTCTGCACGGCCAACACCCTCGATACCATTCCTCAGCCATTGCTCGACCGTATGGAAGTAATGGAGGTTTCTTCGTACACTGCGGATGAAAAGCGTCACATCGCTCGTGGCTACCTTGCCCCTCAGGCCAAGGAGGCTTCGGGTCTGCAGGATGCCAACATCGAGCTGCCGGATGAGACCATCGACTTCCTTATTAAGCATCACGCCAGGGAGAGCGGTGTTCGTGGTCTCCGCAAGCTTCTTGAGAAGGTCTACCGCAAGATTGCATTCGACATTGTCAAGCAGCACGGAGAATCTGTCTTCCCCGAGCCCAAGGAGGGCGAGCTTGCCAGCGCCAAGACTGAGGCTGCTCCCTCTTCAAGCACTGTTGGGTCGGCTGACAGCACAAAACAGTCCGTAACTCCACCAGCAGTTGACGGTCAGAGCGGAGATGCTCCATCGCCATTCACAGAGCCATCAGCTTCGACGAGCAATGCAGAATCTTCGTCCTCTACTTCAGAAAGCAAGCCACTGCAAGACGGCAAGGTGCCTGGTAAGGATGCAGCTCCCGAGGCTCCGGTCAAGGTCACCACCGAAAAGCGTCAGCCCATGGCTGTGCCCAAGGATGTCAAGGTGGTCATCACCATCGACAGCCTGGGGAAGTACCTCGGACCTCCCGTCTACCACAAAGACCGCCTCTACACCAGCGTCATGCCTGCCGGTGTGTCGACAGGTCTAGGCTACCTCGGCAACGGGTCTGGCTCATTGATGCCCATCGAGACAACCATCATGCCAGGCAAGGGTGGTCTTCAGCTCACTGGTAAGCTCGGTGACGTTATCAAGGAATCGGCTTCGATCGCTCTTTCATGGATGAAGACCAACGCACACAACCTCGGCATTGTCAAAGAGGCCAATGACAACCTGCTTGAGAACAAGGACGTGCATCTGCATATGCCTGAGGGTGCTATCGGCAAGGAAGGTCCCTCTGCAGGTGTTGCATTCACCGTCTCGCTCACATCGTTGTTGACCAATCGATCGGTTGCGCCTACATTGGCTATGACCGGTGAGGTCTCGTTGCGGGGTATGGTTCTGCCGGTCGGTGGTCTGAAAGAAAAGTTGCTTGCTGCGCACCGAGCTGGTATCACCAAGGTCATTCTGCCAGCGCAAAACCAGCCCAACGTTGAGGCAGATGTGCCTAAGGCCGTGCTGGATGATCTTGAGGTGCACTACGTCAACAATGTCTGGTCAGCACTCAACCACGCATTCGGCGAAGGGCCATGGTCGGCAACGGCAAAGGAGATGGAAGAGATGGAGCGCAAGGAGTCCATCTCGTCACAATCTGCACCGAAGGAAAAGATTATGGAGAACGACGGCGCTAGCCAGGACCAGCCTGTCAACTAAATCGCTCTTTCAACTAATAGACAACCTGTCACTTTCATCCATCACCGCTCTCGTATCTTCATCGCTGTTACAATGTACTTCACACACAGACCTGCAATCAGTACTGAAATTTCAAGGACAAGACGCTTCCATTACTTTTGTGCGTTGCCTGGTACAGCATCGCTGACAGTGGTTGAATCCGCTGACTGAGAAGCCTGCGATCATCGGATCATGAACGAGGGCAGGTACACTGCTGCTCCTTGGACACGTTGGCAAAGACGGCGTCAATGTGTCTGCCACAGCCTTTCCATGTGGTCTTGCCGCACTTTTCGCCTGCGTTGCAAAGTCAAGAAGGGGAGTGGTGTCCTCTGTCAGCTACATATTGATGAATAGCACTAATCCAACATGAACAGGAACTAATTTGAAGGGAGCAACTTACAAGTGACGGCCATGCAGGAATTGACGAACCTATCGGAAGTGCTGAATGCCATGATTGATATTGTGTGAAGGTGAGTATGGATTTTTGGTGGTGTGAAGGTGAGGAGCGGGCGTGGTGAAGTGAGGTAAAGGTGTGTCGGCTAAATAGGCTGGTGTCGTTCGACTCTAGATTTACGAAGAGATCAGGGTGGCTGAGCGCCTCCACAGGCTGAGGCCCCGACTCAGGGTTTAGGCCATCGGTCATTTCAGCGGGCGATAAAGTGAAGCGGCAACTTCTTTTTTTTTTTTTTTTTTTTTTTTGGTGGATTTTTGGACTTGCAGCCGTTGCAAAAGTAGCCGATGCTCGCTCTTTCTCTCCCCTCACACTTCCTCGCTCGTTCGTTTCATACCGCACTGGAGCCTGTCACGACAGACAACAGCTTCTGCTCAAACATTGCCCCCATTACTCTTCGCATACAGTGCATCGAGCCGTTCCGTCATGGTAGCAGCAAGCACGCGCGCCTCATCGGCCGCGAAAGCCTCCTCTTCGAAACTCAAGTCTTCTTCCCACTCCTCATCGTCCTCATTCGCATCCTCGCCAGCATCAAGGATCAAGCATCCAGTAACAACATTGCTCGTCCAATCTCGCGCCAAGAAGCTGCTCGCAAAGACGAAGAAGAACAAAGGCAGCAACAAGTTTCGCGACTCCGAAAAGAGAGAGCAGCTCGACGGACAAACAATAGAACTCTTGCAAGAGCAACCAACAAGCAGCGAGAAGGGAGAAGGAGATTCTTTCTCATACAACCTGCCATCGAGGACAGATCAGAAGAGAACAAGAGCTCAGATCGATGAAGCTGCGTTGGCGTTAGACCTCTTGATGAAGTCTTGAACACCTCTGCCGCCTTTCTCCGCATATCGACGAGCATCATGCAGGGGGGAGGTGCATCTCAGACTGTCTAGATGGCCTTTCTCCGTGATTATTAGATCCCCCGAACTCTAGTACAACTTGTACCCAAACAGGGGCCTGGGACTAGCCCAGCCCTACATCTGTATTGAATCTGTAATCTTATCTTCAACGCAACCATTCAGCATCCTGATATGTTTCAATTTCAGCATGGCCTGAGGTCCTGAGTCCTTCCACGATCCGGCACAGACCGAGGGTTGCTATCCTTCACGAACCTGCTGAGCAATTCGGAAAGTATCAGAAGCTATCAGAGCATGGCCTGGGTAAGCTGCTTTATATCTTTGTGAGATCGCTGGTATGCACATACACAAATTCGCGATCCAGTTTTTTTTCGGCTGTCGGACACTAGCCTCAGCTAAGAAGAGCAAAAAAGCTTCCAACTGCCGACAAGAGGTTCGACATGATCGTCATTGTTGGCAGCGTTTATCTCAACCTTCATGCTCTCTGTACCTGCACGCATCGATCCTTTCAGTCAGAGCCTATAGTGGTCGGAAGCGATCACATCGATTATCGACTGGCGCCAAAATCGTATTTCGTCTCTGCTGTCTTCAGCCCCAACAGCTTCCGGCCTTGCTCTCGACCCCGACAGCTTCTCACCTCACCTCGAGAATCTCACAGACATGGTCGTCAGACTGCGTCTGAGCCGAAAAGGCACTCGTAACAGCCCATTCTACCATGTCGTAGCAATCAACGATAGCAAGCCAAGAGATGCCCGACCTATCGAAAAGCTTGGCGAATACGATCCTATCCCCCGACCTGCTCCTTCTGGACGTCTACCAACCCCTTTCATCGGAAAAAGCACCGCAAGAAGCAAGGAGAAAGCCGCACCTGGTCATGGAGCAGTAATGACATCTGGTCTCGCCCCAACAGCACAAGGGGGACAGCCGAAGCTGCAAAAGCGACTAGAGTGGAACGAAGAGAGGATTCGACATTGGTTGAAGCTGGGTGCTCAACCCTCAAAGCCTGTTGCTAGAATGTTGGATAGGGTAAGTACCAAATGCTCACAAAGTGGCGGAAACCTGTTGAAGATAGACGGACGTGTACTGACGAAACCTGCATTGTGTTCCACTGCGATGAAAATTGCAGGCTGGCTTGGTCCCTCCCGGTGTACACTATAAGGGCATTTACCGTCCTCCACCCGCTGAGCTTCGACAGTTCCCGGCATCATCAAAAACAGCAGCACCAGCAAAGAAAGGCGACTCAACATTGTCCTAGACGTTCAGCTCAAATCGAGTTCGACCGGCTCCATTTAAAATCCAGATCTCGGATCAATCTTGCAGTTTTTTTTATCAACATCGACACGAACTGCTTTGTGGACTTACTCAAGAGTGCTTGAGCCCTCGCTAGAAGATACAGGGGGGAGAGAACAATATAAGGCTGATCTCGAGACAGCAGCATGCGATTGGCGCAGCGGAGAATCTTGAGCTTTCGAGCCGGGAGAACGGCTCCGCCAACAAGTTCTGAACATGTTCCTCCGTGTGCCGTCGGAAAGGTTGAGTTGCGAACCTGTACAGCTTCGCAATCATGCCGAGAATTTGAGTTGGCCGTTGCACCAACTTGCTCTGTCAGACTGTCACAAGCGCTTTCAAGAACATGCATCACAACACTTTTCGAATTGAGTCAGACAAGTGAGCGTAATTGGGTATCTACAGTACTAGCAGCACGAAGTAACGGTCGTGCCGTTATGAAAGAAAATAGCGGGTATGAGACTGGATCGGCAAGGGATTGCCAGGGCTGAACGAGGAGCATCGAAAGCCAAAACCGGATCCGATTCAAGGCTTAGTCGCGAGACTGGTTGTTGAGGATGCGCAAGATGTTGATGAACAGGTTGACAATGTCGAGGTAGAGGCTTATGTTAGCCAAGACCCACTCCTCGGCGCTGAGCCTTCTCTGAATGAGCCAAGTGTCGTAGACGATGTAAAGACTGAAGATGACGCAACCAGCACCGGCCATGATCAGGTCAAAGGTCTGATTGTAGGGCAAAAAGATGCCAACGAATCCGACGCCGACCAAAACCATCAGACCACCAAAGAGCCAGCCGCCGAGACTGCTGAAGTCCCACTTGGACTGGAGAGTGAAGAGGGTGAGACCGAGGAAAGTGAAGGCAGTGATAACCATGGCCTGAAGGACGATCTTCTGGTCTACGTAGGTGATGACGGTGCCGAGAGAGAGCGATTCGAGAACGGTGAAGAGAGAGAGGAGGAGTATGTTGGTGGGGTGCGAGTGACGCTTCCAGTACAAGAAGCCCATGGTGACAAGACTGCCGATTAGTGGCACGATGAAGGCCCACTGGTTTTGCTGGACCCAGCTGGCAACACCTTGGGTGGTCATGATCGCTGCGATGGCGGTAGTGCCGAGGATCTGAAGGAATAGTGTCGTATAAACTTTTCTCAAGAACATTGCTCTGATCTCAGGAGAAGACTGCTCGACCGTGACACCGAACTTGAAGTCATCAGGGTCGCCTTCCTGGTCGACATCGCGAGGTGCGGCACCGACACCAGCGCTGGTCTCGGCAGCACCATAGGAGGGAGCATCGTGCTGAGGAATGGGCTGATAGCCGCCCTTAGGGGCGTAAGATGGTGGAGCTGCCGGGTAGTTGGACGACATCTTGAGGCGTGGAAGGTGAGGTGATGATGGTGATCAGATGGCAAAGAGATGAGCGCCAGCGCCTTAGTTGATGAGCACGTTGCCCGAAAAGTGGAGAAATTTGGTGATTTGGGTGCAGGAGCGAGGCGGAGGGTCCAAGCGCGCCTCCTTCGGCTGAGCCATCCGCACAGCCCGTCGTCTCTCAGGTATTTTTGGAAAGCGGGCGAGCGCACGTCTCTAGGCTCAGCAATTGGAAGGTTCCAGAAAATCCACTCCGCCACCAACTCTGCTTAGCATCGTTCGTAGCGACAACAGTGTCCAGTCACAGCTCAGGTATTGATCAAAAGTTCTCAAATTTTGTGTTGTAAATACATATTTGCTGTACAAAGAGCCTTTCCGGTGTGAGAGGTTGAACGTCGATACAGAGCACGCTTCATGGTGGGACTGATGGCCAATGCGATTGTCCTTTGCGATCCAATTGATTCTCTTGATATCTCTTTTGGAGAAGCCTTTTGAGCTGTGCGAAAGAGACGGGGATGCGGATTTCGTCTAGTTGTAGACCGATTTGAATTTGGAGATAGGAGGACGAGGAAGCAAGCCACCGTGCGACTTGACACCGTTGATGCGGTGGTAGGCGTTGAGGTTCTTGTGCAGAGTGAACTGGAAGACAGAGCTGCCACCCTCACGAGCAACGATAACACTGGACCAGAGGAAGAAGCTCCACATACGATACATGTGGTCACCGTACTTGGCGACGACCTTCTCCTTGTTGGATTCCCAGTTCTGAGCCCATCGCAAGATGGTGGCCGAGTAGTGAACACCAGCGACATCAACGGATCGGATCTCGAAGCCGGCCTTCTCGAGGTGAGTGACGACCCATCCGAGCGAAAGGGAAGCGTCAGCGCCGGGGAAGACGTATTTGTTCATGAAGAGACCCCAGTTGAGGTCATGGAACTGCCAAGTAGGACGCAAACCAGCAACCTGGAAGACAAAGACACCATCGTCATCGAGCAAGTTGTAGACATCCGAGAGGAACTTGTCGTAGTGACGGATACCGACGTGCTCAGCCATCTCGAGCGAAATAATCTTGTTGTAGTGTCCGGGCTGCACGGGAATGTCACGGTAGTCGAGGTTGAGGATACGGGCCTGGTTGGAGTCGATGCCGTTCTTCTTGAGACGATCGTTACCGAAGTGAGTCTGAGTCTCGGCGAGAGTGACGCCGGTTACGTCGCATCCGTAGTTGACAGCGGCAAAAGTAGCAAACGTACCCCAACCACAGCCGATGTCGAGCACACGGTCCTCCTTCTGCAAGTCGAGCTTGGAGCAGACAAGGTTGAGCTTGTTGTCCTGGAGCTCCTCGAGAGTCTCGGCATTGTTAGGGTCGGAAATGATACCGGAGGTGTAGATCATCTGGGGACCAAGGAACCAAGCGTAGAAGTCGTCACCTCGGTCGTAGTTGTCCTGAATCTGGGTCTGGTCCTGCTTGGCAGTGTGCATGAGAACATCGGGGACAAGATTGAAGAAAACGTACTCGAAGAGTTTCCGAGTGAACTGCATGGAGCACCAGTCCCATCGGTATTCGAGGAGCCCGTTGAGGGGCATCTTGGGCTCAATCTTGGCGGCAAAGTAAGCATCGTGGAAGACCTGGTAAGGAATCTTCTTGTCGCCGTGGTACTTCTTGCGGAGCTCGGGGTCCTTGATATCCATGTAGAATTCAAGAGGCTTGCCAGGAAGAGTGACCTTCTCATTCTTGCGAGGGCCGTAGGTGGACATGACAGTCCAGTAGCTGATGGTGACGGGAACGCCGAAGATGGCGCAGAGGATCAAGTAGCTGAACCATCCAAACCATTTGGGGTTGACGATGGGAATGATACGGAGCACGACAGCGGGGGTGACGAGGATGAGACCAGCAAGGTGGAAATTGCTGAAGGAACCGTTGCCCTCAGCGGGAAGAGGAGCGTTGGCGATAGAAGGGTAATTGGTGAGCTTGACCTTGCCTCCGGGAGCGTACTTGACGCTGACATGTCCGTTGACGGGAGCAGCCTTGGCGCCGTTGACGCTGACATGTCCGTTGACGGGAGCAGCCTTGGCGCCGTTGACGCTGACATGTCCGTTGACGGGAGCAGCCTTGGCGCCGTTGACGCTGACATGTCCGTTGACGGGAGCAGCCTTGGCGCCGTTGACGCTGACATGTCCGTTGACGGGAGCAGCCTTGGCGCCGTTGACGCTGACATGTCCGTTGACGGGAGCAGCCTTGGCGCCGTTGAGCTTGAGAGAGCTGGAACCATTGGTCACAGGAGCCGAAGCAGGAGCAGGAGCACCAGATGCAGCAGAGGAGGCATCAGTGGCAGCGAGGGGAGTAGCACCAGCAGGAGCCGAGTCAACTACGTTCGATGCCGAGTTGGAAGCTGGCACATTGTGAGGGAGGTCGACGGGCTCGGTGACACCGTGCGAGTCAAAGGAAAGGTTCTTAGTGAGACGCTCGTAAGCTTCTTGAGCCTGGTCCGTCATGCTGAGCAGAAGTGTATCCGTTGCTTGAGAAAGCAACGAGGATCCAAAGGGTAGATGGAGGAAGGAGGAAAGGGAGAGAGGAGAGGAAGGGGGAAAGGGGAAAGGGAGAAAGGAGAGGAAGGAGATGCGAGAATGGCCTTGCAAGTGAGACGTTTCCGTAGCGAATAGGAAGAGAGCTTTTTGCCTTGAGCTCAGGTTCAGAAGAAACAGGGTTTGCTTTGCTTTGCTTGCTTTGCTTGCTTTGCTTGCTTTGCTTGCTTTGCTTGCTTTGCTTGCTTTGCTTGCTTTGCTTGCTTTGCTTGCTTTGCTTGCTTTGCTTGCTTTGCTTGCTTTGCTTGCTTTGCTTGCTTTGCTTGCTTTGCTTGCTTTGCTTGCTTTGCTTGCTTTGCTTGCTTTGCTTGCTTTGCTTGCTTTGCTTGCTTTGCTTGCTTTGCTTGCTTTGCTTGCTTTGCTTGCTTTGCTTGCTTTGCTTGCTTTGCTTGCTTTGCTTGCTTTGCTTGCTTTGCTTGCTTTGCTTGCTTTGCTTGCTTTGCTTGCTTTGCTTGCTTTGCTTGCTTTGCTTGCTTTGCTTGCTTTGCTTGCTTGCTTGCGTAAGGGAGCCGAGAGACGACCGTGCGTTAGGCTGCAGCAGAAGCGGAGACTTTTGACAGCGATCACACAAGACATGCCAAGGTTCAGCATGCACTTCACCACGAGAAAGCCGGCAGCGGGAGGCTGCTGGCGTTGAGTCCATGTCTGATCTGAGTCCATGCCGGTTTTTGTCGCTCTTTTGTGTCTCTGCCAGCAAGCGATGGCCCGCTGTGACGATGCTTTCAGGCACAGAAGCGAGAGGTAAGGGCGAAAGAGGGTTCCCGAACGGAAGATCCGTAGAGCTGCTAAGCAGCTTGTTCAGAACCCATCCAAATATTTGCGCTTCCAACGAGGCAGAGGCAGAGGCAAAGGCGTGCAAGCAGACAAGCGAGATTTGCTGCTTTCCTACAGGAACTGTAAGAGTGAAATGTCATCTCACGTCCCCATCGATTCAGAGGCAAAACGGGCGCTAAGCGACTAAAGTTAGGGTTCAGCAGGCTCTTCTCTCCCACTGTTCTGCAGATGAGCCAGCTTTTCATGATCTGCCGAAGAACCTTATTTATTTATTTTGCGACCCACTTAATCGATGAGTCTGGTTCGGGTGGGCTTCTTTGCAAAACGGCTTGGCGACTCCTCGCCCTCAGGCGAACGCCTTGGTGCGTGCGTGCGCTCTTTTCGGCGATTCGGCTGCGCCGGAGTCTGATGCGCAGAAAAGAGCATTCTTCTCGCTGCTGTTAGACACTCCAGCGCTCAGACACTCCAGCGCTCAGACACTCCAGCGCTCAGACACTCCAGCGCTCAGACAGTCCGACGCTTCGACACCCCTTTTTTCCAATCCTTCAGAAGAAAGCTCAGAGTCGATGAGTAATAACGAAATCGATCGGATCTCATCAGCAAGCATTGATCCAGGAAGCTTGGCGTATCGAAAGACGCCGTTGTTGCGTATCATAAAGTAGCTTACCGAACCACACTGTAGCAAGAGCACAGCAGTTTGATGGACAGGCTAAATGATGTTCAAACGCGCTCTCAGCAAAATGCAAGGACTGCGTCGCGCAGACATGAAAGATGGGAGATGCCTTAGACACAGCTCAAGCTTGCCTTGCTGGAGCTCCGCATCTCGGCGACGCGCGATACGCTCTAGCAAATACAGTAGGGCGGCAGCCAATCAAGAGGTCGTTCCAGCAAAAAATTGAGATTGCGTTCTTCGCAATCGCCGATCTGGTGTTGTTGTTGTTGTTGTTGTTGTTGTTTTTTTCTTTTTCTTTTTCTTTTTCTTTTTTCTTTTTTCTTTTTCTTTTTCTTTTTTCTTTTTCTTTTTCTTTTTCTTTTTTCTTTTTCTTTTTTCTTTTTCTTTTTTCTTTTTCTTTTTCGATTGGGATTCACATTTCGCTGGGTTCGCCCGAGAAAAAGCGAATGTTAGTTGAACACCTGGCCGGAGCGACCGGTCCGGCTTGCAGCACTCGAGCATTTCGAAGCTTCGGTGAAATAGATGCTTGACTGCTTCCCCCGCGGGTGCAACCTTTCGAACGTTCGAACATGGGCTATGATGCAACGATCTCAACTCTATCCTCTGAGAAAATCAAAGACATCTCCGAGCTCTTTGACGAGATAGCTCTTGGTAGGAGTAGTTGATCGCCGTCCACATTGTATGCATGAAGGCAGCCAAAGATCGAAAAATTCAGTCAAGCCTGGACAAGTGGCTCTGAGAATAGGTGGGAACGGTGATAACGGATCGACATCGTGTCTGTTCTACTGTACGAAGATCCCAGCTACATTTCAAGCTGTACAGATGAAGACTGTGGGAGGAGAGTGAAATAGGGTCATAGACCTCCCCGCCCAGGTGGTTGTGTGTGTGTGTGGAGCGTTATGCCGAAGGGTCATCGGCCCCACGTTCATTCTTCTAAGTCCCACCAAGTTTCGCTGCCTTCCCCGCTCTGCTCAACTGCCTTGCTGCCTTGTCCCTGACCAGCTTCTCGCTAGGGCCAAGCTGAGGTGCTCCGCTTCGATACTGTGATATAAGCACTTTACCTCACCTTCTCTTCGCTCGCATCTTCTCCCAAATACTTCTCTTCCTAACCCTCATATCCTCACCGTTCGGAAACATCCCATTCTTCACAATGTCTAAGCCTCAGGTCCTCATTTGTGGTACCATCGTTCACGCTCACAACGAGCTCAAGAACGACCTCGGCGCCGTCGCTAAGGTTCTCGTAAGTATCATCTTCTGGTCTAAGTGCTCTTACAGGCTCCGCTCAGACACCATGCTCATCCATCTCCTCTTTCACATTGTCTTTCAAACAGCACCTCGACACACCATCAAGGTCCGAGTTCTTCCAGGCCTGCTCATCCGGCGGCAAGTATGCCAACATTGTTGCCATCTACCGTCACAATGACTCGGTCGACAAGGTCGGTCTTTTCGACGCTGAGCTCATCAACAACCTCCCCGCTTCCCTCAAGTCCATCTGCCACAACGGTGCCGGTTACGATCAGATCGATGTTCACGCTGCCAAGGCCCGCGGTATCACCGTTTCCCATACTCCTTCCGCTGTCGACGATGCCACTGCCGACACTGCCATGTTCCTCGTTCTTTCCAGCTTGCGTCAGTACTACCGCGCCGAGATCAACGCTCGTGCCGGCAAGTGGAAGTCTGGTCTCAAGCCCGCCCACGACCCCGAGAACAAGACCCTTGGTATCATCGGCATGGGCGGTATCGGCTCTGCCCTCGCCAAGCGCGCTGCAGCTTTTGACATGAAGATCATCTACTACAACCGCAACCCTAACCCCAACGCAGACCCTTCCTGGACTTACGTCAAGTCGCAACCGGAGCTCCTTGCTCAGGCTGACGTCGTCTCGCTCAATCTTCCGTTGAACAAAGAGACCGAGAAGAGCTTCGGCAAGTCCCAGTTCGACCAAATGAAGGACGGTGCTATCCTTGTCAACACTGCTCGTGGTGGTGTTGTTGACGAAGAGGCCCTCATTGACGCCCTCAACTCTGGCAAGCTCTCCAGCGCTGGTCTTGACGTTTACCCCGCAGAGCCTAAGATCGACGAGAGGCTCATCAAGATGGATCAGTGCATTCTCTTGCCCCACATGGGTACCGAGACTGTCGAGACACAAAAGAAGATGGAGGTTCAGGTCTTCGGCAGCATCAAGACTGCGCTAGAGACTGGAAAACCAAGCTTCATTGTCAAGGAGCACAAGTAAGCTCTCCTCTCTTTTGACTGGACTCGCGCTCACATCGTCACCCCAAAAGTAGGCTTCCTTTTCGTTCATCAGTTTAATCGTTCTCTTTCTCTCAATATATACACTCCGCCCCAGACTATAATGAAGCGATGTGTAAAGATTGTGATTACACCAGATTTTGGCGAGAATGAGGGAATCAATTCTCCTTGTCTTGGCCATCCAGCAGAGCAGACCGCGTGGGACCAACGTACACAGCCGATGTGCGAGGCTTGAAGCCGAATCCTCCACCGGCTCCAGTACTACGAGCCGCCACTGATGGTCTGCTTTTGGCAGTCATGACCACTTTCGGTCGGCCTCCGACCTTTGAGGCAGCACTTGGAGTCACAAGTGCGTTGTTTGCTGAACGCTCAGCTAGCGAATCCGGTCGGGCAGACGGACGTTGGATAGCTGCTCGTGGCGTCACTAATTGCGACGTTCGACTCGCACCGACGGCAGGTCCGATGCTGAGCCGGCTCATACTTGCACGTGGCACTAATATTCGAGCTCGCGGTGTTACTCCGCTGCCTGTAGGTGTCTCGCACTCTCCTGTGTCCAAGTCGAGACCTTGCGGTTGAGAAGCGCTCTTACGCATGCCTGAGACGGGTGTAGCGTCGACAGATGAAGTGCGAGACGTGGCTGCGCGTGCAGTGGGTGTAGCGAGCGATGCGGACCGGATCGTCAATGTGTGTGGAGCGGGCGTCTTCATCATTGCTGCTGAAGAGCTGGACAGCGTCGTGCGAGTGGATGGTGTAGCGGCGGAGGAAGACGAGGTGAGAGAAGCACACGGTCGCGGATTCGCTCCAATAGCACCAGCAGAGGTCGAGGCACGAGGCGTTGGAAGTACGCTGGTTGTCCTGCCCGTCAAGGATGATCGTGGTTTCGGGATGGTTCTCGCGGCTGCAGTAGGCGTCTTCATACTCGGGGAGGTGCCAACAGGTGCAGTAGCAGCGGGTGCAGTTCCGCTACGACCGGGTGTAGTCGGTCCCAGGGAAGGAAGAGGTGGAACAGGGTGCGCTTGCAGAGTGGCAGCTGTAGCGGCAACAAGAGACTCCCTCCGACGTGCTGGACCAGAGACAGGAGGTCGCGAGCTGGTGAATGTGCTCTTGCGTCGGCTGCGCATTGGAGTCTTGATCTCACTGGCGGCTTCGTCACCAGATGTTTGCGTGATAGCATCGGATGAGGAGGTGGCTGCACTGTGTGCTGGTGACGAGAGGGAGGACAGGCCAGCTGACGCGCTTCCTGAACGTGTCAGTCCAGCAGCACGGTCTACGATGGGCTTGCTTGCCGCAGGCACAACGGAAGCACGGGGCTTGAGTAGCCTTGATCCAGCAGTAGGCGTCACCAGAGAAGGACGAGGTACCATCCGCGATACAGGTCTGGTCACTGTCGAGGTGGCAGCGGTTGGGCGTTTGACAGTAGATGTCACGGAAGCTCTTGCCAGGCCAACAGTTCTGACCGGCGTCTTTGCCATCGCCCGCCTCTGCAGCTGCGCCGTTCTCGCAGCTTCAGCGGCCCACTTTTGTACATTCTGCGCATTTCTTTGGAAATCTTCATCCTCGTCATCGTCATCATCATCGTCACTTTTGTTCCTTCTACCGGCATTAGTCTTCTCCACCACCTCGTGCATCTTGTCGACCTCCTTTTTCTGTAGACCTGAATGCGAAATCGAAAACGAGTTGTTTCCAAACAGCAAAGACGCCTCTCCGCTCTCGTCCATTAGATTGCCTGCAATCATGCTAGAATTGCCAATGAAGCTGCCAGTCAGGTTGAGCTCAATTGTGTCATCTCCCGCCGCATTCTTGACAACTCTTCCGATGCCGAGCCCTCTAAGCCCAAGCGCGTTGCCGTTCACTTTACCCAAGCTGCGAGGCTTGAAGTCCGTCACACCACTTTCCTCGGGCACCACACTGCATCTTGGTTTTGCTCTGAACCCGCCCAGCTTAGCAGGTGAGCTGCGGTGGGTCACAGCAGAAGACAAAGATGCTGCAGTAGCGGAGGCAGATTGGATACGGGCTCTAGCACGAGAAACGTCAAAGCTGTCGTCAATCGTGATATCTGCAGCGGTATTAGCCGCAGCAGCTAGAAAGCTTGTGTCTTGATTGAATAGCAGCTCCTGTGTTCCGGTGGTGTCCAGATTCATGCTGAGGTCTGAGAGCCTAGCACTTGGGCTGGAGGAGGAAGCCATCATTGATGGCCGCATGCGAGGTGGTCGGCTTGTTGTCGAAGACGTCGTTGGTGCAGGTGAGAGCGGAGTTGAAGCGTTCTTCGTTTCTCCGCTCATTGTGTGCAGTCTTGTTCCCGGTGAGGAGAAAGAGCTGATCACTACTGGTTGACGTAGTGGCGAATCTTTACTAAAATGTTTAGAAGCGGCCGAGTCGGTAGAGTCAACTTTGGAGGGTGAGGTGGAAGGGGAGCTGCTTTGGCGAAAGAGCAAGAAGGCAGTTGGTGCGGCTTCTCCAGCGGCTTGCTTGGGTGGAGAAGTTAAGATGCTGCTGCCAGAAGCTTTTCGTGGTGATTTGGATGGTGAGACCGGAGGTGGCATCTTGATCGAGTCGAACATGGCGGCCAGAGCAGCCTTCTCTGGCGACATTGGCTTGTCCTCCGGCACCGTGTGAGTCTTCCGAGCTGGCGTCTTCATTGTAGCATTCATGACAGGTGTTGTCGAGACCATGCCAATGATACTGTCATTCTTCACTTCCTTTTGTGGCGTCGATAGAAGCGCATCGCTGGAAGCCGCGAAACTTTTAGGTGGAGCTGTCTGCATAGGCGCCAACTCTGCAAGTGAGTCGTTCGGACTGTCTGGCAGTGGTACAAATGCAGCGTCGACGGCCGAAGTTCCCAGCGGGGATGGAAAGTACAAGAGCTGTCCGATGTCGTCAACCATCATTATCTTTGTAACGGTACGAGACGGTGTTGGTGTTGGCAAGCATCGAGCTGTCAAATGCGTCAAGACAGCGGAAAGCAGCACATGTAAGGCCGTGCGGCTCGGGAGCGTAGAAAAACAGCCGAACAGAAGTAACACAACGCGAGAGTTTCATTCGCGAGGCAGCTACACGTGATTTTGCTTTTTGCCGTCTTGGTAGACCCGATGCTGCTCGAAATTCCCGATCTGGGATGTCGAAGTGGAGGGAATCCCTCGAAAACGCAGAAGAGGCTGAGCTGCAGAAGACCTTGGATCAAGGCTGATTTTGCATGCATTCACGGCTAGCGAAAAGCTCAGCTTTCACCACCATTCTTTCTTTCCACCATACCGTTCAAGAATCAACCAGCAACAACGTGATGCTGCAAACATAGCGTTGACATCATCATGTGCGGCCGCTTCGCAAACGCGCAACCTATACCCCAATACCGCGCTGCGGTGCGAGAGCAATTACCCGAGCACCGCGACCCGACCCCAGCACCAGACGCAGATGAATATACCCCTTCACACAATGTTGCGCCGCAGACTCGCTGCCCTGTGGTCCGACGCGAGCTCTCCTGGGAGCGTGACCGACGTCTCAAGGCCCTTGAGAACCCTACCGAAGAGGATCGCAAGTTCCAGATGATCATCCAGACCATGAGATGGGGCCTTATCCCACGCTTTCACAAGAAGCCGCCTAGCTATGCCGAGGCATACAAGACCATCAATGCGCGCGACGATACCATTCTCTCACCGCAGAGGTCAATGTGGCACCCACTTCTGCCCAGTCAGCGATGCGTGGTGTTCGTTCAGGGCTTTTACGAGTGGCAGAAGCGTGGCTCAGGAGACGGAGAGAAGGTTGAGCGTATCCCGCACTTTGTTGGTATGACTGAGCCAGGACACGGCCGAGACGACAAGACAGGAAAGGGAAAGCGCTTGATGCCTCTTGCAGGCCTCTACGAGCGCGTGCGTTTTGACGGCGAAGACAAGCCACTCTACACTTTCACCATTGTCACCACCGCTAGCAACGACCAGCTTGGTTTCCTGCACGATCGCATGCCCGTCATCCTCCCAACCTCCAAAGCCATCGCCACCTGGCTGGGTTTGTATGCAGAGCCGAGGCCGGAAAGCGCTGTCAAGAAAGGAGAGGAAGTTGATGACAGCTGGGGTCTCGATGTTGCTAAGCTTCTGCGGCCGTTGAAAAGCGAGCTGGAATGCTACAAGGTTCCAAAAGAGGTCGGGAAAGTCGGCAACAGCGACCCAAGCTTCATTCTGCCCGTGGAGGAGAGGAAAGATGGGCTGAAGGCTTTCTTCAACAAGCAAAAACAACAGCCGGCGAAATCTTCAACGCAGAGAGATACGACCACAAAAGGTAGCTCGACAGCAGTCAAGAAAGAAGAGGAACAACGGCAGCTCACACAAGACAGCGACTCGCTCATACCTAGCTCTTTCAGTGACACGCAAGCCTTGTTGGCTGCGCAGGAAGCGGAAGACGCGGCCGCATTTGCTGAGGCCACGGCGAAGGCAGAGCAAGAGGAGCAAGATCGTAAGCTCGCCGAGCGAATGCAGCGCGAGTTTGAAGCCTCACAGCAAGCTCATCAGGCTGGGAACGGTGTCGACATGAGTCGAAGCGAATCGATTGTCAACCTTGGCGACTCTTCACAGTCTGACTTCATCACCAGCACTCACGATGCTGAATCGAAAGGACAGCAGAATGGGACAGTAAAGGGCGAGGAAATAGGTGACGGGTTTGCAGTACCGAAAGACGAAGCGATGCCGTCCGAGCCAGAAGGCAGCATGCTCAGGAGAAGCAGACGAAGACGAGCTCCGTCCGAACACGGAGATAAACCAGGGAAGCGAGCTTGTGAGGACTCGCCACTCTCCCCCATCCCCGGTTCACCTCCGTTCGGTGACGGAACATCAGCTGTCACGCCATCCTCACGCTTCTCACCTGACCCGTACAACCCTCCTCTCTCTCCGCCACGACCAAGAGGCGGTTACAGCCGCAAGCTCTCACCAGCTTCCGGTGGCGGTGTTCACGTCAATCCTCCGCGTGGCAAGAACAGAGACAAGCCTCGTTTCGAGCCTTTCCCTCAGGCTCCACCGCATATGTGGAAGTCGGAAAAGAAGGAGAAGACGGAGCGTGGACCAATGGACGAGGCTCTCAAAAAGCAGAGGAAGATTGCTGAAGCTGCAAGGGAGGAAGAGGAGAAAGCTTGGCGTGAATTATCGCCTTCCAGGGCCGCCGGCGGGAGTGAGGACAGTCAGAAGGAAGTTGAAAAGGAGATGAAGTCACCAGTGAGGAAGAAAACAGCTGAGGCGACAGGCTCGGCGCCAGGGTCTCCGCAAAAGAACAGAAAAGGTGCTGGTGCGGATATCAGGTCTTTCTTTTCGCCTCAGAAGAAGTGAGCGTCTCAAACGAATGTGGTTTAGCAATGGGACTGTACTTTTACCAATCTGTCAACAATGCACGTATGATGAGTCCGGAATTTTTCTGAGTTTGTAGTGTAGAGTAGTGTAGAGTAGTGTAGAGTAGTGTACAAAGCAATGACGACAAGCCAAGGCAAAGTCGAGTGCTCAGTTGGCTCCACTACCACCTCCGCCTTGATGTAGCCTCCTAATTTGAATCGGAGCTCCAGCTGCTCTTGGCTTCTTGGCCCCTCCTTGTCCGTCTCCGCCTACAGCGCCATCTGCTGCAGCTTGTCCGCCTTGGTTGAGGCCGTGGGCTGAGAGCTTGCGCTTTGCACCCACGGCCTGGGCTGCAGCTGCTCCACCGCGACCTCCACGTGTTGCAGGAGCAGCGATGCGTGTTCCGCCTCGGCCAGCGGATGCTGCTCCACGAATAGAAGCTACTGCAGTCGGTGTGGGTCCACCAGCAGCAGCTGCTCCAGTCGCGCCAGCGTTGGCGGGTCCAGTAGGAATCGGCCGTGCGACAGGCCTTGCGTTTCCACGTCCAGCTTGAGCTGCTCCCCTGCCAAACACGCCTGGGCGAGCAGGCAAAGCGCTTGTCGAGGCTGCTGCAGGTCCGGTTGGAGCTATGCCACCTGTACCAGTTGCAGCGGCAGCCGAAGGCTCCTCGCCCTTCAGGGCAGCAATCTCGGCTGTGAGCTTAGCGATCTTGTTGTCCTTTTGCTTGATCATGAGAGTGTTGCGGAGGTTGGCCTCGTTCTTGCCTGCCTCGAAGCGTGCTTTTGCACTCTCATCATACTGGGCCTTGAGCTCGGCTTCACGAACTGCAACTGCCGAAACGATGGCGTCTTGCACAGCAGCCTCGCGTTTGTCTTCGAGTGCCTTGAGCCGCTGTTGGACTCGCGATTCGACGTCGCCTTCCGCAGCGCTTGCGGAAGCCGTGGGTGGGTTCTGTGCGTACTTGATCTCAAGATCGGTCTTAAGTTGGCGGAGCTCCTCGGCGTGTTTGGCCTTGAGCTGAGCGACGTCAGCCGTGTCTCCAGAGGATAGCTGTGCTTCAAGTTCGCGGATCCTCGTCTCGGCTGCTGTCAGCTTGGCTTCAAGCTCAGCAACGCAAGCCTGTAGTGTTGCGACATCCACGTTGGCACCGGAAGTGGTGCCGGTTGCGAGACGTGCCTGAACAGCTTTTTCAATTGCCTCTGCGTTGTTCTCTGCAAATTCGGTCTTGAGTTGCGCAATCGTCTCGTCACGTTGCTTGACCTCGGCTTCAGCAGCGCGCATATTCCTCAGGAACTCCTTGCCTTTCTGCAGGTGCTTGTCGCGAGCAGCCTCCATCTCAGCCTTCTCCTTCTCGAGCTTTTCCTTGACTTCGTCAAATTGCTTCTGAGCTTCAGCAACAGCTGCTTCAATAGCTGCCTGCTGATCGGCTGACGAAACACCAGCAGCTCCGCTATCCGTGACAGATGCATCAGCAGTCTCTGTTGCAGTGTTTTGTGAAACGGCAGTAGATGCGCTGGCACCTTCGGTAGTTGGTGCTGTTGATGCAGAAGCTTGAGCCTGTTCAAGCTGCTGCTTGAGGGCGTCCCTCTCCAAGGTGAGCTGGGCAATGTTGACCTCATGCGTAGCGATCACCTCCTTGAACTTGGCCGCGTCTTCGTCCTTCTCTTTCTGAAGCGCCACGTACTTCTCTTGTGACTCGGCAACCGACTTTCGCTCCGCCGCGATACGAGTTCGGACCTGCTCCCTCAATTTGTCGAAGTTGGCTTGCTTCGTCACAACCTCAGCCTTAGTGGTTTCCAGCTCTGCCTCCTTCTCTTGCAGCTTGCTCTGCATCTCCTCGATCTTCTGATGTGCCTCCGCGCGCTGTTGCTCCACCTTTTGCATCTCTTCGTTGATACCGTGAGTTCGTAGGAGCGACTGAGCACGAGCCTGCCAACGCTTGCTGTCCTCGCGCAAGACGTTCAACTCCGCCTGCGATGCTTCGAGGTCAATCTGAGCACTACGCAGCTGTTTGCGGACCGGCTCGAGCTCGGTGTTGGCGTTCTTCAGCTCTGATTCAAGCTGCGAGATGCGAGCATTTGCGCGATTAGCGGCCTCTTGAAGAGTGTTGTGGTTCTCGCGCAGCTCGTTGAGCTGGCTGATCTTCTCGAGAAGTTCTGCATGCTGCGTGGAGCTTTGTGTCGACGTGTTGTTCTTGGTCCGCTCGGTGTTAAGCTCGGTTCTTGTGTCTGCAAGAGTCTTGTTGACGTGCTCGAGTGTTTGCTTGAGACGCGAGGTCTCCTGCTTGTTGAGCTCCATCTGCAAATCGACGATCTCTTTCTCGCGGCGCAGGAAGTTGACAACTTCGTGCAGCTCCTCGACTCGACGCTTCATGAGCGAATGCGCCAATTCAAAACCAGAAGTGCTTGATTCCTCCTTTTTGGCTTCGACGGATGGAGAAGCTTCAGTGGCGGCTGGTCCTGTTGTTGCGGCTTCACCGTCTGGTGCTGGCGCGGCGGCGGGCGCTTCGCCAGTCGCTGCTGTCTCAGTGGCAAGAGCAGCAGCCTCAGAAACCGCGGATCGTGCCGGATCACTCGAGGCGGGCAAGGCAGTGCTAGCTTGCTCCAACTCCATGTCAACATTGACAGAGGGCAAAGGAGCAGCTGCAGCCTGGCGGATTTGATTGGCCTGTGCGTTGATCGTCTCCAGATGTGTGTGAAGGATCTGATTCTGGGTAGTCAAGTCTGCGATGCGGCGCTGCAAGTCGGTCTTCTCGCGTTCCAGAGCGTGTTGCACAGCATCCCAACTGGCCTTCTCTCGGCCCCATTCAGCCTCTGCCAGATCCTTGGAGCTGCGCAGTGCGCCTGCTTCTTGTCGAGCCTTGTTGAGCTGCTCCCGAACCTCAGCGAGATCAGTGGTGAGGGTTTCAACGCTCTTGGCTAGCTCAAAATGCTTTTGCTGTGCCTCCTTGGTAGCCTGAACATGTTTGCGGATCTCACCTTTGACGTCTTCCTGCTCAGCACGTGCCCGCTCCTCGACAGTGCCAAGCTCTGTGATGGCATCTTCCAGCGACCTTTTCTCCTCTTTGAAAGCGGCTCGTTCTGTCTCAAGCTGCTTCTGCAGCTCTTGCAGCTGCAGCTGCACTGCGGAGAGCTCTGACGAAGATATTGCGAATTGCTTTTGCAGACCTTCGAGTTCGGCCACCTTGGCAGCGAGGTCCGCGGAAGTAGATGCCTTGAGCTGGTCGTGCGCTTGCGTCAATGCAGACAGAGCAGCCTCTTTCTCGGCGACAGCAGCATTCGCCTGTTCCACTTCGAGCTTGCTCTTGCGTACCTCGAGCTGAGCAGCAGCGCGACCAGCCTTAAGATCAGCAAGCTCGATCTCAAGCTGCTCCTCCCTCGATAACTCGACATTGACCTGAGCACGGAATGCAACAGGGTCGCGAGAGATTTGATCGCGGCGCTCATAGATTGCGAGCTTCTCTTTGGTCGATTCGAGCTGCCTGGTGAGGTCCTCGACGCGAAGCTGAGTGTGATCAGCGCTGGTGCGCGCGATAGCGATGGCTTCCCTCGCGTTGCTGAGTTCGGAGCTAGAAAGGTCGATGCGGCTCTGCAGGTCCTTGGTTTCGATTTCGCGACGGAGGCTGAGCTGGCGGTAGAGATTTTGCTCAGCGGCAAGACGACTACGGAGATCTTCGTTGATCTCATCGAGCCTCTTGACGTCCTGCTCCAGGCGTGCCTTGGCATCCCGACCGCGCTGCTCGAGCTCGGATTGCATCACTTGAGTAGTGCGAACAAGCTCTTGCAGATTGTTGCGCTCCTTTTGCATGGCATGGTTCTCTTCGAGCAGCTTGTCCTCCGTAGACTTTCGGAGATCCTTTTCAGCCTGCAGGTTCGAGACTTGCGTGCGTAGCTGCTCGAGGCTGGAGCGAGTTTGGATGAGCTGCTCCTCCAGGGTTTGTGCCGCAGCATCCTTGCGTGCAAGGTTCTCCTGCAATTGGGAAGTACGCTTGGTGAGCTCGTCGAGATCAGCCTTGGTCAATTCGAAGGTCCTTTGCAGGTTGGCGTACTTGTCCTCAGCAGCTTGACGGAGAGCCTGCTCGCGAGCCGACGTCACCGTCGTCTTGCTGATCTCGACTTGCAGCGAGCGCACCTCTTCGCGGTATCGAGCGATCTCAGCGTCGGTGTCCTTCTTCAAGCGTTCATGGCGGCTTCGCAATGCTTCGTACTCGGCTAGCGGCAGACCAGAGCTGATGACAGGTACTGCCGACGAGATAGGACCGCCTGCAGCGGTATCCTCGCCATCTTTGCCATCCGTCTTGCGGCCTCCGGTGGCACAAAGCTGACGGAAGAGATCGCGCTCCTTGCTGATCTCTTCCACCTTGTAGCGTTCCTGACGAACCTCGTCCTCGAGGCGAATGATGAGGTCGCGTGCTTCGTTGACGGCATCGTCCTGATCTTCGGCAAGACGTGCCTTGTAGTTGCGCTCCTCCTCCTCCATCTTGGCGCCGAGTTGACGGATGACCTGCAAAAGTCGAGCATTTTGGCTGCAAAGCTCGGTGAGCGACTGGAAGGTCACGAGCTCGTTGGTGATGACAGCTTGGGTGTCGGATTCGGGCAAGCTTTCTGGAAGGGGAGCAATCGCGTCGAGCTCGGCGAGAAAGCTGCCATCATCCTCGAGGCGAGCGGCAGCCCCTTGGTTGTCGCGCACGATGATCGCTTTCGTGAGTTCACGCACTTGACGTCCGAAATCGGCGAGCTGCTGCGACATGAACCCATTTTCGCGAGTGATGCGGTCCAGATCCAGCTTGAGACGCTTCGCTTCCGCCTGCACTGTGTCGCGCTCCTGCGATGCAGTGGCAACTTGGGCGACCATTTCTTGATTTTCGGCAGCGAGACGCTCAGTCTCTTCGCGTTGAGCTTGCAGCTCGGGCGCTCTTTCTTGCAGCTCGTCCATGACCTGAGCGAGGACAGAAGTGAGGCGATTGGTCTCGAGCCTCTCTCGTCGGAGCTCTTCTCGCGTCTTGGCAAGCTCCATGTAGATCTGGCTGAAGCTCTTGCCAGATTTGCGGATGCGATTGGCGATTTCGGCAATTGGAGAGATTCCGAAGCTGTTGTTGAAAGAGGCGGCGGTCCCCATGAGTCCGTGGCGACGAGGGGTGGACGCCGTGCTGCGGGTATCAAAGTCATGTCCAGCGTCGCTCATGGCATCGAGCGTTTGATCAAGGATGCTGTCACCATTCTCACGCCGACCCTGTCCGATGCCAACGCCTTCGGCAAGACGGTCCAGCGCCTCAGAAAGCTCTTGATTCTCCTTTTCGACAGCTTCTCGTAGCTGAGCCTCCTTCTGCGTCTCGGCCCAAGCCGCTTCCTCACGAGCACGGCATTGCTCAAGAACCTCCTCCCACTGTTTTTCAAGATCTGCGATACGCTGATTGGCGTGCTCAGCGCGTCTCTCGAGCAGGTTAACGAGCTGACTCTGGCTGCTAACTTCAGAGCGGAAAGAGTCTTCTTGTGTTGCAAGTCGGCTCTGAAGTTGAACGACCCTATCCGTGGCCTGACTGAGCTTGTTGCTGGTCTCATTGTAGGCAGACTGAAGGGACTCAACCTTGGAGCGAGCGACGGAAGCTTCCTGGCGAGCGTTGTCGAGATCGGCCTGAACGCGGCTAAGCTCAGCACGCTTAGCGGCGCGAAAGGCGGCAGAAGACTCGCTGAGCTTGCGAAGCTGTTCGTGGGCCCATTCCGCACCCTTCTTTGTGAGCTGAACCTCTTGCTCTAGACCCTGCAGCTTGAACTTGGCAATGTTCTCCTGGCTGCGTGATTCTTGCACTGCGGTAGACAGACGAGAGATCTCTTGACGAGCGTCGCGGTTGCGTGAAAGCAGATTGTCGATCTCCTCGGCCTTGCGAGTGCTTTCTTCGCGTTCGCGCTGAAGACTAGCGAGAATATCGCGCTTCTCCTGCTCTGCTTGGTCAAGACGGCCGCGTACCTCGGCAGCCTGTCGGACGCCGTTCTCCGTCGAGTTCTTGAGGGTGGTGAGCTGAGCACTGACGCCGACAAGCTCAGCGGACAGTCGATCCTTTTCGCTCGTGACTTGTTCCTTGGCTCGTCGCTCGTTTTCGAGCTCAGCCTTGAGCGCCGCCGTCTCTGTCTGGGAAGCTGCTAGCTCTGTGGCCAACTCTGCGCTTCGAGTCCTGGCAGCATCGTGCTCGCGCTTCTCATTGTCGAGCGAAGTCTGCAGGGAGCCAACCTGACCCTGGAGATTGACGACCTCGGTCTGCAAGCTGTCTTTGAATCGCGTAGCTTCGAGCGTAGCTGTCCTTTCCTTCTCCACTTCTTGCTCCAGCTCCTGACTGCGCTCTCGGGCGAAAGCCAGCGTCGACTCGGACTGTTGACGTGTTTGCTCTAGTGCGGAAAGCTGCTCTTTGATGTCTAGAGACTTGAGAACAACGTCGTAAAGATGGAGAACGAGGTCGGCATCTGGGGTTTCTAAACGTTCAGAGGTGATGGTCTGTTGGAAGTCGGAGTTGCTGAGGGTGGTCAAAGCCAATGCGAGCTGATCCGCACTCATGTGTGGCAGAAGCTGAACGTGCAGCGACCAAGTCTTTGTTGGAGAGTCGATAGTGGTCGTCGCATTCGAGTCTTGCATAGTGATATCAGCAGATGCGGAGGCAGGCGGCTGATCGCTGGTGGCTGCGCGGGCATCAGCTACAGCTAGCATACGCCTCTGTATATCCTGAGCATCAGGCACAGGGTTGGAGTCCGTCATGGCCGGCGTTGAGCCGCGTGTCGGCTAGCCAGCTCTCAATTCGGGTTGATCTGTGACTGCGCGGAAAAGAGTATTGGCATGCAAAAGAGAAGGTGGGCCAGAAACCAATAGCGGATATGGGAAGGGGTGTATGCTGAAGTGACGATGTGTGGAATGACCGAGGGTGATGGTGTGAGCGACAACTTGTGAGGATATGGTGTGGAGATCGAATGGAGGAAGAGTTGAAGTGGACTGCGACATGCTCAACCAACGCAGATGCGACGATTTCCTGCCTTGACCTTTTCTTCCCTTCACGTGACGGAGGAAATCGAGACAGCACAGCTGCAGAGTGTTGGACGTTCGGGCCATCAGACTTCCACAACTTCCAGCACACTTGGAAGGGTCCAAGAGCAAAACAACGCCTTGAACACGCCAACTCACAATCCTTTCTACCTCTTATCCGCATCCGCGACGCCCGACACTGTGACTACGCCGTTGGCACTGCTGGCCCGCAACGAGAACATAGCGAGGTCCAGAACGGCTGCTTTCTGCCCAAGCTTGAGGATAAAAAGCTGCATTCGCACTCCAGCGCGACGCCTCGAGACGGCTTGCAAAAAAAATGGGAGCTTCTGAATCACGACTTCGTGTCGACGACTCGAACGAGGCACCAAGGCAAGGCTATCACGTCGTCCGAGTCGCAGCAGGCTCGCCCGCTCATCTTGCCGGGATCGAACCTTTCTTCGACTTTTGTGTCGGCATTGACGGTGTGGCATTGGACCCGACGAAGGACGTCGATGGAGCCGGTGACACGACAGGCTTAGGGGCGTGGAAGAGCTTGGAAGAGCGGGAAGGGACACAGGTCATGCTCGATATATGGAACTCGAAACGCCAGCAACTTCGCCAAGTTGCCATCGTCCCTTCCCGACAGTGGTCATCACAGCCTTCCACCAGCAGCATCAACGGAACTAGCTCAGAAGCAACATCACAGCCTTCCTTACTCGGGCTCTCGCTCCGGCTCTGCAACCCTTCACAAGCTCTGTTACACGTATGGCACATCTTGGAGATTCTAGAAGGATCACCTGCTGAGTCTGCTGGTCTTGTGCCATTTGGCGACTTTGTGATCGGCTGGCCAGGTGGAGTGTTGCAAGCAGAAGGCGACTTTTACGAGCTTGTCGAGGCACACACTGATCGAGCATTGCGGTTGTACGTCTACAACTCTGACTACGATCACACAAGGGAAGTTATCATTGTGCCCAATCGCGAATGGGGTGGTGAAGGTTTGCTTGGCTGTGGTGTGGGGTACGGCCTCTTGCATCGCATTCCTAAACCTCAAGATCTACCCAAGGTGCCACCAGAGCTATCGTCGCACGAAGACGAGGATCAAGGCATTCCCGAAGACCAGCTCAAGACACCGAGGATCGGTGCTCCTCCATCGGCGGCAGCGACACCAGCAGGCAATCCACGCTTCGAAGAAGATCACTTCAGCACGCCCCTCGCCAACCCTTCTGGCGCAAGATCAGCAAGTCAAGACCACGACTATTATCACAGCAGCCACGATGAAGAAGAAGAAGAACTCGACTACGAGGCCAATACCAGCGGGGTCACGGTCAGCATGCGCCACGATGATGAGGATGACGAAGAAGGTCAGAGTCGAGATGTCGCAGATCTTGCTTAGTGGCCTAGCTCAAGAGCTCAAGCCAAATGTCACTCTTCGCCAGACACATTGTATCAGTGGTAACGATTACATGGAGCAGATTTCGCCTCAATGCAGCTCATACCATCGCACAAATAGCAGATCGAAGAAACGTGAGATTATTGAGGGGCCACAACAAGACAGTGTACTACAGTAAGGAAGTCATAGTACAGCTGAACAGTCTGGCACGAGCAAGGCAAAGATGCCCTAATGTGACAGGAGCTCCCTTCAATCTCGCTTCAGAGGCTTGCGCAGCGAAGCAAAGAAAGAAGGCGTCTCCAAACCCAATCTCCTCTGAACCTCCTCAGCCCAGACAGTGAAGAGTCCCACCTTTTGCTCGAGCTGCTCGATGTGGATCCTGTGCGTCTTGTCGCGCCTCTGAGCTTCATCAGTCAAGTCATGACACATCTCACGCATCTTGTCGAGACGGTCCGAGAGCTCGTTGATCGTGTACTTATGACGGGTCAACTCGGCTTCTTTGCTATCAAGTCGAGCAATTAGCTCCTGCACCTTTGAGTCCGAAGGCATTGGTCTGCTAGCTGCAAACACAGGCTTGGCAGCCGATGTTGCCGTCCCGTTTGCAGCTGTGCCCTGGAACATCCACTCGGCCATGAACTCGGTGGAGTCGGCTGAGCTAGACTCGGGCTTGGCGACGGCTTTGCTTCTCTGCGAGCGCAGCTTGTCGAACAGTGCACTGTTTGGCTTAGCTTGGCCTGTCTCCTTTGGCTTGACCGTCTCAAGATCAGATGCGAGCTCGGCGGCAATGGCACGCGAGAGCCCCGCGTAGCTGTCATCCCAGGCGGCCATGAAGATGTCTTCCAGATCCCGGAACTGGTCCGAGATCGGGTACTCGTGCTTTGTTGAGCTAGTTACGGCTGTCTTGACCCGTGCAGGACCCAGCTTTGCCTTTGGCATCTTCGAAGATGCCTTCACTGGCTTTGACGACTGTTCGACGTCGTCATGCATGCTTCCGTTTGTAGCGATAGATAGATCTGACACAGGAAGCAAATGATCGCCTTCCTCATCAGCAGCCACACTGCGAGCCGGCTCATGTTCGCGTGCTGGGAAGCCAGTGATTGCCTCGACATAGTCCTCAGACTCGTAACGGGAGAAGGCGTCGACAGCAGCCTTATCAGGAACACCGCTTGATTGGGTCGCCTTGAGGTCACGTTCGCGAATATCACTTTCAACATCTCCGATCCATTCTTCGCGGGCGTCTGAGTCTGTGACGGAGGTCTTCGCCTTTGAAGTCGTGACTGGAGAAGCTGCTGCCGAGTGACCGGCTACGTGCTGCCACTTGAGCTGCGCGCTATTGCGCTTGGCTGGAGTTGACGAGCTGGCGAACTCCTCAGAAGTCGAAGGTGTGGAGCGAGTCCAAGCCTTGGAAGTTTTGAAGGCAGCACCGTCGCTCGAGGCAGAAGGGACATCGTCGTGACGGGACACATGCTTGGGTCCCCAGCGGCCGTACTCGCCTAGTTCGGAGCCTCGACGACCAGCACGAGAGCCGAAGAAGAAGCCCGTACGGTCTAGATCGAAGACATCACCCCACGCAGTTCCAAGCCCTCGCTCAGAGGTAGAGGACGAGCCAGCTTGAGCTTCTTTGGCATCCTGCTCTCGAATCCAGTTGCGTCTCTGAGCAACAGCACGAGTTGCTTCTTCGAGCTCGCGTTCTATCTGACGACCGATCTCGCCTCCAGCCTGACCATCTCGTAAAGAGGCGGCAACGAGGTTCTGGACTGGGCTGGCAGCCAGAGCGTTGATACGAGCAAAGTTGAGGGCCACGCGGCGCCAAGCATGGGCGTCACGATATGCCATACCCTTGGCAGCTTGAAGTCGGTTCATGGTTCGTCGATTTTTGACGAGAAGATAGACAGCGGCACTCGATGCTGCTCCAAAGAGGACAAAGGTAAAAGTGGTACGACCAGTGGTAGAAAAGCTTGAGGCTTCTTCAGCGTGTTGAAAGTGCGGTCCAGACCGGAAGGATCTGGCAGGGGCTTGATGCTGAACTTGAGACCTCTGGGGAGCGTCCGGGGATGGAGAGGCGAACCACGACTTTAGGCCAGAGAAGGACCGGTTGTTATCTGTCGGCTGCAATGACGAACCTGGCGTTTTTATACTGTCGGAGGAGTCCGTGCTGAAGGATGACGAAACCGAGGCTGTTACTGCGGAGGGAATGGAGGCTTGGATCTTAGACGCAATGGTCGTTGTGTAGTGCGCAAGCGTGTCCAAGACGGAGTTCTCTAACTCTGCGTTGGTCTGAGCGTTAAGCGATGATCCAGCCGGACGAGAACAAGCTTGTGGATACGATGTATGACCGTCACGACCACGGGAAGATTGAGGCTTGGCTTCTAAGGAGGACGAAGACGAGTGAGGGAATATGTAGCAGTAGCTCAAGAGCATGTGGAGATGGCCGATGCAGGATACGAGATATGTAGAGCTGTGCGGGATGATATGAGTCTTCTTATAGGCTACGGTTAGGTCAGGATGGGTGTGATGGTGGAGATGGACATGCTGGCTATGACGGTGGAAAAAGAAAGTAGCCTTTGCTGCCCTTTCAAGTTGATCCAAAGGGGGATCGCATGTCGGACCTCGTCGAGATAAGCGCGCGAGAGGTTACGATGTGACAGTGTGGCCTCGTTACCCCGCATGCCGACTCAACGCTGAGTTGCGCGCATCTGGACCCTTGACTCTCGACCTTTTGCGCGCTCTCGTGATCCGTGAACGTGATAGCAGAGCGCTGGCTGTTGTTTCAGAGGGTGTAACATAGCAATTTTCCGATCCACCTTCAACGTTTGACTTGCCAAAAGTATACTTGCACAGACGGTAGGACAGTTGTCCATGAACGATGAGGAATCCGTACAGACCAAGTCTTAACGTCAAAGTGGCCACAGTTGTAACCAGAAGATGACGTTCGCAAAAGATGACGGAGCAATGTGCGTGGGCGATGAAGGCTAGGTCGCGAGGCTATGAGCCCCCGGCAATCAGCATGCCTCTCCGTCTTTGCAGCGCCGGCGATGGCCGCCTCCGCAGAAGCAACTGTGGATCGCAGTGTGGTTGCGGAGCATATTATGCGGCGTAGACTGTGACCTCAAATGAACAGCCGACAGCTGCCGAGCGCCCCGAAGTAATTCAGGATGGGTGAGGGAGAGTCTCTATGCTTTGGACATAAAAAGGCTTCATGAACAAGACTGCTGATTTGAGACCTGAAGAAAGAGACAGTATGGTGATACCGACCGACGACTGGCACGCCCCAAGTGCGTTCGAAGGGTCGAAGAGACCCGCAGCCCCAATCACGAAAAGGAGGACCCGTTGGAGACAGGTTCAAGAACGGTCCGCACAACTAGCTAGCAAGAACGTCTCGCAGCCTTTGGATGCTGCCCAACAGCGGGCTGGCCAGTACTCACAGGTCCGCATTGACATCCAGCTCATCAAGACCGAAAAACAGTTTCACCTACTCGCATGCTTGATGCCTCCGCGATCCGCAAGATCACGGAGAGTCGCGGAAGTCGGCTATTCTGACTCCAAAAAAGGCTGGGTTAATGTGGCGTTGGGAACGGAGAAAGGTCACTTGTCAGTTGTCAGAATAGCATTCAAAATTGTCCTTTCATCGTGAATCCGACTTGGTGACAGCGCTTCTGTCAATACCTTGTATCTCCCATGAGACACGGCTGGGGTCCGTCGAAGAAGCTGTCAGTTGGCGTGTTCGAGACCACTCCGTCGAAGGCAAAGAGCTGCGAAGAAGGGGGGACAGCAGAAAGACACGTCTTTTGATAAGAACCAGTTTGACATTTCGTGGGCAGTAGCCATATGAGTATCATACTATTATCAAAGCCTAGCTCGGTCAGGAACAGGGGCCGGCGAGCCCACTCCATAGTCGTCGTGTGCTTGGTTGTTGCCTTCACGTTGGTGATCGACAACAGCAGCCTTGCTTTCCACGACAGGAGCGACGCCATACAATTTGGATCGCTCGTGAGAAAGAAGCTTGGCAACTTGGAGTGCCTTGTCCAAGTTTCCTTTAATGCGGATGCGGCCTTCGTTATAAAGGCGCTGTGCTTGAACCTTTCCCGAAGCCAGGTCCAACAGATCCTTATCGCGGCACTCGATAACGACGTCAGCCTTACGCTTGCGGCCCAATATAGCTGTGGAGGGCTGACCACGGCCGATGACGCCCTTGTGCTTCATGTCTGCATACCAGATTGCGGGACGTAGAGCTCCTCCCGAGGTTGAGACCTTACCATCAACAGGCTTGGTTCGGGGGTTGGAAGGATCGATGGCAGTGGATGGCTGGATGATGAAGAGATAGACGCTTTGAAGCGATCGGACTAGACGTTTACGTGAAGGAAAGCCGGCAGGAGGGTTGGCAAGAATCTGAGCAGAGAGAGCAAATACGCGGCTCGACTCGAAGTCAGGACAGTTGAGGTCTTCCTGAGTGTTTAAGGCCTGGCTTGCCTCTGCCTTCATACGCTCTTCGGTCTTGGGGTTGGACATGGTGGTGGTGGTGGTGGTGGTGGATGATGGATAGTGCTGAAAGCTCAGATGGGAGAAAGCGGTGAGATGTGGGGGAAGGAAGGTCGCTGGCGAATGTAGCGCGATCAGGCTGCTGGAGCAAAGAAGGGCTGTCGCACGGGCTTCGTGTTCGTTCTGTTAGACGGTGGTGACACAAGAAGAGCGGGGAAGCTGCTCACGGTTCCCTGGCTAAGTTAGCGACCAGATCGGCGGCTAGAGCGTTGCACTGGCGGCCTAATTCAAGGTGGAGGCATCTCCAGTTACCTTTGTCCCGATTGGGCTTCAGCTCAGAGGTCAGCTGCAGGATTTTATTGTAAGCGAAGCTGAAATGAGCGTGAAATCAGAAGCGTGCGGACGCTCAAAAAGAGTGTTACTCGACGCGATCAAACAAAGACCAGGGATATTTCACTTGGTAGTTTATTTGCCTTCGGATTCCTTTTTGACGTGAGAGCGTTGTGCCTGCAAGCTAGGACCGGAACCCACGCAGGGTCTCATCTACGGCTACCCACATGATCACCACCATGCTGTTGAGTCGCTCAGATGACGGTCCGCAGCGGCAATCGGGGAATTTTGTGATTCTAGACCCCTTTGCGATCACTTGTGCGCTCTCTGTCACCGCGAACCTAAAAGCTAAACCGGAAAGGGGCCAGCGAACGAGACATTAGGCGAGTGACCCTGCTTGCTGTAGAATGAAGGCCATTTAGCTTCCTATTCTCCTGTTCACAACGACCAAGTTACACAACAAGAGTCAATGTGGCATTTTCTGCAGATGATGCATCGGTTGACAATAGGGAGCATTGAGAACAGTCGAAGGTACGTCGCAACTTCCAGGGTTTATCCGGGATGCCAACAGAGCAAAGCTCGTAGTGAAAGCATGTGAGTCCTAGTTCGATTTCACACTTTCGCCAACTTTGCTCAATCGGATAGGTAATATTTTGCCCGGATCGACTGTCGCAATAGGCATTGGCATATCGGCTATCCGACATCCGACATCCGACATCCGACATAGTTTCCCAATCATGTTTCAGCCTTATCATCCTTGTATCATACACGTATACACAGAACGCTGGAGGACACATATATGCATTCAAGTCATCTTGTACTTAGATTATGATTATCATCGCAATCGACACTCGTGATCAACGCTATTTACTGCACGCTCTGCAACACTCGTGAAAGCATATGCTGCTTATTCACGAGCTTACTCAGACACGTGAAAGCAACGATGGTGTCAAGATATATATATATATATATATACTCATGTTTGTAGCCTCAGTTCGTTTGAATAAGATCAAGCATTAAAGAAAGAAGTTGCTACACACCTGTACAAAGGGAGCCTGATCGTGGCCCCAACAAAGTGGTACCTCTATTTGCAACTAGAACAAAGGGCCCAAGCTCATCTCATGCATGCTCGCGCTGTAGATGCTGTCCCTTTGCTCCGCCGACAAGGTTCACCGTTTGAGCTCATTGGATTACATCAAAATTCCCACGAAGCTGCTCAAGATGCCGTTCCTTCTGGAATACCAGTCGAGCAAGCTTCTTCACAAGTCCTCGTCAAATTCTTCTTTGGACCGACTTCCCCATCCTCTTCTCACCTGTCTCAAACGCCTTCGGGAGTCGATCCTACTCTCTGCCTCGTGATTCCCGTAGTACAGAATGGAGCTTTTTGTACACAACATTCCCAACTCTTTGAACAACAAGGCCATCGAAAGTTTCATCTATGCTGTACTACAAAAGGAGAATCACTTCAGTTCACCGTATCAACCCTCTTCAGGCAGCTCAACAGCTAGCATCTCCATTAACAAAGGCTTCTTCTTCAGAAGATTCGAGCGGCACAGGAATCAGGGTCTCATTACCTTCGCCAGGGAGCGTGTTGCCAGATGGTTTCTATACTATGCTGAAAGCCAAACCTTCATGCGCCGGTATAATATAAGGCTGAAGAAAGGCCGAGACAGTCCATCAAAAGCTTTCATCAAAGCCATTTCAGAGAACGTCACGGACCAGCAACCATCAGCAAGCGCTGAGAGGCACAGCGAGGCACAAGCCTTTGTCTTTGGACTGGCTCATACAGGATACTGGTCTGCGCTTCATCGATTCAATTGGACACGCTCTTTCTCAGGCAACCATCGTCTCACAATAGATGGAGGTGTCATTATCATTGCTCTACCTGAATACAGTATGTCATTCCTTCCCAGAGACGTTCGGTCGTATGGAACTGCCTTTATCGACCCGAAGTCTCTTAACAACGGAAAGACTGCTGGGCGAGCCTCTGGACGAGATGGCCGAGTTGAAGCGCACACTACCAAGAATGCTACCGGTTGGGTTGGAGCCATCTTCTTGTTCGAACTTAAGCACAATCCACAATTCGCTAGCGTTAGCTCCAACTCCTCCGATCATGGATACAAGCCTCCGTCCAGACTTATCCGCCTATCCTTTGCGGCAGACACTCATGGTCTGAAAGCAGCCTACCAGCTTGATGGCGTCTTGGACAGTCTTCTTGCTAGTTATCAACGAATTAACATGCGTCAGATCCAGATGGCACAGGACAGCAACTCTGGATTTATCGAGAGATTCTTCAATCGAAGCAAGAAGCTCGACATTGAGCTGGCTTTCGTCCGCGAATCCCTTCTCCGCAACGAGCTCGTGAGCATTTCCGCTCTAAATAAGGAAATCAACCATCGTCTCGAAGACATGATCCATCAGGGGAACCAGCAGCTGGCCTTAAGGGCCCTCAAAAATTTTGTTGCCAAGCTTGAGCTTCGACAAGAACGCGGAAAGGACGAGGAGCAAGGCAACAAAAAGACTGCCCGCCTATTTGAGGAATCCCGTGCTGAAACGGAGTCGAACACCTCGAGAGACCTTTTTGTCGACCTTGACTCTTTCCTTGCGACGGTGGACGATGTCTACTCACCAATGCTTCACATTGATGTTACACCTACACGTATACTGCTCCATGGACCTCACTATCACGTGTCCAACCGTGTCATTCGGAGCTACCCTAACCATTGGCATCATTTTGCCAGGGTGACATTCACTAACGAGGACCGCGACCTAGCTACCTCGATCCGACCCAACTACGGCTTCGATGATAGCGAAAGGTATATCCAGTCGCGTGTCCTCAACGTCCTTTTACATGGTCTCAACGTGGCTGGACGGCATTGGGATCTGTTGGCCTGGTCCTCCTCCTCAATAAGCACGCATACCGTTTGGTTCGTGACCCCTTTCGTGGACAATAATGGTCAGAGAATCGACGCCAACGTCATTCGCAGTCGCCTTGGTGATTTTTCGGACGTCATCAAGTCTCCTGCCCTATATGGTGCCCGGCTGTCCCAGGCGTTTAGTGCAACAGCGCATACAATCTCTGTTCCTGCGAGCCATATCCATGCAAAGCCTGACAAGGTGTCAGAGCAGGGAATGCCGTACACAGACGGAGTTGGCCAGATTTCTCCTGAGCTGATGGCTGAGGTATGGACCAGCTTTCTTGCTGCTCACGGAGAGGGCCGAAAACGCAAATTGTTGAAGGCAGCGGCACCCTCGGCAATTCAGATGCGCTTGGGCGGTAGCAAGGGTGTTCTTGCGGTGAATCCTAGGCTGAGGGGAAAGGTACTGATCATCAGGCCTTCAATGACCAAGTTTGGCTCACCCCATCAAGACCTTGAAGTTGCCAATGCTAGTACTCGGGCCAGGCCTGCGAAACTTAACCGCCCACTGATCAATGCTCTTGAAGACAGAGGCGTGCCTGCCTCAGCGTTTATGGAGATTCAAGACGAAGCTATCACATTGATCGGTCGAGCACGCTCTGACTTCCAGGCCGCTGCAAGACTTTGCTCAGCCTTCAGCTTCGGCACTGGCTGCAACTTGCGTTCTCTCTTTCAAAAGCTACACAGCCTGGGACTTGGAGGAAAGACGGTTCACGTCGACAGCTTCTTCCTTGTTATCGCGAAATCAGTTACAGCAGCTGCGTTGGGAGATATGAAACGAAAAGCTCGTATCCCGACACGTGGAGTGACCATGCTCGGTATTGCAGACGAGTTTAGTTTACTCAAAGAGGGTGAGGTCTTTGCTCAAGTAGAGTCAGTCGAGTCAGGCAAGGTTACACGGAGGATACTGGTAGGTAGGAACCTGATAGGAAGGAGTCCAACGGTCGACCCAGCAGACGTCGCCATGGTGAAGTGCGTCAAGCCCCCGCCCGGTCACCCTCTTCTGCAACTGCGCAACGTCATTGTCTTCGATACATGCAGCCGCGATCAGCCCTTTCCGCGACGTCTTGGGGGTGGAGACTGTGACGGTGATTTGTATACAATCTACGAGGACGATCGTCTCTTTACAAAGGCCCAGCAATCAGCAATGACGTTTCATCCTAAGATCGCGCCTGCGGAGCTTTCTCGAGATTGTGGTTCTTACGAGCTTGCATTCTTCTTCACTCAGTTTATGCTTAATGATTTCATCGGCCTCGTCTCGTCCACCCACTTGCGTATCGCCGATATCAGCGAGCTCGGCTCTCACGATTCACGGTGCAAGACGCTCGCCCGACTTCACTCTCAAGCTACCGACTTCAAGAAGACCGGCTACGCCGTGGACAGAAGTCAGATGCCTCGACACCGCGAGCCTATCATTCCAGACTTCCTTGCACAAGGAGAGAAGAGGGAAGGCAAGTTAGTGTACTCTAGCTCAAGGGCTCTTGGTTACCTGTATCGAGCTGTCAGCTGGCAGCAGACCGACACACCTTCGCTCGATCGAAGCACCGATCCCGAGACCGGCCTGGTCACAGTAGGTGCAGCAGATTGCTTTGATGAGAATGATGAGCAGGCCTCAGAGTTCGGAAGCGCTATGAGCAGCATCTTGGAGGAAGAAATAGACAGCCAACCTGTTCGAGCCAGCTCTTTGCGTGCGACTCTTAGCACTGGTGTACGTCCTCTCACCGAGGGTACAGGAGAAGCGCACCCTGGCGCCTCTGGTGAGACCGAGACTGCCACGGCGTCTCCCTGGGCATTCAAGGACGTCACATTCCCACAGCTGCTAGAAAAGATCCGATGGTCAAACAGCAACTTCTTGGAACAATGTGTCCATCAAGAAGACAAAGACGCCAGCGTAGTAGAAGAAGGGCACAGATACATCTCCGTTTTTCAACATTTCACTCGCGAGCTTCGACAGGTCTCTCGAATGATTGCTTCTTACCATCCTGATGTTGACCGACCCTGGGATGGTCTTAGCGGTGCTGAAGCATCTTTGGGAGGTACACTTCTCGTATCAGAGGTGCATCTGCTCACAGGACGACTTCCTTGGTCCAAGGTCAACAAGAAGAAGCGGGATGAGAGCAACAACACCTTGCTCGATAACATGAGAGCTCTCTGCACGATGCTGCGAAAGGACATCAGCTCTATCTCGGAAAGGAAGGCCTTCGGTGGAACGGCGTCAAGCGTTGATACACACCGCTTGAGCAACGGCAACGCGGAGGATCAAGGCCAGATCACAGTCGATGGTGGATCGGAAGTCAAGATGAAGGAAGACGGAGAAGCTTCCGCACCTGGCAGCCAAACACCGAGGTTTGGAGCCACTCGAGTTTCGGGAAACGGCAGTATTCAAGCGCCGTACGAGCTGCTCAGCGACGACGATGACGCAATGAGCATCTCGAGTGACAGCACAATCGACGTTGTTGCTGTCAGACCTGCCAACGCAATCATTCAGATTTATCCTGATGGTTCAGGAACAAATGCCGGTCCAGCTCAAGCCGCAGCTGATGCTGTTCTTCCTGGTGTCAACAAGTCGAATGGTGCTTCAAGCAGTATCCACAACGACTATGCCGTTGCGGACGACGACGAAGACGAAGAAGGCGAAATCACCGTCAGATCAGCCCAGAAGATTGTCGACTCGCTCTGGAAAGCCTGTCACTTCTTCTGCTCCCCTCTCCGTCCTCGCTACAGCAACCTTTACGGGTACAACACCTTCATGCTCACGCTCGCCATGCATCTCCTCTCCATGCTTGATACGCTAAAGCATCTGTATCGCAATCCTTCCCTGCGATCGGTGTATCAGCATCGTCGTGCGAACTCGGTCGCCTCAAGCGCAGCAACGCAAGACACTACGGGTAGTAGCACTGCAAACGACCTCAGAACGGGAGAAAGCGGTCGCATTGATCGAGTGGCTATGCAGCTCGACGTGCAAGGTAACTTGGACCATTTATATGGTTCCGACGAGTACGAGTACGATGATGATGAAGTGGAGGGCAGGTTGGACAGGAATTACAGCTTGACTGCGGATGCGATGTCTGCGCTTGATCTTGGAACTGTTTTGCTCGATTCGGGTGCCAATGACGGTCGTAACGACTAGAAGACCTAATCGTCACTCATTCCTCACCATTCCGCCATATGCTTTTACACAGTCATCACCTGTCAATCAAAATGAACTTATATCAATCACCTCCATCAGTTTGTGTCACATGTGTGGGAGAAGAGGGGAAACGAACGTGTATTGATAATGAATGGGTATGTATGTGCATGTAGAAAGCGACAAGATCAGGACAAAGGAGCGTAAGCACTGTAAGAATATCAACATGATCGAGGCGGACGATACAAAGACGAAACGGGTTGTGGTGAAATGCGGGATACTTGACAGCGTGTCGAAATTGCAAGCCTGCTGAACAACCTTAAGCCTGCTTCCGGAACAAGCGAGCAAGTTTGCCGGATGTACTGACACTCTTCTGCTTCTCTTGCCTGGTTGATGACGCTCTGGCAGCGAGCGGAGTCTGCAATTTGCGAGGAGACACCTCTCTCATCAGATGATCAAAAGCCGGCAGTGTGGGCGGGGGCGCGAAGAGAGCAGCAAGAGAACGCGGTTTGGAGCTGGTGATGCTGGAGGAGGTGTTGAGCGAAGCAGAGGGTTGGGTTGGAGAGAGAAATCCAGATCCGCTCTTGCAGACGTTCTGAGAGAGTAAGAAGGAGGAATACATCGTTTCGACCTGTGCTGAAGAGGGGCCTGTGATAGGTGCTCGTCCAGATATTGCGGATGTGGGAGTCGTGTGATCGAAGAGCTTAATATGGCGTTGTAATTGTTGAGGTGAACCTTGCTCAACTCCAAGGTCCGATCGGGGATGAGCATTCGACGAGGCTTCCGGACCGTCCCTCCTAGCCGAGCCGCTGAGATCGAGCGAGAAAGCTGCGGATACCATTGAGACGTCTGCGTCCTCCTCATGACGCTCAGCGGCCCTGCCTTCAGAGGGTGGTGTCTCGAGAAGGCCGGGAGAGATGTCCATTGCTGTAGTGCTGATCGTCGAGTCAGAGCCCCTTTGCCTAACCGGAGTCTTGATCAGTCCGACGTCACCCCGCGCACGTGCTGGGGTCATGATGGTCGACTTAGTCTCGTCGATCATCTTAGTGAGCAGTCCGGCAAGGCTGGCCATTTTCTTGAGTCGCTTAAAGATAACCTCCTCCCCAGGAGAGGATACGTGGGTTGAGCTGTGAAGGCAGTGAGTGGGAGGCGAGCGCAGACGCTTGTTTGAGTCCGACCTAGTGGACGACTCTGCCTGGTCGCCGGCAAGGACGGAGTGAAGAGCAGGTGCACGAGCTACAGAGTTCCGCTCGGAGGTATTGGCGAGGTCGACGCCGGCATTCTTCGTGTCAGAGCGAGCGGAACCGATATCGGTAGCGCTGTCAAGGTCAGAAGGAGGAGGTTGATGAGCAGGGCCTGCCGTACCCCCTTTGATCTCTTCTGCTTCAAAGAGGCGGCGTGCGCAGCGAGGCATTGCATCCTCAGGCGATGGCACATACGAGCCAGTAGAGCGACGGACTGAACGGCGAGTAACACCATGCTGCGAAGTGGTCAGCGTGTAAGACTTTGAGCGGCGATGACCTTGGCCCAGCTTAGCGCCAGCTGGTTGCCCACGAAACGTCAGACCAAGACCTGTCTGACCAGCTAATGCAGTGATGTGAGGAGGCGGCCTCGAGAGAAAGTTCGAGGCGTCAAATTTCTTTGCGAGTGAAGCAACGACGTTACCTCTGGCTCCACCTTCAGTCCGTGGTGCTTGGACTGGCTTTGGCCTTTCATCCTCGACCTGAGGCAGCGACATTGGGCACATGACAGGAGCTAGAGGGCGTTGAGCAGTAGCTGCGGGTGCAGGGACAGGAGTGGACGCCATTTGCTCATCGACAGTCTGCGTCAAGTGCATTTTGCGGGTCCTCTCGCCAATGCGAAGCCGGAAAGGCGATTGCTTGCTCGGAAGGGCCACCATGATGGGCTTAGTCGGGCTGATTCGTGAAGCTCGAGTGATAGCCGCAGGCGAGGGATGCTCAATAATGGAGTTGTCACTGTCGTCTTCTTGATCGTCCTCAGCTTCTTCTTGCAGACTTTGAGTGAGGATACGATTGCGTTGAGCAGAAGGGATGGGCGTGCCTTGACGTGGGGGCTGACCACCTCTCCAAGGTGGACTCACACACATGAGGTCCGTGAGGCGAGAATCCATGCCGACTTGGGACAGGGAAGGCGAGTTCGGAACCATCGAGGCACGTATGGTGACAGCAGCACGTGAGACGCCAGGAGAAGGGGGCAGTGACTCAGCGTCAGCAGTGCTGTAGTGGCGCGATTCAAGTCGCTCGGTCTGAGCTACAAGGTCTTCGATCATGGCATCACTATCGTCCACCTCTTCTAGGAAAGGGATAGGATCCGGTTCCTGCATCATGGCCTCAGCTGTTTGATGAGTTCGAGCGTCCTCGTAGGATAGCTGCAGGAGCTCGTCGAAGGAATCGCATTTATCAGCGTTGCTGGGATCGAATTGAGTGTGAAGCAGAGCTCCTGCTGCGTCGATACGCTCTGCTGGATCGTGACAAAGCATCTTCCGAATAAGATCCTCCATCTCGAAGGTCATGTCCCAGGTACCGAGCCAGGTGCCACGTTCAGCTCGAGCATAGTACTCTTGAAACTTCTCCTTGGAATCGAACTTCTCGTCGTGATGCTCGAAAGGAGTCCGTCCAGTGAGCATCTCGAAGAAGGTGATACCGAGAGCCCATATGTCAGTCTTCCTCTCGTCGTGGAGAGTTGCGCGGCAACGCTCAGGAGCAAGATACTCGGGCGTACCCCAGACATCTTTAGACATGAAGGCGCCTTCTTCAAGAGGGTCGTAGCGATTCGCGAAGCCAAAGTCGAAGAGCGTCACCGTGTCGCGACCAAGCCCGGAAGTGTCGTATGTGACACCAAGGTTGTCGACCTTAATGTCATTGTGACAGACACAGTGCTGGTGCAACCAATGCACAGCCGATAGGAGCTGCTGGAAGTAGTTGCGACACAGGGCATCACCGAGGCATACTTTCATGGGCTCGTCGAATTTTGGCATGACAAACATGGCGAGAGTTGGTGTCAGCAGGAACTCGTAGAAGTTGACGACGTTGGGATGCCAACCTGTACGGTCGTTTCGGACACGACAGTTGGGGCTGTTGGGGTTGACCTGCTCGGCGCGAGGAAGCTGATCCATCAAGGTGCGTAGGATTTTGAATTCATTCCAAAGACGTTGTGTTCTAGCGGCGGCTGAGTATTTGGTTTCGCGCTTGCAGAGCTTGACAGCCAAAGGGCGAAAGTTGGCGCTATTGTCGACGGTATAGGTGCCCGTACCAGTGAGCTTGACAACCTGAAGCTTACGGTAGGCGGAAGTGGGCAGATGATCGAGAGGTCGCAGCGCTTCTACAGACCAAACGCTGCCCCATTCGCCAGCTCCTGTCAAGGGAGAAGAACAACACAGGATCGGAGGTTAGAAGTCAAAGGTCAGCAATCAGCTTCAGCCTCAGTCTGTTTTTGATGGTGGTCTGGGCTGAGGGCAAATCGAGAATTGAATACATACCTATCTCGTTCAGAAACTGATAGCGCTCCTTAAGATCAGGCTCGTTTATCTTAAAGATGCCAAGCTGCATTGCCTTCAATCGTACATCTGCCATCTTCTTGTCTGCTGCCGGGCTATGCTTCTTGACGGGGACTGCAGGATGCAAAGTATTGTCATTCCGTCTTTCTAATTGGACACGCTGTCGGTTGGCGTCGTATTGCAGGTGATCTTGCCGAGTGAGATGGGTCTGAGTGGCGTAAGCTGGGGAGAGGGCCTCGTTGACACGACCAGGTTGCTCCGCACAAGCGCCTAATATGCGTGTTGATGATGCCGGCGCGCTCACCTGCGGGATCTTGGAAGTCGGTTGCAGAGCTGCTCGCTGACCTGGAGCTGAGTGCTGCTTCTGGGCGTCACGCTGTGTTTGAGCCGGCTTCTGTTTCGAGGGAGAGATGGCGTCTTTGAGGCGCAGCTTTGAGAGAGAGCGTTTGAGAATGCTTGCCGAGTCTGGCTGCAATCTAGGGCTCACACTTTTGATGACAGAGACAGTGCCTGCAGCCTGCTTGCTATCGGTCCGCGTCGATACGGATCGAGATACTATCTGCGCCGGAGGCCGCGAGCGTACCTCTGTGCCGTCAAGTCTTGGTGGTCGGCTAGTGAGCTGGGGAGCCTTGGCGACCCTGTTGTTCGTCTGCTGCGTCTGTTTGATGTGCGACATAGAGATCGAATCGCTCGGATAGCAGACCAGGACGATAGCAACAAGGTCGAAATGCTGCGATACGTGGTGGTATAGTAAGCTGATCAAAGATCCTCTCGCGAGCACAAGCTTCCCATGCCAGTGCCACGGTCATCATCACAAGGGTGTTTTGATTGATCCCTGGCGCTTTGCGTGCTATTGTTTCATTTCGCAGGCACGGAAGAGGGTGGTGGGTCGCTGGTCCGGTGACGGTAACAAGAGATGAAGGACGTGCATGATTGGCATGGTGTGTTGACGACATACGAGAAGCAGTGAACTCAGTCAACCCATGTTCAAGCCTCAGCAGGTCCAGCTTGAGAATTTGCGCAGATGGTCAGAGCGTTGACAAGCTCGCCTGTTATGCTACTTGGCGGTAGCAGAAGGGGGCCGTGTTGGTGACCTTAGTCGTCCAGCAACGGAGCTTTTGCTGAGTCGACAGCCCTCTCCACCAAATGGCCTGGAGTGAAGCAGCAGCAGCATTCCTGTGCTGTGATGCGGCCAGAACTGAATGCGTTGTAGTTGCAGCGTGGGAACATTGTGTGGCTGGCAGGTCTCTCAGATCGAAGGCAAGATGAGTGGTGTGATTGTACAAGATTGCGACTGAACAAGATTGAGGGTGCCGGCAGATCGCGAACCTAAACCCACCACTCCCAGTGACGGCACTGGTACCTTTCTGTAAGGTCACAGTTCATCCATGTGATCACAGTGATTGGTCGAGCAAGCGACGGCACTTGCCGAATAAAGTGTGTTCCGAAGCCCGAGCCATAGATCGAAAAAGTCGTCCGACAGATGGAGCAGAGGGTCTCAGAAAGACCATGATGATTGATGGACACAGTGAGGAGTCAAAAGTTCTTCCTAAAGACGCGTACAGACGAGAACAACTAGGTTGGGTCGTGCCTTGCACTGACGCCAACGGACTTGCATGGGTGGCATCCGATGAGATCGCTCTAAGGGCATGATGTGCAACTGTGTGAGCCTCTTGACAGCTTGCTTCGCAGCGGCTTACGTTTAGCGTTCTGGGCGTATTCGTGATGTCGCAACTTTGTAACTGGGCGGCATCGCGGGACTTGACATTTGAGCTTTAGGCTCTCATACCTTAACTTATTCCGACGTTGTACAGGGTTCATTCGGGTAAGACGCCGGTCAATTGTCCGACTACAAGCCAGCTGGTCGAGGACCTCAGTTCTGGAGCCCAAAGAGCCCGCTTTAAGACAAAGGCGCAATCCCGAGCTCGAAGAAGAGCCTCGTATCTAGCCCTTGTCGCGGGACCTGCTTGGGAGCATGACTATCTGTCGGTGATTTCAATTGTCTTTGGCCCTCGCCTAGGAAGCAGCTCGACCTCGAAAATGTTCTGATCAAAGGACTCGCTCTGATTGGCTTGCTTGTCCGTGTGTCACCAGGTCGAAGCTGCTACAACGTGGCTGATAAGCCCTCGCCCTTCGCCACTGTATACTACAAAAGGTCAAGCGGATCTTGGTCGTTCATCTCTTGTGCACGGTCCCTCTTCGTTCCTACTATCTCCATCTCACTCTCAGTGTTGCTGTACACACTCAAAATGATCACCGCAAGGTCATTCGCTGCGGCGAGGGCATGCGCTCGCTCGCCGCTCCTCCGTCCAGTCCAGCATCAGCGACGATCTCTGGCCACTGTCTCCTCAACTCTCTTTCCCGGCGAGCCTTCAGCTCCTCACCTTGTGACCTCCGCCATCCCAGGACCCAAGTCGAAGGAGCTCAGCGATGGTATTGGCACCTTCCAAGAGAACCGTGCACATGGTTTTGTCGTCGACTACGCTAAATCTCAAGGCAACTGGATCGCCGACGCTGATGGCAATGTCTTGCTCGACATGTTTGCTCAGATTGCCTCTATCGCCATTGGCTACAACAACCCTGACCTCATTGCTCTTGCAAAGACCGACGAGTTCATCACCGCTACCATGAACCGTGCCGCTCTTGGCTCTTTTCCTCCCACCAACTGGCAGGAGCTCGTCGAAACCGGCTTGGGCACCGTCAAACCTAAGGGCCTGTCCCAGGTGATGACGGCAATGTGCGGCTCATGTGCCAACGAGATCGCTTTCAAGGCAGCCTTCATGGCCTACCGCGCTCGCGAGAGAGGTGACAAAGCCGACTTCACCGCCGACGAGATGCAAAGCTGCATGAAGAACCAGTCACCCGGTAGTCCCGACCTTTCCATTCTCAGCTTCACCAGCGCCTTCCACGGCCGTCTCTTTGGTTCCCTCTCAGCAACCCGATCCAAGGCTATTCACAAGCTCGACATTCCTTCCTTCAACTGGCCCGTCGTTGCATGGCCGGATGTCAAGTATCCCTTCTCGCAGAATGCAAGGGAGAACGTCGAGGCCGAGAAGGCATCGCTTGCTGCTGTGGAAGAGGCCATTGTCAGCTCGACCAAGGCTGGCTCGTCTTACGGTCCTGTTGCTGCTCTCATAGTCGAGCCCATTCAGTCGGAAGGTGGAGACAATCACGCTTCGCCAGCCTTTTTCCAGGGTCTGCGGGACGTAACCAAGAAGCACGGTGTCTTCCTGATTGTCGACGAGGTTCAGACAGGTGTTGGAGCTACGGGTTCATTCTGGGCACACGAGCGCTGGAACTTGGCAACTCCACCAGACTTTGTCACCTTCTCCAAGAAGATGCAGGCTGCCGGCTTCTATCATAATGTCGAGTCTCGTCCATCCCTGCCTTACCGCAACTATAACACTTGGATGGGCGATCCCACGCGTACCCTGCAGGCTCGTCAGATCATTCGCACAATCCAAGACCATGGCCTCGTCAAGAAGACGGATGAAGTCGGCAACTACGTCTACAAGGCGCTCTATGACATGATCGAGAACGGTGCTGGGCGCGGCAAGGTCGAGAAGCTCAGAGGTGAGAACGCGGGTACTTTCTTGGCGTTTGACGGCAATACACCCGAGGTGCGAGACAAGCTGATCATGGAGATGAGGAAGCAAGGTATTCACATGGGCGGTTGTGGTGAGAAGGCTGTCCGATTGAGGCCAATGCTGGTGTTTGAGCAGAAGCATGCTGATCTCTTCCTTGAGAAGCTTGAAAAAGCTTTCGGCCAACTGTAACCATGATCTCACATTAAACCGATTTTCGTGACCGCCATTTCCTGCCTCTGTTTTACGCGTGTGTGTGTGTGCTTGTGTGTGCTTGTGTGGAGGCGAAAGCGCGTTTCCGCAAACTCACTTTCTTCTTGATGATGAACACACATCCCCGAGTTCCGCACTCTTTGTCCTGCTTCCGCAGACTTCATTTGGCTCATCAACTTGTCCGTCCCACCAGCACCAGCAACAACAACAACACCGTTCTACGTGCACCTCAGCAATATGGACGCAGCTTCTGCCTCGGCCGCAACAAGCGGCTCGCGAATCGACCCAGCCACGCAGCAGCCTACCTCTGTCATCGTAGACAACAGCGGTGCAATCACTGAAGACGAAGCCGCCCTTTATGATCGTCAGATCAGGCTTTGGGGCCTCGAAAGCCAGAACCGACTGCGCACATCTCACATCCTGATTGTCGGCTGGAACGGCATTGCAACGGAGATCGTCAAGAACACCGTTCTCTCCGGCGTCGGAAGCATCACTATCCTCGACCCCACTCCAGTCGATGCTTCTATCGACCTTCTATCAGGCTTCTTCTTCCGCGACAACGATATTCGACAGCCTAAGTGCAGCCAAGGTCCGCTCGATCGAGTGCGAGCTCTCAACCCGCTCGTCAAAGTGCATGGCATCAGCGAGCAGGCAGATTACGAGACGTTGATCGCAGGCGGAGATGATGCGGAATCATGGCTAAGAGCTCGGAAAGTCGATGTTCTGGTTGTCAGCACACCTCTGCCATCGGCAAAGCGAGGAGCATACGAATACGGCTTGCAGGAACGCCTGATTGGCTTGAACGACACAGCGGGAAAGGTTGGAGTCAAGTTCTTTCTCTCTTCGACTTACGGCTTCGGTGGCTTCTACTTTGCCGACCAAATCACACACGACTACATCGTCGAACGTACTATTCCTGTATCCTCTAGCTCTGTCGACAGCACTTCAAACGGACTAACAGAAGAAAAGAAACGCATCAAGCAGCATCAGACCTTCGTTCCTCTCTCCGCATCCCTTTCTCACACCTGGCCTAATCTTACTGATCGACAGCAACGCCGCTTAAAGCTCCCACTGGACTGGTTCATTTGGCTCGCACTCACCGATCTCCAATCTAGCCTTGCAAACGACGCGGCAACAACAAGCATCGGCGCTTCCGCTCTGAAGAACCGCACTATCGCAATGATTAAGGAGAAAGGACTGAACCCAGACATCGTCCTACCACCTACTGAAGGAGGGGAATTAGAGAAGATCTTTGAAAACCTAGTCAAGGCCGGAGGCGCAGGAGTGACACTAGCACCAGTAGGATCCGTGTTGGGTGGAGTGTTGAGTCAGGACATCTTGAACTCGATCAGTGGAAGAGAGGAGCCGGTGGTCAATTGGTTATTCCTGAACTCGGATGCTTCGGGGGCTGCAACTGTGCACAAGATCGGCGACTTGGGGAATGCGGTCGTTGTCGACTAGGACATCACACCTTACCTTTCAGCTCGCACCAGACGATTCAGCAGCTCATAACATTTCATCTGTATCATATGGCGCATACACAACTACAAGCGCAAGCAGTGTAATAGCATAGTGTAATTCCAAGCAAGCAAGTAAATGAAAGCAAACGTATGAATGAGTGTGTATCCGAAGCGAAAGTGAAGAGAAGATATCACCGAGCAAGAGAAAAAGGATCCATTAGAAGGAGCGGAGAGAGGTGAAGATTATGGAGGGAGCTAGGTCCACAGTCTTGAGGGCAGGCCCAAGCAGTAATGAGCGTGGTGGGAGGTCGGACGAGGCGAAGGGTATGTCCTTGACGGTGACTCAAATGAAATCAAAGCATGCCGCTGGAAGCATCTACATCGATGCCTCGTATTGGAAGCCGCTTTACAGTGCAACCACGACGATCGCCGATACGAGCGTCGCGACAAGCGCTACACTGACCTTGCCAACATTCTTGCCGAGCGCACTGTTCTGGGCTGTACCGCCCTGCACGACCGTGTAGCTTGGCTTGTCATCCTTCTTTCCAACAGCGTAGTTTGCCGCATACTGACCAGGTTTTCCGCAAGTGCTGCCGAAGTTTTGCGAGCAAACGTCGAGACACTTGTTCTGATCCGCTACACCCTGGCCTGGCTTGATACATGCATCCCTGCAAGCGGTGTTCCTGCCCTGGCAATCCGCAAGCATCACTGGCCACTGGTACTGCTGCAGCCTCGACGCACCCTTGCTACATGAACAAGCAACACCCATGTACTTGGTCTCGCAGAAGTTGTTCAACTTGGCATCTGGATCGTCGCATCCAGCTGCAGCGCAGAATTGCATCTGCGAGGTACAGAGAGCTTCCTTGCTCTGTTCTGAGGAAGAGTTGAGGGCGAGGTTCCATTTGTAGATGGGCAAGCCGGAGGTGTCCGCGAAGACAATCTGGTAAGGTTGAGAACGAAGAGTTGGGATCGAGCTGAATGAGCCGGTCGCGGTTGCGTTTGGCAGGGTGAAGTTCGAGGAGGGAGTGCCAGTGAGAGGAGGGATAGACGATGGAAGGGCAGAGACGTCGATGGAGGATTTGGAGGTAGGGAGAAGTGGTGGGATGTATGTGGCTGTGCCTGCTGCGTAGGCGGGGGAGACGATGGGGTCGGTAGCGATAGAGCTGGTTGCTGGTGCATCTGGTCCAGAAGCAGCAGGGATGGCGTTGGTTGGGAGGGAAGAAGATGGAGCAGCAGAGGCAGCGGATGTGGATGCTGGTGCGGCTTGCTGGCTTGAATTGGAGCTAGTCGCACCACCGCCCCCTGTAAGATCAAGCGATTGGATTTGTGCTTGAGCTGGGCTGGCAGCGAAGAGAGCTGCTGCGGAAAAGGCCACAACTGCGGCAAAGTTGGTTTTCATCTTGATGTTGTGCAGTGGAAAGGGTCGCGGAGGAGAAGCGGGCGATACAGGTAAGGCTGGATCCAAAGTTATCCGTCGGTCGCAAAAGGTGAATCAATACTTCTTGTAGATTACAGAGCCGAAGAGGAAAGAAGACGAGGAGATGAAGATGGCGAGACTAGGAAGAGATGGTAGAAAAAGGAGAAGGTGGCCAAGGATGAAGCAAGGTTGGATGGCGAGATGGTGAAGGGCGGAAGTAATGTTACGGCTAGCAGCGGATGGCAGTCCTCGATGTTCAGAGAGCGATGAGTCTGGAACCAGCAGGGGGCGCAGATGCAGCACACAGGCACACGAACACAGGCACACGAACACAGGCACACGAACACAAACACAAACACGGAATAGTCGCAGCACAAGAAGCAGTTGGACGAAACGGCGGAACGATTGCGGAAAATGGGAGAGAAGCAACGAAAAACGTCTGCGTTGAGGCTTCTACCTGCCGCCTGCTGATCCTTGGCTTCTCACCCCCTGCGGATGTGGGGAAAAGCGAGAGGTCTGAAAGAGGGGCGGCTGTAGAAAGGGGAAACTCGACCTCTGGCTTGCTTGCTCTGACGACGTTGAACGAGTGTGAGCTGAGACTCAAATCGAGCGACGCCCAAACACAGCACAGAGAAGGGTGGCAACCTGCCAAAAAGGGGAACTGCTCGACGCCTGTCTTTGCGTCCTTCTTTGCTGCAACGATGTCCAGCCGAGAAATCAAAAGTCGGCAGATCGTCGTCGTCGTCGTACAATAGAGTGCAAATGCACTCGCTACGCTTCTGCCCCGCCTGCCCTTCGAAGAAACAAGCTAGCCTCGCGCAAGTGGGTCTAGGCGCATGCGTTCCTTAATCCTTCTTGCAGGTAGAGCACACTTCCAGTCGCAGTCGCAGCCATGACCCCACCTCCCGTACTAGGCTCGTACCGAAACAATGTGGGGCACAGAGGTCCTTGGCAATACGAGCTGAGTGGCAAGAGACAAACTCTCAGCCCCGCCTAAGGGGTCGTGAGCTGCCAAGTAGGACCTCCGATGCATTGAGGAGTGTTGTGAGCTTGAACTGCTCACGTCGCTCTCGCTCTCGCTCAGCCTCAATTTTTGCGCCTGCTCGTCATTTGGGCCAGGCTGAGTTCGAAAAGGCTGGACCTTTTCACACTTCTTTCCTCGCAGAGCCATTCTCTACTGTTGGTCGTACGCTTTCTTGCATGGACGGCAGGCCAATCCTCGACTTCGTCTAGCTTTGTCGCAGTTTTGAAGGTTGGACGGATGTCTTGGATGGATGTCTTGGACGGCCCAAAACTGCTGAAGATAACGATCCAGCAGGACACGAAAAGTGATATGAGTCGATGTTACGAGAGATCGGGCAGAACCGATCTGATGACAAATCGGCCAAAGACGATCTGATCGGAGATCGGGTGGGCTGATATTGTGGGGATCGGGAACAACTGGGTCCCGCTCGTTGACATACTTCGTCATTAAGTGGAATGCTCCCACATTCGCTCATCTACCACTACTGTATATAGATATTGAGCGGAGAGCTCGAGGCTACCGCTACGTTCTTCTCTCATGTCAATATAGTATAGTGTTTTGCTCAATAGCTTGAACACTGTACTTCGACTGATATCTCCCGATAAGCATCGCTAAGAGTCAAATCTTTTCACAAAAACATGTGCTTTGTTTTGAGATGTTAGACCATATCTTTGGACAATGCTAGATAAATGCCTAGTCTGGCCGAGTCCCGAAAGTGGAGTGTTGGACCCTGAAAAAGTGCAAAGTGTGAGAATACAACTTCGCTTGTTTCTTCTTGAGCGTCTTTATCACCCGCAGCGACCTCCCGCACCGCAACTTCTCTCGAAGCGTTGAAGTAGGGCGGCTCACATCTCCTCCGTGCACTTGCGGAACATCAAGCTTCAAAGAAATGTCGTAGCCGGAAAAAAAGCTAGCATCGGCAGCCGGGAACGTCATGCTACCCCACAACCCACACCATCCTCGCCACTATGGCAACTCCTTCTCCCAACCCAATCCGGCACCTCCTTTCGACCTTGACGAGCTCTACTCGAGTCAACCTTCCTCCTCCATGGCTTCTTCCTACAATGATGCTTTTCAAGCCAGCTCACGTCGTCCACAATGTCCAGAATGTGGAACGCGCAAGATGCGCCTTCGTGCAGGACAGCTCATCTGCAAGCGCGGTCACGTTCAGCAGCACTTTCGCATCGAGCAAGCCGAGGACGACGAGTTTCTTGGTGACGGTGTGGCTCGAAAGCGTCGTGTCACCAAAGTCAATAAAGTGCGCAGAGTCAAAAGTCAGCACACTCCGTACTATTCCCAGCCAGAAACGGACGTAGAGCCGGAGGATAGCGAAGAGGATCAGCTGGAGAAAGAACTGCATCGAGCTCACAAGAAGGCCAGGCGGTACAGCTTCAGACCGGGACGCTCGGCGCATCCAGCACACTCCGAAGAGGTCGACGAGCTAGTGACCGACAGTCAGGAGGAAGAGCAAGACAGCGATCCTCCATACTCTATACGTGCCGACAGCTTCTTTGAAAGACCTCCACGGTCAGCACGTAGCTATGCAGCATCATCTGCCGACGAGCAAAGCGGGATGGACTCTGAGCCAGACATGTACGCGAGAGCATCCAGGCGAGGCATTCGGAGCATCTGGCGGTCTGGTGTCGGCCTTCACGGAGCAAACGAAGGTCGATTCGCCCTTCTTCAGTGCTTGCAGCTCATTCTGCGACATCAACTCCATGCGCTGCGTGAGGTATGGGGCGACAAGATGCCACCTGAGATCGAGGCTGTCGCACGCGATCTATGGACCATGTTCGTCTCGCTTCTCCCTGTTGGTCACTATCCGCCCGAGCCTCTAATTGCAGCCACATTCGACTGGCATACTCGCTACTCACTTTCACAGGAGCGAGCAGCAGAGCTCTTCCCAAATCATGCTACATACGATCCCGAGACCGACATTAGACACCACAGACGAAGGATGCTATTCAACGGATACCATCAGCATGTCGAACGCAGGCAGCGCCATGGAGGCACACACCACGATACTCCTGCTCAGGATGCAGAAGGGAATGTGCATCCAGATTCCGACGATCCGGCTGCAGCTAAAGATTGTATCGATTGGATCGTGGGTCAGGATGAACAGCAAAACAGATCTCGCTCCGAGCGCTCGAGCGAGCCAGAATCTATGGCCGATCCTGAGGACGAGCTAGCAGAGCTCGACCCCGTGTTTGCTGAAGAGCGTCGGCAGCGCCAACGCTCGCCATTGGCAAGAGACAACGTAGACAATGACAATGGCAGCGACGGCGATGCTACAAACCCGGAGGGTGATGCGTCAGCCCAACAACAGAAGCGTAAGCGTCGTCGGCGTCACATTCCTTCCTGGGCGAGCAAGCATTCCGTCGGCAAGGCTCAGTCTGAGATCCTGCATCTCGCCATTATGCCAACCACCGTTTCGATCATCTACCTCTCGCTGCATCTGCTCAAAGTTCCTGTCTTCTGGGCTGATCTCGTCAAGCTCATCTCTTCTTACAGTCTACCGTACCTCAACGTCGTTCACATGCTGCCGTTGTCTTTGACACGCTTCTTGAATAAAGACAACGTTCACCATCACCATCTCGACACTGATACTGTTCCGTCGATCACGACGCTTCATCTCCATACTCTGAGCGTTGCAGACTTGCTTCAACGGACTTATGGCATCGACTTCGGACAAGGCAATGTATCAGGCCAGCTCGCAAGACTGGTCGAGGGCATGCTCCTTCCACCGACTTTTTATGTTGCGACTAAAAAGTTGCTCGATATGGTGGGAAAGGGCGTTGGACCGGAGCTGCTTCCCAATGCAACTCCGAAGGAGGGACCATTTGGGCGACGCCAGCAGCCAAGTAACGCCTCAGAGGACAATGACGTACACGCACCGCTTCCGGGTGCATCTCAGCTTCAGAGAGTGCCGAAAGAGTTTGTTCTCATGGCAGCATTGCTGGCCGTCATCAAAATGCGATACGGCCTCGATGGTCGCGAACGCGTCGAGACCATCCCGCCATCGAATGGCAATGACAAGGCTAGCACAGCTGGTATCTCGTGCGCACCACTTCTCGAGCCATGGCTGTCTGCGCTCGACGCTCGCAAGAAAAGGCAAACGGACTCGGTCGAAGCAGTCGCCGAGATGGATCCAGCCGAGATCGAAGCCCTTCATATGACCTTTGGACAAGTCGAAGCATACGCAGCATTCGCAGAGCAAAATCTGCTCCTCTCAAACCAGATTGATCTGCACGAGTGGCGTAGACTCGAGCCAGCACGCCGTTGGGCAGCCTTTGCCGACTTCATGCCTCCCGAATCGGACGGCATGAGCAAGATGGATCGGGCTACACAAGCGGCTCGCAACCACCTCAATGGCGCGAATGCCCGCCAACACAGACAGAGCCATGAGTGGGAAGAGATGGAGTCAGATCTTCGCAGCATCTACCGACGCCACATGGCGCGACCTCTCAGCACTCCTTCGTCCTTCACCATTGAGCCAGGCGTTTCGTACCCAATGCACCAATTCCTCTCGAACCCAAACTCTCGACTCGACGCAGATCCACTCGGTCTCTGCTACTCCCCTGTCTATCCACGCGTCATTCACCATGCAAACGATCTCGTCGGTATCCCTACCCCACACTCAGCCGCAGCAGCGATGGACATTGTCATCGACTCAGCAGCGAAAGCAAGGTCGAGAGATATGAACGCGACAGTGAAGGGCTGGGAAAGCGCCTGTGGCATTCAAGCGCATTTGGAGGTCGTGGAGAGATTGTTGGAAGCAGAGGTGAAGGCAAGGGCCACGAGGATGCGCAAGATGTTGAAGAGGGTCGAGCGGAGGAAGAAGAGTGCGGATCGAGGGCAGGATGCGGAACAGACTGCGGACGGTAATGACGCAGAGAGAGGGGCGGAGGAAGACAGTGGCAGCGAAGACAGCGAGGAGGGAGATGAGCTTGAAAGCGAAGAAGGGGGGAGCGAAACAGAGGCAGAAATCGACGACGACGACGACGAGTGAGGACGGCTCACGCACACATACACAAAGCTAACAACACACACAGGCACAGCTGTCCGCATCCAACTCACACATTGTGAAGCATAAAATTGCTTTTGTCCTTGATGAAGTGGCAATGAGATTGCATTGGCTTCAAGCTCGTTCATCGTCATCATCGTCGATGCCGAAGAGGACGAACGACTTCTTGGGTGCATCTCCCCACTCCATTTCTCCGTGTGCTCCCTTGAACTTTTGACCTGGTTTCCTGTCAAGCCCGGTCTCATACGGTATCGCTGGTGTATCCTGCTGTCCGGTCATGCCTGGTGCACGCCTGTCATCATTTTCGGAATACCCGAAGCGTGTCGCAGGCCGAGATCTGCCTCCGTACACTGAGTCATCATCGTCCTCTTCCCCATCAGTCTCGTCGTGTGATGGTCGATCGTCTCGCTCTCGACGGCGCTCCCTTTCATCTTCTGTAACACGAACAGAGGCAGTGATCTCCTCCAGCTTCTTCATCGTACGCGTCTGAACCAAGAAGGAGAATCCGTCTGTAAGAGGCTCACCAACCGGAACAAACCAGAGATACCAGACATCGCCCATGATCTGTCGCCAGTTGCTGCCTGCTCCAACGTCGTATAGGTTGAGCTTGCTTGCCTTTTTCAGAGCTTTGCGCTCTTCGCGGGTGAGATGCTCGTCTGATCGCCATCCGCGTGCTTCCCTCCTCCCGCCGCTTTGCCTTGGCTCTTCGGCTACTCTGCGCTGAGTGTCAATCGAGTTCCTCGCAATGCCTCGCAAACGGTCCTCGACTCTTGGCCGTGCCGGATTCTTCTTGGACCGTAATCTGATCCTTCCTGACCCCTCCATACTCTCGATTGTAGTCCTGTTCTTGCAGATCAGCCAAGCATGATATCCGGCGAACGGTACCAGGCTCGCTCCGAAGATGAAGCCCAGAAATAGCACGACAGCCCATGAGATCGGACTGGTCTCGAAGCCATTGTTCTCGTACTCAACGTATCGGAGCAACGCCCGTGCAGTCTCTTGGCAGCAATAGACGCAGAAAAGCGCTGTGTAGCTGATGAAGAGGAAGAAGCCTTTGTGATTGCGCAGACCCACACAGCGATTGGCTAGCCAAGGACAGTGATGGTCCATGCGTAGGACGCAACGTTTGCAGGTGCTGCAGTGATGTGTTCGATCGGGCTTAGGTGCGTCACACTTGTTGCACCATCGAGACTCGCCTGAAGACTTGACCCAGATGTTGGATCGGCGCTCAACATCTGCACTGGTAGAAACCTGACTTTTGAGTCGTTGCAGGTCGTCAAGCTGCTGTCGGCCTGATCGAGCCAGATACTGTGGTTGACCTGGGATGGGTGCGTTCAACAGCGGTGCTCGTGCTGATTCGTGTTCTGCGTGCGTCTCCTCCTGCCCTTGCATCAGTGACTGTCTCTCATCGTTCTCCTCGCCAAGCCCGTACTCGCTTGCTGACTCCAGCGCACCTCTGCTCTCATGATCCCGCGAGCGATCAAGTGGAGAACCCGGATCTTTGAATACTGCTACGAGGAAGCCCCATATCGCTCCACCTGCCAACACCGAAGAGAGTAGTAGCTCGAGAAGCGCTGAGACCCATTCGCCCTTGCGTGCAAGATGATAGCGAAGCGCGAGCGATATTGTGGCGGTGAGATAGGCGTAGGCGATCAAAGCGAGGATGAAGCCAAATGGGATCCAGCGAAGGTTTCGACAGATGCGTTTGAGCCATTCTGGCGATCGTGGGTCTTTTGGGTCGCAAGTCAGCGCCATGGTGAGGCCGCTGTTGCTTGACCCTAGATCTCTCCGCGGCTTAGGAGTCTTTGTAAGTGAGGTTCGTGTGATGCGATGTGGTGTGGTGATGTGTCGTTGGAAGGGCCGAAACGTGGAGAGGCTGTGAAGCGTGTCGAGCGTCGGGATTCGGGTAACAGCCCACGGTACGCAGGTAAGCGCGCACGTGCGCTCAGACGCGTGAGACCCTGGACAGCTGAGTTGCAGGCGCAGCAGCCAAAAAAAAAAAAAAAAAAAAAAAAAGGGTGTTGACCTCCACTTTTTGAGAAGACGACTCAGGAGCAACAGAGCAGCAGTTGAATTTAGGTACACCGCTTAGTAAGGCCACAGTCAGGCACTCAACTTGGTCAAGTGGATCTACACAAAAGTGCTGCTATTTTCATGAGGAAGTAACAACTAGACAGGAGTATATATACATGCTTTGGCATCCAGCTAAGCCTGCTCTTTCAAGTCATGCCCATGTGCCATGTATCTTCCTTTCATTACCGTTGTCATGTTATCATACCTCCTGCATGCCATGGTGTCAACCCTCGAGCATAGGTTGCATGTGCCCCCACTAACTTTGCATCCATCTCATCCTCCTTGTTGCTTGGTGTCTTCCCAATTCCCCAATCATGAGTGTTCTGATTTAACACATTGTTTCTTGGCAATACTGATGTATCTTCAACTCCCTCCCTCAACAGTATGTCCAAACCTATCATCCTTGATGCCTTTGTTGTGCTAAGCCCTCTGAGGGGCTTCGTGAGGATGTCAGCCACATTGTTAGCCATTCCGACAAACTCAATCGATATATCACCATCCTGTACATGATCCCTGATAAAGTAGTATCTGGTGTCGATGTGCTTGAGTTTCCAATGCTTGGCCAGATCCTTGCTGACTTGTATGCATCCTTGACTGTCAGTGTGCAATATTGGTTTGACTCCAGCCACTCCTAGATCTCTGAGTAAGTATGAGAAGAAGAGTGCTTCTCTTGCTGCCTCGGATGCAGCAACCATCTCTGCCTCCACTGCTGATAGTGCTATGCATTTCTGCACATGCGATTTCCAGCTGACTGGGCATCCATACACATGTGATTGCCCCGGACATACTCCTTCATCCATTCGTAGGGTCGGAGGCCCAATTCGCATCGGTATACATAACTATTGGTTGGCTTGTGTGTTTCCTATGTACTCCTCCTAAAATCAGGTGGTAGTCGCTTGTCTGATTTAGGTACTTCAATAGGTGTATTGCAGCCTTCCATGTGCTGTCAATTGGTTCTGACATATACCTTGCCAGGTTTCCAACTGCAAATGAGATGTCTGGCCTTACTGTATTAGATACCCATAAGAGTTGCCCCACCAACTCTTGATATTGCTTGGCTTGACTTGGCATGCATTTGTCTCCTCCAGCAATTCCCACCACACTCTGCATTGGGATCCAAGTTCTTTCGCTTGATCTTTCTTGCCACTTACTCACCATGCTCTTGATATATGCAATTAGATCAAGTGATATCTTGCCTTGCTTTCTCTCTTGAGTGATCTTGATACCTAGGAATTCCTTTACCAGTCCATTGTCCTCTGTTCCCCATTTACCCATGATCTTGGACTTAGTGCGGTTGACCTCTTGGCAACAAGGTGATGCAATCAGCATGTCATCCATGTATGCTGTGATGACCATGAGTTTTTTGCCTGCCCCTCTTGAGTAGAGGCATGGGGCACTCGGCATACAGTAGAAACCAATCTTTCGGAGGTGGGAATCTAGTTCGATGTTCCATTTGCAGCCTGATTGTTTCAGGCTGTAAAGCCCTTTTACAAGTTTCAGTACCTTTCCTGGTGGTATCCTGGTCCCAACCAGTGGCTTTAGGTAAATGTCATGGTGTAGGCTTGAGTTGAGGTAGGCCTGCTTGACGTCAATTGAGTCAACCTCCCAATCTCGTACCACTGCTATGGCCAGCACTCCTCTTATTGCCTGGGTGGGCGCCACTGGTGCAAAGATCTCTGTGTAATCTAGGCCCTCTCTCTGCATGAATCCTTGTGCTACTAGTCTTGCTTTGTACTTCATAGGGATCATGTTTGCATCAGTTTTGATCTTGAGCACCCATCATGTGTCGACTGTGTTCATTCTCCATGGCAGGTCGGTTATTTCCCATGTTCCCATTGCCTCTAGGCTGTCCAGTTCCTTGCACATTGCTTCCTCCCAGAGCCTCTTATCCTCTCCGGCCAGTGCCTCGCGAATGGTTGGGTTCAAGTCCTTCTTTCCTTTCTCAGCTCTTGCTGCTGTCAGTCCGAAGTAGCTCTTCTTTACCCAATTCTCCAGATTGCACATGTTCCTGGCTGGCCTCCAGTTCGGCCATGGGCCCCTCTTCTCAGGTGGTACTGGTGTATACTCTGCCCTTTCTTTTGGGCCTCCATTAGGGGCTTCATCTTCAATGTGTGGCTCTTCAAGTTCCTCCCCCTCGAGGGTCGACTCAATGTCGACATACTCCTCCAAGGGCTCTTGCTCTCTTTCATCAAACAAATTCTCTTCTGTGTACCCCAAGTCATCGAGATCCTCTTCAATAGTTGGGACTGGTGGTGGTCATATGCTCATTGGTCACCACTCTGATTGATCTGACCAACACTGTGTTTCCATGAACCTTGCCAAATTACTCCAGAAGATGTTTGGAGTATAGTCAGGGCTGTAGAATAGCCATCCCTTTCTCTCTAAGCTGTATCCTAGGAATATAGCTGTGACCACCCGCTGGTCTAACTTCTTGTTGTTTTGATAGCCTTGCCTTCAGGACATTTACCCAAGCTAGGCATCCGAATACATGCATGAGGTGAATGAATCATTCTGGTGATTTCCCAAACATGAGCTGGTATGGGAACTCTCCATCGATGCTGGGAGTGAGATTGAGCTTGAATGCTGCCACTCGTATTGCATGTGGCCAAAACCTCTTCAGTAGGCTCCTTTGCATCAGTAGCATTCGCATCTTTTCACCTAGGCTCCTGTTCATCCATTCTACCCATCCATTTTGTCTGCTATTGTATCCCACAGTTGTTTGCCATTCTATACCCTTTGATAATGACCATTCTAATGCTTCATTGCTCTTCCATTCAGTTCCTTGATCAGATCAGATTGCCTTTAGCTTCCTATCCATCTGTGTCTCTAGGAATGATACAATCCTTTTGAGTTGTGTAAATGCGTGACCCTTTCGTAAAAGCAGCTGCACATGTACATACTTGCTATAATCATCGACCAGCACTAACATGCATGTGTACTCTGTCACATGTGATGAGTCTATGATCAAATCGATGTGGTTGAGGTCTATGGGCCCTGCAGCTCTTTCACCACTACCTTGCCCCATCCAAGCAACTGTACTTTTGGACTGTATACACTGCTCACATGTCAGAGCTGTATCTGGGTCCAATGCTGCTACAGGTTTGCCTTTCAGTTTATCAACAATCACTCTGGATTTGTCTCAACCTGGATGTCCTAGACGTTCGTGCCAGAGCTGTCTTGTGGAGATCTTTGGTCTCCAGTCGGCCAGCTCAAACTCTTCATCAACTCCTTCAAACAGTGGTGTTGATGTAGTCATTGCGCTTTGTCGCCATGTATCGCCTCGGAACTCTAATAGTCCGTGCTCGCGATCTTTTGCTATTTTCAGCAGCATGCTGTTTGCCAGGTGTATTTGTCCACCTGTGGGATCTAAAGTTACACGTGCTCCTTCATCCATCAGTAAATTGGTTGACAATAGATTAACATTGAGTCTTTTAACATACAACACATTTTGGAGATAGACATCTCTGTATTCTGTTGCTATGCTAACATCTCCCACAGCAGTTGCCTCCAATACTTCGCTTCCAGCAGTGTATACATGCTTTCTGCAGTTTCTTGGATGTATGAGCATACTGTGGTCATTAACCATATGATAACTTGCTCCTGAATCAAGGATCCAACATGTGGTTTCTCCTGACTTTGGGAGCTGTCACCAACTTGGGGTGAAAGAGCACCAGACCTCCTAGTTGGTCTTGGCAAAAGGGGAATTTTCGGGAATGGTGATAGAGGCATTGCATTGCCTAGCACTGTGCCCATGACGTTTGCACACCCAGCAGTGGATCCTTTTTGGTTTGACTGCAGTCCTTGCATTGCCCATGTCTGACTCAGCGTTGTAGGCCTGTTCTTCGTTGGTGCTGGCAGTCCTGGTGCTTGCTTGGTGTGGATCCACTTTCTGACTAGGAACATTCTCCATTGCAGACTGTCATGTAGTTAAGGCTGTTGCCAGGGCATCAAAACTAACTTGGTGAACAGTAGCAACTGTCTCCTTGTAGACAGGATGTCAGATCATACACCTTTGGAGTGCAGCATATAGCATGTCATCACTGAATGGGGCCCCTAGAAGACTAGTTTCTGTCTGCATGGCCCTGATCTCTTGGATTAGCTTATGGGCATCAGCATGAAACATCTTGGCCTCATTGAGTTGGGCAAGCAGTGCTATCCATCGTGAGGTTCTAGCCGCTTCACTGGTCAGGCTCCTTTTGATCTTCTTCCAGGCTTGGTGAAAGGTTAGATGATTTTTGCTGATGTCGAGCAGGAGGTAGAGAACATTGTGCTCTCCTTCAGTGTCTAGGGTGCCACGTAGGACACCTACTAGGGCATTATTGAAGGTTCTGTCCCATTTCAGGTGGCTTCTGTCATATTTGCCCTCTAGGTGGTGCATGGCATGAGGGACTACCTGAAGGTTGGCCTTGACAAGTGTGCACCAGCTGTAGTAGTTGCGTGACATGAGTTTGGGAACTGTCTCCAAGATTTTGGCTAAGGTACAGTAATTGTATCGGTCATCATCATCATCCAATTCTGATCCTCCTCCATCCTCATTGTCAAAGTACTCGGTCTCATTACCGTCGGTGGCCTCTTCGTCGATTTGTACTTGTTGTGTTGTCTTACCCTTTCTTCCCTCTTTAGTCTTCCTGGCTGCTTCGCTCATGCTGGCTTGGTGATCACTTTCTCCTGCCATTTTGAATGTTGTGGGTTTGAGCCCCATGTTGGGAGCCAGTTGAATTTAGGTACACCACTTAGTAAGGCCACAGTCAGGCACTCAACTTGGTCAAGTGGATCTACACAAAAGTGCTGCTATTTTCATGAGGAAGTAACAACTAGACAGGAGTATATATACATGCTTTGGCATCCAGCTAAGCCTGCTCTTTTGAGTCATGCCCATGTGCCATGTATCTTCCTTTCATTACCATTGTCATGTTATCATACCTCCTGCATTCCATGGTGTCAACCCTCAAGCATAGGTTGCATGTGCCCCCACTAACTTTGCATCCATCTCATCCTCCTTGTTGCTTGGTGTCTTCCTGATTCCCCAATCATGAGTGTTCTGATTTAACACATTATTTCTTGGCAATACCGATGTATCTTCAACTGCAGCGCCTCAGCGCAATCATCTAGTCGCTCCTTCTCGAGGAGCCTCCGAACTGATTCGGACACCACCAACAGCGCCGTGCACCGCATCCTTTGGAAACTGGACAACGATCGTTCGAAGCGCTGGGCTTTCAAAGTTTCTCTCTCCGGTAGAGTAGGCTTTCAGAAATCACCTCAGCTGTCTGCCTTGCTTGGCCCTTGACGCCTTGGCCAGGCGGGAGCTGACATATGGCCCCATCCGACCTTCTGAGGAAATTTTTTGGCCGCCGACATCGACCATGGCCTCACTCGACAAGCTCGCCATTCGCGGCGTGCGCTCTTTCGACGACAAGTCGATCAACATCATACAGTTCTTCCATCCTCTCACTGTAATCGTTGGCTACAACGGCAGCGGCAAGACCACCATCATCGAATGCCTCAAATATGCTACCACCGGTGATCTTCCACCCAATACGAAAGGAGGTGCCTTTGTACACGATCCACAAATGGCCACCTCCAACGAGGTCAAGGCACAGGTTCGTCTCCGATTTTATGCGGCCAACAAGGTTCGCATGAATTGCGTGCGCAATTTACAGGTCTCGCGCAAGAAGGGCGGTGGTCTCACGATGAAGACGCTTGAGGGCCTGCTACAGATCGCCGACGAAGATGCAAAGACTGGAAAGCGAGGTACGCTTTCCACGAAATGTTCCGAGCTGGACGAGGAGATCCCAAGGCTTCTCGGCGTTTCCAAGTCCATCCTGGAGAACGTGATATTCTGCCATCAGGAAGACAGCAACTGGCCTCTCTCTGAGCCTGCCAGTCTGAAGAAGAAATTCGACGATATCTTCGAAGCCACACGCTACACGAAGGCCCTCGACAACATCAAGACGCTTCGAAAAGACCGCACGAATCAGCTCAAGGTCGACAAAGCGGCTCTAGAGGGTCTCAAAGTAGACAAGGATCGAGCGGACACGATCAAGACCAAGCTCACACACCTTCAAGCTGACTTGGCGCAGAAGGAGGCAAAGCTTGAAGATCTTAATGAGGAGATTCGCATCAAGACGGTGCAGAACTCCAAGTTCTACGACGAAGCGACCCGATTCCGCGAAATCGTCAGCCGTGCAGAGACGCTCGAAGAGAAGGAGAGACTTCACAAAGAGAACATGGAAGCATTGCAAGCAACCATGACACCCATCAAAGACACAGACGAGGAACTGCAAAAGCGCAAACAGAGCTTTCGCTCTCACCTTGACCAAGCTCAGTCCAAAATTAACTCGCTCAAGAAGCGCACAGCAGAGAAAGAGGACGAGCTCGAAACAAACGAGCAGCGCCATCGCAAAAAGCTGTCCGAAAAGGGTGGTCTCGAAGCCGAGAAGCGTGCACATGTTCAGGCGAAAGAGAAGCGCGAGGCTTCGATCAAGCAGATCGCAAACGAGCTTGGTATCAAAGGCTTCGGTGGTGAAGACCTCACTGATACACAGATCCGCAGCTTTGAGGATCGGGTCAAGGAAGAGGTGCGAAAGCTCGATGATGAGTTCGCACGCCTGCGCGAAACCAACTCGAAGAAGGACGACGAACTTACTACGGCATGGCAGAATCTGCGTGCTGAATTGCGAGCTAAGCAGAACGCTCGCGAGCAGCTCACAGACTCGGTTCGTAAACTCAAAGACAAGGTTAAGAGAGCACAGGATGACCTCGACGGGTACGCTTTGAGCAATGCCGATATCGAGGCGGCGGAGCGCGACCGAGACAACCTCTCTGCAAAGGTGGCTGCGGCGCAAAAAGAGGTCGAGGAAGCCAAGTACGACGAGCAGATCCGCAAGAAGAACGCCGAGATTCGCGAGAAGGATGAGCTGCGCGAAGAGCGAACGTCTGAGATCAACCTTTTGAATCGACATGCTGAGCTACGCGCTTCTCTCGGTCTCAAAATGCAACAGGCCACTACGCGGAGAAACAATGCACAAGGCCTCTTCGACCGTCACAAATCTTCGCTGTCCGATCGCATTTGCACCGACATGGAGCTGCGTGATGTTGAGAACGAGGTTGTTCGCGTCCTCACAAAGCACGAAAAGCGACTAGGGGAGCTCGAGGCGGTCAACAGCGACAAAAATCGGGAATTGCAGCAAGTCGAGTCTGCCATCTCTTTTGCTCGGAAGCAAATCAAGTCAAAGCAGGAAGTAGCCGCCGAGCTGCAGCAGACAGTAAGCTCGATCCTGTCGCCCGACTTCGACGACGCAGAAGAAGCCGTCAAGATCTGCGCAGAGGAGATTGCAGCAGCCAAAGACGAATACGCCTCCATCGACTCTCTAGACTCATTTCTTCGTCGAGTACTCCGAGAGGCCAAGGGCAAAGGTCATTGCTTCGCATGCAACCGAGGTGTCACTCCGTCCGAGTACGAAGCTATCGAGAAGCACGTCAACACCACCCTCAGCTCTAGCAACACGACCGAGAAAAAGAAGACGCTCAAGGCCGACATCGACGGATGGTCAGAGCGCAGCGCAGAGTGTCAGATTGCTCTCGCCAAGGACGCTCAGCGAAAAGCCATCGAAGAAGTCGAGATCGTAGACCTGCGAAACACCATCTCAAGTAAAGAAGCGGAGCTGAAAGAAGCAGCCGAAGCAGCCGAGACCTCATCAGCCGAGGTGGCAAAGATGCAAACGGAGCTCAAAGAGCTTCAGTCGCTTCGTCGCGTCGGCAACGACATTGCCCGCCTGCTTTCGGAAGCTTCCGACCTCGACTCAGAGGTCCAATCCTTGCAAAGCGATCTCGCAACCACGGGTTCGACGCAGACGGGCGAGCAAGTCCAAGCTGAGATCGACCAGCTAGCCGCTTCCATCAAGGTGCTCAAGCGCGAGCTCAATGTCTTGCAGCAGGACCGCGAGACGAAACGCACCTTGATCAACAGCTTTGAAAGAGATGCACATCGAGCAGAGGTGACTGTCATCACCAAGCGCCAGGAGTATGCCAAGAAGGCTTCCATCGAGGAACAGTTGCAAGAGATGAACGCTGACCTAGAAGAGCAGCAAAAGCGCATCAAGAGCCTCGACGCTGAGATTGAAAGCTCTAGCACGCCCATTCGCCGCGCCAAGGATGGGCTTGAGTCATTCAAGGCCGAGGCAAGCAAGGCGGAGAACAAGCTCAGAGCCAGGGTCGATAAGCTGGAAGTCTGGGCGAAGCAGATCCGGGAGCTCAATGCTGCCGTCAATGCATACATTCAGCAACGCGGGACACAGCGGCTCGAGGAATGCGAGGAGGCTATCCAGGAGCTGGTTGAAAAGATCCAGGGCATACACAGGGATGTCAAGGAGCTGACAGACAAGATCACTGAATTGCAGAAGGAGGTCAACCAATCACAAGCCACCGAGCGTAATATCCTCGACAATATCCGATACCGACAGCTTGCCAAAGATGTCCTGCAGATCGAGGAGGAGATCAACTCGCTTGACCTGGAGCAAGCGCAACGTAGTCGCAAGCACTTTGCTGACAAGTACACTGAAGCCAAGGAAGAAGAGAATCGTCTCAACGGTGAAGCCTCTCATCTTAGCGGAGAGCTTGCATCGCTTCGCTCGCAGATCAAGGGCCGAGAGCTCGAATTGCGAGATGAGTTCAAGGGTGTTCACCAGAACTACAAGCGCAAGCTCATCGAAGTCAAGACCTCTGAGATGGCCAACAACGATCTGGAGAAGTACGCCAAAGCCCTCGAGAACGCCATCATGCGCTACCACGCAATCAAGATGGAGGAGATCAACGACATCATTCGCTACCTTTGGCAGAAGACTTACCAGGGTACGGACATCGACACGATTCTGATCAAGTCGGACAATGAAGGCGCACGTGGCAACCGCTCGTACAACTACCGCGTCTGCATGGTCAAGGACACAGTCGAGATGGATATGCGTGGACGTTGTTCAGCTGGTCAGAAAGTGCTGGCGTCCATCATCATTCGACTCGCATTAGCAGAATCGTTCGGTAGCAACTGCGGCATTTTGGCGTTGGATGAGCCGACGACGAACCTGGACAAGGACAACATCGAGGCGCTGGCTAGGAGTTTGGCAGACTTGATCAAGGAGCGGGCCGAGAACAGTCAGCTGCAGCTGATTGTGATTACACACGACGAGGAGTTCTTGACGCTGTTGGGTCAGAACGACGTGCTCGAATACTACTGGAGAGTCAGCAGAGACGTTCATCAGAAAAGCATTATCGAGCGTGAGCGCATTCGCAACACCTGAGCGCTTCTTCGACATACCCCTTATCATTCACAATCTTTCAGCGCATATGTCATCACTCTCCATTTCGCAAGCAATACATCAGTCCCTTGTTCAATGTCATGACCTGTCCATTAAGCATCGCTGACCCAGAGTAGAGTTAAAATCTGATAGTGCATATTTCGAGCCTATTCGCTATCAGCCTCGGAACCCTACCTTTTCTCCCACACTCCCTTTGTTCACCATTTTCTCGACCACCTTTGTTCCGTACATTTCTCCCATGCTACAGCTAACCGCGACGATGTGAACAGTCCGATCCCTTTCACTTGACTCACCGAAGAGGAGATTGAGAATGTGGACAGAAGGACCAAGCGAGGAATGCTTATGGCTATGAGTTGCCAAGTCAGCAAACCCAACGTATACAAGAGACCCTCCAAGTGAGATGACTTCTTGGGACAGCTCAGGTGGTTCACTACTACCATAGGAGTTGCCCCAAAATTAAACAACAAAAACTGGCATGTTTGGAATCCTCTATTTTTTGACACCATTGACACCTGGAGTGATGCTCTCAGGCACTTGGAAGGAAAAGTCAAAACTGGTGACAACAAGTCCAACAGAGTCTTTGATGGCCACCTCAAAATAATTCTGATTGGATCTTGTGAAAACAAAGGACCAAACAACTTGAACTACATATTAGCCAGGCCCAAAGATGCTATGTCCTGGACCTTCCATGAACTCTATGAACAAATTAAAACTAATCTACTCAAGAACAACGACTTAGACCAAGCTACCATCCTTTGCAAAGCAATCCACCTCTGCATGTACAACAATGATGTCCGAAAACTCATTGAAGATATCTGGGGTCAATGGGACAAGGCTGTCACAGGGTCAGCAGATCAGCATATGAAGTGTGTGCCAAATTGATCTGTGGCAATCATCAGGAATTCATGATCTAATTGGGTTGGTAGTGCATATGATTTGCAAGATCAACTGAACTCTGGGATCCTGGTTAATCTCACAAGGATCAATTGGAATCAGCCTGATCAGCAGGTCTCAGCAAGTTGGCCATCACAAGTAAGCATTGGGAGATTCAGGAAGGAGGATACCAGCATTAGAAGGAGAAGCATATGGGAGATAACCACATGCAGGAGTGGGGACCAAGCTCAGCATCACACAAATGGTTACCACTCAAGGGGTACAAGTGTATAAGCCACATAGGACCAAGCACAGGGGCAACCACATGATCAAGGGGCTTGGTTACAGGGCCTGACAGGTGGCTAAGGGATTCACAAGATAAGGACAAGAAGGTGGTTGCCAGTGAAGAGAGAAGGAGCAGTGTCAAGAAGACTGGGGATTGGCTATGAGGAGGAGGAGCTGTGTCAAAGGGGTCATCACACATCACCAGGCAAAGAAGAGCATGGAGGCAAAGGGACAGTATCACACAAACCAATATGCTGTGCAAGCAGTAGAGGTGCAGCATCAAAGGAATTGACACCAGCAGGAGAGAGTGTGTCAAGAGGAGGTGAAGGCCTCTCAGGAGGAGTAGGTGAGGTGTCACAGGTGACACCAAGCAAATGCATAAATACTCTCATTCTACCATAGCATATGAGTGGATCCTCATCCACTCTACTCTATACTTTACATACTCTTTACTTGACTCATAGTTACATATCATTGCAATAGCAGAGCTTTGCAATGACACCTCAAATGTGTGTGTTGTATCACTGTTAGGTGTAAACTGTAGGTGGTGTTCCTCAACACCTGCAGTCCAGTCCCTTACTGTAGGCAGTGTTGCTTGACATCTGCAGTCCAGTCAGTTATTGTAGGTGGTGTCCAACACCTGCAGTCCAGTAACTCCTGTCCTCTGTAGGTGATAAGCATATCGCAGTCCAGACGATGTTAGAGAGCATTAGCAACAGTACTACAAACACTCGTACTGTAACCTCCAAAGAATGCAATTGTTGACAGAACTACTAATGTATACTTATGTGAAGTTATAACTAGTAAGATATGGTGTAGAGTGGATGGCGATCCACTCGACTACTATGACAAGAAGGTATGGTTATATATAACATCTTTGCAGTGTTGCCTGCAACTCTGCTCTGGCTCTCTCTTCAGAGAGTACCTTCTTTGTCAAGCACTGCTCCTCCTGTTCCTTTGTTGTCGAGGAGGGCTACTGTCACTTCATCAATAACAGGGGTTACCCCACCTCATCCTAGTGGCAGTGCACCCCCTTTCATCTACCTCCTGATGCTGGCACCCATCTTCTTACACCGATTTCATCGTCGTGTAAGGCCCCTACCTCATCCGGTGGCGACCCCTCCCTTGTCCAGTGTTGTCTGTCAGAGGTTGTGTGCCCAAAACCTGATATCTGTAATAGAAATGTGTCTATTACAAATCCTGTTGAGATATGTGACAACACTTGTGGTATTATGATTCTTGTTGAGATATGTAGTAGAGATGTCTCTATTACTTTTCTTGCCCAAAGATGCAGTAATGGTTTTGCTATTGCAGGTTTCAACTAGCTGCTATGGACACTCCATCCAGAGATAGCTCAGCACAATCAATAATGTTGATGGTATTGCAAGACACCAAGGTCTGGTGTGATTGAGATAGTCAATGTCATTGACATGAGTGTCCAGTGTGTCAACTGAATGCTTGAGGTGATCCCCAGACCACAGCAGACAACTGCCTTCAGTTCTATCTTTATCCAGACTGCTGGTTTGCTATGAACTGCCTTCAGACATCAGGGAGCAGTGATACAACACATGTGCTACAATGGAAGCAATCTACTTGTGATTGCTACTTTGCTGACTAAAACTAATGTATACTTGTGCTTGAAGTGATAACTAGTTTGATATGGTGTAGAGTGGATGCTAATCCACTCACTCACTATGACAGGGAGCATGGTTATATACCTTTCTCATAGTGTTGCCTGTGACACTGCTCCTCCTCCTCCTTCCTGCTACTCTCCCCATCCATTCTTGTGATGCTACTCATTGGCACCGCTTCCCTAGCCTCCTGCAGATGGATGGGCCTCTTGCTGCCTTCATCTTCATTAGGGGCCAGTCCCACTTCATCTGGGTGGCGACTTGCACCCCCTCTCATCCCCCTTTTGTCATCGATGCCCACCTGTTGGCCCTGACTTCATCATCATGCCAGACCCCTGCTTCATCCAGTGGTGTCCTCCCCTTGTACAGTATTCTCCCCTCATTGTATCAGCAATGGGGTGCCTCTCTGATCAATCCTCATGAGATCTGTCATACCCAGCATGATATTACATTTCCCACTGAACTCTGTAGTAATGACTTCATTCCTACAGATCCTGACAAGTTATGCCATAGGATTGTTTCTACTGCTGATCTCAGCAAACTCTTCCTTAAGCTCTCGTTTAGCCCAATCCTGCAATTTCTGTGCTCCTTCATATGACTTCAACTTCTTCCTGCCTCCTGTGCATCCAGCTCCTATGACATCGTCCTCCTGCATAATCAGCAATAGAGGTATCTTTGAGCCAGTTCCCATAAGATCTGTTGTATGAATGTGGTACTACCATTCCTACTGAATTCTGTAGTAGAGCCTTGCTTCTTATTGATCCTGACAAGTTCTGTCGTAGAGCCATTGGTCTTACCAATCTCACCAAACTCTGTTGGAACTCTCTGTCTGCCCAATCCATGATTGTTGCACATGGTCCCTTCATATTAATCCATTTCTTCCTGTGCATCCATCTGGTCCTATGACATGTGTCTCATTATCAGCAGTAGAAGCCAACTTTATAACAGCCTCCAAAGCCACTCATGAGGCTCTATTCTATAGATACTGTCATGGGCCTGAATGCTCAAGAAGCAGGAGGGTCACTGGTTCATATGGAAGGAGCACAGGTATCGAAGATCTAGTTGATACCATTAGAGAGCATGGTTGTAGTGCAGTCTCCATGGAGACCATGGACTCCTACAGACTCACATGCAAAGGAGGACCAAGCCCATATGTGAGGAGGGCCAGGCACAGCCACAAAGAGGACCAAGCTCAAGGAGCATGCAGATGGTTACCACTCAGGGGGCTCGAGAGACAAGAGTCAAAGGAACTGTCACCAGTCAAAGGAGAAGGAGCAGTGTATAGGGAACCAGCAAGCAGGTCCTGAGGAGGAGGAGCAGTGTCAAAGGAGTCAACACCACTCAGGAGGCACAAGGGTGCCAAACAAGCAGGATAGCAAGGAGGAGGAGCAGTGTCAAAGGAGTCGACACAGCTCAAGAGGCACAGGGGTGCCAAGCAAGCAGGAGAGACCCCCTGAACAGTACTCGATGAAGAAGGTACTCTCTGGAGAGAGAGCAGGAGCAGCGTCGCTGGCGATGCTGTGAAGAGGTATATAACCATGCTTTCTCATCATCAAAGGTTGAGTGGATCTTCATCCACTCTACACACACCATAACTAGTTATCACTTCAGCATAAGTATATATTAGTTTCAGTCAGCATAGTAGCAATCTATCAAGGTTGCTCCTCATTGTAGTGCATGTGTTGTATCACCACTACCTGATGTCCAAAAGCAGTTCATAGCAAACCAGTGGTCCAGATATAGATAGAACTGAAGGCAGTAGTCCACTGTGGTCTGGAGATCACTTCAAGCATCAAGTCAACACACTGGACACTCATGTTGATGCCACCAACCTTATCACCAACACCATCAACCTCATCATCATCAACACTCACACCAGACCTTGGTGTCATCATAACCTACATATTGATATTGATCATGCCAAGCTACCCCTGAATGGAGTGTCCACAGAGGTCAGCTGAAACCTACAACAGTATATACAATGAACGTCACCTGCTGTCATTGCACAACTTGATAGTCACTGAGCAACTAGCTCATTGAGACTGATACTGAGACAATAGCTGTTGCACAGTTTGATAGTCACTGAGTATCTCGACAGACCAACCTGGGTTTCAGGCGCGAGACCCCTGACATTAGCCATATTTCACACACATGCTCATCTGGCTTGTCATCTATATATACACACACTATTTCTTGTATTTACTCTACTTTGAATCATCAACTCAATTGTTCCCAACTGACATTGCCTGATACCTCAACAAGTAGTAGGGGGTATCAAATTTCGAGTGTTTTTAGAAATGCATGTTTCTTGATTTTGACAACTTTTTCCTGTTTTTGAACACCCCATTTTGGAGCATCCAAAAAACACATGTTTCTAAGAACACATTTGCAACAGATGTGGCATTTGGTTTGATATAACACATATGTTATCAAATACATTGTCAGTAACGAAGGAGGGAAGCAAGCAGTTGCACATCTGCACATCTGCACTCCATTTGACACACAGTAATGAAGGACACAATGCACAGTAATGAAGGACATGACACACCAGTGTGATGAAGTGAAGCAAGTGGATGTGCACCTGTGCATCTGCACTTCATTTTGGAGAGTGACCAAAAAGTGAGTCTATTTTACCAGGTCTGGAGGTGTGTTTTTAGAAACACATGTTTTTTTCAATTTTGGGTGAGCTTATGTAAGGTTTTTGTGTGAAATAAAAACATGTCAAAATTGAGAAATACATGTTTCTAAAAACACTCGAAATTTGATACCCCCTTAGTGTGAGTAAAGGCTGTTCGAGATTTTTTGAAACGTAACAGGCGAAAAATTGCACGCCTGCCAAAGCGTCGTGACGTGATCTTTGAGAAGAAAGGCCAACTTGTGTGCAACACGACACTCTTTCCTTTCCGCCCACACACCCGCAGCATCATCAGCCGTAATCAAATGGGATTGGCCACGCTGCAGCCAAATCCTGAAGCTTCATCTCATCACCGCGGCCACCATCTCCGACGATTTGGCTTAACCGAGCGGAAAGACACGAATGGCTAACAACTGAACTCCCCTTGTCATCATCAACCGAGTCTTCGCTCGCTGTGCACGATGCGTCGACCGGCACCACCACCACCGGCTGACAACGTGGAGCTGGACTACGGCAGTGCCAACTCACCCGAAGACAGCGCCGCGCGGCTTGGCGAAAGCAACGAAGCGGTCTATCATCCGCCATCGACAACAAGCGCAAATGAAGTCGGATCTTCTGCGGTACCCACTCCCTCAGCAGTCCAGCTCAATTTGACGACTCAGAATCGCAAACTACCTCCTCCCTACGATGACGACGCTTTCGATCAGTATGCTTCGCAATCCAGCGGTTCGCGAGCGCAGCATCCCGCTTCGAACGGGCTTGAAAGCCTCGAAAGCGGAGAGGTATCCGACAGTGGTTCAGCAATCGCAGTGGCAGGGCCCTCGTCTCCAAGACATCAGCAAGCAGCTGAGCACTTGAACCGCACAGTTGCAGTTTTGGCATCTGCAGCAGATCTCTGGGAAAGAAACCCACTTCCGCAGCCGCAGCCGCTGCCTCCACCCTTTTCTCCGCCAGCTCTTCCTCGGTTGGAAGAACAATACCGCTCAGGCCCTTATGCATACCATCCAAGCGTTCCAGAGTTCCGGCCCAATCTGCATCAACCTGCACCGCCTACTTTGCAGCCAGAAGCCTATCCCTATTATCCCGTTTCCGCAGCACAAAGTTTCCAGCATAAGGGCTATCCACGCATGGCCGGCTTCAGGTACGCATATCCAGACCACGACTTGCCTTATGACCCGCGTGCACCCTACACCACCTATACTGAGTACACGTACGGTGCTCCTCGGCAATTTCCACAACCCTACTCGCCATATCCGCCATCCGCACCATACCCTGCAGCCTACCATTCCGACCCGCAAGGTCCATACGCAGGCAGCCACCACACTTCTCAGATGGACCGCTACCAAAAGAAGCGGCTCGAGAAGCAAGAGAAGAAGCAGAAAAAGCGCGAGAACAAGCGAGAAGCCGCCGCTGCTGCTGCCTGGACTGCTGTCTCGCGTCCGTACCAAAGCCCGTTTTCTTCCGCGACCTTCGCTGACCCCGCGTTGGATCCTGACTCGCTGTGGATCGAGGACGGCAAAGCCCAAGCTGTGGCCATGATCAGCGAGCTGAATGCGCGCGGCGTGGCGCCTCAACGTCTCGCGGAGAAAGGCGTGCCTCTCGCCATGATTGAATCCTGCTGCGTCGAGCTGAACGTCACCGCGCAGGGCTCCACGACTCCCGCCCCACTAGTAGTGCATAACGCAGCTTCCTCCACGGGTGGCGCCAAAGAGGAGAAACCTGTGGGGACGACACCGGCCGAGGACGAGCTGCTTCCGAAGGAAGAGCAAGGCATCCCATTGACACCGCTGGAAGAGCTTCGTAGGAAGGTACTGGCCTCTCGCATGGCAAAGGCTGCCGCTGCATCAGCCGGAGCAAGCGATGCAGCATCCTCTGCTGCGGACAACACGAGCGGCTCTGCGACGACACCGTCATCCAACGTCTTTGACCGCACTGCTACTTCAGGCGAGGCAGATGCACTCCTATCTCAGATCGGTGAATCAATACGAAGCCTCATTCGAATCCCTTCCCCGGAAGCTTTGGCAGCCGCATCATGGGAGACGCCAGTCGAAGCGGCATCTCAAAACTCAGCAACAACCTCGCGCAAGCGATCGTACCGCGATGTCGATGCAGTTGATAACGAGGATGCCAGTCTCACTGCTGACCTTGCCGGAGGTGATATTGCGGTAGCCCCCGCACCGAGCCGTCGACAGAGGATCTCGTACGCTGACAATTTCAATCGCGCAGCAGAGACTCCTTCTGGCGAGGTTGACCTCGATGCTCCTATGCCGGACCTCCCTGACTTCTCAGAGACGATCATGAAGTCACCAAGTATGGCTGACATACCTGCACGCCGTCGCCGACCTGTCGCTGCCGACTTTGACACGGCAGAGTATCGTCCGCAGTACGAACGGCCCAACCGCTTCCTTGACGTCCCTTCTGGTCTCAATACTGTCATCGACATGTCCGATGATGAGGAGATGGAGGAGGAAGAGTTGGGTGCTTTCGAGGCGGCAAGCGGTTGGACGGAAGCACAGCTGGATCTCGACCCGCGCGAGGTTTTGTTGCTCCGTCAGAAGACAGCTTCGGAGCACTACGACAACTTTTGCGCGCTCAACAAATTGCAGCCGATGCGAAGAGCAGTCACCCCCCAGAAAGATGGCGCAAAGTCAGCTGAGGCCGGCATCGATGCTTCTGCTAGCAGTACAATGGCAGCAAGAGACCTGCTGGCTCAAGTCGCGGCGTCAGGCGCCAGCTCTGCCGGATCTGCGACGCCTTCGCGCGAGGGATTGCTGCGCAAGGAACTCGAGATCAAGCAGCTCATGCGCAAGATTCAAATGATGGAAGACCGCAAGTCTAAGCAACAGCCTTCGCCGACGGTGTCGCCGATGCCAGCACGCATTCTGCAAACCTCTGCGGCGAACTCGCAAGCTCAGCATACAAATGGGATAGTGGGTTCCGTCCCTGCACCAATGCCCGTGTCTGCAGCAGCAGCATCCAAGGCGCCAGCGACCAGTGGAGTTGGTGTCGCTCTGCCACAACCAGCTGAGCCACCCGAGCGAGGGCAGTCACAGGGCACTGCCCCCACCAATTTGAGGTTGGATCCTGCGTTACAGAAGCAACGCGAGAACCTCCTTGCGTTGCTTGCAAATAAACGCAAGGCCGCCAGCACGGCCTCAAATGGTCCAGGTCAGGTCAACGGTTCGACCGAGAATGAGAACCGAGCTCCGATCACCGTGGCCACAGCGCAGGAGGAGCAGAGCGACGTTGCTCAAGGAGAATTTCGCTCTGAAGACTCAGAAGATATCGCGATTGTGGAACGAAAGGAGGTGAGTCTCCATTTCCGCCCACGAGGATTCAAGGCATTAGACAAGAGATCGCTTGCTGACTGCTCTTCCTTTGCATTTTGCTCGGCCACCAGCTCGCACGTCAGGCCTCTGCTGTGTCACGATATAGACCGCTGGTGCCGAGTTTATTCCAAAGCGTAGGTGGAACAAGAAGAACGAGACTCGTCAAGTCGTCCGCACTTACACCCCCCTTCCTGCCTTTCCCCTTCTGACCCATCACCCCTCTCTATAACCTTCATCTTTCCAATATCTGTCTTACACTGTGCCGAGCAGGTGGCGACGCGAGTACGCTCTTATCTACCGCCCTCTCTGGGCTTCTCCTTCTCTTCGTCGTCGATGACGGCTTGTACAAGTTCGTCTGCAGTGTTGTCGACCAAGGCCGGAGAAACTCCGGATGAGAGGGTGTCAGTCAAATGGTGTCCTCGCGAGGCAGACGGACATGAGTGCACAGATTCAAGTTGCACGCAGCGACACATTTCAGGTAAGTCATTTGCTCGGCGTGTCTGTCCAGCACAGCATTTGCCTGGTAACAATCTGTTCAACCATGCCGCTCTCTACTTCTGCGTATCATCGGTTGCAGAATTCGACCAACAGACCTAGTAGAAAGCCTTCCGAGCCTCTGTGCTCCGAAGCCATCAGTAGAAGGTAGGTCTCCCTCTCAGCACAAAAGCGGCGGCACAACAGATGGCGCAGTGACGGCAGCATCGGCCTTCAGTAATCGCTCCAGTAGCAGAGCAATCCACCGCTGTATTACAGAATCGAGACCACGCCGCGCAGCCTCTCTCCTCGAATCATGTATGTGTCCTAGCAGCTGCAAAGAGGTGCGGTGCATGGCGAGATGCATACAATCTATTGCTGCACATGACTTGGCGTGCGCATCTGAGCTGGGCCACACGTGTCGCAACCTGCTCAGTCGGTTTAGAAGCTTAGTTTTGCTCCGCACTGTCGCAACCTACTCAGCCACTCAGTTTGTATATATAAGCTTCGTTTCACTCCTTGCTCTCTCTCTCTTTCCTACCACCATCTCCTCTTCTCGCAAGAGTCGCGCAACACCGACCTTGCTAATCCTTCCTTTTCCCACCCGATTCCCTCCCTTACGTTCCGCCTGTACGGCCCGCTCTTCTCTGCGCTCGATCGGGCCCCTTACGGCGGGCTGGGAGCCTTTGAGCCAGCGAGCCACCTCGCTGACCTGCAATCTAACAGGATTTCCATATTTGTTTTGTATCGACCAATTGACCCTCATCTTACTGAGCCAGGCTGGGATACTTGTTTTCGATAGATGTCATTCGCGCGGAGCGTGTTTCCAGGCTCATTGAGCGGATGTGAATGTTGAGCTTTGACCGTGCAAATGACATAGGAGAGGCGTGTTGAAGCGGATCGGTGCCGACGCTTAGGCTGAAGCAGCGCGACAGACAGCTCAGCATCACACTCTGTTCAGCAAACACATACGATCAGCTAGGAAAGTTGGTGGGATGCATGACTTAAATCAATGCTGCTACTACTTCTCTCGCTCCACTTCTCCCTGCGACACATCAAGCCAGGTAGGAATACATATCCTTCTGCCCCTCGACTCGTTCGAGATACTCTTTGTCAATCAGTTGATCAATCGCCTTCTTAATATCTGGAATCCTAGGCGTAAACCTACCCGAGACCTGTGCAACGGTCTCCTGAATCAAATTCTGATGTTTCATCTGTTTCCTACTCTTCATGATCCTAACAATCGTCGCTTGCAACAACAACCTACGATCTTCATCCACCGTCTTAAGTACATCATTCGACTCCACCCTCTGTTCGGATTTGATCGGAAGATTGAGATTAACCCGCAATTTCTTCGATCTGAAGTTGGGGTTGAGCTCAAATGCATCTTCGTCAGAAGACGAGGGTTGGAGGACTTTCGCTTTGGATAGCATGGCAAGGACTGGTTTGATAGTGGCATCGTTGAGTCCGGTCGCTTGTTGTAGTTGAGCTTGCGTGAGAGAGTCGTTGGTGTTGAATTGCAGTAGGACGGCGGTTTGGAAGGTGGAAGTTTGGAACTGCAATTGCTTCTGCTGAAGGTAATTGGCTCGAACTTCGTTCTTGCTCAACTGCCACAACCATGTAAGTTTCCTTCCCGAGTGCTTTGCAGAGTAATGCCTCTGGAATCGCTCGTAAGTCGGCAACAATTCAGTCGGGATACTGAACTCTGTCGTTGGCGCTTGCAATGGCCAGAAACCATTCGCCAACACCAGTGCGTAGAAGTCAACGTCCAACTCTGCCTTGTCGTGGTTCTTCGCCATCGTCTCCCTGAAGTTGTCGTTAAGCTCCTTGCTCAAACCCATATCCGTAAACATTCTCGCCAACTTGGCTGTGTATTCGTAACCACACGCCTCTTTCAGCCGTGAGATCATGTTGGCCTCGGCATCATCTGAGGCAGAGGCAAAGTTGACAAGACGCTTAGCAAGCATCTTGGAGTAGAACTTCTGGAAGACATCCTTGTCCTCAATGTACTTGAAGACGAGCATGACGTCTGTCAGAGCCTCTTCGAGCGAGTTCTCTGCGGAAGTCTTGTTGGACTTCTTGAGCAGAGCGTCTGTATGCTTCGCGAGAAGCTCGGGAGACTTGGATGTGGAGGTCCCAGTGGCTTTGTTACGATTGACGAAGTCACGGCAAGCTTTGTCGAGCGCTGCGAGGAAGCCTGCTTCGCCACGGAAGGCAACGTTGACCGTGTTGAGGTTGCTGCGGTGAGCGTCGAGAAGTGCCGAGACGTATGCATCTGGGTCGAGCGAGTCGCTCGCTGCTGAAGCAGGTGGTGCGGCTGCTGCCGAAGAAGGGCCTGCAGGTGCACCGTTGGTAGCAGCAGTAGCATTGGCAGCTCCAACACCAACAACCTTCTCGACTGCAGCCAGACCAACGCGCTTAACGTGAGCCTCGAACTTCTGACGTAATGGCTCGAGACCTTCTGGGATGCGAGACAGCAAAGTGTAGATGCGGAAAAGATCGTCCGCCTGCTCCAAGTCGAGAAGCTGCTGGAACTCGTCCCAAAGCATGTTCGAGTGGCGTCGCACCAAGACGTTGTCGCAAGTAGGAACGAGCTTGGTACGTGTAGATGCATGAAGATAGAGCTCGACACGGTCTTCCTCCTCCTTGAGTCTGATCTCTGCCTTCTTCATGTAGTCGGTTGCGGTGTTCTGCGACACAAAGGCGTCCGATTCGGCTGTGTAGTAGACCTCGGTAGCCTCGATGAAAGGCTTTTCGAACTCTTGTCGGTAGACGTCGAGGTTCTGTCGGTTGGTGTCGGTCTCATCGAGACCAAGAGATACGAGCGAGTCGACTACCTTCTTGACGAGCGAGGCTTCAATGACCTCTCCATTGCGCTGCTTCTCAATCTGTTTTAGCAACGCCTGTACCAAACGCCCCTTCTGCTGAACGTATCGGAACATGTGCTCCTTCCACTGGACGAGAGCAAGGATGTAGACGGTATAGACATACTTGCGACCTTCGTCCTTTTCGCGCTTGACCCAGTGTCGGTTGAGGTAGGCGAAGAGGCGATGAACAAAGTTGGCACCCGTGGTGTAGCGGTCCCACTCAGTGGCGTAATATCGGAGCAGTGGCTCTTCGGTGAGACCGTCGGAGCCAGTACGAACTTGCTCGAGATGTGTACGAAAGTATGCGGTAAGGTGGTTGTAGAGCTCAGCACCGACTAGGTTGGTGCCACCTTTGGAGCCGAATGGCCCTGAAGAACGCCCAAGAGCGGTGGATGAGGAAGCAAGTGAGGACGAGGTGAAGTGATTGTAGGCGACGGTGTAGAGTTCCATATAACGAGGATACGTCATTCCCTCCTTCAGACGGGTCATCATAAGATCGATGCCGGGTTCGAGAAAGCTCCATGTGGCCTTAGCATTGTGGACCGCAGGTAGACGGCTGCCGCCAGCTACCGCAGAGCTTGGCCCAGAAGACGTCCACGCCGGACCCGACATGGTGGATATGAGGCTTGATGGAGTGCTACCTGGTGGCGCTTGTGATGCTGTGGAAAGTAGGGATCGTGGCGAGGCTCGAGCCTTGGAAAGGCGGCTGAAAAGTTAGTGGTAGGTGTCGTTACGATGGAAGTCTTGCAGATGAGGCCACGATCAATGAGTCCAAACAATCGATAGCTATTAATGGGGTGACGGGTGACGGGTGACGGGTGACGGGTGCGAGATGAGGACGGTATTCCAGGGTCAACCAAGCTGAGTCGAGATGTGATGGTGTGAAGCGGTCAAGAGCCGAAAAAAGCAAGGGGCTGAATGAGCATGGCCTGATCGCACACAGGAAATGATACGGCAAATAATGGCTTGAGCTCGGTTCTGCGCTGCGCTTTGACCCTTTGCAGGCTTAGCCACTGGCACTCTTCTCTCTAAAATCCGCCTTGTTCTGGAAGCGGCAGTGTGACGCGAAGCTCTTCTTGCTGAGCTGCTCTCTTCTCTCTTCTTTCGCACAACCGCATCGAAATCGTGATCGTAACTCCACATTCCGAAATATTAACGTACTTTTTTTGTGCCCAAAGACATGACCTAACATGTTCGAGTAATAGCAACGGCACATACATCAGATGAACACCAGGAACACAAGCAATTGAAGCATGTTGTTGCGAGAGAAGTGGTGTCAAGATTACAAGCGACACGTGCATTATGAGAATGGTAGAATGTGTAAGTGTAGAATGTGTCAGTGTAGAATGTGTAAGTGGTGACGATGGAACGGACTGAAACGGGTACAAGTTAGCTCAAGCTCGATGCGCAACGTCGTGGCAATCAGAGCTTGATGCCAGTCCAGATGGTAGCGACACCAAATGTAAGATCTTCCCAAGCACCTGCCACGTCTTCAGCACCTGTTGCATTGCCGGACTCTGCTGGGAAGCCGAGACTAGTTGCGGTGGGCGAGCCAGGCAAGTGGAAGCCAGCATCCTTCATCATCCTTGCGAATTGAGGTTGTGTTGGGAATCGCTCGATCGACTCGACAAGATACTGGTATGAAGCGCGGTCACCGGCTAGCATTTGACCCAAGGGAGGAAGCACGTTGAAGCTGTACTGCCTGTATGCTTCAGCCAAGAAGGGGACGTTGACCTTGCCAAACTCGAGACAGCTGAAAACACCGCCAGGCTTCAAGACACGGTAGGCTTGCTGGAGCACCTCATCGATGTGTGTACAATTTCGGATTCCGAATGCCATTGTGAACAGGTCAATCGACTCGTCAGGGATCGGCTTGCTCACAAGTGGCGGGAGGTGAGGCTGCTTGCTATTAGGACCACGAACAAGCTCGGGGGGAACTTCCATGGTCGAGTCAAGCTGTTCCGCATTGCCAAGCTGGAAGCTTACTTGCGGTCCGCCCCAGTACATGGTCTGCTTGAATCGCTTCTGACCCTCCTTGAGCATAGCAGGGTTGATGTCGAGAATGGTGACGTGTGTCTCGCGGTCAAAGTGCTTTGTCCTGGCATGGTCGAGAATACGCAATGCAATGTCACCCGTGCCTCCCGCTACGTCGAGAACCTTGATACCTCCACGAGGATCCAACTTGGAGACAAAGTGATCCTTCCACAAGCGATGAATACCGAGCGACATAGCATCGTTCATGACATCGTACTTGGATGCTACAGATGAGAAGACCGAGGCAACCATCGACTCCTTTTCTTCCTCCGCCACCGACTTGAATCCGAAGTGGGTCTGCTTGTTCCCGGATGCTGGTCCATCAGTGCCAAAAGTGGCAGCAGGCCTTGTCGAAGAGAATGCATTGGGGTTCGAGCTCGAAGTGGAAGGTGTGTCATTATCCTGATGCGAAGAGGGTGGGTAGGTACCGGTAGGTGGTCGATCCGATCTGCTATATGGAGTCGAAACAAACGAGCGTGACGAAGTGGCAACTGATTGGCGAGGCGCGTTAGAGGCAGCCGACAGTGTCGACCTGAGCGCCGAGAGTGTGTATCGTTGGGCCACCATCTCGATTCTCAATGTTGTCTAGTAAGCAGTGTGAGGGGTACGACGAGAAGATGTGTACGGGAAGCGTTGCAAGAATTCCGGAAAACGGAGTTGCATTAGTTAAAGAGCGTCGTCGTTATCAAAGATGTGCCGATATCGATGATCACAAGTATCAAATTGTGATAATGAGTCATTCCTAAGTACATGATGAATTGAGTGTTTATATATGTCTCAATGCCCTCTGTATGCATGTATGATACCAGGAGCTGATTGGTTAGAGCATGAATGGGAAACTAAAGGGGAGGAGGAAAACACCAGCTGTTGATGACCAGCATCTTGAGGTTCAGCAGTCAGCCCAGGCACTGCATCAAGTCCAAGTGAGCAAAGTTGGTGAATGGATGTGGGCTCAGCGAAGGTTGCATGCTCCGAGCAACCACATGCTTCTATGCTGAGGTATCACATGCTTCAACTCCCCTCCTCGCCAACTGAGCACTTGAGTGGCATGATGGTGACCATCTCTAGCTGATTGTGGGTGGATGCTAATAGGTTATGGGCAATGGGTTTCATGAGGAAATCAGCTATGTTGTCTTCTGTCTTAACATATTTGATCATGATTTTGCCTTCCTGTACATGATCATCGATAAGGTGATACTTTGTATCAATATGCTTGAGTTTGGAGTGCATTACAGGGTCTTTTGCTACCTGAATGCAACCTGTATTGTCTGTGAGCATTATAGGCATGTGATCACCAAATCCCAGGCTTCATAAGAGGTGCCTATGGAACAGCACTTCATGAGCAGTTCTTGATGTGGCAAGGTATTCAGCCTCAATGGCTGAGCTGGTGACACATTTCTGGACATGCAAGCTCCATGTTACTGTACTACCAAATACCTTGACAGTCAAACCAGAAGTGCTCTTTCAGTCAGTGTTGGGATCCGATGCCCAGTTGGCATCAGTGAATGCTTCAATTGCACTGTGTCATGGGGGGGGATGCGCAGAAGCTAGAGGATCTGTCAAGCTCATATGAAGGGAGCACAGGAATCAAGGGATTGGGCAGATCTTGGGATTTGAAGCAGAATTCACTGAGATTGGTAATAGTACTGACTCTATGACAGATCTCATCAAGATCAGCAGGAAGGAGGATAGTACTACGAGCCCAGGATCAGCTCAAGGGAAGATGGTACTATGGATCACACCAAGATCGGTGATATGAGAGGGGGTATGGTGGATTCTGCCAGAATTGGTAATAGGAGAGATCCTATCACAGATTCTGCAGAGATCAGTGATAGGAACAGGTGTACCATGAGCTTCTGTGGGGGGAGCAGGACCAAGTGCCACCAAGAGGGGGACCGAGCTCAGGAGCATGCAGCTGGTTACCACTCAGGGGCACACAAGATAGGGGACTGTCACCGGTCGAAGGAAGGAGAGCTGTGTAAGAGAAACCAGCAAGGAGGACAGAAGGAGGAGGAGCAGTGTCGATGGAGTCGGCACAGCTCAGGAAAGACAGATGGGACAATGCAATGAGGAGGAGGGGTCTCATTGAAGACTCCTGTGAAGTACTCGACACAGAAGGTACTCTCTGGAGAGAGAGCAGGAGCAGTGGCACTGGTGCCACTGTGAAGAGGTATAAAGCCATACCTTCTCGTCACTAGTGGTTGAGTGGATCCTCATCCACTCTATACACCATAACAACTAGTATTACTTCAAGCAAATAAGTATCATTAGTTCACAGTCAGCATAGTAGTAATCAAAAGATTGCTCCTCATTGAAGGGTGTGTGTTGTATCACTGTTTCCTGATGTCTGAAGGCAGTTCGTAGCAAACCAGTGGTCTGGATAACAATAGAACTGAAGGCAGCTGTCCACTGTGGCCTGGGGATCACCTCAAGCACTAGTTGACACACTGGACACTTGTGTCGATGTCATCAATCCATACTCACACCAGACCATTGGTGTCACATCAAGTTCACTTAGAGTCATATTGTATTTTGATCATGCCGAGCTACCTCTGGACAGAGTGTCCACAGGGGTCAGTTGAAATCTGTCATAACATCAATACAACTACAGATTCCAACAAGAAAAGCAACAGAGATGGCTCTGTCGCATATTTCACTAGGAAACGTAATACCATTAGCACTGTCGCATAACTCGACAGAATCGGTGATAGTATCAATACTACTACAGATCTCAGGTTTCAGGTGCGCGACCTCTGACACACTGTCATTTTCTTTCCTGCCAATTCATAGGACTTCGTCTTGTGTCTGATTGAGATACTTCACAACGCATAGTGCCGCTTGCATGGCCTCTGTCATTGGCCAGGACATGTGTCTCACTAAGGTGTTGACTGCATAGCATATATCCAGTCAGATGGTGTTTGAGATCCAGAGGAGTTTTCCTACTAAGGTAGGGTACTTTTGTTTAACATTGTTTGGGATCTCTGCATCTTCGAGGGCCTTGGTGGGTGTTTTCACCATGGGAACCCAAGTTTTCTGGTTGGGCATGATCCATTCATTGATGTTCTCCTTGATGTAGGCTCACTGGTCCAGATCCATTGTTTGGTTCTCCCTGTTGCATGTGATTTTGATCTTCAGGAACTCCTTTGCAGGGCCGTTGTCCTTGATCTTCCATTTATCAACTATTGCTTGCTTTACTGTGTCAACCTGTGATCTTTGTGGGGCAGTAATAAGCATGTTGTCAATGTATATGATGATGACCACTTGTTCTTCACCTGTCCCACAGAGGTAGACACATGGAATTCCTCATGCAGGGAAAAATCCCAAGTATCTAAGGTGTGAATCCAACTCTTTATGCCATTCTTGCCCAGACTGTTTCAGACCATTAAGACTTTTGTTGAGCATATAGACCTTCCCAGGTGGTATGTTTGCCCCCACCAGTGGTTTGAGGAAGATCATGTGCTCCAGCTTTGCATTCAGGTAGGCCTGTCACATGTCAATGGAGTCCAATTCCCAATCAAATCTTGCTGCAATGACTAGTACTGTCCAGATGGCATCATGGGGTACAACTGGTGCAAAGATTTCCATATAGTCCAATCCTTCTCACTGTGAAAAACCTCATGCACAGAAGTGGGCTTTAAACTTGTATGGTATTCCATTAGCATCAGTTTTGACATTGAGTACAAGTTTGGAATCCACTAAGTGTGCATTGTGTGGCTTATCGATGATTTCCCAAATCCCCATGCTCTGAAGTCCTTCCATCTCAGCACAAATCGCTTCACGCCAGTGAATCTGATCTGGGCTGTTGAGTGCTTCATGGATGGTTGGTTTGAAGTTGCTGGTGGTAATGGTGTTGGCACTTGTGTTTGGCTTTGGGAGGGTGAACTTGGTCAACCTCCCCTGATGTTGGAGTTTCTCTTGGAAGTTATGTAGTTCCATTGGTTGTGGCAACTGTTTTCCATAGATTCAGAAAGATTTGGCTATCATGGTTGGGTGTAATCATGGGTAAACTTTTTGTGCTGATTTGATCCTATCATCCACCAGACCTTCTTGGATTTCATCAGATTTTGTTGGTTGTGGTATTCCCTGGGTCCCATCCTTGTCTGGTCGGTAGATGTGATTGATCTGTCGTTGTAGTTGTTCATCATGGATATCCTCATTGGTATACCTCAGATCTTCCACATCTTCTGAGTTGTCATGTTGTATTGTATCTATTTCTTGAAGTGGTTGTGTCTCCATACAATCTTGCCAAGACTTATTCTCCAAGAACCTTGCAGTGTTTGACCAAAAGATGGGAGGATTGTGCTGATTTGAGATGAATTTCCATCCCTTGTGCTCTTCATCATATCCAATGAAGATTGCAGGGATGGCAGTATCATCTAACTTTTTCCTTTTTGCCTTGGGCAGATGTACCCAGGCAAGGCATCCAAATGTCCTAAGTAGGCCAAAAGGCCTATGGGGATCTTCATTATAAAATATGCTTTATGGTATCTAATTTTGGACGTTAGGTGTGACATTTTTCATAAATGCTACTGCCTCTGCTGCAAATGGCCAGAACATTTGAGGTACATTGTGGGTCTGCATCATCACCACCATCATGTTCTTGATGGTCCTGATTGTCCATTCAGCCTTTCCATTTTGCTCACTATTATATGGGGATGTCTTTTGCCACCAGAATCTGGTGTCATTCTGCCATGTGATTGCAGCTGCAGATTCCCATTCCCTGCCATTGTCCATTCATATTGTTTTGAGTCTATGACCAGTTTGCACTTTGGCATAGTTCACCCATTCTTTCAATATATGAAGTGCATCTGATTTCATTCTCATTGGTTTGACATATGTGAAGCTTGAGGCATCATCTACTGCTACCAGAAGACATGAGTATTCCATCCTTGTTGAGAAGTGTGTGGCCAAATTGACATGCAGCAGTTCAAGGGGTGCCTTGGAGCATTTTCTATTGCTTGGACCCATCTGAGCTTTTGTTGATTTGCTTGCCATGCAATCTTGGCATTCATCTGTTGTGGCATGGATCCCATAGATCTTTTCAATGGTTTGGGTCTTATCTCAACCAGGGTGGCCACACCATTTGTGAATGAAGCATTTACTGAATTCACATTTTCTTGGTGTGTCTTCAGGGTCGAATCAGTCCAGTAGATCGGTTATCTCATCATCAATCATTGTTGTTAATATCTGCAAGTTACTTGGGATGATCTCCCAGTGTCTTGTATGAGGGTTTGCATATCCATGTATTTCATGACCATTGGGCCATTCAAGACATGTCTTATCATGTTCAAAAGTCACTCATATGCCATCATCTGCTAAGGCCCACACTGACATCAGGTTTATATTTGCATCTGGGACATAAAGTACATTAGATAGATGCACCTCATGTCCATTGGCATTAATAATAACTTGACCTTTAGCTACAATATGAATCATTGCTCCACTGGCAGTTTTCACAAAGCCAAAGCACAGAGTGGAGGATATGAGAATCATTTTGTTTTTGTAATGTGATCAGTTGCTCCTGAGTCTACAATCCATGCATTGGATTGATGATCTAGGGATGGGCAGTAAGCAGTAGCAATGGTGCACCAGGCATCCTAGCTGGACTTCTGGTTGCCATTAGGGGGTAAGATGTGACTGGCATCATTAGGTGTCTGGAGTTCACTGTTTGGGTTCTTGGGGCAGAACTGACTGATGTGGTTTTCACCTTGACAGTAATAACACTTACAGTGACCATTGGGGCCTGGTTTTCCCATACTGTAAGAGTCTTGATTTGTAATCTGTCCATCAGCTGCAAAAGCTTGAGTGTTCTTGCTGTCACTCCTATGGTTTGGTCTTGTTGCCATGTCATCCTGTCATTTGAACAAGGCAGCACAGATCACATCATAATCCATTCCTTGACCATTATCTTGAAGGTTCATGATACAATTGTTGTGCACCATCATGAACTTGGCTTGGTCAATGAGCATTTTGATCTTGAGGACCTGTGTTAGGTTGTATCCTATGGCTTCGGCCTTGGCCCAATGCTCATTGATGTCTTTGGCAAGCTTGCAGACATCTGCATTGAACATGCAGATTCTGCTGGCTTCATAGAGGAGGGTTGACTCAGTGATGTGTTCCATCTTGGTGAGGTCTTTCTTGAGCCAGCTGTATAACTTGTGAACCTTCCAGGGTTTGGCATTTGCAGGTCACATGAAGAGGTAGTTCATGTTGTCCTGTCCAATGAGCTTGGCATTGCTTTGGATAATTGTGTGGAGCTTTGCATCTAGTCTCTGGTCATACTTTCTGTCACCCAGTTTTATAGTGCTGTCAACATGTTTGAGAGCTGGAGACCACAAGGTCATTGTGTCCCAGAAGCGGGGGTTCCAGGCATACCAGTTCTTTGTAGTCAGCTTTGGAGTCTCCTTCAGTGCATCATTGAGCTGTGACACTTCCTGGAGGAAGCTGCAGCATTTGGAGGGTAGCTTATATGAGGAAGTTTTGGCTCATTTGCACAGGGTGGATTGGGTGACAATGTTCTGGAGGGTGTTGATATTCATTTTGTTGATGTCATTAAGATCAAGTAGGGGTTCATTTGGTTTGCTGTCATCACTGTCTGAATTGTCGGAGGGGTTGGTGGTTCTTTGATGGTCTGCAGGTACCAGAATCATTTCAGCCTGTTCATCAGAGGAGTCCTCGAGTGAGGGGTCATTGGCAGGGTGCAGGTCATTGGGTTGTGAAGGCATGGTGTCGAGGACCATGTAGCAAGAGCAGTCAGACTCTTAATCAGTTAAAGAGTGTTGTCATTATCAAAGATGTGCCGATATCGATGATCACAAGTATCAAATTGTGATAATGAGTCATTCCTAAGTACATGATGAATTGAGTGTTTATATATGTCTCAATGCCCTCTGTATGCATGTATGATACCAGGAGCTGATTGGTTAGAGCATGAATGGGAAACTAAAGGGGAGGAGGAAAACACCAGCTGTTGATGACCAGCATCTTGAGGTTCAGCAGTTGGCCCAGGCACTGCATCAAGTCCAAGTGAGTGAAGTTGGTGAATGGATGTGGGCTCGGCGAAGGTTGCATGCTCCGAGCGACCACATGCTTCTATGCCGAGGTATCACATGCTTCAACTGCATTGCGTTTGAGAGATTCTTTTCGCGACCGAAAATGCGCAGCAATTCTTCCTGGAAATCGGCCCCCGATTTGAGTTGGCCGATCTGTCTTTCGCTTCGAGCAACAACACAGATTTCCAACATGTCAGACGTCGAAATGCTGAGAGTTGCGGAACTGTTGTTCACCAAAGCTTTCTTTCGCCCTTTTGTCGGACCTTCCAAAGACACTCTGTCAGCTATCTCTTGACCTCTGCCAGCGCATCCGACGCTTCGGCTCAGCACCATCATCAATCACAGCTGCAACGCGACCATCAGTGCTCAGTCAGTCAGTCCATGCAACGCCGGCGGTGAAGGCTTCTTAAGGCTCTCAGTACTGATAGGCAGAGCCAACAGCTGCTTCCACCGACCGTTCACTCGTGCTGCTCCCAGAAGTCCTCCTTTGCACACCATCATGGCTTCCTTATCGTACACGGAAGCCGAGGCTTCAGAGACCGAGGCCAAGCACTTGCTCCTTCGACAGGTCGCCAAAGATGTCACCGTTCGACTCTCGGAACCGCTGCAGGTAGCAGAAAGCAAGTTGCACACCAATTTGCTCTCAGTGTCCAACGTCGATGGCCTTGCCTTTGCCGTTACCAACTCCGGCTTTTCCGTCATCAAGCTGTCCGAGCTCAGATCCTTCTTCAAGTCTGCTGTTCGCAACACTACGCCAACCTTCGACCAACCATTACGATCATTAGACACGAACGCACTCAGCTCCATTGCATCAACACCAACCTTCATCAGCTCTGCCAACAATCACAGTTCTGTCTTGGTCGGCTTTCAGAATGGTGTCATCGCCGCATGGTCGGTTTCAGGTCTCGTCAACGGAACCAAGCTCGAACCTCTCTTCACCCTCCAGCCACCGTCACCTGGCCTCTCTCTGATCGACCTTGTGCCCAATCCTTCTGATCGCCCGGAACTCGCAGTGGCTCTTTACCGACAAGATGGCACACCTGGCGTCAACTCCGGCACCCCCATCATGGTGAATATCAGCTCCGGTTTCTTCGGTGCTCAACTTGATGCGACAGGCTCCCGCGCTACAGCCGTTTGCTGGTCGGTCAAGGGTAAGCAAATCGCGGTTGGTCTCCAATCCGGCGAAATTGTCCAGATCACTCCAGAGGGAGAACGCAAAGATTGCATCACCAAGCCTTGGTCTTTGGAAGGGTCATACTACGTGTCAGACCTTCGCTGGCTCGAGAACCACGTTTTCGTTGCAACGTACAATCTACCATCTTCAGGATCTCCCGACGATGACCCGGAGCACTCGTACAAAGTCTACACCATCCTCCGCGATACCAAGGCAGGACAGATCACCTTTGCCAAAATGCCTCTGGATCCAGCCCCACCATACGGAGACACATCTCGTCCAGGCACCCGTTACACAGCATGGCTCAAAGGATGGGAGCCCTCCAAACATCTCGTCTTTGTCGCCAGTGGACCAAGCACTGATGTCGGTCTCGTTTCTTGCTCTTCCACTGACGCAGGCGCAGCAGCTTGGTCCACCGTAGAGCTCGAAGAGACGTCCAAGCCGATCTTGCCTTTTTCATCTGTCGACGAGTCATCCGATACTGCCCCTATCGCCATCGACTTCGACCTCACCTCAACAGATGAAGTCGATGATCCAAACGCAGTCGCTCGCGGTGATAGCAACACTACGCTGCCTGCTGTTCCCATACTTTACGTGTACACATCGGATGGCGTACTGCTAGCCTACAACGTCATCAACACACTGGGTCCCTTCCAAGGCATGGTCATGCCTTCGACCACTCCAGCCGCAGCCCCCACTTCCACCCCTTCGTCCGCGACTACACCAGCAACTAGCACCCCTGCTCCCGCTCCATCAACACCGAGCCAGCCCAGCTCATCCACGCCAGCATTGGGATCCACCTCTGCCTTCGGCCAACCATCTGCCTTTGGTCAGACATCAGCGTTTGGCGGCACAAAGTCTGCTTTTGGATCTGCGGCACCTGCATTCGGTCAATCGTCAGCATTTGCACCACCTTCAGCCGCCTCGACTACATCACCAGCCTTTGGCTCAGCGTCAAAGCCGAACAGTGGCTTCGGATTTGGTGCATTCAGCGATGGAGCTGGCAACGGCAAGCCTGCATCCGCATTCGGTTCCACCGGCTTTGGATTCGGATCTGCATCAAATGCCGGCAAGGATAGCGCAACTCCCCCGCCTGCGCCTGATAGTACGGACAAGGCTGCATCGACGACAGCGACTGCAACACCGTCAAGGTCGACTTCCGCAACCAGTGGTTTTGGGGCAAAATCGGCCGCGTCTGCTTTCGGATCGCCTTCTCCCGCTCCGACTCGGACCTCTTCGACTGGAGCATCAGCTTTTGGCACCACCTCGGCATTCGGTCAGGCAGCAGCAGCCAAACAAGCCTTCGGTCAAGGCTCGGCATTTGGTCAGACGTCAGCTCCAGCTTTCGGTTCGTCATCCGGCTTCGGAAGTACATCAGCCTTTGGCTCCACCTCTGCTTTCGGCTCTACTTCTTCTTTCGGCTCTACTCCTGCGTCCGGGTCTGCAATGTCTTCTCCCTTCGCATCAAAGACCACAAACAACGCGCAGCCAAGCTCAGGCTCGGCATTTGGCGCGTTTGGCTCGTCGACCAGCAGTTCGGACAGCAAGACTACCTCCAGTGGGTCTGGTTTCGGTGGCTTTGCGGCAAAGTCCGGCAGTGCTTTCGGCTCAGCTGCCAGTCCATCTTCAACTTCTTTGTTCGGTAGTGGAGGCAAGTTGGATAGCAAAGGAACAGAAGCGCCAAAAGGCCTCTTTGGCTCGTCCAACTCCGGTTTGCAAAATGCCCCAGCTTTGGGCTCGTCAGCTTCGAGCTTTGGCCAGGGATCTTTCTCCGCATTTGCAGCTAACAGGGCCACGGAGGATAAGGAGGCGAAGAGCAAAGGGCAAGAGTCAGCTGGCAATGGCAACAAAGACTCAGGTAGTTTCTCCTTTGGCGGACTCGGAGACATGCTCGGCAGCAACGACTCGGCTTCGTCGTCTCAATCGCAGTCCAAACCGGCAGCGCAGTCCGAGAAGAAGGCTGACGGTACCACGACTCCAGACTCGGGCGTCGACTCGACTGTACAGACACCAAAAAGCGAGGCTGCCTCGAAGCCCTTCTCTTTGAACCCATCGGCGACCTCTACCAGCAGTACCACCGCCCAGGATGCTTCGAACAAAGGCGCTCAAGGGGCAAAGGCAACCTCGCCTCCCCAACCTCAGCCAGCCTTCAGTTCTCTCAAACCGGGCTTGAATGCGAGTGCCAGCTTTGGCAGTCAGCCCTTCTCCTTTGGCAACAACAACAAGGCGAGCCCGCACTCTCCTGCACCGAACGAGACACCTTCAACCGATGCGCCTGCTGCTCAGTCGAAGGATACGTCAGCAAACGAGGAGGGTCGGAAGAACGACTTCGGATCCTCTGACTCCGATGCAGCAAAGAAGTCCGCTGAGCCGAGCAAGCCATCTTTCAGCTTCTCTGGCGCTCCCGCAAAAGCGGCTGACCCGCCCGCATCGTTCTCATTCAACCCTGCCGACAACAAGGCAGCGATCGCTGGTCAAGACGGCAAAGCGAATGCAAAGTCCGCATCACCTGCCCCCTTCTCCTTTGCACCCTCAGCGAAGCCTGCCGAAAACACTGCTGCCTCCTCCTTGTCTGGATTTGCAGCATCTTCTCAGACCAAGTCCGACAGTGAGCAGGCAAAGGAGGCGCCAGCACCAACAGAGACGCAAAAGCCTAGCTTGACCTTCTCCTTTTCCAACAACACGGGTACTGCACAGACATTGTCAGCTGCGAAACCGTCAGGCTTTGGTGGCTTTGCAGGGTTCTCGACGCCTGCAGCTTCAAACGCATCCCAGAACAAGGATGCGCCTGCATTCTCGTTCGGCAATCTCAATAAGTCCGTGGCTTCGCCCACATCTGGTGCTGTCCCGTCAGCTGAGCCCAGCGAAAAGACAGCACCGGCAAGTGCTGCTGCGTCTGCGCCAGCGACTGCGAAAGCGACGCAAGCATCCGCGCCAGCCGGCTCCGGCTCATTCCTTGGCATCAACTCGAGCGCACCCAGGAGCAGCTCGCCCCTCGCTTCTGCGCCTGTGACCAGCTCGGACGAGACTTCAAAAGGCTCACTTGGGGAGCCAGGTGCACCTGCTGCAAGCACCAACAAACCCTTCTCATTCCAGCAAGATTCTTCAAAGCCCGTTTTCGGCTCATCAGGCTTTGGTGCAAAGCCCGCTGCTGCTGTCCCTGCTTCGGCACCCGTCCCTTCTTTCGACGGGTTTGGTGCTGCGAAGGCAATGCAACCGTCCGACACCGCACCAAAAGCTCAGACGCTGGCACCTGCCAGCAAGAGCGCATACGTGCGTTCAGGCAGTCCTCTGGTTGCTGGTCGTACACCTCAGTTGTCTTCAGCAAACAAAGACGGACCAGCCAAGGTGACCGAAAGTGGACTTCAGGGCGAGTTCCTCAAGGCGTATCTCGTCTTGACGCAGGAACTCGAAGTTCTTCGCTCGAACGTCGACCAGTGCGCTGCTTTTTTGGCCGATCTCCGTGCTCCGACGGGACGTGCGCATACAGTGGAGGACTTTGCCGATTCCTCCAAGTGGTCGTTCGGTGATCTGCCCAAGATGCTGATCTTGGCCAAGTCGCTCAAGCCACTCACCCAACGCATCGAGGACGAAGCCGCCTCGCACAAACGCAAAGTGGCAGAGCTGCAAAGTCTTCAGCTCAAGGCCGAAGCTAAGCGCGAAGAGGTGGCACGTTTCATCCGCGCCCGCAGCGATCCTGAATTTGCCAAGATGATTCGCATTCGACAACTCGGGCCCGAACATGTCGAGAACCAGAACAAGCTGCGCAAGGCAAGCCAAGTCGTTCGAGACCGCATCTTCGAGCTCGAGGAGTACCTTGCTGTACTGAAGGACAAGCTGCAGCATGCCAAGGCTGGTCGTGCTGCCCTCAAGGCGCCCAGCTTGGATTCTGTTGCAAGGGCTTGCCGCAACATCACTGCACGTACGACAGCTGTGACGCTGGAGCTTGACAACCTGGCGCTCGAAATGGACCTCATGAGGCCATCAGACCAGTTTCTTTCGTCTAGGGAGCCTAGCCGTGCGCTATCACGCTCTGTCTCAGTAGTCAGTGGCATCGATGAAGGTGCTGCGCTCAATGACGTGAGCAGTCTGATGCATACACTTCCTGCAGCTACGACGATCAGGTCTGCAGATGAAATCACTCGAGCGGAGAGGATCAAGAGCGATAGTATTGACGTCTTCCTCAATGCTCGTCAAAAGCCTGCCCTCAATACCCGCGCTTTTCCTACCTCGCAGCGTTCGCAGAGGAAGACGACTACACCGATGCAAGGTTCAGACCTTCAGATTGCTTTTGCTAAGGGACCTGTCCATCTCGGCAAGCGTCAATCTTCTGCACCAGCTGCGCCATCTGCGGCAGCACCACCTAAGACTTCTGCGCCTGCGTCACAAGGTCAAGCGACAGTGCCATCTGCGGTGCGGTCAAAACCCGCAGCGGACCAGTTTGCATCAGCTGGAAAGACTGTACCTGTTCCCATGCTTTCAAACCCTCCCCCACCACCGGCCTCCTCTGCTACGACCGCTACCGCAACAAATGGTGCTCCACCCCGCTTTGGCTTTCCTGCATCGCCTGGCCCGAAATCCAGCGCTTCTGCAGGCCCCGCAATAGCAACCCAAGCGGCTGCACCTGCCCAAGCTCAAAAGCCAGCGGTTCCTCCCACACCTCTCAGCTTCGGCGGGTTCGGCACTCCGGCTGCTGCTTCTGCAAAGTCCGTGTCACCACCATTCGCTTGCTTCGGTTCTTCGCCTGCTGTTTCTCTTGCGTCTTCAACCGCTGTGCCAGCGGCCTCAGACATTGAGCCCTCTGCTTCTGCAACCCCCTTGAACTTTGGCAGCTTCGGTGCGCCAGCTGCTGCCGCGTCTCCAAAACCCGCAGGCAGTCTTTTCACCGGATTCGGCAATACACCTGTTCCTGCCTCAGGCACTACCACGACTGCCGCACCAGCAGCTCCAGCTGCAAAGTCACCTGCGCCTTCACCGTTGAACTTAGGCGGCTTCGGCCCGTCCACCGTTGCTGCAGCCAAGCCGTCGGCAGCGCCCTTCAGCGGCTTCAGCTCCTCCTCTACGCCGGCGATGAGCCAAAACCAGAGCAAGCCTGCGTGGACTCCTGCGTCCGCACCTACGACAAACCCCGCACCGGTCTCATCTCCGTTCGGTGGTGCCAAACTCTCTGCAATCAACTTCGGCAAGCTCAACACCATGCCTGCTGACATGTTCGATCTGCCCGCAGAGGAAGACACACAATTCCAGCCAGGAGGACGCGCGCCAAGCTCCAGTCCCAGCACAATCCGCTCTTCGCACACCAAGTCCAAGTCAAGAGGTGTCGCCGTCGCACTCCCTCCTGCTAGCAGTACTGGTGGTGCGGATGCAATCGCCGGCTCAAAAAACGCCAATGCGGCAGCTCCTACCAAGGCGGCCTCCGACTTCTTCGCCCAGCCTCTTGCGCCTAAGCCGAAAGAAATGGCATCGGGCGTGAACTCAACACCTGCCTTCAAAGGCTTCAGCGGATTCGGTACTAGCGCGAACAAGGATGCACCAAAGAGCGATGCTCCTGACCCTGCTGCAAGCGCAAAGCCTTCTTTCAACTTTGGCGATCTCGGCAAAAGGGCCGAAACACCGGCTGCGACCTCTTCGTCTGCAGAACAGAACCAGGCAGCCGCTGGTGGCTTCTCCTTCGCCAACTTTGGCAAGAAGGAGACCACGGGTCTAGCTACGTCGGACCAAACGAAGCCAGCCACCACCGGCTTCAGCTTTGGCGACCTTGGCCAGAAGGACGTCGCCCCTTTGAGCACAACTCCTTCCGCTAAGCCAGAGTCTGGATCATTCAGCTTTGCCAACTTTGACAAGAAGGAGACGACCTCGCCGGCTAGCTCGTCTGCTCAGTCTTCGCAGCCCGCGACCCCTAGCTCCAGCTTCGCTCCTGCTGCTGCTGTTGCCAAACCAGCCACGGGGAGCAGGGCCGAGGCCCATGCTGCGGAAACAAAGGACAAGGACGACAAGGATAAGGAGAGTGCTGAGGACAACGAGGTTGCCAAGGAAGATGAAGACTTCAAGGACAGCAAGGCGGATGGGAACAAGGACGAACCAAAGACTGAGGAGCCTGGTGAGGGCAAGGAGACGGTCAAGGGCGAGGATGCTAGGGTCGAGGATGTCAGGGACAAGGATGCCAAAGACAAGGCATTGCCCGACCCGAACTCCTTCACGTTCTGCAAGCCATCCGAGCCGAGGAACAAGGAACCATTGACAGAGCAAGCCTCGTCTGAGAAGAAGGATCCGGCTGCTGCTACTCCTGCTCCTCCGTCCTCATCCGCCCCCGCTGCCAAGTCGACACCTTCTTTTAGCTTCGGCACTCCTGCGCCCGCAGCCAGCTCAGAGAAGGGAAGCGCAGAGCCAGCAAAGTCTGACTCGAAGCAAGCGGAGGTAATCAAGGCTTCCGCAGCCAAGGAAGCGTCAGACAGCGACAAGCCGGCCGGAGACTTTAGCTACCCACCCAAGCCCAAAGCCGATGAGAAGTCTTCCACTTCATCCACATCCAGCACTGCCTCAGCATTCAGCTTCGCACCCAGCAAGCTTGACCCCTCTGCCTCGCAGACTGCTTCTGCATTTGGTGCATTCAAGTCTAGCCCCGGTTTTGGCTTCGGGGCATTCTCCAAGCCCACCAAGTCCAACACGGCTGGAGAGTGCAGCGCTACTAAGTCGGCGCCTGCGTTCAGCTTCGCTCCCAAAGCGAATGCCTTCAGCTTCAACCCGCAAGCGAACAAGCCAGATGAAGCACTCAAGACGGCCTTCGGTAGCGTTTCTGCATTCGGCGCTATTGGAGGAGGCAATTCCTCCAGCCCTTCTACACCCGTCAAGTCGGAGGAAGGTGCGGCTATGTCAGCTTTCAGCTTCAGCGGCGGGGGCGGATTTGGCGCATTTGCATCGAGCAACAAGACTTCATCTTTTGCTAGTGCTTCTCCACCTGCGAAGAAGGAAGATGCGGGTGACAAGAGTGGTGCATCCTTGCTTTCGAGGCTTGGCGGTGCGCCTACACGAGCTGCTTCCGAGTCTGGTGATGAGGAAGAGGATGAGGATGATTACGAGGACGAAGATGAGGAGGAGGACGAAGATGAGGAGGACGAAGATGAAGAGGACGAAGATGAAGAGGACTACGAGGACGAGGAGGATTACGAAGATGAGAATGAAGACGACTATAAAGACGAAGAAGATGATGAAGAGGGTAGGAATCAAGATGATGTGGACAGCGGTTCCGGCCACGACGATACCAGCGCTGACAACACGCTCGATGAGAGCGCTGTTCACGTTAGCAAAGCTGATGCTCAGGAGCCAGGTGGAGATCAAGCCTCGGATGAACATGAGGACGAGGATCAAGAGAATGAGGACGGTGAGGAAGATGAGGACGAGGAAGAAGGCCTGTCCGCCGTTGAGGAAGAGCCGGAAGAAGAAGAACAGGCGGCTGCTGAGGAGCAGAAGAAGGAAACCACAGACGAGAAGGATTGAGTTGACATCTCTGTTCCTCTCAGACATCAAAAAAGAAGACAGGTCAAATCAGGGCATTGCCATCAAATATAGATACATGAGAAAGAAGCACTTCAATCCTCCCTGAGAATCAAACCGGCAGCCCCCATTCCGAGACCAATGCACATGGAAACGACAGCGACCTTCTGATTCCTCCTCTCCAACTCCTTCAATGCTGTGACTACCAACCTGGCACCGGTAGCACCCAATGGGTGACCAAGGGCACAAGCACCACCGTTGACGTTGACCTTCTCTGGGTCCAAACCGAGCTTCTCGACACAGTAGACGTACATGCTAGCGAATGCCTCATTGATCTCGAAAAGATCAACCTCCTCCTGCTTGACACCGGTCTGTTCAAGGACCGCGGGGATAGCACTGCTGGGTCCGACACCCATGATGCGGGGCTCGAGACCGGTGACGGCGCACGAGACGTACTTGCCGAGAACCTTGAGGCCGAGCTTGTTGGCGAGTGAACGACGCATCAAGATGACACCTGCAGCGCCGTCGGTGATCTGGGAAGCGTTACCGCCGGTAGTGTTGCTGGGAGCCCACTGGGGGAAAGCGGACTTGATCTTGCCGAGCGATTCGGCGGTGGTACCGGGACGAGGACCCTCGTCGGCGGAGATGATGGCGTTTTGACGAGCACCATCCTTAGAGACAGTGGGGACGGAGATGGGGAAGATCTCAGCGTCGAACTTGCCCTGAGATTGCGCTTGAACTGCACGCTGGTGGGATCGAGCAGCGAACTCGTCCATCTTGGCACGCGGGATGTTGAAGTCCTTTGCCACATTCTCGGAAGTCCAACCCATGGGCATCTTGCAGTCGTCAGCCTCTTGGCTCAACTTGCTGAGCTCTTCAGAAATGACGGTGGGTCGCTTGGGCTGGGTGGACATGTGCTCAATACCGCATGCGAGACCGCACTCGATCTCGCCAGCCTGAATACCGTTGGCAATGGCACGGATGGCCATGAGACCGGAAGAGCAGAATCGGTTGACAACGATAGCAGGAGTGGTGTTGGGGATGCCAGCAGCAAGAGCGGCTGCTCGGACGTAGTAAGGAGCCTCGTCGTTGTGGACGTTACCGACGACGACATCCTGGATGAGCTTCGGGTCGACGGCGGAGGAAGCAAGGAGGGACTTGAAGAACTCGTAGCAGAGAAGGTCAAACTTGGAGTCCTTCATAGAACCCTTGTAGGCCTTGGTGAAAGGTGTACGGCCAGCAGCGACAATGACGACGTCCGAGTCGTTCTTGGCCTGGTGGGCGTGGAGGCCCTTGCCCGACCACGAGCGAGGGTCAAGGTGGGAGGCGAGCTGAGTGATTCGCTGAGCCATTTTGAATGTGAAGGAATGCCAAGATCAAGGGGGAGATGGAGGTGCGGATAGAGATGGTGGACGTGGGAAAGATAGTTTCGGCACAGTCGGTCGAGGGGTCTGTGTATTTGTATACGAAGCCGGAAGAAGATTGAGAGCGCAGCAGAGTCGAACCCACTACGGCAAGGGCTGTGTGGGGAAAGTAAGCTGCGAAAGAAGTCAGGGTTCGATGGGTTCGGACACTCTGAGCGCTCAGCTCCGGTCTGTCAAATTGCCGCTCCACCGGTTCGCTGTCGTTCTCCACCTCTCTTCTGCATAGCTGCCTGCCGCTGAAATTTGCAGCCATCCCCAGCCACGTCTGTCCCGAAACCTCCTCGTCTTCTCACTAGCTAGCTAGAGCCCCCTCGAGCCCCTTGGCAAGGCTTGTCGGTATCTCAGACCCTCGAATAGCGTATGCAGTCAGTCACAATCTTTACAGGCATTGAAGAGGGTTGAGAGTGTGTCGTCGGCCCTGATCCATGTTAGCCGTCTTTACCGAAGTGCAGTCTTGTCGCGCGTATGTGAGCCTCTGCTGTGCGTGTTTTCGCCCGAATATTGCCCTCGCGGTTGAATCCTCTCGTGCGGGTCTCACACAGTCAAGAAGCCGCTTTCACTCGACCCTGATACACACTACATGCTCGCCCCGACCAGGTTCTCTCGTCCGCTTGAAAGCATTGTAGGTGTATATGTTGGACTGTAGCGCCTATGGACGTCGCTGGCGCTTCCACTCCTGTAGGCGGACGTATAGAGAAGTGGGGGAAGCTTACAGGATGGACGGACACCGGCTATTCAAGTATCAACTCAGCCTAACACAAGCTTTGCATCTACCTGATCTTCCTTGGCGCTTGATGTCTTTCTGGTCTCCCGATTTTGAATACTCTGATCTAACATGTCGACCTTTAGAAATACCGACGTATCTTCAACTGATTCAGAAGCGCGGCTAAGCTGTCCACGAATTTTGCCCGAGATGAGCGCGTAGCATTCACCTGTCATGCTGTGACCGAAGCTGACATAATCCCCCATGTCAGCTCCTCGGCTTCGTCAAGAACGCTTTGCTTCCCTCCATGTCCGGATTTACTCGCACAAATTAGGCTCAGCTGAACCAAGACATTTTTTGATTGACAGAAAAAAAGATGTAGTGCAAAATAATAGCACAATAAAGGACTGCAAAAAATGACAGCAAAGGCTGCACAAAGCCTACGCTCAACCAAGCTTGCGAGACTTGACCAAATGAGTCGAGATACCAGATGCTTCTCCTCCATATCCTCCCTGTAATGTAGCCTGACCACCTTTGAAGACAGCTTGGCGAGAGCCGAGCTTCTTCTTGGCCTTTTCGTACTTGAGACGCTTCTTGACACGTGGGTTGCGCGATATCTTGGGACGGTGTGGTGTAAGACCCTTGTTCTTCTCGATCTGGCGTGTAATACCACGGTGTTGGCCATCTTCCAGCTCCTCGTCCTCCATGAGGGAAAAGCGTTCCGCATTGCGTGTCTCGTCGTACTCCGCTTTGGCCTCGGCTCGAGCACGCTTGCGAGATGAGGTGACGAGGTCATAGTAGTCGGCTGCATCGTCGTCGTCGTCGTCGCCATTATCACCGCCACGGCGAGAGGGGGACGACGAGGAAGCAATGGGCTGACCCATAACGTCGCGCCAGTCCTTCTCGTCTGCTTCGCCCCATCCATCTTCGCCATCCAGAGCAACGTCCTTGCCCATGCCTCCGTTGAGCTGTTGCTGTAGCCTGGCTTCTCGAGCTGCTTTGGTTGCCTCGACACCGGCTCGACTGCGTTCGCGATCGCGGTAGGGGATATCGGCATCGCCTGATTGACGCTCCTTTGCGGCCTTTGATCGCTGCAGGGCCTTGCTCTCGATCGCCGAGGCATGGAATTGCAACGAACGCTTCCTGGCTGCACGTTCTGCCGAGTCGATGGAAGAGAGTCCGGAGAGCTCGCCAAATGTGGCATCTTCAAAGTGGCTCTCGTTTGCTGAGACAGCGAAAGGGTTGCTGGGCGCAGACCCATTGGCGTTGCCCTTCTTCTTCAGCTGCACTTGCAGCTTTGGTTCGTCATCCAGGTCGGCCAACCCAGCTGCAAGTGGTGCGATGGGCCCTGCTTTCTTAGCCTTGCCTTCCTTCTTCTTGCTCTTGTCCGCCTTCTTCTTCTCCTTTTTCTGCTCGGGCTCTGAAGCCAGATCCTCACCGATGTACTCAACATCGTCCTCAGCATCACGCAGAGCCTGCTTCTTGGCCTTCTTTGCGCTCTTCTTGCTCTTGACCGGAGCGGCATTCTCCTTTCCGGCATCGGCATCCGCCATGAGATCTGCGAGCTCGTCGTCGTCGAGGTCTCCAAGATCATCGTCTTCGCCTTCGCTCCCTTGACTGAGCATGTGCATCTCATCCATCTCGTCGGAAGACAATCCACCGTTGGAGCCAGGCATACGCTGCGGGTCGAAAGCGAATCCAAGATCCTCCATTACGCTGAGACCTTGCTTGAAGCGCATCATGCGCTGCATGACGGGATGTGTACGGAGCTTGGCGGGATCATTGACGAACTCGGGGGAGGCACGGAGGTGAAAGTAGAACGTCATAGTAGTGATGTAGGTCGCGAGGGTCTGGTAGTGAACGTGCATCACCTCAAGACTGGCATGGTTGGGTTGCTCAGCCATCATCTTCTTGAGAAGACGGTCGACTCGACCAAACTCCTCCAGCATGTCGGCGTATTCACCGGCCAGCGCCACAGCTTCTGGGCTCGTCTGTTGAAGCTTTGCGAGTAGAGCTCGACGCGTGGACTCATCAGTGGGCTGAGCGCTGACGCCGTTAGTCGCAGGCTGTAACTTCTTCGGTGAAACTGCTGTTGTCTTAGCCGCAGTATCGTCCCCACCATCAAGTTCACGTCTCCTCTGTTCCCTCCCGGCATCCTTGGCCGACTTTGCCAATTCGCTGTCAGCGTCATCGCCACCAAGACCAAAGTCTGAGTCGTCCATGGCACTACGGCTCTTCTTCTGCAGGCGCTTGACCTCCTTAAGTTCGAGCTGGCGTGCCTGTTCCTCGTCAATTTCGGAATCCGAGTCCATTGCGTCGAGGTCATTGGTGTTGTAGTAAGCTCGCTTGTTGGTGCCCCATCCGCGGTCGTTCTCGTGCAGCTGCGGGCCATCCTCATCGTCGTCGTCCTCTGCATCATCATCGAGGTCGTCATCATCGTCCGAGGATATAACCATGTTGGCCTTCTTAGCCTCACGGCCTTGTCCAGGAGAGTAGCCGTCATCATCTTCGTAGGCGCCTGCATCGTCATCCTTTTCGCCGTCCTCCTCGGCATCGTCCAGGTCAGAGTCCACATCTTCGTCAGAAGGAGCTTCCTCCACGCCTAGGACTTCTCGGTTGTTGAGACCGACATCCATGTCATCGTCCGAGGCGTTGTTGCGATCGAAGCCGTCCAGAAGGATCTGGTCACGGCTGGTCTCGAAATGATCTTCGTCATCTTTGGGGATGTCGTCCAAGCCAGCTGAGCGGCTGAGCGAGCTGGAAGGATCGCCGCCGCTACGTCTTCGGCTTGAGCCTCGACGTCCAGCCATGCTTGTGTTGGTAACTGTGCTGTGAAGTGTTGAGATGATGAAGAAGAGCGGAAGAACAGTAGTCTCGACTGAGCTTTCCTTGGAGGACCATCAGACCCTTTTCGCGTGAACGCTGCTTGCTGCTGCTCCTGTCAAAATTGTTCACATTTTAGAAATTTCAAGGATGAGCGCTTCTTCAAGAGTTTGCAGACAGGCAGAGCGTGAAATCTAAGCATTAGTCATGATCATTGCGGACCAAGAACGAAGTGGAGTTGCTTTGAGCTGCAGCGAGAATTTTTCTGTCGGCCAGGAAGCTCAAATTTGCCTCTTGCAGGAAGAAGCGCAACACAAAAGCGAGGGTCCAGCATCTGCTTCGAAAAATTCGAGAGTCGATAAAGTATCACAGCTATTGCCCAGCTCGCTCGACCCTCACGTCTCCTTCCCTTTCGCGATCATCCTTTCCGCCGTGAGTTTACGTCGTACCTAGAGCCGACTTTCACACGGCTTCCAAACATCGAGGCTCGTCATCATGCCTTCCACACGAACAGGTCGACAGAGCTCTCCGAGCAAGCGGGACGAAAGTCCTTCCAAGACCCGCTTTCAGCCTATGCGAGGCGCTCGTCTTCGCAGTGCTTCACCATTCTTTGACACTGCAAGCGCATTGACCAGCGCTGCGGCATCAAAAGCATTGCAATCTTCCCAGACTTCATCTCCGTCAAAGTCTGCCCGGTCGTCACCAAGGAAGAAGGTAGCTGCCGCGACCGCTTCACTGCAGCCATCACGGCGTTCGACACGCTCTCGCTCGCGTTCAGTAGATCCAGAGAGTTTGTCTGCCATTGACGAACACTCTTCTTCCCCATTAAACAGAGATGTCTCCGAGATGCCAGACTCAGAGAAGGAGGTCGCACAATCTAACAGTGTCCGATTAGACTCTGCATACACCAACAACGATGAGGGGAATGCCAGCCCAGAACCTCAGCTTGCGCCTATCTTTGAGGAGGCTACTTACACTTCTGCAAGTCTCGCAGCAACAGAAGCGGAAAGTGATGAGGGTGCACCAAGCTCAAGTTCCAGCTCGAGCTCCGAGAGCGACTCGGACTCAGGCGCCAGCAGCGATTCGGACGACTCCAGCTCGGAATCCTCATCAGAAGATGAGCAAGAAGATGATCCGGCTACGCACTTGGACGCATTGTTGAAAGCTTCGCAACAAGCGTACAAGAGCCGCGCTCCTGCGCCTGCAGATCAGAGTCGCTTCGAAGACAACCAGGATGTCATCTCATTCGATGCTCTCACAGACGGATTGCAGAGCTCCAAGCGGCCGAGCAAGGCCATACCTCTAGTAGTCAAAGCCAAGCATCAAGTCGCCAAGACGCAGCCAGCCGCCTCTAAGGGTCAAGGCTCCAGCAAAGACAAGCTTGACAAGCAGATCGAAGCCCTCGATCAGGGAGCTCTTGCATCAGAGAAGAAGAAGTCAAAGCACGCTCGCACAGTGCAGACCTCTACAGGATCCAGCTGGTTCGATATGCCCGAGTTCGGAGCATCTGCATCGCGTCTTGCTGCACTCAAGAAGCAGTCCACAGCTGACAAGGGTCACTCGAAAGCTACTGGTGGCGATGCTCGACTTGCATCAGCCGAACAGCTGCGTCGCGAGGTGCAGGCCTTGCGTCTACGAAACGCACTCGACCCGAAGCGCTTCTACCGTTCGTCGGCCAAGAACCAGGCAATGCCTAAATTTGCTCAGCTGGGTAAGATCATTGCATCGCCACTCGAGCCCAAGGCAGTCATGTCTCGCCAGGAGAGAGGTCGAACTGTGGTCGAGGAGCTTATCCGCGATGCCGATGCTGCCTCGTATGCCAAGCGCAAGTTTTCCGAATCGCAAGCGAGTCATCGCTCTAACTACAATGGGCGTCGCAAGCCTCCATCAAAGAAGAAGCGAACATGATTCGCACCGGTCTGGCTTTTCCACTCTATGTTTTCGCACAGCATCACACAAAGCACAACCTCACGATACCCTTATACGAGACGAATCCTGTCGGAGCATACAATCCCCATCTGTTCAGGATCAAGGTTCGCAAACCAAATCAGCCCAACAGGCGAGCTGTACTGCGAAGCTTAGCCAACTTTTTAACATGGCCTTCAGCGGAACACAAGTTCATATCTCGCCGATCGACTTTTGATATCTCCCGATCTGGGACTCGACACGGCGGTGTGAGCAAGTCTCCGATCAAACAAATACTTTTCTGGAAAAATCCGCAGCGTCTCGCCTTCGCGCACGAAGCAAATTCTGGCCAATTTGGACTCAGCTGGCGACGAGAAGGGCAATCTTGGGCTTCCGGCGACTCTTGATACTCTGCTGTGGAAGCGCTCACAACTGGGCGAGGAGATCAAATTTTTTCACCATCAGCAGACACACTATCAGAATCGCTAGCCTTCTTCACAATCTTTCTCGCAGACTTTCGCCAAATTTGACCGCTCAGAGTGTTCAACATATCTTCATCTCGGATCAAGTTGAAATTGGAGGCAGCATTTCAGCCAGTACGAAGGAGCGAGGGCGGCCAAGCAAGTCATGTCTGAAGGCGGAGGCAGCACAATAACGGCTGCTCAGCCAAAGCAAAGGTCACAGTAAACCTCAGCTTAGTGAGATGTGGCCCGGCTGCGGGAAAGCGCAGTCGCACCGAGGAAGCGGCCAATATCTCTTTTCGTCTTGCCCTCGCTCGAACACTTTCTGCTGAGCTGCATTCTTGTGGTACTGGTCCGGAGCTTTGCCATTGACGATGGAGCGCCAGTTTTTATACTGATTTACAAGCAGCCGAGGAAAACAAAAAGGAGTCACGAAAAACGGACAAACACACAGGCAGCAGCTGCTGCTGCTCAGCCAGGCAGACGCGTTCCAGAGATTAAATTGGATCTAGCTGCATTTTCCTGCGCTGATCAATCTGTGCTGTTCTGCTCCTCCTCAAAGCTGGTCTTCGGTGCTTTTGCAATTTTGCAACAATTTTTCCCTCGCCTCCCTCCCCTGCCTGTCTTGCCGTGGCTGTGCTTTGTCCCGACTCGACTCATCTCATATCACACCTCTTGCTGCTCTCGCTCTCTTTTCTTTTTCGTGTCCTGACCGCGCGTCTGACTCGCATTCGTTTCTCTCTGGCTCTGTCTCTCTGTCTCTCTCTGTCCACTCTGCACGTTGGCTGATAATTTCCCATTTCCCCCCCAATTTGAATTCTCCTGCCAAAACGCGTCGCTCAGCTACCATCAGCTCAAGCAAGCGTGCACTCGTATCTGTTCCACTTTCCCTTACCATCGCCTGCCATCCGTCGTGTCTCTGTTGCGCGCGTCCTCTTCGTCGCCGCTCAACTGATTTCATCCTCTTCTCAAATCTTGAGATTGCCCCTCAAACGCATTCTCACCTCTTGACACCGCAATTTCGAATCGAAATTGCCCTCATTTCTTGTCCTCCTGTTTCAATCTTTTGATTTCCCCCATCTTCTCTCGACCTCCTCCTCATCCCTCTCAACTCCCTTTGGATTGCCCTACCTTGTGCTGTCCATTCCAATCTCGGACACCTTTCTCATCCACGCATCCACCTTCTCTTCATCCCCCATCCGCCCCGTCATCCTGTTCCTCCTCATCATACCCATTCCTCATCGGGCTCCTTCACTGGTCACCCTTTGAATTTCTTTCCTTTCATCCCTCCCCGTCACGGTCATCTTGACTCGATATTTTTCGTGTCACAGAGCCCTTGACCATCTATCTCATCATAGGCCTCACACCTTTCCTTTCGTGATCCTTTAATATTCTTCTTTTGGTTCTTCGTCGTTGTCGTCGTCGAGAACGATCAGTGCTGCATTTCGGTTCCTTGTACAATAGCAGGCTCTTACGTTTGGCCCTCATACCCCCAAAATCGTCTTACGCTGTCCGTTCCACCTCATACACACACAAGCAAACTCAACGCTTTGTTCGTTATTGTCGTTCAAAGTTTGCCCTCGCCATCAACATCATCGCTCCTTCATCATCACTTCTTAGAGCGCGATCTTCCCTTACCCACGCTCACTCTTCACACACAGTCTTCGGAGCGGATCTAGTCTCCTTCCTCCTGTGCATCTGTGTAGTGCTTGGTCGTTCGTTGTCCTCATCTTCGGTATCGCTTTCGTCGTCGTCGTTGTCCCCCCCGGTAGCCCCTTCTCATAACTTGGATGGGCGCGTTGGCAACGATCTAACTCGTCAACCTCCGGCATGGCGAGAGGCGCAGCTCCTGTCCCTGCTGCGACTACGTCCAGCAGAGTCAGGAACAAGAAGCTTTCATACAGGCAGAAGCGTAAGTTCTCATCACAGCTTTTCAAATGGCGATCTCGTGTCTCTACTCCTGTCTCCGACGTGTACTGACAATTTTCCCGATTTCCAACTCTGCCTTCTCCTTGCTCATAATTTCGTGCAATTTCAATCCGACTCGACACTGCAACGCGCGACAACCACGTTTTTGCACCTTTACGGCGTTCTAAATCTCTCTCGTCGCGATCATCGCATTGCTCGTATTAATCCGACCTGATGGTATCACTCAAATTTTCGCAACCGCTCAACCTTAATCGCCCCTACTCACGCCACGTTGCTTGTCACACCTTTCTCATCATCGTCGCACTTTTCTCTCTCCACACCCCATCTTCACGTTCCACCCCATCGTCGCCATGATCACCACCATCGTCGCCATCACCATTCCCATCATCCATTCTTGCCTTCGGCTCCCCGACATGCCAACTGATTCAACATCTGCTTCAACACCACAGTATGCGTTCAACGTGGCTCGCATCTGCTCAACGCCGCTACTTCAGTGGTGGCTGGGCCGGAGCCCGAGTTTGAAGGACAGGAGCATGCTCAAGACTCCAACTTGGGTGTTGATGCAAGCGAAATCTCGGAACACCATTTGCAAGCCGCGTTATCATCGAATCAGCTAGCGACATCAGAGGGAAATGCAGCAGCGGAAACGGCGAAAGCCGCCTACAGCATTCCTGTGCCTGACGCACATGGGACGCTCTCCAATGCTGAATTCGCGCAGCTCTATCCACCAGGTGTCTACTCGGATCCAGTCACCTACATCCGCTACTCTGACCCAGTCGAGGATTGCATCAAGGGGCCCAGCTACAACATGGACGAAGATGACCAAGACTGGCTCGAAACCCGTAATGCAAAGGCACAAGAGGATCTGACTGCTGCTATCCGCAGCGCAAAGACAGGGCCTCTGGCCGGAAGTGGAGGAAAAGGCAAGGCAAAGGAGAAGCTCCGCAAGGAGGCCATTGAGAAGCTCATTGCAGAGAACCAGGCCAGCTATCGCCAAATGTCCGAGGATCAATTCGAGATGATCATGACTGTTTTCGAGCAAGTCACGTCCGAGCAAGTTCCTTTCCTGCATCTTGATGTGACCAAAATCCCAACGAGCGAAGAGCTACTTGCCTATTTCGAGCCAAACTCATCTATATCCGCACTCGCCCAGCCCGACTTGCCACCACTCAGCTGGGAGAAGACCGTTTCTGCTGCTGGTCCGTCAAACACGACAGCCGGTGCTCAAGCACGTCGTCCCTCGATCGCCGGTGCAGCCGCGTCTCGCTCCGCCTCCTCGACAGAGTGGTCGCCATTGAATCCCTACAAGAATCTTGCCGACCTTAAAAACCTGGCTGGCATTGTCTACCCTCACTGGAAGAGCCGCCGCGAGGATCGCGAGGGTCGAACCGTCACTCCCTATCTCAACTTTGATGAGACCAACGACAATGACCCATACGTCTGTTTTCGTCGACGTGAAGTCAAACAGATCCGCAAGACGCGAAAGACGGATGCCCTCCACATCGAGAAGATGATCCGCCTTCGCGCTGAGCTCGAGCACGCTGTTGCACTGACCGAGCTTGTGGCTCAACGCGAAAAGACCAAGCGAGCTTCGTTACGGCAGAGTCGCAAGTGTTGGGAGAATATCAAGGATCTTATGGACATCAAGCGCCAGTGGGGCATTGTCGGCCCACAGCAAGGATTGGAAGACGAAGAGCTCATTTCCGGAGAGCGCAGGGATCAGACACACTCGGCTTCAGGGTCAGCGAAGAAGAAGCGCAAGACAGACGAAGCGGCAACGACGATCAAGCTGGCTGGACGCAGGTCGCGCGCTGGCGAAGGCGAGGGTGCTGCTTCTGGCGCCGCTGCTTCGGCTGCCGGTGTGTCGGGCATGGGTTCGGCGATCCTCGAACGTGTGCATGCCGTCCAGGCTTACATCGAGCGCGAGTGTCTCCGCAAAGCCGACGCTGATCTCGGTTGGGAAGAAGGCAGCGATGCCGCCTTTCAGCCCATCCCAGCACCAGCACCTTTGCGAGCCTTTCGACCCATCCACGCCGAGTCATCCGAAGACCCTCTTCCCTTCTCGCCACTCTCCACTCGGGCCGGTCGACCGCCTTCGTTTCGTAGACGTGTTGGACGTGGTGGCCGAGTCTTCTTGGACCGTCGTCTTCCCATTCCTAGCCCAGTTCCCACTAGCCTCACTGACTGGCCTCGTTATGGCCGTCCTAGGTCTCAGCTGCCAGGCGTCGTCGAATCGCACGAGTTCTGCCCAACAGAGCTGGATTCAATTTCGACGCTTCCTGACGTGGCTTCAACCAGCTCTCTTGCCTCAAGCAAGAAGACCTTGACGGGTCCCTTTGCCTTTTCGCCAGATGCTCATCCTCAACTCCTCGCCTCGACAACGCATCCCTCCGTGCAGTCGCTCCTCAACCAGGGCAACGATGCATTCGGAGGCCCCTTTGCCCGTAGTGGTCCTTTCGCTGGCCCGACACCCTCCAACTCGCAGGATGAGGTGTCCGGGTCGCAACATTCGGATGCTTCGAGCACATCATCGGACTCGAGCGACCGCTCCCGACTCAGCGGCACCTCTGTCGGTGTGGTCAGTACACAAGCTACCGAGGTTGGGGACATCGACATGCTTGGACTCGACGAGGAGCACGACAAAGAAGAACGCGAAGAGCAGCGAGACGCCAGCGATAGTGACGAGTCGGACAGCAAGTTTTCGGATCCTGAGCGCGAGCTTCAGCGATGGACCAGGATGGAAGAGCGCTGGAGATACGATGACGAGTCTGGTCGCTTTGCCGGGCTGGGTCTTACTGCACTCGGAGGCATGGAGGATGACGACGAGGCTGTGCTGGACGATTTCGACCAGAGATTCATGCGTTACAGGATGACTTTGCTGGAAGAGGCCGACCTGCTCAAGCTGTCGACGGACCTCACTAACCTTCAGCAGGCACAAGCGGCGGCGGAAGCACCTTCACCCAAGCCGGCGGGCTATGTCGAGCAACCAGCTTCCAGCACATCGTCCGCGGTGGCAAACGCAGTTGCTGCATCCTCTAAAGCTGCAGCTGTCACTGTGGCCGCCCCCACTGGAACACTGCCAGGCATTCCCAACGCTGCAACCTTGCCGATGCCTTCGGCAGCTCGCACTGCAGCGGCCACTGGTGGAGGCGGCTCCCAGAGCGCGTTGCAAGCTCAGCAACTGCAGGCTCAGCAGCAGCAGCTCCAGCTGGCAATATTGCAACAGCAACAGCAACAGCAGCAGCAGCAAGCTGCTGCAGCTCAGGCTCAGGCTCAGGCCCAGGCTCAGGCGGCAGCAGCGGCTGCTCAGGCACAGGCTCAGGCACAGGCACAGGCTCAGCAAGCGGCGCTACTGCAGCAACAACAAAAACAGCAACAGCAGCATCAAAAGTCTCAACAAATGCCTCAGCAATCGCCGGTGCAGTCGCATCAACAAGCTCAGCAGCAACAGCAGGCTCAAAACGTCACAGCGCAGCAGTTGCCGCAGCCGTTTGGCAGCCAGATCATGTCGCTTTCGCACAACAATACCCAACAGGCACAATTGGCCGCTTTTGCTGCGGCGCAGCAGCAGTTGCAGGCTGCTCAACAAGCAGTAGCTCAGCAACAGCAGCAGCAACAACAACGAATGAGCGGTGTTACTAATGCACAGCAGCAACCTCAGCAGCAGCAGATCGGCTTGCCTGTGCAAATGCAGATGCAGATGCCAATTCAGTTGCAGATGCAACTGCAAATGCAAATGGCCGCGGCTGCCGCTCAGGGTCAGACGCACCTGCTTGGTCAATCGATGCCGTTCGATGCCACCTCCGTTCAAGCTCAGATGCAACAGGCACAGCAGCATTTGGCAAGGTCGATGCCAGCGCAGAGCATGGCGCACTCGTCACCCATGCAAGCTGCAGCCTTTGCTGTGCCCAACGCTCAGCCTTTTGGCATGAACCTGAGTCTCAATATGAATGGAAATGCTGGCAGTCCGCCAATGCAACACGCAAGGGTAAGCTCACAGCCTCAACAGCACGCAAGAACGTCGGCATCGCCTGTTTCAGCAGCAGCAGCAACTAACGGTCAAAACACTGCTCGAACCAATCCTTCGCCCATCATGCAAGCAGGGTTAGTGCAACAACATCAGGCTCAACAGCAGCAACAACAAGCGCAGCAGGCCGGTCAGCTCAATCTCAACTTGAGCTTAGCAGCCGCGCAGATGCAGAGCGGAGCAGTCAACCTTCAGCAGTTCCAGGCCCTGCAACAGCAGGCTCAGATGCTGCCGCAAGCGCAGGCGGGCAAGGCAACGGCGGCCCAGCTGATGGCCATGAAGGCTGCCCTTGCACAGAACGCCAACCTCAATCTTCGTCTACCGCCTAACAGGGCTCTGCAGATTGCCCAACAGGCTGCTCAGAAGGCGTTCAACTCGCAACAGCAGGCACAGCTGCAGCAAGTTCAACAGCAGCAGCAGGCGGCGGCTCAACAAGCTCAGGGCAACGGCAACGCTTCGAACCAAGGATCGCCTGCTATGTCGCGTGCCTCCACCGCAGGCTCGCCACGTTTCGCTGCCAACGGTATCAACGGTGCTATGGCTGGAAGCTCTCCGGTGCAGAACGGTACGTCGGCTACCACCAACGCCACCAACTCGCCATCGCCGCAGATCTCGGCTGCCAACCGCGCTGCGATTGCTGCTGCCACCAACGCAGCCAATGCCAAGATGATGGCGCAGCAATCTCCCGTCTCGTACCACGCCTCGCCCGTCCAAGCCAACTTGAACTTGCACGCAGCACAACAGCAGCAGCTTCAGAACGCAGCTGCCGCCGCTGCAGCAGGGGCCAATGCTGGCTCACCTCATCTTGCAACTCGAGCTTCGCCACAGACGCAGCAGGGTTGAGTGTAGGCGACCTCCTCACCACCACCACCATTCTCCACTTTCACATACACACAAACAGGTCTTGTTCGCATTTCGTTTCTCTCTGTACATAGTCTCGTGCTTTGTCAGCTTCTCAGGTTTTTTTTTTTTTTCTTTTTTCTTTTTCTTTTTCACATCTCCAAAAATACATTGCGAACTCGGCTATCCTTTTGGCCTTCAACCATCTTGTTTGCTGGAGTGTCGCGATATTAATGTGATGGTTGTCGTTGTGCTCGTTCACTACGCGAGCTAGCCGATTCAACGGAAGATTGAATCCGAACCACAGACGACATCCTGAAAAGGACGTTGAAGGAGGCGATATTGAAGTGAAGCGATCGAGGCAAGTTTCGCAACTCGTGTCGTTTTCTCGGCTCTCAGGGTCGCCTTGGGGATCAACCTGGCAAGTACCACATTCGCTCCTCAGACACGCACATATATCGCACATTCTATTCCACAGCCCAAAAGGAGACGTAAGAACAAAGATTACGATTGACCAACAAGAACAGCGAAGCAAGATACACTAAGGGGCATGCGAGACTAGATGCGATCTAACTCCTCAAGAGAACTCGGTCTCATACGCATCCACTTCATTCTTGGACCGGTTTTAGCGTATTCCGAGACCTTGAAGCCGTAAATTTTAGGAGTATAGATCCTGCAATATGGTATGCGCTTTCCTAGTTGTTCGGGTTGAATAGTTCTATGAACCAGCGTATCTGCTGTGCTACCTGCTGCTGATTCGGGTGGTGTCGAGGAGTCCTTCTTTTCTCGCTCTGCCACATCATCGTGCGTAGTAGGGTTGGCATTGTACTGCAGTCCGCCACTTGCGGCAACCGCTGCATCGTTGCCATGTTTGGGAGCAATGATACTCGGGAACAAATCTCTATAACACTGATACAACAAATGAGGGAAGGTTGTACCAAAAAATGCTCCATCCACACCATGAAACCTACTACTAGGAGGACTATAATTATCGATACAATTGGGACAGAACAACTTGACCGTATCCAACCCGGGCAAATCGCTCCTTCCGCAAGGCAGTACGGGATGGGAATGACAGAAGACGCGGGGACAATATCCGAAATGTCCTGCTTCATACTTGTCTACCATCTGTTGCATTCCATGCCTTGTCAAAATGTATCGTTGGTGAATCAAGCCGTATAAGAGTTCGGCGGAAGATTCGACGATGGAAACATCGGGGATTTTAAGCGAGTCTTCCTCGGGTGGTTCCACGTCGAGGATCATTTCGAGTGCTTCTTTGTAGAATGGAACGAGAGCGTTGAGACCGGTAAGGTTGAAATCGTCTTCGATGAAATCCTCTCCTACTTCGGCGAAATATTCGTGGCCGGGGAGAGAGCAGAACCAGGAAATCCAGGTGAGAGATTCGGTGCCGCTTTCTGATGGTGATTCTGATTCTATAGCGTGCCAAAGATGGGAAGGGAAAAAGTGAGGTTAGTAGTCTGAAAGTGGAAAGTGCGTATTGCTACGATGGCAAGGCTGCAGATGGAGGGATAGGGGAAGAAGCTTGCCATAAATCTCATCTTCATAAGTTCCAACGTTAACATCTTGCTCTTCTTCCTCGTCGTCTTCTTCGATCTGGTCTCCTAGAGCATAGGCTATACCGCCGTCGTCAAGTGTATCATCTCTGGGTCGAACAGGATTGTTCATGGCTATGTCTTTATTCGTTCCCAACATGCTGGGTTGAGTTGCCGTTGGTCAAGATTTGGCTGGATGCGGACAGTGCTCGTGTGCGGTGAGGTTGCGGCCGAAGCGATCAAGCAGGAGAGGACCTAGGTGCGGCTACCTTGGTGATGTGGCGGGAATGCTAGCGGGTATTGTGAGGATGCTGTGCGGAAAGTCGATGCTGTGAGAGCGGGAGGGACGAGGATGCAATGAAGTTGTCCAACGTCTCGCAAGTCGGAGCGGAAGCGAATTGCAAAAGGCGCAACTAGGAAACAAGTCTTCCGAGACTGTGCGTGTGTGTTTTGTAGCGGCGGTGCGGTGGTGCTCGCTAGCCAACAACGAAAGGCTGAGCGGATGATAAAGTGTGGAACAGAAGTGCGAAGGAGGAGTGAATTTGCGACCAAGTGAGTGAGTGAGTGAGTGAGTGAGTGATGTTGGAATTTTACCACAAGATTGCGGATCGCGGGATTTTGAGACTGCGTGTTAGTTGTTGGCCTACGCGTAGTCCACTTTTCTCGAGTTCAACCCGATCTATCTTCCGATGGACACTATTGTGATGTCTGAGACTTTAGATCTGATGGTTGGTGCCATGGTCACTGTATTTTCCAGCTCAGTACGCCAGTAGGCTGTTTCAAGATGAGCTTCTAGCTACTGCCTTTGTACACAAGAGCGAATACACCCAAGACGGCGAGTCAGGATTGATTCGAAGGCAGGTTGTTACAATTTGGGAAGCTGTGTTTCGACAAAACTTGTCTGAAGATGTATATACATGAGATGGATAAGCTCGAATCGACTATGGTGCGTCGAGTGGTTTTAACGTAGGAACCGAATGCAAAGCATCAAAGTGATGTGATCAAGCGAGGAGGCAGCGATGCTGTGCATTGGCATCGCTGCATGTTGAGCGAGCGAGCAGGGATATCGGCACGCTTACTCGTCCTTCTTACCAGAGCCAGCCTTCTCAGCCTGCTTAATCGCAGCTTTGTCGGTCTGAGGACCAGCCTGTCCAGCAGCACCGAATAAACCAGGGGGAGCCTTGAAAGGACGCTTCAAGTCGCCCGTAGCAGGCTGGCCCCAGACCCAGATCTTGGCCATGTTGGATTCCAGTGCGTTCTTCAATGGCAGAATCGACTGGATGACAAGAGGGTTGGTGTATCCCATGTAGAGATGCATGAATCCGACCATAGCGCAACCCATCAAGATACCGCGAGTGGATTTGGAGATTTCGGCAAGGTCGTAGTCACGGCTGGTGGTGGTGACGAGCTCGCCAGGTTCCTGCGACATGGGGTTCTTGGCGTTGACGTACTTGATGACGGTAAGGTCGTTGGCTTTTTTAACTCGGATGGAGCAGTAGTAGTAGACGGCCAAGCAGAGGAGTTGGACAGCGACGTAACCAGCACGTGCGTATGTGATGTACTCTGGCTTATCGTCGAAAGGGATTCGCTTGGCGACCTGCATGGCGCCGAACATGAAGGCCTGTGCAGAGAAAAGAAGGAGGAATGAGGAGAACGGAGTCAGTGAAAAGCTTCGTTCGGGAGAAGGAATGTTTAGATGTGCCTGGGATGCTTACCATGTTTCCGATAGCTCCGCTCATGATGAAAGATGTACGCCGTTAGACGGGAGCGAGATGCGAAGGGAGGATGTGTGTGGTGGTAAAGATGCAAGGTGTTGCGTGTGGAGAAGAGAAAAAGGTAGGAACGAGAAGAATTGCAAACAAAGCGTTGTGTGGCGGGCGCGCGGACAGTGTGTGCGTGACAAGTTGGAAGTTGGCCGGGAGAAGTCGCTGAGATTGGATTGGCTGTGTGCAATTGTGCTCCTTCCCATATGCGGTAGCGGATTTGCCCAACACAACTCAGCGCACGACGTGCAGCGCGCCGCCCTCGTTACCACCCACCGCCAACCGCCACTGCTGCTGCTGCCATGTTCAGTCTGCCATCTTCTCGGACGAACGCTACTGATGATCCAAACTTGTTCAAAGGGAACACACAGCTTGTCGAGCTATGAGATATTGCGTTGACAAGATCAATGCTGTATCTATATATATAGTTGTTTAAGCTAATTTAACATCTGCGGCCATAGAACCTTGAAAGCACCGCATCCCGTCCGATCTGCGAAGTTAAGCAAGGTATCGCCTAGTCAGTACTGCGGTGGGGGACCACGCGGGAATCCTAGGTGCTGCAGTTCTTTTTCTTTTTCTTTTTCTTTTTCTTTTGTTTCTGTTAGGCTGCGTTTACTCACACGGGAAAGTCGGGACAAAATTTTCGAGACTGAGCAGCAGTAAAAGCCAATTCTGTCACAACTCGCCCGGAAGACGGAGAGAGAGAGAGAGAGAGAGATGATGATGCTATCTCAGCAGCAAGGCAAACCGTTGGATTCCGGCTCTCTTTTTTGAAATTCTCGTCATCTCTCCACTTTTTTTGTGCTGCCAACATCAAACTCACACATCCGTCGCCTCTTCACCCTTCACATCTTCCTCCCGACACCACCAGCACACGCAACGAACGACAGTCCATCTGTTCCAAGTCAAATCAACCGTCGACCAACCACATACTACACCTACACCTTTAGCAATACATCAATATGGTTCGCTTGGAAGAAGTCCTCGATGAGGAGATCCTCCGACAGCAGCAAAAGTCGGATGCTGCCGCCGCCGCTGCTGCAGCTGACGACGATGACTGGGAGGAGGAGCAAGATTCCGATGCCGAGGTAAGTCTGCCACCTTGCTCACCTCATCGCTTCTTTTCACCAAGCTCTTCATGCTAACAATCTCACCTTTCCATCTCTGTCTCTCTCCCTCTTGTTTGCTTCTGACAGTCCGACTTCTCCGACCAATCAGACGTATCCGAACGAGGCCTAGCTCTCAAACAAGAGACTCTCTGGGAACGCATTTCCGCACTCCGCGATATCATCCCGCCTAGCACACGTCGTTCGATCGCATCCACCTTCAACACTACCACATCATACGCTTTCACCGGCTCTCTTCTCGCAGGTAAACTCGTTTGGGTTGTGACCACGTCTGCGCTCTTGGTTGGTTTGCCATTCGCATTGGCTGTAGAGGACGAATCGAGGATCGCTGCACAGGAGAAGGAGATCATGGCTCAACAGCAGGGCGCACAGCATATGATGGCTCCTGCTACACCCACTCAGGGTCAGGGTCAGGTTCAACAGGCCGGTGCTCCTCAGGGATTGCGTCCTCCTGGTTTCTAAGCCGACCCCAGCAGAACGCAGAGCAGCTTTCATGCAGGATCCACCTTACACCTACTTAATACGTTGTCCTTAGTGCATCTTCCTACACTTCACGCAGCACCGTCTTCCGGCCTTTCAGCCATGACTTGTGGATAGCAATCCGATCCTTTCTGTACGATTGCTCTGCTGTTTCACACCTCGCCAAACTATTTGGCGCCTTGCTTCTCACACTTGTAACATCATTCTCATCCCTGGCTTCACCTTCGGGTAACAAGACGGCCAGTCTGTCGGGCTATCCTCAGTGGCCCTTGTATCGATCTCATCGAACCCAAAAAGATCTCAGCTCTATGTCCAGCTAGTGCATCCTTCGAACCACAACGCACCTCTCGCTCGTACCAACTGCTCTGATCTGAATCAATGTGTGTTCTGTCTCTTCTGTCTCCTCTGTGCTGTTTGTAAAACTGCGAAATGTTAATTATGCATTCCCTCGACAGCCTGTGGAAAGCTTTCGTCTGTGAGAACATCAACAGAGCTTTCTAAGTCGTATCTTCTGTTCGCAAGCAGTGTCTCGAGGTTGCGACATTTGCCGTGCCGCCGAAAAGCCTCCGTGAAGCAGCCTGAAAAGTGGAGCTCACGGCCCTAAAATGCGTTATCCACACCTCACATCAATTCTCTCTTTCTCTCCCTCGCTATCATCTTCACGATGACCAGCCCTCGCTTCGACGCATGACGACCTCTGTAGTCTCGCGCTTACGCTAGCGCCCGCAATTTTTCTACCTTTCTACCTTTCCCTCTGTGCTTGCACGAAGGTTCGCCAAGATGCCAATCTGTACCCACTGCTCGCAACCGCTCAACTCTCTGTACATGCGATATGGAAAAGAACATATTGTTCTCTCCCCTTGTCCCACCTGCACCACCTCTTATTCAGGCGGAGTAGTATTTGCAGACGGGTACTTGGAACATGATCTAACGATCGTAATCATCGACCTTCTTTTGGCTAAACCACAGGCTTATCGACATTTGCTGTTCAATCGATCCAGCATCTTTTTCCCCTCTCCCCCCTCTACTCTTTCCGCTCGGAAAACAGGAGTAGGGGCTGGAAGCGAGGGAAGGTGCGAGCTGGGAGTAGTAGCGCGAAGATTTCTAGCGTTAAGTCTTGTCGATGCCTACGTAAGATGGTTCTATCTTTGCGTCCAACCACCTTTCAATGGCGTTGAGACGGGAGGAATGGGAAGAGGGAGAATATCGGGAAAGGTTGCACGGTGGTTAGGGGAGAGAATGCCAATGCAAGCAGGAATATTCTTCCCTTCGCTCTTCACTCCTCAAGCTAGTAATACGGGTACGAGCTGGAGTTATGAGAGTGGAGTGATAGGCACGGCTATCGGTTCTGTTTGTAGCTCAACACCCTTTTTCGCAAAGTTGCTGGGGGATGGGAAAGAGGCTGGAGGTCACGGAGAGATGCTACCGACGCTAGTCTCGTATTTGAACGTACTGGCGGTGACTTTGGTAGAAGGTCTAGCTTTGCATTTGTGCGTCGGCGTTTCGAGCTGGGTGGCTGTTCGTACGCTCTTACGACAACAGCGTTCATCCGTCCGGCACAAGGTCACAGAAAAGAATGCAGAAGCATCGTCGACACCGGCAAACACCACCTCCACACCCGCACAAAGCCATAAGAAACAAGTAGTGGAAAGGAACGAGTTCACCGACCCTTTACTACCAAGTAAAGCCATCCTGCTATCCCAACTCTCACCCCTAATACTCCTCACCTTCGTTCTTTTGTGGAGTACAAAATTCCCTCGTCCCTCCACCTCCCAAATAAGAAACGCAGTAGAAGGAGCAGGAGCAGGGGGGCTGCAAAGAGGATGGATAGTCTGGGTCATTCGCACTTTTCTTGCTAGTTTGAACGCTGGTGTTGCTCTAGGCACTATCCTCCCTTCATCATTAGGCGACGGCAAGCGAGGTGGAGGAAGGAGCAAGCGCTGGTACTGGCCACCCATGATTCTGGGGGCGGGATGGACAATTCAATCCCTCACAAGTTGGGTTCTTTATACGTTACTATCGTAATCCCCACAAATCCTCTTCAACATCACAAAGCGTGTGTGACTGATGCCATTGCGCTGCTGTGCTACAGGCTTACTATTTGCTGATGCTCATGTGCTCATTCGGAAGCCAACCCACCACGATGCGCAGATTGCATAGCCAACCTCCTCACCTGATCCAACGAAATCGCTCCTTGTCGATACGCCAACGTCTGTCCGTCCTCCCCTTGTACTTCGATTACTCCATCTGCACTTACTGCCACCGGCAATGCTTTCGAATCTTTCGCCTCTTCTTCCACCACCCTCTCGTTGTCAAGTCGTAGGGCATCATCATCGTCGTCATCGTCCATCATTACTGCGTCTCGACTGCGGTATGCGAACCCTTCAGGGCCTTTGGATCCGAATTCACCGTTATGGATCCGTGGAGAAACGCTGTTCGATCCACTACCAAAAGTGGGGGTGGAGGTGGAAGGAGGTGAACCGGTGTGTTGGAAACTCATCCCGGGTGAGGCGCTGAATGCGCTGAATTCGGTCACTACTTTTCTGCTCCCAGCTGGGTTCGGTGACAAGCTAGATGTTGATGTAGATCCACCAAACGCACCCGCACTGCTACTTCCGCCAGGTGGCTTAGGGAAAGGCACGTAGGGCTTATACGACGAAGTAGCCCTCCTAGTCTGCAAATACTTATCACTAAGCCTCGATCCAGCAACACGCTTAATGTTGGGCTTGGCGGTAGCAAGATCCGGTGCAGTGGCCCAAACTTGAATGTTGTGACGAGACTCTTCGGTGTCTCGGTAGATGCTTTCGATGTAGAGCTGTTTTGTGTTTTCGTTGCGCAGCAGTAAACGCTCGTGCAGTTCTCGAGCTACGTCATCCATGGGGTTGTTCTGTCCGCCTTCCAAGCTGAGCGACTGAATGCGTTCTGCGATAGCATCGCCAATCTCACGATGTAACCTCTCCAGATCCATCGCTTCTCCTGCAATGCCCAAGATGACGTGGCTGAGCAAACTGGCGGTGGTGAGGGGAACGAGCATAGCACCCGTGATCCGGACAAGTCCTTGGTAAAAGTCGGCAGCATGCTGGTAGCCCGACAATGCTGGTTCGCATGCAATCATGAAGAGTGGGATACCTACTTTGGCGTACTGTCTTGCAAGTCGTAGCGGGTCCTCGCCATCGGGCGACCCATCGTGGAATCCATCGCCATACTCGCCAATCCCATGTGGCGGAGCATCAGCAATCAACACCGCCAACTTGGTCGCATGCGGGCGCCAATCAAGATCAAGCGCAGCCTTCATCGCCGCTGTGACCGCTTCAGGCCCGTCTCCTCCTCCCGAAGCATACAAAGTCTTCAGAGCTTCTTTGACGTTTTCGACCTTGTTGTGGAATCCAAAGTTTTTGACAATGTAGGTGTGATCCTGCGGTGGGTGATCGCGGTAGGCGATGAGACCGATACGGAGTGCACCTGGACCGCTGAGCTGTTCGGAGTGAATGATGTTCTCGCAGATGGTCTCGATGTTTTTGGTGGCCGAGTTGATGTAGCTGCCCATAGAGCCTGTTGCGTCCATGATAAAGACGAGATCCATGGTTCGGCCGGGCTCGTCCCAGATGGAAGCGCCAGAGCTGGAGGCGAAAGCATTGCTGTTTTGATCCTGAGCGTTAAGATGTTGTGCGGCTGCGCCAAACATGCCGAAGACGCCTCCGGCCGTTCTGGAAGATGAACCCGCTGTCATCTTTGCTGATATTCCGCAAGCGAACAAAGATTGCTTTGCTTCCGCTGTCGTCGAGTATGCTGTGCTGAGGAGTCAAGAATGGGAAGGTGGTGTGCTGAAAGCTGAGTCGGGCTTGCTCGAATGGGTGCACCTCTTTGTCCTGTGTCGAAATGAGCTACTGTCGCTGTTGCGGAGGTACGGAAGGGTCCAGTGCAACCTCGTCTTGCCACTTCAACGGCCGAAACCTGGTTGAGCTGAGCTGAGCTGATCAACCGAGGCTGAGTTGCCAAATGAGGAAGATGGCAAACGATGTTCCGCAGCGAGATGGTGGTTGTTAGCGAAGGTTGATGAGGTTTTGACATCCTCTTCAAACGGCTGAGTCGAATCAAAAAGCACACATTTCACAAGTGTGACTTGCGTGCGAGGCACAAAACTCGGTTGCATAAAACTCCACACTGAAATCACACGCAGTAGAAAAAGGCGACGTCGGTGCTAATCGTAGAAATTAGCACAGCACAACACTATTGAGATGGACGATCCGACGAGATGACATTGGTTGACGTAAGCAGACACAAAAGGGATCAGATGAGGAATGGCCTGATCGGGAACAGAGAATCGGGTGCAACACAGTCCCGCTCGTTGTCACGATCGAGTGCAACATGTTTAGGTCAGTTGTCATGGTAGATCATTAAGTAGGAGTACTCCCACCTTTGGCATGTGCCACTCACATGTATATATATCTCACAGAGAGCACTAGGCTCTTGCCACATTCCCTAAAGGGGGTATCAAAGTTTTTGCATTTTTAAAAACCCGGGTTTTTTCAAGAGTGCATTTTTCAAAAAAACGCAAAAGCTTACATAAGCTCTGCAAAGGGAAAAAAAAAACCGCATTTTCAAAAATGCAGCTCAGGAGGCACATTTGTGAAAACATGGTTTTTTTTTATCACTCCACATCTTCTCTCCTTTCCTCACTCTCATCGCACTTTTGCTCACTCCCTCTTCCTTGCACTCATTCAACATGACCTCCTCCACTGATGATTCTGGTGACATCTCTGCAGAGTTGTTATGCCAGTCCACTACACCTACAAGCTCTGCAACTCAGACCAAAAGCATGCCTGCACTGTCTCAATCTGGTTCTACAAGTGCTCCTGACATCCACACTTCCTGTCCAACTCGAGCCTCTAGATCTGCCACAGGCAAGAAGAACTTGACATGGTCAGGTGCCAATGTTCTTCACCTTGTCATGATCCTCTACATCATAACTCCTACCAGTGCACTCTGCTGCCATCTCGAGAATCGGCTGAGAGTGATCCAGCCCTCAAACTTTGCAAACATCCCATTTTTCAGGATATCTCCAAGATGATTTTCCCAGGCACATCTGTCAATCCCAATTGCATGAAGTCCAAGCTGAGGTGGCTGCTAGAGACATACTACAGGGAGAAGAAGAAGCTTTCACCCACTGGAGCTGGTACACTGCTGGAGGACATGGATGCATCCAACCCGGTAAGTTTTGGTGATCTTCGTTGCTTGCAATAGTATGCTTGGATGCTGATTCATACTTTCAATTTTAAACAGTCCTACGTATCTCACATTGCCCTGTCAACAAAGTATGCTTGGTTTGAAAGGATGCATGAGATGATGAATGGCTGATTCAATGCTGATCCCACAGCACTTATCACAACTCCCAGTCTTGACTTCACCAGCAATGACGAGCCTGACATGCCTTCGAATGGCTCACCTGACATACCCATGGATATTTGTGGCAGCGAGCTGTACGATCACAGCGCTCACAGCTGTGGTTTGCCTCCTATTCTCGACTTGATCGAACCCACCAACCCCCTGGCTGCTGTTGCATCCACTTCTGGTGCATCCTTTGCTGGTGCTGGTGATGATGACATCTTTAACACACCTTTGCCTCCACCTTTGCAGGCTCGACCACCTTCCTCCACTGCTGGCAGTTTGGATGTCTCTGATTCCACCTCTTCTCAATCTTCAGCCCAGCTCTCTCCCAGCACCAAGTGCAAGCAAGGTGCCCTTGATCACAAGCGCGACACACTTGCTGAAGCTTTCTATCATTCTTCCATTGATACCCTTCAGATCTGCCTGCAGCTTGAACAGGAACACACCAGACATGAGAAAATACTGGAGGCTGAGTGTACCAAGCACAAGGAGATGCGCCTGCATCACGAGAGGGAGGAGAAAGAGTGTGATGAACGTGTTTGTGTGTGTGATCATGAAATGGTGATGGAGATGGTGCACCTCCTTGCTTCTCAGGCCAGCATCAAACAGGATGCTTGTCAGAACACCAGCAACAACAACAACATGGACTCTTCATTCAATCTTCCTGTCTTGTAGCATTACATGTACTATCATCTGGTCTCAATGCAAAGTCATTTCTGAGTGTTTTTCTGTAGAGTGCAAGTATGAGGTGAATAAAAATGATGTGCAGCACAGTCACATAATGAGCTCAAAAGCATTTAAACAAAAATTTTCACTCTCACACCTCTTCCATTACTACCACCACTCCACTCTGCAACCTTTTGGCATTGCTCTTGCTGCCATCCCCCCTCTCCATCCCCCCTCTCCATCCCCCCTCTCCATGCTCCCTCTCCAACTCCCTTCCTCCTTCCAGCCATGGTGCACTACAGCAACTAGCAAGTAATTCTCAATGACATTGTCTGCACTCTCAAGCTCTCTATAACTGCAGAGGTCATCCAAAACACCAACAGAGTGCAGCACTCCTGCAGCACTGACATCGACAACTTGGATGACGATGGCAACCCAATTCTGCTCTCACAACACCTTGTCTGCTTGTACACTTTCATATGCAAGCAAAGGTACACAATCACATGTTGCACTCCTCTTGGCTGTGCTGATAAGCTTATCCACCTTCTCAACAGGTATGAATCAAGCAATCATAGGATGTATCATGGACTTGTTTGTATGTCGCCTGAAGCATTCAACAATCTCGCCATCTGACTCCAGCAAACAGAGGCTTTCCAGTGGAACTACAGCAGCTCAGGTGTGATGTCTCTCAACAAAGTGCAAGAGATTCTTTCAGTGGCTCTGTACAGACTCGGCCATTCTGGAAATGGAGGTGGTGAATGTGATGCTGCTTTGCAATGTGGTTGCAGTGTTGGGAGCATTGTTGGATACACCAATCACACAGTCACTGGCCTCCTCGAGCTAAACAACAAGGTCATGCAGTTTGCTTCAGAGGGAGAGAGACAACATGCTTCTGCCTGGGTGCACAATACTACTGGGGTTGAAGAGTGGGGTAAGGGCTGGCTTGTGGTGGATGGCACACACATCCCTCTTGCCTGGAAGCCAGGAGTGCTCAGTCGAGAGCACTTCTGCTACAAAGGCTTCCACAGCATAAATGTAGCACTGGTGATCCTGCCACACTCACTGCGGATTGTTGAATCAGTTGTTGGACAGCCTGGCAGTGTTCAGGATTTGAAGGTTTGGGCCTCAGGCAGCAACATCCTGAAGAAGCCTCACCTGTACCTTGACAAAGGTGAGTTCATCTGGGTTGATGGTGGATATGGCCATTCTGCCTTCACAGTTGGACCATTCTCTCACATTGCTGCTGACAAGAGTCGAGACCTTCGACACTTCAACTACATGCTCTCTCGAGTCCAAGTACAAGTCAAACATGCCATTGCATACCTGAAGAACCACTTCCAGTGCCTTACAGGCTATTGTGGTAACATCTACCATTTCAAGGACTGCATCACTGCTGCTGAGACGATCCAAGCCTGCATTGTTGCCCACACCTTTGCAAGTCAATATGACTGTCCTGCTGATATTGCTGACCTGCTGTTGCCCTCTTTCTCTGAGGATGAGGTGAGTGAGGTTGTTCAAAGCCTCCAACTTGATGCCAGTGATACACAAGAGCTCAGGAGGACAAGATGCACAAATCAGCAGGAATACGAACTGGATCTTGCCACTGCAACACAAGGAATGTCACAGTATGCAGTGTCAAGACTTCGAAGTTCTGCTGCACATGATCTTCGAGAGGGTTTGTTCCAGGTGCTGTTCAGATCCACTGGGCACAATGAGGAAGACACTACTGCATTGTCTCAACATCATGAGAGGACTACTGTGGACTACATTGCCATGACTCAAAGTGCATCAGCTCAGAGACAGGAGCAAGTCTTGACACAACCATTCTCGATCTGACAGGCACTCTCTCTTCTTCTGTTCAATACAATTCTTCTCACCACCATATGAAACATTACATTGAGTGCATTGTGTGAAGAGGAAAGCAAGATATAAGCAAGCAATGGGTAATAGCGACAAGAGTGACAAGTAACATGACCACTGTTAGGTTACATATTTTATTGGCCATATGATTTCATCGTGTTTTTGGAAACCCACTTTTCCTTGGGGGGGGTTCAAATTCCCTCCAAAAACACGCTCTCGAAAAAACCCGTGTTTTTAAAATTGCAAAAACTTTGATACCCCCTTAAGTCAATTGAGTATATTTGTTTCTGTCTATAAACTAGCAGTGACATCATACTTAGACTCTCCCCGATTGCCAGTATCGGGACCAAAACAACTTCAGTTTTTCACAAACACTTGCTGCCATGTGTGCCTGACTCACATTGCCCGATCCCATCATCGCTGCTTTCTCCAGGTTGAATATGTACGACCCTAACTTTTCTTTGGACATTTCACATCTTTACATCCTCGTATCCAGGGCAGTACAACCTCCTCGTTTCTAGGCGCGAAGCTGCAACAGCGCAGTCAGGGGCCGTTCAAACATAACTTGTATCACACTTGTTGTGACATGGATGTCTATGATGATTGCATGATGACAGGAGAGAATGCTACCGACAACAAAGCTCTTGAGAGAGAGAGAATTGCGTTTACCTGCGCTTGGATGAACTGGAGGGACCCTTCTCCTTGCGAGATTTGAGAGCGCTCATGATACGCTTCACCTCTCCGTCCATGTTGTTGGGATCAAAGTAGGCGGGTGCAAAGTCATACAGCCATTCGGGCTTGACCTCGGTGATAGTACGGATAAAGTTGCGCGTGGTGAGCACAAATTCGTGGTAGATAACAAATTCGGCAGCGTGATCGAGCGTCGAAGATGGGTGAGGCGAGACAACCTGGTTGTCCTTGATCGTGGTGAAAACCTTCTTGTTGCCTCCAGCACGGTGGGCGACCTGCATGAAGAATCCACAAGCGATGGCCATCTGGATGTTGGTGTAGTACCTCTTGTCCTCGAAAGGTGTCGAGACCAGGTCGAGGTTGTGACGCTCCATCAGACGCTGCAGCTGCGAACGGACGTTGTCGGCTTGCATAAGTGCACGATGCGAAAGGTAGTTCTGCCAGCACCAGTCTGCAGCGGTCTTGTTATCACGGCAGTTGGTCTTGTAGGCATGGTAGACGTTGAGCAAGGTGAGGTGATCGCCGTCAGGGTGAGCGAACTCAGCCTGTGCAGCGTCGGCCTGTTGCTTCTGCGAGTTGGGTCGAACAAAGACGTTGGGCACCGAAAGCATGGCAGCGATGGTCAAGATCTCGTTCGAGCACTTGAACTCGGGACTGACAATCAGCATCTTTGCCAATTGAGGGTCAAGAGGGAAGTCAGCCATGATTTCACCCAGCGGTGTCAAGTTGCCCACGTCATCGAAGGCAGCAAGGTAGTTGAGCAGTTCGAGCGCACGCATGATGGTCTCCGGAGCAGGTGGATCCATGTAGTCGAATGTGACCAAGTTCGAGATGCCAAGCTTCTTGAGCTCGAGCACGGTGTTGGCGAGGTTGCTTCGCAAGATTTCGGGATAGCTCTGCTCGATCAACTCGTTGGCCCAATCCTTCTCCGTGTACAGCCTGAAGCACTTGCCTGGACGTGTACGTCCAGCACGACCCGCACGCTGCTGTGCCGAAGCTTTGGAAATGGGCGTCACCAGCAGCGACTCGACACGGATACGCGGGTTGTACACCTTCTGCTTGCTGAAACCCGGGTCCACCACGTAGACGATACCATCGATCGTCAATGATGTCTCGGCAATGTTGGTGCTAACAACAACTTTGCGTCCGGGAGGACCATTAGGAGTGAGAGGTGCTGGTGCAGGATCGAAGATGCGCTGCTGCTGTGCTGGAGGGAGTGACGAGTAGAGCGGCACCACCTTGAGAGGACCACAGAGATCAGGGTTGGTAGCAGCCAAATCATCGGCCTCTGCCTTGATCTTTCGACAAGCGTCTTCGATCTCCTCCTCACCGGTCAAGAAGACGAGGATATCACCAGCGTCTTCTGCCTGGTGAATCATTATGACAGTGCGAATGGCGGCTTCGAGGTAGTCTGGCTCGGGTTCGGGCGTGTAGAAGGTCTCGACAGGGAAGGTTCGACCGGGCACCTTGAGCAGAGGGGCATCGTTAAAGTACTTCTGGAACTTGAGAGCATCGAGGGTGGCTGACATGACAATGAGCTTGAGATCCGATCTTCGCTGGACAACTTCCTTTAGCAAGCCCATGAGAATATCGGTGGCAAGCGTACGTTCGTGCGCCTCGTCCAAAATAATGCAGCTGTAGCATGATAGACTGTGATCGTGCATAGCTTCACGCAAAAGCATTCCGTCCGTCATGTATTTCAAGAAGGTGGTGCGACGGTCAGTGGCGTCCTCGAAACGAATGGTGTAACCGACTTCCTTTCCGAGCGGGACGTCCATCTCTTCCGCGACACGCTTGGCAACGCTCATGGCAGCAACCCTACGCGGTTGAGTACAAGCGATCATGCGAGGAGCAAGAATACCATCGGCGCCCTTGGTCTTTTGTGTGTTGGGCAGATCCGAGTATGCGACGAACTGTGGAATCTGGGTGGTTTTACCGGAACCGGTTTCTCCGATCATAACCATGATCTGGTTGTCATTGAACAGCTGGTAGAAGTCGTCCATCTGTGCGTAGACGGGAAGCTCCTTCCTCTTTGCCAAGATCTTCTTGTAATCGTTGGAAAAAGGCTTGGGTGCTACGGAGAAGGGGTTGACATCGCCCTCCATAATCTGTCGCGCTTGTGGACCAGTGACCTTGCGTGGGATAAGACCAGCGAGAGGGTGGTCGTCGGCGAGAGTGCCATTGGTGGCAGCAGCGGAGGTGGATGCATCATCTTCGTTCATGTGGGCGAGATATGGGTTGGTAATGGTCTCTGCGTCAGGAGCGTTCATCTTGCTGCGCTTGGATGGACGAGCTGCGTCCGCGCTGGTGCTGGCTTCGGCGCTCGACATTGGTGCTTCAAGCGTGTTTGTAGCGACTCAATTTGCAGCCGCTGATGGTGTAATAGCGTTTCGGGTGGTGTGACTGGAGGAGACGGAGCAGGCAGGACCTTGTGCTATCAAATGGTGGCGTATGCAAATTGAGAAGCACGAGCCTCGACGACCCTAAAGAAGAATCTCGAGTTGAAGCTCAGCTGGACAGGTCGCGAGCAGAAGAGTGGAGTCCCAAACCAAAAATTTCGGTGAGTCTTCTCAGAAGGCAAAATTTGGCTCGAGAGTCATTTTTGGATGCTGTCAGCAACGGTCAGCGGATGCGATTTTTTTTTGATTTTGATTTTGATTTTTTTAAAAACCAGAACAAAACAAAAGCAACAGTCTAACACTTCGAACATCGACCCCCGAAAGCAGCCATTTTCACGCTCGGGTATTCGCAAAAGTGTCGCTTGCCGAGCCGGGTGGTCCGGGCATAACTTACAGCCAAATCTGCTCCACACCTCTTCAAGCCAAGCAGGAGCGAGAAGGTAGCTGTTGTTGAAGCGGGGAAGGCCGCTTGACAGACTCTTGTTGCCAGCTCTAGGAGTGTCAAAACCACAACAGCGCCAACATCAGAAGAAAAGCCATTCACTTGACGCTCGCTTACCTCTTCACCACCTCCCTCGTTCTTCGTTCACATTCCTATCTACCAACATGATGCTCCAGACTTCCAGAATCGCACTACGCGTCGCACAGGCTAAGGCTGGCACCTCGGCCACCATGAGCCGATCGGCTTCGAGGGCTTTCTCGACATCGTTGGTCCAGAACAAGGACGTCCAGAACATCACAGTGTAAGTGAAACTAGACTCGCTGACAGGGTTGGGATTCAATCTGAATTGACACCTTCACCCTTTCCTTTGACTTTGACTCACAGCTTCGGAGCTGGTCTCATGGGCGCTGGTATCGCGCAGGTGCTTGCTCACAAGGGCAAGTTCAACGTGACCCTATCGGACGTCACAGACAAGGCCCTCGCCAACGGTCAGAACATCATCTCCAAGTCGCTCGGTCGAATCGCCAAGAAGGTGATGGCTGAAGCCAGTGCCGAGGAGCAGGCTCAGTTCGTCAAAGGCATTGTCGACTCGATCAAGGTCACCACTGACCCTGAGGCCGCCGTCAAAGATACTGATCTGGTCATCGAGGCCATTATCGAGAACGTTGGCATCAAGAAGGACCTCTTCGGTTTTCTCGATGGCAAGGCTCCCAAGGATGCCCTCTTCGCCTCCAACACCAGTTCGCTTTCTATCACTGACGTCGCCGGTGCTGTCTCTGCTCAGCGACAAGAGCTTTTCGGCGGCTTCCACGCATTCAACCCCGTGCCTCAGATGAAGCTTGTTGAGGTCATTCGAACCACCAAGACCAGCAACGACACGTTTGACTCTTTGACTGAAGTTGCCAAGCGCATGGGCAAGGCTCCCGTCTCCTGCATTGACTCGCCTGGGTAAGTTGGCCGACTAGAGTGAAATTGCCCTTTCTGCAACTGGAGTGATGCTTACTGAATGACCCCTTCACTGGACTCACACAGATTCATCGTCAACCGTCTCCTCGTACCCTACATGCTCGAGGCCATCCGTTTGGTCGAGCGAGGCGAGGCGACCGCCAAGGACGTCGACACTGCTATGAAGCTTGGTGCCGGATGTAAGTCCCAGCGCCTTGCACAAAACCTTACTTCAAGCCTCTTGAACATTCATCGCTGATGTAACCTTCTTTCTTGTTGTGCTTTTACAGACCCAATGGGACCTTTCGAGCTTGCTGATTTGGTTGGTCTCGACACACTCTCGCACATTGCCAAGGGCTGGAGGGAGACGCGCGTCAAGACTGGCGAGATCTCTGCTGAAGCAGTACAGGAATCCAAGTTGCTCGAAGAGCTGGTCAAGCAGGGCAAGCTCGGAAAGAAGAGCGGTGAGAAGGGTGGCTTCTATGAGTACCCTGCCCCCGCCAAGAAGTGATTTGCGTCGGAGTCTCGACAGCGAGAAGCTCGAATGTTCGTCACGAAATCGTAATCAATAGATGAATTTGAATGCCGTTTGGTGTTATTACAATGTGATGATACTGTTACAAGATCTTGACTGTGATGCAAGGAGATAGACCAAAAGATCGAGGAGGCGCTACACGAAGGCTCTGACGTGTGTGCAAGGAACGTCAGGGTGTATGTCATGGAGTCGACCAGGAATGCTGATGTGTGCGTATAAAGTCGGTATGGCCGAAGAAGAAGAGTTGAATGGCCGATCAGAATGCTGATACAGTGACTGTCTAACAACGGTTGTCCCACTGCTTGAGATAGTCGATACCCATCTCCTTAGGCATGGGTCCCCAGTCCTTCCGTTGACGATTGCGTGGTCTTCTCTTAATCTGCTCCGTGCCATAGTCAGCCATGTCTTCATCCTCTCCTTCGCTCTCCTCGTCTTGAGCAGCTGCTGTTGATGTTGGTGTAGCGCCAGCTTGACGGAAGACGGGCTTGGGAGCACGAGTTGCCTCCTCCTTCTGACGGGACTTTTGTTCCAACACCTGCCTCTTTTCGAGCGCCTTGCCAGTCAAGGCAGCCTTCTTGACCGCTACTTGCTTGAAGACTGGCGCACTTGAGGTCGATGTTATGGCGGAGACTGATGAGCGAGCCTTGCCTTGTGTCGCTTGCTTTTCCTTGAGCGTTGGCTTCTTGTAGAATTTGGATGACTTGCCCATCTTGTTTTAGTAGTAGTAGTAGTTGTTGTTGTCAGTGCTTCTGGGGCAAAGAGAGCTTGGATGATTGGATGACCCGCTGACTATTGCAGTGGTGTCGACTTGTTCAAGGATGCGGTGAGAAGGAGCGGAAGCAGGGCTCGAGGGAGTTGGTGATGTAGTGAGAAGAAAGTCGAGAAGAGTGCAGCCACCAAATTTTGAGAAAAAGAAAAAAAAAAGAAAAAAAAAAAAAAAAGAAAAAAAAAAGAAAAAAGGGTCTTCTGGCCTCTTTGAACCGAAAAACTCGCCGAGGCACATTTAGAGCTGTGAGAGAGTGGAGGAAAGTGGCACGGTGAACACGCGCAACCAACACCTCGACAATCGAAGCAAAACATCGCCCGTCACCACCGACATATCCAAAACGTCAAGATGGGTTCAAAAGGCCAACAGGTGGACCTGATGTCTTTGGACGTCCAGCAGGTGAGTCAACGCTCGCACGCTCTCGGCGATTGCTTTGAAGAGACAGGACGCACTGACACTGATTTGATGTTCCATCGTAGCTTCTCGAAGTCAAGAAGCAGCTCGAGACCGAAGTCCAGCACCTCACATCGTCGTTTGGACAACTGAAAGCAGCACAAGCCAAGTTCAAGAGCTGTATCGACAGCGTTGCCAGCGTCAAGCCAGAGAACAAAGGTGCGTAGCTGCATGAAGATGGAGATGGAAAGGGACTCTGCGTTTGCTGACTTTCCGCCGTTCCCGTCAATAATGTCTCCATCACACTGCAGACAAGACAACACTGATCCCATTGACATCTTCGCTCTACGTCCCTGGCAAGCTCGCGGACTCGGAAAATGTGATTGTCGACGTGGGGACAGGTTACTTTGTTGAGAAGGTAAGGGCTCACGGCATCTAAGCTCTTTGCGCATCCACTTGCCCGGCTGACACAACGAATTCTTTGCCTTTTTGTCTCTGACAGTCAACAACGGACGCTACCAAGATGTACCAAGAAAAGGTTGAGTTCCTCACAAAGAACCTGGAACAGCTGCAAGAGACCGTTCTTCGACAGCAGGAGAACTTGCAGACCACTGTCGAGATGATCCGAATGGTAAGTGTGGCTTCATCGTTCACGAGACTAATCAGGACTAGCCTGCTGACCATCTCGATCTTCTCCACCCACACCTGTCCCACACTGAGCAGAAGGCAAGAGCTGAGCAGCAGGCTGCAGCATCAGCACAAGGCCGAGGAGCGGCAACTGCGGCAGCATCATCGTAGATTCCTGTACCTTCTGTCATCTATAACATCACCTGCTATTCAAGCAGATTAGTCCTGTGCACGAGGTCTTTGCAGCCAATAGCATCATTTTAAGCTATCATGTAGGCTATACACCTGGAGAAAGTTTGAGTGGAAAATGGACAGGCAAGCAAACAGATCGGGGTCTGATGAGCAAGATCGGGGTCTGTTAGCTCTGTGCAACGCTCACATCGTGTGGAGTTGATATTATTTAGCAAAGCAGAAAAAAAAAAAAAAAAAAGAACCAAAGGTCCTCGACGTCGTTTGGCCCTCTCTTTCTCTCTCTCTGTGCTGACCAACATGACAAATCTTGGTAGCATTCCGCTTCGGCGCTTCGCTTTGCACAGAGAGACGTCTTGTTTCGGAAGAAGTCGAGCAATTCTAGAAAATCATATGGCAGCAGATGGCGATCTGACGAAAAGTGGAATTTCCTTGAGTGGCGCTTGCGAGTGTGTGCTTTGTTCGGGCCCTTTTTTTTTTTTTTTTTTTTTTTTTTTTTTTTTTTTTGAGACTTTTTCGAAGTTTCGGAAAGTTGTAACGTCTGAGTCTCTTTCCGTTTGTCACTTTAGCCAATCCTCAGCTTTCTCAACTCCATCTTGACTCTATAACCCATACCTCCACCAGCATCAACAGGTTCCCTCCATCCTGCTATAATTGGTCCACTGTCAACGTCGCACTCACAAACTTATACCGGATCGCCAGCCTGCTACCTTTCCAACCCGAAAAAGCAGAGGCGCTGGACACCTATCGAAGCACCCTTACCCTCCTCCCCTTTTTTGACAACCTGAGACGCCTTTGTGCCCCACAGTGTTATATCGATCAGCTTCTGGAGCTTTTGGAACGATTCAAGCTTTGACGAGTCAGCACACTTACGGGCAACACATGACGGCGATAAGCAGTTTTGGAAGGGTGATGGTATGATCGGCTCTCGGTGCCTGGGCCCAGGCGGTTCGGCAGTCAGATCGAGGGCAGCTCGTGCGCCATCTATAGCGGCGGCTGCGAATCCCTCAGCAGCACCGCTGGCGGAATGCTCGTATCGCACATGGCAGCCACCACAGCTGACACGGACAGCCCCACGGAAGCAGACATGCACAGTAACATATCCGGATCGTCGTTGCTTCTCGTGTAGCTCTCACAGCAGAAGGAGTCATGCCGGCTCGCCTGAAGCCAGCGTTGCGGTCGATCAGCATGCCACCGAATCGTCCATGCATGACCCCCCATTCACCTCTGCAAAAGACAAGCGTCTCCGACCTGTTGCTGGGCCTGCACCCGTTGCCACACCTTCTGCCAGCGATGCTCCGCCGATAAAGCTGGCCGATTCAGCGAAAGGCACACCATTCAACACCGATACCTCAGCGGACCGTATCCGATCAGCTGAGAACCCCCTGGGAACGCCTCTACATCTACCAGATAGCTCTCTCGCAACTCGGCTTGCGATTCGCCACTCGCCTCCAAGAGCTCATCCCGACATCCCACCTCAGCTCCTTCTCGAATTCCTCACCGAGCCCGACGAAGATGCTTTCCAGCGCATCAAAGCCCAGCTGCCGCCAAGCTTCCACCGCGTCGATGCATACCTTCTACTGCGCCAGATTGATCCACAGAGCTTGTCGGCCCTCTCGTACCGCAGCATCCTCTCCTTGATCAACCAAGCGGGCAAGGACAATCTGGGCGCTGTGCTTGCAATGCTTCTCGAAGACATCATTGGACCAGAAACGTCCAATGCAAAGGGAGGGCCTGGTCTCTTCCAGATCTTTGCCGGAACCGAAGAGCGCCACCAGCTGCTGAGAGAGCTTCTTGTGCGGTGCAATCGCAGCGAGCTTCTCATCCACGATGGTGCAGCGCTCAACGTGTTCCTGCTCATGCTTGACGACTTCATTCAAGTACGCCGCTCCTCAGAAGCCGGCAATGCAGCAGATGGCAAAGCTTCCTCTGTCGAAGGAACCCTAGCCTCGAGTGCTGATGGCTCACAGCTCACCTTACCAGCCACCTTTCCCGTCGGCGAGACACGGAGACTAGTCAAGCTAGCTGTATCACTACACAGTCCCGAGCTTGCCCCCATCGTCAATGCTATGCAAGCCCATCTTGTAGCTCGCACGCCCGACTTTCCAACGGCCCGAGAGGGATCGCAGCTCATTGCATATTATCTCCAGCCAAGTCTGCGCGACTTTTCAGCTGCCCTCGACGTCGTGCGCTCACTAAGAGATACCAACGCAGTTGCACAGGAGATGGTGGATGACGCTATTAGCGATGGAAAGCAATATTTGGCCGAACTCGAAGCTCTGTTCTTTTCAGAAACGGAAGAGGTGCATGATCGACCTTCTGACGACGAGCTCCAGCAGATATGCATGGATGTATCCCTTCGTCAGATCGGCTTAAAAAGTCTGATGGCTCAACGACCCCAAGGGGGCGTGCAGTATCGCATGGCTTTTGAAAGCCTTCTCGCCAGTTTTCGACTAGACCTGTTGGACTCGTATCAATCCCATCAGAGATGCGATCTGCGATCTCTCCTCTCTGTACCATTGCGCAGCGTCCGCAGCGTCTTCCTCAATCTTCTCGGCCAGAACGATGAGGCAGTGCGCGAAGCTCTCTTTGCGCTTCAGCGAGCTGACCAGCGCCTTGTAGCCATGCTGCCCAGTCGCGATCTGCAAGAATACTGTGATGCTGCTCTAAACAACAATGTTTCATGCTTAGCCTCTGAAGCATACGCCCTCTTTGTCAAGGCCAAAACTTCGTCACTTTCGACATCTGGATTGCCTGCCAACTGCAAGCATAACCTAGCACGCGACGGATTGCTCACGAACACAGACACGTTCTTGGCTTTGATGCGAGAGCTGCTTTCGCACGGTCAGAAGATCACTGCCATTGCGATTCTGCGTTCGCTTCGTATCCTGCCTTTGACGGACTCTTCAGTGGGTCAGCTCAACTCGCGCTTTATTGGACAACAAAGATCGCGACTAGTATCGTTTCTGGCTGAAGTAGGATTGGTCGAGGATGCCTTCGAGCTGTTCCAGCATTGGAGCCATCGGCGCTTCGATCCCGAGTCAAAGTACAACGTCTCTAGTCTGCGCAGATCCGGCTCGGTTCAGGTGGTCGATCCGTTGATCGAACGTCAGATCCGTCTGATGCACGATGCAGACCATCAAATCGCGACTTCTTCCGAGTGCCTTGTTGCTCTGGTCCGAAACATCTGCCGACAACCCCTCGTCAACCTTGCATCGAGCCCATCCGGATCTGGATCGGAAGCGGAGCATGCGTCACCTGGAGAAGATCAGGACAACAGATCGCGAATCCCATCCGACCGACTGAAGAAGGCTAAGTTCGTGACCGACATCTTCAGGAAGTCTTGCTCACCGTTAGACTGGACGCACTACAAGCTCACTGCATTGGCACGGGCTTGCTTCATTGCCAAAGACGTACGTGGTGCTTTTGACGCGCTTGCCAAGATCAGCTTTCTTCGGTTGCTCCCTGACCAGGTTGACATTGCGGTCTTGCTTGGTGGTTTGGTCGAGCACAATGCGGACAGGGCAGTCAACCTCTTCATTCGGCATTGCTCTGTGCCTGAGACTATTGGTACGGAAAAGAAGGGCAAGAACACTGGCAAACAGGGAGCTGCACACACGTCAACGCAGAAACCTCCGCCCGTGCTTGCACCGATGAAGCCGACCGCTGCACTCACTTCGATGTTGATGACGCGGGTGATCGCCCAGAACCGTACGGACTTGGTGGATAAGTTGTACACCTTCAGCAAGGCGGTCGGTCTCTCGTCACGTCTCAGTTACGCATCTTCCATGCGTGCTGTCGTCTCGCCGGAGGTGTCGCCAAGCAAGGTGGTGCAGACTATCAATCGCATGCTACAGAATGGATGGACTGTCGACCCGGGTCTGCTCGAGAAGTTGGCTCAACGGCTTTTCAGCCGATCAATGAAGCGTCAGCCTATCACCGGAACACACGACGCATCTACAGCGGCACCTGCCAAGGGTAGGCTGTTGCCACCGAAGGAGCGTCTCCACCTCGTTCAGGCTGCAACACACCTCATGCAGATTAGCGCACGTGACAAGGAACTGGTGAATCTTCGCACCGTTCAACGTGCACTCGATGCGATTGCTCGTGCTAAGCCATTGTTCTCCAGTGTTTCTGCTGTCGAAGCAGAACGGGGGGCAGAGAAGGCTTCTGGTGCGTCTTTAGGGGCCGCAAGACAGCGTGGACGAGAGGAGAGGCGACTGCAATGGATCACAGCGCTCGACTCAATCGTGCACATGCTTCGCTGGACTCGATTCTTCGACACGGGAGACGATTATCGACAGAGTCTACAGCTGTGGAAGTCAAGCAAGGGCAGCAACGGCGAGTTTGTCCCTGCAGAGCTGGAAGAGATGCTGGATAACAAATTTAAGCGCAGAAGACGTCAGCAGACTCGAGCAGAGATGAGTGCAGTATCAGCTACAACACTCCCTACTTGGGCGGAGGCTGCTGCTCAATCTCAGGCTGCGAAGACAATATCTGATTCTGGTGGGAACGCTGCGCTGACACAAACGGATGGTGTGGTGCAGCAAGTATCTAGAAGCTCTCCTAATGTGTTGCCTGCCGACTTGTACCGTCGACTCATCGAGACGTACTTGGCGATTGGTGATGCATGTGGAGCTGCTGAAGTGGCTTCATGGATGCGAGACGAGGCTAAGGTGGATATGGCTCGCACATCCGCAGAGGCCTCTGAGTTTGTCGATCGCATCAAAGCGGCAGTCTTGGAACGCAAGGCGTTCGCACCCTTTTCTTTTGCAACGAAGCAGCAGCAGGAACATTATACAGCTGATGCTGGATCGACCAAGTTTACGGCTGAGCCAGCCGCTGTCGAATCTGACGTCGAAGGTAGCATGATCTTGCGGATGTTGGCTGGTCAGCAAAGCACAGAACGTACGAAGCTCTGGTGGACGCCCTGAAAAGTGCAACTTCGCAATCGTCATCCTCTGTATAGCGCACAAATCAAACGTGTTTTTTAAGAATCATAGACCACTATGGAATAAAGCTGTAATACCTCATAAGCATCCGTGACCATATGAATGTTTGCGTGATTCGAGGTGTCCGATGCTCTTTTATCAAGGGTCGCATATTGTGAGAGTAGGAATATCGCACGATAAAAGTTTGCAACCGGTCGAATCCTGCTTGAGCTCTGAGGAAAGAGAGCTGAGAGGAGGAGCTGATCGGATCGTCTTTTCTAGCTTCAGCGCAGTGTATCTGATTTTCCACTCGAAATTCAATCCGAATGACACTCACTCCAATTCATTCAGTTGGAAATTGAATTGCTCCGAGAGACAGGGTTGAATACAATTTCTGCCCGGACTTGAAATGGCTGCTTGCTGCTCTCTCCAACCGAAGAGCAGAGGCTAAGAAATTGTGTGTGTGTGTGTGTGAGAGAGAGAGAGAGAGAGAGAGAGAGAGCCAAGTCTGGAAGAAATCTCTCGGTCTCTGTGTCTCGTCGTCGCTCACAAGCCAACACAACTTGCAAATCTGGCGTGCGAGTGAAGCAGGAAGCGCCGAGGACTGTTGTGGATTCTTCACGCTCCCATCGCTCGTCATCGTCGTCGACACTTCTGTATCGTCTCCACACCCTTCCATTGTCGTCACCACCATACTTCATCGTCACCCAAAAATGATCGCTCGTGCCGCCTTCCGATCCGCTCTCCGAGCCACCAAGGCTCCCATTAGCCCTCTCGCTCAGATCGGCGCTCGCCGTGGTTACGCCGAGGCCGTCAGCGATAAGTTGAAGCTCAGCTTTATCCTTCCTCACGAGGTAAGAATCAGCATCCCATTCCAGGCAAGGCTTCTTGCAATATTAGCACAGTCAACGACAGTAGAATGATGATATTCCGACAATCCGGCACAAATCAGCAAGCAGACCGCGAAAGATACAGGCAAACACAACACACATGAAGGCAGGAATGGGAACAGATTGTGACCCGACCGGACAAGGGAATGGACAGCGTCTACATCGCGACAGTTGGTGATGGAATCACGGGAGAGTACCGTGTCAAGGCAAGCAAGACATCTCGTCTCAATGCGGAGCTCTGGCAGGAGTTGGAGAAGGAGCTATTCTTGCAGATCACGCCATCATTAGAAGCGCAGAATGAGCCAGAGCAAAGGGGAAAGTCAGGATAGCATAGACTGGATGCGAGCGAAGCTCGGCAGTACGTCATCTTCTGCAACACGGGGAAAGCGCTAGCATAAAGAGGCAACGTTCAGCATCACCGTTCTTCGGTCTCGTTACAGTGCCTACGACATACCGACCATTCGACATGTGCAACCACCAACTGTACTCGCATCGCCTCCGACTAGCCTGATATTGCATTCCTCAATGAAACCATCGCCATCTTCATAAACGCTGCATACAGCATACTGACCCTCCAATTTTCTCCTCCCAACCCCTCCTTTTCATCTCCTTTCATTTCTGCAGGCCATCTACAACTCGACCGAAGTTACCCAAGTCAACATCGCCTCTTCCACAGGAGACATGGGTATCCTCGCCTCGCACGTTCCCGCCGTTGAAGAGCTCCGACCCGGTGTTCTCGAAGTCGTCGAGTCTTCCGGTACCAAGAAGTGGTTCGTTTCCGGCGGCTTTGCTACTGTTCACCCCAACAACAAGCTCGTTGTCAACGCTATCGAGGCATACCCTCTTGAGCAGTTCTCCCCCGAAGCTGTTCGTTCGGCACTTAGCGAGGCTCAGCGTGTCGCCAGCTCCGGTTCCAGCGCGGAGGCCAAGGCCGAGTCAGAGATCGAAATCGAGGTCTACACTGCTTTGCAGGCTGCTCTTGGCCGATCGTAAACGCTGTATAAAACGGTTGGGATGAGATCTCACGGCAACGGAATGCTGTAGAACAGCAGAGATCTTGTCTGTCATTAGTTCAACAATTGCGTCGTGCCTCAACGAATAAGAATCTTCAGATACAATGTAGATACAATGTGCTTCTGGTATGTTGGTCTGATGCTGTGAAATGGTAGTTCTTGTGTTGGTGCTTTGTCAAGTGTTGCCTATCGGTGGCTTCCGAAGAGCTGAACCTGGGTCAAAAAGCTCGGCACTTGCTCCATTCGACACGACATTTCAATTAGACAACCCGTTCTTCTCGGCCAAGACCAAAACGTCGATCCGTGCGTGTTGGTTGACTGCTCATCATGTACGCTCCTGTGAGTCTCACTTTCTGTCTTCCCGCCCGACATCCAGTCCAAACGAGTGGAGAGTTGCAAGAAAAACATGAGATGGTGTACAAATACAGATGAGCAACGACAAGAATGTATGCTGGTAAGGAAAGGGTTCGAATGGAGAACAGGAAAAGGAAGAGAGATGGAGCTCAAGAAGGCCGGACGAAATCCTGCGAAAGATCGACGCCTTCAAGATGGGTGTTTTGGAGCTTGAAACGACGAGCGCCGGCGCCCTTTTTCTTCTTCTTGTTCTTAGCATTGGCGGCGGCTTGAGCGGCTGAGATGGGCGCATCGAGCATATCTGTTGTGGAGAGGCCTTCTCTTTCGAGTTCCTTGGGCAAATCGACGAGGTCGGGTACTTTGAGTTCGTGCCAGAGCTCTTTGAATTCTGTCCAAGCCAATTCGTAGCGTCAGAGATCGCATGTCAGTGTTCAGATCGAAAACCATAGTGGAAGAGGTGGGAGAACGTACCATCATCAACGCCTTTAGCCTCCTTCCCTCTTAACGGATTCCAAAACACCTGCTTAATCGCTCCATCTTTCTGCCCTCTTAACACCAACACTTCTCTGTCCTCCTTCGGCTCAACCTTACTCAGCTCCTCAATCGCATCTCTCGCTGCTGGATAACTCTCTCTCAACTCTGCCAATCTCATTCCCGCCGCCGAAGAGTTTCTTGCGCCATTACCCGGGTTCAAATATCTCTCCTTAAGCAAAGCTACTAAATCGGCAGGTGTGCGCAAATCGTAGTCGGGCTTGTACATCCATAAATCTGTTTTCGTATCGTACATCACCCGATCGTGCGATTTGAACCGTTGAAACAAGCCACTATTGGGGTTGAGAAGGGCGGGTAGACCTTGTGAGAGGGCGAAATCTTCGAGCCGGACGGGGTTGGCATGATGTTTGAGTGCATCGATGGCGGAGGCGAGTTGAGTGTTTTCGTGAATACCTGAGCCTGTGTTGGCCGGTTGGCTGTAGATTTGGGTTGGTTCACGGTTGCTCATCTCTGTAATACCCCGGCGGCAAGGAGGTAGGTTTGAACCGGATGCAGTGCGGAGTGAAGAAGGGGAGAGGTGAAGGCAAGAAGATGATGAAGGGTCCATGCATCGTTGCGAATATCCCCCGATTTCCGACACGAGGGATAATCGCAAAGCCGATTGCGATTTGTGCTTTTAGCCGGAAAATTGCTGTGAAATGGCAAAGTCATGTTGAAGATTACGATCCAGTGCGACACTAAAGGATGACGCAGAGCCGATCTGATCGGAGATCAGGCAAGGCCAATCCAATTAGATGACCAATCTGATCAGAGATTGAGCTGTGCCAATCTCACCAGAGATTGGGTGCAATGCAGTCCTGCTCGTTGCCATGGTATATTATTAAGTAGGAGTTACTCCTACCTTTGGCAGTTGCCACACTAATGTATATACAGTATGCACATAAACTGTCCCAAGATTTTACATGTCACCATACATCACTCTAATGCTCAATAGCTATAAGTTGTATTGCCACACTGTCTGATATCATCTGAAAGTGCTGCTTCTTCTCTCCAAGACTGTGGAATTGATATTGACATTGACTAAAAAAATTGTGCTATGAAGAAGAGCTGAATTTTTTTTTATTGTGGGACAGTTTATGGAGTGCTCCTTGAGAACACCTTAGTACTTTGTATTCCCTCCTTTGGCCTTCAGAACTGCCTTGATGTGGTCTGGCATGCTCTCTATTAGTATCCTACATGTCTCTGGAGTGGTTGCTGTCCATTCAGCTTTGCATCTCTTGAGCAGTTCATCCCTGGACTTTGCAATCATACTATACTGTGAAAGTCGCATTTTGAGATGGTGCCAGAGGTGTTCAATTGGGTTCAAGTCTGGTGACTGCCCTGGCCATTGCATAACCTTAATGCTATTGCCTTCCAACCATGTTTTTGTCTTCTTCAACATGTGTTTTGGGTCATTGTCTTGCTGAAACATGACATTGGTGTATGCATGCTGAAGCCACAAATCTGAGATTGTTTTCAAAAGCTTGTCATTCAGGATATCAATGTATTGGTCTGAATTCATTGATCCCAGCACCAAGCATATACCTCCGACCCCTTCCCATGTCATACAGCCCCAGATCATGATGGAGCCACTGCCAAACTTGACTGTTGGCCTGACAAGCTTGCTGTTGAAGCTGGTGTTCTTATTCCAACAGAACTGCTTCCCATCCAGTCCAAAGAAGTTGATCTTCATCTCATCGGACCATACCACCTTCTTCCAATCCTCAACAGTCATGTCCTTGTGCTCATTCACAAATTTGAGATGTGCTTTGTAATGCCTCTTGAGTAGCTTCAGTTTATTCACTAACCTTTGTGCTTTGTAATGACAGTAATGAAGTGCTTTTCTTACTGTTGTTGGGCATACTTTGATGTGAAATGTCTCCTGCAGTGCATGACATGCTTTCCTGACTGTGGACATTGAATTGAGCTTGAAATAGTGGTCCAGGAAGTGAACATGACAAGGCTGGAGTTTTCTCGGCTGGCCCCCCTTTGACTTTGGAGCATTGGCAGAGGCACTTTTGCTGATGTGAGACACTGTAGACTTGCTCAGACCAAGTTTTTCAGCAACTGAATGGGTAGATTCTCCATTTTGGAGGGGAAAGAGTGCTGATTGGTGCTTCTTGGGAGTGGTTTTTGTCATGATGGTATAGATATGATGGTGTCAGACTGGAAGTGCTGCTGGATTGCTCACAGTCATCTGATTGAGCTGAAACTTTCCACATCACTACTTTTGATGTGTATGAAGGTGCCCACCAAGTTACATTACAAGTTTCATTGTAGTCAAAAGCCCACAAGGTCAGGAATGGAGTGGTGTCACTATTTGTGAGCATGCTCCATAAACTGTCCCACAATAAAAAAAAATTCAGCTCTTCTTCATAGCACAATTTTTTTAGTCAATGTCAATATCAATTCCACAGTCTTGGAGAGAAGAAGCAGTGCTTTCAGACGATATCAGACAGTGTGGCAATACAACTTATAGCTATTGAGCATTAGAGTGATGTATGGTGACATGTAAAATCTTGGGACAGTTTACACATGTACTGTATATCAAGCCAAGAGCACTAAGCTCTCGCCACATTCCTTTAGTCAATCGAGTTTATTTGTTTCTGTCTATAACTAGCAGTGACATGTACTTAGACTCTCCCCGATCGCCAGTATCGGGACCCAAACGTCTTCACTTTTCAACAAGTCATAGTCAAAGGAAAGGAAAGGCTCGGTCGCTGCTGTATCAGCTGAGTGAGCTGAAGGAGAGAGAGGACACTAACTTAACTAACTGACCAACCGTGTAAATCTTGTCGCGCTCAAAAAGGTCCGGTCGACAGAGAGGCAGGGACTGAGTCTCTTTCAGTTGAAGATGCATCAGCATCTCAAGCGATATGCACATGCCACAGCCGAGACACCAAGGTGCAGGGAGCTCACGTAAGTGAGGAACACAATGAAGTAAGCAGTAGTTGTCATGGTGATGGTCTGGTGGCACCCAGTATCATAGCAATGCAAGGGTATGGATGAAGTGACACATCTTGTTTTGGATATCACTAGAGCAGCAAATGGAGTATATATATATGTGTTTGTCATTTAGGTTCACTCTAACGAAAACTAAGCATTACATAGAATATACAGCTGTGAAAAGGGAGTCTGATCATGACCCTGATAATGCTGTGTATTAATTGTTATCTTCAATTGATTAAGAGTCTGAAGAAGCTATCACCAAGCTAACCAAAACTCATTGACAACAATGGTAGAAGACACCGAAATGAGGATCAAAGGAAGCAGAAAAGGCAAGAACACCCAGGTTCGGGTTGACAATGATGCCACAAACGAGAACAAGCCAGAGGCCATCGACAATGAAGCTGATGAAGACACTGATTCCGACTCCAACTTTGATGATGGCGACAAGTGATATAACTTTCGCACCCTAGCAAAGCTCCTCGAACCTGTGCCAAAGCTCACGTCATGCAGCTATTATAGCTGGAGCACCCATGTGAAATCTTTCCTCCGATCTGTGCCCCATGTGATGAAGCATCTCAAGGGAGTGTATGACAAGAAGCACCTGAAATGGAGCCACTCCCTTGATGATGCTTTAATCAACACTCTGCATGGAACAATCGACACTACCGGAGAATACAATGTAAATTACCTCATTCTAGATGTAATCAAGGAGTACCTTACTTTCAACCAAGTATGGAGAAAGATCGAAAATGGTCTCACAAACGAAGCCACCAAGATGTCTCACAGACTTGTGCTCATCTCACAGCTCAATGATATAAAGATGTTTCACTTGGATGCCAGAAAGCTAATTCAAGAGATCCGGTCCATACAGACTGAAAGTAGCCTCCTTGGCAAACCATTCACCAATGATACATTGTTCTTGGCTCTGCAGAAATGCATGATCTGGCATCTGGTGTATAAGGAGATGGTCACCACTGTCCATCAAATTGATTTCAACACCCTCGCCACTGCACTAAGCATCCGACAGACCACTGTCGAGAGCATCCCCGCACAAAAGATCGACCCCTGCCAAGCCAGTGCCTGGACTGCCAGCAACAATGATCAAAGTGAATGGACCAGAGAGACCAAAGCCAAAGCCGACAATAGCCACACAAGCCCAAAGAACACAGGAAGATCACACCAAATCCGATGCTGGATCTGCAAGTGACTGGGACATGGCATTAGTCAATGTGACACTACAGTTACCATTCCCAAAGACTCCCCCCTTGCCAAACCTAAATAGGAAGCGTGGTGCTCCCTCACCCTCTCACAAGACCCCCCAAACACCAAGGAAACAGCTCACTGGATCTTGGATTCAGGGGCAAGTTATCACATGGTGAACAACTATAGCATGCTCATCCACCTGAGAACTTGCCAAAAGCAGATAATTACTGCTGGAAGCAAGGTTTTGGAAGCAGCAGCTATAGGAGATGCAAGCATATCAACAGATTACAGGGAAATCTCCCTCCAAAATGTACTATATGTGAAGCATCTTAATGTTAACCTTCTGTCAATGAATTCATTAACAGATGAAGGAGCACAAGTGACATTGGATGCAACTGGTGGCCAGATCATTCTAACAAATGGCATGACACTTAAAATTGCAAAGAATCACAAGCAAGGTCTTTTGGAGTTCCAAGGTGACACATGGCAAGAAAGCATGATGGTCACATCAGCATCACTGTTTGAAGGTGTTGACAAGGAGTTTGAGCATATTAAGAATGAACCAAAAGTTTCAAAGGAACAACTATGGCATGAGCATCTCAGACACCCAGGAAGAGACAAAGCCAGGATGATCACAAGTAAATTAAAGAATAAGCATACCATGCATTTGGATCCAAACACTGCTCTGACATGTGAGCAGTGCATATGATCCAAGAGCACAAGTGCCCAGATGGGGCAAGGTAGTGGTGAAAGAGCTGTGGGGCCCCTGGATCTCATCCATGTCAACCTAATAATAGACTCATCCCATGTGATGGAGTATACATGTACTCTGGTGCTAATTGATGATCATAGCAAGTATGTGTATGCACAGCCATTGATGCAAAAGAGTCATGCATTCATGCAACTCAAAAGGATCGTTTCATTCCTGGAGACACAGACAGATTGGAAGCTAAAAGCAATCCAATCTGACCAAGGAACTGAATGGAAAAGCAACGATGCATTAGAATGGTCATTAGAAAAGGGCATAGAGTGGCAAACCACCATGGGGTACAACAGCAAACAAAATGGATGGGTGGAGAGAATGAACAGGACCCTTGGAGAGAAGATGAGAACATTGCTAATGCAGAGTGTCATGGGCCTGGATGCTCAAGAAGCAGGAGGGTCACTGGTTCATATGGAAGGAGCACAGGTATCGAAGATCTAGTCGATACCAGTAGAGAGCATGGTCATAGTGCAGTCTCCATGGAGACCATGGACTCCTATGGATTCACATGCAAAGGAGCACTGAGCCCATATGCGAGGAGGGCCAGGCACAGCCACGAAGAGGACCAAGCTCAAGGAGCATGCAGATGGTTACCACTCAGGGGCTCGAGAGGCAAGAGTCAAAGGAACCATCACCGGTCAAAGAAGAAGGAGCAGTGTATAGGGAACTGGCAAGCAGGTCCTGAGGAGGAGGAGCAGTGTTGAAGGAGTCGACACCACTCAGGAGGCACAGGGGTGCCAAACAAGCAGGATAACAAGGAGAAGGAGCAGTGTCGAAGGAGTCGACACAGCTCAAGAGGCACAAGAGTGCCAAGCAAGCAGGATAGCAAGGAGGAGGAGCAGTGTCGAAGGAGTCGATAGCTCAAGGAGGACAGGAGTGGTGCCAGAGGGGCCCCCTGTACAGTACTCGATGAAGAAGGTACTCTCTGGAGAAGAGAGCAGGAGCAGTGTCACTGGTGACACTGTGAAGAGGTATATAACCATGCTTTCTCATCATCAAAGGTCAAGTGGATCCTCATCCACTCTACACAACCATCATAACTAGTTATCACTTCAGCATAAGTATATATTAGTTTCAGTCAGCATAGCAGCAATCTATCAAGGTTGCTCCTCATCATAGTGTGTGTGTTGTATCACCACTACCTGACATCTGAAGGTGCCCCATAGCAGGTTAGCAGTCCGGATCAAGATAGAACTGAAGGCAGTAGTCCACTGCAGTCCAGGGATCACCTCAAGCATCAGTCAACACACTGGACACTTGTGTTGATGCCACCAACCTTATCACCAACACCATCAACCTCATTATCATCAACACCCACCAACCTTATCACCAACATCATCAACCTCATCATCATCAACACTCTCACCAGACCTTGGTGTCATCATAATCTACACATTGATATTGATCGTGCCAAGCTACCCCTGAACAGAGTGTCCACAGAGGTCAGCCGAAACCTACAATAGTATATACAACAAATGCCACCTGCTGTCATTGCACAACTTGATAGTTGCTGAATGACTAGCTCATCGAGACTGACACCAAGACAATAGCTGTCGCACAACTTGATAGTCACCAAGTATCTCGACAGACCGACCTGGGTTTCAGGCGCGAGACCCCTGACACAGAGGAGGCTGCCGAAGAGGTTTTGGCCATATGCGATCAGAGCTGCGGCATTCAAAATCAACCTCACTCTGAGTGTTGATAATGAGTTCCCCTATCAAGCAATGTTTGTCAAGTCACCAGAGCGAGCTTTGAGACTCCTATGAGTGTTTGGTTGTCTGGCATGGGTAAACATACCCAAAGTCAAATGGGACAATAAGAAACTAGACCAGTGAGCTGTTGCATCCATTTTCTTGGGATACAGTCTAGAGAGAAAGGGCTGGCTTTTCTACAGCCTGGACTACAGTCCGAACATTTTTTGGAGCAATTCAGCTAAATTCATGGAATCCAAATGCTGGTCAGACAGGATGGAGTGGCAACCAGTTGACACGAAGACACCTCCAGCAATGATGACAGAGGAGGATTTCAAAGACCTAGGGTACAACAAGGAAAATGTATTCAATGAAGCACATAAGGAACCATTGCAAGAATACATAGATATGGAGACAGGTTCGGAAGAGAGATCAAGTGAAGGAATGGTGGAGATGATGGAACCAGAACCAATCACTGAAACTCAAATTGACAGCAAATTCTTGGGACTCATGGCAATGTGACTGGAACAAAAGAAGAACCTGGATCCAACCATACATGAAGCAATGAGTGGAGAGGATAGAAAACACTGGGAAGAAGCCATGCAAAAAGAGCTGGATGGATTGGAAGCAATGGGCATGTGGGAGATTGCCAACCTCCTGAAGGGTGCAAACACTGTCAACATGCATTGGGTACTCAAGATCAAAATGGATGCAAACCTCATACCAACAAAGTTCAAAGCCCAGCTCATGGCATGAGGTTTCACTCAATGCGAAGGGGTCAACTACATGGAGGTTTTCACACCAGTGGCACCCATCCAATCCATCAGAGGGGTGATCACCATTGCAGCAACACAGGATTGGGAAATAGATTCTATTGACATAAAACAGGCATACTTAAACTCTACCATACACCATGATGTATACCTCAAGCCTCCACCAGGAATCAAAATACCATCTGGAAAGGCTCTGAAGGTAGTGAAAGGTCTGTATGGTCTGAAACAATTGGGCTGAGAATGGAATATTGAGTTAGACTCACATCTCCGGACAATCGGGTTTCACTGCATGCCAAGTGCACCATGTTTATACTCAAGAGGGACAGGCAACAAGATTATGATCATCACAGCATATGTGGATGACATGCTAATAACATCACCCAGTTGTGATGAAGTAGATTGCACCAAGCAGGAAATCATGGACAAATGGGAGACACAAGACAACAGAAGAATCAAAGAATTTCTGGGTGTAAAGATCACATGTGATAGAGAATGGAAGAGGATATCTCTGGATTTGACAGCATATATTGAAGCAATGGTGAACAAATGGCTAAGAGAAGCAAGTGAAAAATCTTGGATACCCATGTTGTGCATAGCAAATGTTGCCAGAGGTGAGAGATGCAAACCTCAACAAGCAAAGGAATATCAAGAGTTAGTCGGTCAACTGTTATGGGTATCAAACACAGCCTGACCAGATATTGCCTTTGCCATTGGCATATTGGTGTGATACATGTCAACCCCGATTGACAGCACATGGAAGGCAGTGATCCACATGGTAAAGTACCTGAACCAGACAAGTGGATATCAATTGCATCTAGGAGGGTCAATGAATGAGCACTTGGATGCACCAGTAACAACATATACTGATGCAAACTGGGCATCTGACCCCACAAATGGATGAAGGAGTACTTCAGGGTCGATAATGTATGTATATGGATGTCCAGTAAGCTGGAGGTCTCATGTTCAAAAGTGTGTAGCATTGTCAGCAGTTGAAGCCAAGTTCATCACCACTTCTGAGGCAGTGAGAGAAGCATTGTTCTTTTCATACCTGCTCCGGAATTTGGAAATCATGAATGTTTGGCTCATACTATACACAGATAGTCAGGGGTGCATACAGGTGAGTAAGGACCCAGCCAAACATTGGAAGCTGAAACATATCGACACATGGTATCATTTCATCCACAACCATGTGCAAGGGGGTGATGTGGAGATCAAGTATACCGGAACAGCAAACAACATCGTGGATGTTCTGACAAAGCCTCTGCAGGGTCTCAACACTTCACAATTGGCCAGGATGATAGGATTGGAGATCCCATCAAAAGGGGGAGTTGAAGATGCATCAGCATCTCAAGCAATATGCATGTGCCACAGCTGAGACACCGAGGTGCAGGGAGCTCATGTAAGCGAGGAACACAATGAAGTAAGCAGTAGTCATCATGGCAATGGTCCAGTGGCACCCAGTATCATAGCAACACAGGGGTATGGATGAAGTGACACATCTTGTTTTGGATATCACTAGAGCAGCAAATGGAGTATATATATATGTGTTTGTCATTTAGGTTCACTCTAACAAAAACTAAGCATTACATAGAATATACAGCTGTGAAAAGGGAGTCTGATCATGACCCCGATAACGCCGTGTATTAATTGTTATCTTCAATTCTTTCACGCCTCTCTTTCAAGCAACCTTTTCTCCGGTCCAACTTGATCTGGCTGCGTGACAGCAGTGCTAACTAGTCATTCAAACAGTCGTCAAGAACGGTTTGCTTCCCTCAACTCCCTCAACTCCCTCTTAGCTTGTGACATTCGCACCCTTCACACACATTTGATCGTCGTTGTCACCACCACCACCGCTGCCTTCCGACTTCCAACCTGCACCTCATCGCCCTCCCCCCGTCGACGCCGAATTCGTCCAACAGATCGCGCTTCGAGTTTGAGCTCACCAGCCAAGAACTACTTCAACGCCGGTGTCTTCCCCCGCATTTTCAATTCAACACTCGTTCTCTCCTCAGCACTTCGAATCAAATCGTTCACTACTCTTTGCACAGCATTTATCCTTTCACCGCTCACCCCAGCGGTCAGTCGCATCCACATCGCCAAAATGCACGTCCAATCTCGGCTCCAGCCAGCTCTGGACGAGCTCAAAATGAAAGCCATGACCCATGGTATCAATTTTTTCATGTTCTACCGTCGCAATCACTCCAAGATCCAACGCGTCTTACGAATCAGCTACATCCTCTTCATTCTAAACACCCTCACTGCCACCCTCCGAAGCGGCGGAAAGAAGAAGAAAGCCAAGAAGCCTGCAGCAGGTGCTTCAGCACAAGTTCCTACAGAGAAAGCTGGCGTGGTCGCGGAAAAGGATGCACAAGGTCCACACGAGGTGTCAAAAGCACAGCCAGCAGCAGAAGACTTTGACGATGCCCCGTCTCGAGGTCGTGGTGGACGTCGAGGCAAGAAGAGCAAAGGTCCTCGTGTTGAGGTCGATGCTGTTTTCTTCGAGCGTTTGAAGCGGATCCTTCGCATCGTTGTGCCTGGTTGGCGATCCAAAGAAGCAGGTTTGCTCATGTTACATACTCTCTTCCTGGTCCTTCGAACGATGCTTTCGCTCTACGTTGCCGATCTCGACGGTCGCATCGTTTCAGCGCTAGTCCGCTCGCAGACTCGTCAATTCATCACTGGTATCTTGTGGTGGATGGCGGTTGCAGTCCCCGCTACCTACACCAACTCGATGATCGAATTCCTTCAATCCAAACTCGCCCTATCCTACCGCAGTCGACTCACCAAACGTGTCCACGACGCCTATTTGACGGATATGACCTTCTACAAGCTCGGCAACCTCGACGATCGAATCAAGAACGCCGACCAACTCATCACTGTTGACGTGGCCAAATTCAGCAAATCTCTCGCAGAGATCTACAGTAACTTTGCCAAGCCGATCCTCGATGTCTGTCTGTACAACTACCAGCTTAGTGGACGTGTAGGTGCAGAGGCGTTGATTGGTATTAACATGCTCGTTTCGGCTTCGGCGACGTTGTTGAGGAAGTTGACGCCTCCGTTTGGTCAGTACGCGGCTACGGAGCAGCAGTTGGAGGGAGAGTTTAGGTTTAATCACTCGCGTTTGATCGAGAACGCAGAGGAGATTGCGTTGTTCCGTGGTCAGGCTGCAGAGCAGAACGTGGTTGAAAGGGCTTACTTCGCGCTCATTAAGCATGTCAATCGTGTTTACCGTATTCGTATTCTTCATGGTATGACGGAGGAGGGGATTATTAAGTGGTTGTGGGGTGCGCTTGGTCTTTGTATCTGCGCTGTCCCTGTCTTTGTTCGTTTACCGGGCAGCGGTAAGGGTCTGGATCTGGGTTCGCGCACAGAGTCGTTCGTCACCAACCGTCGTCTGCTGCTTTCGTCGTCGGATGCATTCGGTCGAGTCATGTACTCGTACAAGGAGATCTCCGAGTTGGCAGGTTACACCGCAAGAGTATCCGAGTTGCTCGATACGATGGATGCAATCAAAGCCGGCAAGTTCGAGAAGAAGCTCGTTTCCTCCGCTTCCATCGAAGAGAATGCCCTCGTTCTGCAAGGCCGAGGTACGATCCAAGAAGACACCTCTCGGTCAGCAGGTGTCGAATTCCGCGATGTCCCCATCGTCAGTCCTAACGGTGACATCTTGGTGCCTAAGCTCAGCTTCTACGTCCAACCAGGCCAGCATTTGCTGATTATCGGTCCCAATGGATGTGGTAAGAGTTCTCTCTTCCGTATTCTCGGCGGGTTGTGGCCTGTATACGGTGGAACCGTCAAGAAGCCACCCACTTCTGAATTCACCTACATCCCTCAACGTCCCTACCTCTCACTCGGAACTTTGCGGGATCAGATCATTTATCCTCACACAGCCCAAGAAATGCGCGCGCGAGGCAAGACCGACGAAGACCTTCTTGATATTCTGCGCGTTCTCCAAATCGAACACATCGTCGCACGCGAAGGTGGATGGGACGTCCAGCGTGAATGGCGCGACGCTCTCTCTGGTGGTGATAAACAACGAATCGCTATGGCTCGTCTGTTCTACCACAAGCCTAAATATGCTATCCTCGATGAGTGTACCTCCGCAGTAACGCTAGAGATCGAAAAGGTCATGTACGATCATGCGACAGAGTTGGGGATTACGATGTTGACCGTGTCGCACAGACCTTCGCTGTGGAAGTACCACAGCTTTGTTTTGCAGTACGATGGTCAAGGTGGTTACGTCTTCACGGAGTTGGATGCTGAGAAGAGATTGGCGTTGCAGGAAGAGAAGCAGGCGTTGGAACAGAAACTTTTGCAGGTGCCGAGGTGGCAGGAGAGATTGGAGGCGTTGAAGGAAGCGAGGAGGGAAAGGAGGAGTAGTAGAGTTGGGTCGCCGGTTCAGGAGAAGGTTCAGCCCTTGATGGCTGCCTAACTAACCCCTCAAGTAGCTTTTCAATCGAGTAAATCCATCAAAGTGGATGATTGTGTGTGTATGAGGACGTACTTTGAGCTGAAGTGTTGTGAGAGGCAAGGTTGATGGAGTTATAGGGATGCTCGTTTCTGTTCAGGTCGTGTGAGAGATGGCGAGGCAGAGTGTGTGGAGGTTTGCCGAGTCCCGAATCCCGACTAGCCGGCCAATGGCTGGGAAAATTTCTTGGAAGAAAGCGGCGAAAGGGTTCAACCCAAGCAGAGTTTTCTGAAAACCCTTTTCTTCGGATTCTGCTTTGTGTACCACCCTCTCGATCATTCTTCCACATTCTGTACCTTAATCAGGTCGACGCTACCTTCAAAAAGCACGCGAAGGATTGCGCTTAGTGTCCGAAGCAGCTGACTACGAGCAGGGAGAGGGTTTAGAAGCCGAGGCTTTCTCAGCGCTGAGGAGAACAGATCGGCAAGATGGTGGACAGGATACCATCTAGAAGCCAACATGCAGCGGCTTCGTTCTTGTCGTTGCTACGATTTCCATCCAACGAATCCTCACGACTGAATGCAGTAGCTTCGAAGAACTATTCTACCCTCATCACGACCACCAATGCACTTCCTTCCATTAGTCGAGGTCCGCAACCCAGCTACAGTCGCACCTTCACCTCGACCCCTCACACCAATGTCAGCGCACACCGCAAACAAGCAGGTCGCGAAAAAGCTCGTCTCAGATCCATGCGACTAGAAGAAAAAGTTCTCCGCCGGCGCGAAAAGGACGGCTACCCTACCATCTCCTCCCCCTCCTCCCCTCGCCGTCGACCACGAGATCCTGTCGAGGAAGAAACCGACTCTACTATCCGGGAATACATGGCTCGCACAGGCCCCCGCGGAGAACGTCTCACTCTCGCACAACAAGAACGGTTGCTCAAAAAAGAACTCAGAGGTCTCGGACTTCAATTGGAGAAGCTCGAGAAGAAGGCCAAAGCGGATGAAGCTACTCAAGATCTACCGGAATTAGATGATCATACGTTGGAAGAGATTTATGAGGCGTTGATGTTGCCTCCTCCGCCAACGAAGGAAGAGGTCAGGTTGGCGAGGTTGGAGGATGGGAGGAGGGAGAGAGGGTTGTTGAAGAGTGAGAGAGGGAGGAAAGGGGTGTTGCCGATTTCGGTTACGGAGGAGAAGAAGGGGAGGTTGACGAGGGATTTGAAGCAGAGGTTACTGGATGCTAGGGAAAAAGGGAGGGTGCTGTTGCCACCTTCTACGTCTTCGGTAAAGAAAGAAGCGGCGAGGCTGGCCGAAGTTGACTTGGAGTTGGAGGGTCAAGAGGAGGAAGTGGATATGGCAGCTCTTCCATATGCAGAACGACAAGAGATCAGGCTGCAACAACTGTTCGCTCGTTTAGCACTCGTACACAGCACTCCTGACCCACAAACGAGTGGCGGTTCCGAATCATTACAGGAGGTGAAGTCAAGTCTAGCAACTCGCATAGTAAAGATTCTCCAAGAACACGAGTACGAATTGCCCTCCTCCGCCCAGAAACTTCAGCCAGACAACACACAAACCTCAGAAGATGCAACCGGAGCGGCCCAACTCCCACCGTTCAAAGAAGTTCGATTGGACGCAAATACTGCTTCCCTCCCCACCAGCACCAACACCGAAGGTGATCCGCATGCTGCGGAAGTACCCGTTCCCCGCACCAAAGCAGAGGTTGATCTAGTAGAGAAAGCAGAATCAATGATCAACAACCTCACCTCTACCGAATCTCGTACTTTCATGCTGGACTCCATCGAACGAACCATTCGCTCTGCATCCCCTTCTTCTTCCGCCAACCCTCAACCAGCAAGTATTCCCCTTGGAGTCGCATCTATTGACGAATGGACCGCTCTCGCAGTATCCTCTGCTCGATCATCCGATTTTCCCACCCTTACTCGTACCCTTGACCTTATGCAACTTTCCGGCTACAAACCCCCCCTCTCAACCTACAACTCCATCTTGAACGCTTTCGCTTCTTCGGGCGACGTCGCTTCGTGCCAGACCTACCTCTACCTTCTCACCTCCCAAGGTGTAACTCCGGACGAGTACACCCATCACACGCTAGTCAAAGCCTACGCCACCGCCCAGCAATACCTCCCCGCAATCCAGCTGCTTAACTCGTTAGAGAGTTCAGGTGCCCCAGCTTCAATGGCTACGTATACACTCCTTATCTCCCGCCTCCTCTCCCCCACTGCCACTGTCAAGGGGGAAGAGAAACCGGAGTTACAAACCCTAGCATGGAACCTATTCTACCACATGCGGCTAAACGCACACCCTATCCCAGACGCACCACTTTACGCCCTAATGATCCGAGCTTGTGCACGTGGAATCCCGCAACCAACCGAAATCGATACCCCCACCACTACCAGCCAAAAGGAGGGGTTTAGCGATGCAGAACGAGCTCTTGACCTCTTTCGAGAGATGACCACCCGATACCACGTCAGACCTAATGCAGAGGTGTATAACTCGCTTATTCTTGCGTGCGCGCGACGCAAAGACTTTTACCTCGAAGCATTTCGCTTGCTGCGAGAAATGGTGGAGTTAGAACTCTCCAATCCTTCTCCCGAGACGGGGGGAGGGGTGGAGGGGATGATGCGTTTCGCACCGGACAGATACACATTTAACGCCCTACTCCAAGGCTGTGCTAGGAACAGAGATTTAGCTCGTGCACGGTGGGTTCTGGCAGAGATGATCAGGACTACTTTGCCACTGTTTGATGATGAAGTAAGGAAGAATCTGGGTAGAGCGGAGGTGATGGAGTTGGTAGCGAAACGACCGGGGGAAGAAACAATGTGTCATATCTTCCACACTTACGCTTCCTATACTCCGCCTCTCAAACGCGAACAACTTCAGATGACCCCCAGCGCTCCTCAACAATCTGCCCCTACTCCGCCTAGCGAAGGGAACTCGAACAGCGACACGACCCAAACCGGGTCCAAAAGCGAAGCAACATGTGTCGAACAAGGCGGAACGAGCGAACTCGCGACGCAAACCAACACCCAGCTCGAGAAAGCAAAAGATGATGCTGAAGAGGAAGAGACAAGTGCGGAAGAAGCAGCACAAATATTCTCCTCGCTCATCCCGCAAACTTCGTCGGACTTGGTTTCGGAGGCTAGATCTCTGTTTGCTCGTATTCTCGCAGACCAGCCTTCTCCCTCACCTCACTCCTCCGCGGGGCTTATCGAAGGTCCACTTGGGGGAGTTACTCCCAGCGTTCGGCTTGTAAACTCCTATCTTACGGTCCTAGCCGCACATTTACCCCCACAACACCGAGTCTGGGTTCTATACTCAACTCTCTCCCCCGACCCGGAGGCTGAATTGGAGAACGGATTGTTCCAAAAGCTCGGCCTGGTGGCCAACGAGCACGCGTATCGGATTATTCTGGAAGCTATGCGCGATGCAGCAGAAGGGGAGACGGGGTTGGTCAGAGAGGTATGGGAGGAGCTCCAATCTTTCCTATCACACAAGCAGTCGACGGGTGGAAAAGAGGTAGTACGAATCGATGGAGCAAAGCAGGAAGAGAAAGTGGATGCGATCCAGATCAAAAGGTGTTGGACGGCATACCTCCATTTTTGGGCCAAAAACAACCATCTCTCTCCCCCGAACAACGAGGGAAAGGATGGATTGGATTATGCAGTTGATCTCCTTAGACAGTTCTACGATAGCTATCCCCCCGTAGTAGAGCTGGGAAAGAGGAGCAAGAAGGCGCAAAAGCGCCAAAAGGAAGCCCTTAGGGCCTCACTACGCCCATCGGGCGAGCTTGGAGATCTAGATCTCTCACCCCTACCTATCCCATTGCAGAGCCTTCAGACTTTACAACAACTTCAATCATCCGCACCTACCAAACCCGAAAAGGAAGAACAGACGGAGGTAGTGCAGGAAAGCGAAGCTGAGAGAGGAGAGCTAGAATGGATGCTAGGAAAGCCGACTTTAACTTTTCTGGATGTAGAATTGTTACATCATCGATTGGTCAGGTTTGGACGGACAAAGGATTTGGCTTTTGTCAGTTGGATTCTGCATAGGTATGCTGCTGCTAATCGCAAGCGTTAGTGCAACTTAGTCAAGTTGATGGGGTTAGGGAAGACGAATGAAATTCACCACTTTTTTCAGTTTGAACAGAATCCAAGGGTCATCGAACTCATCAATCACAAAAACACAATCGAGCACACTTGAAATGGAGAAAACGGGTTTGACCATTGAGTCTGAACGGCCGAAGGGGGCTTACGGACGTTTGGGAGCCAAAGTAGCAAACAACCGCCTGAGTTCGTTTCCGCTCAGTTCCAGCGATGCCCCTACATCAGGATAACAATCCGTTCCTAACCTATGAATCCTATCAAACTCCTTGACAAATCCCTCTTCGCAACTCGTCCAAACTTTCCGAAGCACTTCCGTCTCTCCTTCACCTCCTTCCTCTCCAGCAGTTGGAGAGTCGTCGTCATCACCGAAATGTTTCCCAACTCTCTTGGCGAGTGCTTCAACTGCTTTCCTCGTATCCTTTCCCCCGAAGTCCTTCACCAGTTTCTTATATGAAGACTTGGAATAGGCGGAGTGCAGGGAGACTTCGTTTGCCGGTGTGCTGCGGAGGAGGGCGTCGAGACCGTCACCAAAGTCCATCAGCCTTCCCAACGGTCGACGCAGAACAAATTGGGTATAGGAGGTCAACGAATCGGTGTAGATCCCTTCCGCTCTCTTCACTAACCCTGCGAGAGAAGTTGTTCGACTCGAACGCTTCCTGACCTCGTGTACGAAATGAAACATGTTCTCTATCAGGATCACAAGGTGATTGAGTTGACCCTTATCCTCATCCCCACCCGCCGCACTACTAACATCAGCCCGTGATATCGTCTGAAGAGCATCAAACATACTCCCACAAATTAGCCCATAATACCCATCCACCGCCGTCCTAATATTCAAACCCTCTGCATTAACCATCTGCGCTTCCACCCTATCCACAAAGATGGGGAAAACCCGCATAAACCCAACGACACCTTTCCTCTTCTTAACCGTCAATTTCGTCTGTTCAATCGCCTTGACCTGTTCCCCGACAAACCTTTCCAATTGACTAGCCAATCTCAAATGCAACTTCGCCAACACCTTTTGCAAGCTCTCACAACTAACTTCTTCCGCCTCAATAATCCCCCTATCCAACGTAGCCAACAATCCTACTATACTCATCCGGTCTTTGGAGAGTGCTTCATCAGTAAAGGTCTGAAGTTCCGGAGCGATAAAACCAAAGATGAGATCCATTGCACCTTTCATCTCCCTCAAAGGTCCTGATTTGGTGGTGTTGGGGGTGAAAATGGCGGCGGCACGACGACGAAAGTAGGGTTCGAGATCCATGTAGTCCGCATAGGTGATGTTATTATCGTTGATGTGTAAGAAGTCTGAGATGAAGGTTTGTTCTCGAAGCAAGACGGGGATTATGCTTCCTAGGATCCGTTGCAGTCCGTCTTGCGCTGAGACATCACTTTTTTCCCTCCCGGCGCCGTTGCGAAGGGTTTGATTACGGGCAACACGTCGGATTGTACCACTTCTAATCGCCACTCCAGCAGTCGAAGAGGGAGTGGGGAGGAAAGACGCTTCTGCCAAGTCTTCATCGCTTGCCTTCCTAAGCTGCTTCCGATACGCACCGAACAACTGCGCCATTTCCGCTCGGTAGCATTCGCTAGCAGAAGCAAAGTACGCCGCAGAAGCCCGAGAGAACGTGGCGGAGGAAACTTCTTTCATGTACAGCAAAAGACCGCAGTACTGCCCCAGAGTCTTCTCCATCGATCCATGGTCCGGTAAGGTTGGATGCGGTGGTTGTAGAGCTTTCTGTCGTGTTGGATCAGAAAGAAGTCGTTGCGTCTCAGCAGAGAAAGTAATGTTGAGATAGTCCAGTACACGTTTACAGAATCGAGAAGAAATCGCTTCGTGATCAGCTAATCTTTCAGCAGCAGCTGCCATATCTGCTCCTCCTCCCCCCCCATCGCCATCTCTCCTAGCCTGGAGCATCGATTTATAGAGCGATGCAGCAGCAGTTTCGAGTCGTGCCACTCCATCCGGATTCTCCAATCTCCCAGCCGAAAGTGTATGAATGGCATCCTCGTCCACATTGATGGTGTTGATCAGGTTTTCGATCTCTCCCATCAGCGTTCGCTGGTTCGAAGTATGAACTTGCAACCCACGATTCTGCGATTCGATGTGGGAAATATCATCAGCCCTCGAGTTGAGTTGAACTTTGAAACCGGCTATCATACTATCCATCATATCCAAATCCGCCAGTGCTTCTTCCATATGCTTCACCACCAACGCTACTCGATCGTCCGACTCAATAATCGCATGGATGTTGGCCGATTCCAGCGCTGACAACTCATCCAGTAAACGTGCTTCGATCATATCCGCTGTCCCCTTCCCCGCTGCTACACCATAACCTTTAGAGCTGGCATTTCGCCATTCTAAGCCCTCAAGCATCTCTTCGACTGCGACTAGGGTTGAGTTTTCGTCTTGGTCCTCATCGGAGTCTGGGTTGGCGGTTTTGGATTGTTGGGTGAGGCGGGTTTTGTCCGTGTCTAAGCGAGCGATTGCCGGTCGACCAAGTGTTGCACGTTTGGAGTTGAAGGATGTATCAGGAGTTTCTTTTTCGGAAACAACTGCTCCTCCATACGGATCTTCGTCCTCTTCCGCTGCCTCATCATCATCGACTTCAGTAACACCACTCAACCCGGTTCCAGCCAACAACATCCTCTCATACGCAGCACCTCCTCGAACTGGTTCGATCGAACTCAACCTAGCCCTAGCATCGCCTCCACCCCGGACGTTCAGCGAATCACTCTTCTGACGTTGAGGCGGTTGTCGTCCCGGAACTGCCAAACTTGTTGTCCCTGTTCCTGACGATGGTGGTTGCTGTCTGGGTGGAGCAGAAGAGTTTGTCGCCGAAGAAGCAGCAGAACGGGCAGAATCAGCAGAAGGATGTGAAGGTAACTCTATAGGTCTTCGTAGAGGACTAAGCTGCAACCCCCCTTCGCGTTTGCTTTTGGTTGGACTGCCGCCGTTACTACGACCGTCTCTGCTGTCGTTCGAATTGCTTCTCGTAGGCGAGGGCCTACTGCTGGGCACTGTCGAAGCCTTGATCATCGGCGCAGCAGCAGCAGTAGTACCATTACTCGAGCTAGGTCTGGACGCGTCACTGCCCTGTCTATCCGAAAGATTTGCCGATTCGGCCGCCCCTCCACTGCCCGCTAATGGAACATGAATCCCCACCAACCTCGGCCCATCATCCTGCGTATACTTCCTATAAACCTTGACCAGACTCTGCAAAAACAACTGCTGTTCCACCGGCTGCTGCGTTTGCCACTGATACGGTCTCGTGAGCGTAATACTGAACACATCCGGTTGGATTACGTGGACTTGGCGCAAGATGTTGAGATCCCAATCTTTACCGATGCTGAAAGAACCGTTGGCATTGCGTTTTGCTTTGTTGATGGTTACCCGGCCTGCATCTTTTTGGACGGCGAGGATTAGGTAGCGTGCTTTTTTTGAGGAGGAGAGGCTGGAAGGTTCAGGGGCTTCAGAGGCAACTTGTTCCCAGATTTTGAGATGGGCGATGTATGCGTTGTGAGGGTTGCGCGCTTGGAGGGCTGTGTTGAAGAGGTCTTTGGTTTTGTTATTAGAGGTGAGATCGAGGGCGGAGGTCGATGCTGACATGGTGCCGATGGTAGGTGATGGCGAGGAGGTAGTTGGGATGCGTGATGTGCCGAGTGCGGTTGCGATGTGGTTAGCTCGATTGCTGAGCTTAGCACACCATGTAGCCTGACGACTGCTGCGTGCACATCAAGGCAAGGATGCGGTGATGCGGATGTTGCGATTGAGTCAGCTCAGCCGATATGATGTGTGAGAACGTGGGAATAAACCAACCCTTGAACAAGCAAGCCAACACAAGGGCAGCACACAGCGTGTCGAGTGCCGAAAGTGTGCTTTGCTGTTTTCAGGGTCAAAAGTGGAACGAGAGACCGTGCGCGCGTCACATGTGAAAAAACGTAGGAAAATCTCCAGAGAGATGTCACAGGGTCTGCGCAGAAGAGTTGAGGAAATTGGTTTGCCCAAGATGCATATGGAAGCGAGGACCACGAATAAACAGCCTGCATACGAGATGCATAATGGTTGTCATGGTAACGACCCAGGAGCCACGCATAAGGAGACAACCAGGAGCATGTTGCAGCAAGTACACAATCGAGTGATATATAGCAGTGTACACAGAGATCATGCCAAAGCATATATATACACCAATGTAGCTGAGCATTCATAAAAGTAAAATATATAAGCATTTTCAAAGAAACCACAACTGATTAAGAGTCTGAAGCTCAGCAGCTTCCAGCATGCCACCCAGAGTAGACAGCATAGCTCTACTAGAATGCACCATGCAGATAGTTAGGGAAGCTCACATCAATTGGAATGAAGACCAAATCCTGGAGCATGCCTTCTCCATGATGAACCTTCAACCCAATGCCAACCAAGCAGAAAAGATCCCTAAGTCAGTACTTAGCATTGTCTCCCAAATTGTCAAGCTCAATGAGAACAACTGGGCCATTTGGGAACCTATGTTCATGGATTGCATCCACCCAATCAAGAATGCCAAATGCACCCTCACAGGAGAGATCCTGATTGGTCACGTTGACTATGATGATGATCTAGACAGCCACCTGCTGGGTCTCATTCTGTCCTCATGTGACCATGGACCTAATAGCCATATTGATACCTATGCAGTTTGGGAGCATGATGAAGAGGAACAGCTTGGCTCCACCCTATACAAGAAACTCAAGGCTGCCCTCACAATCAACAATGAGGTCAAACTCTCTGCCATTCATGATCACATCCATGAGATCAAGTTAGTTAACTGCAATGTCATCAACCTTGGCAAGGAACTTGACAAGATCTGGAACAATGCTGCTAGACTTGGCAACCATATGGACGAAAAGCTCAAGAAATCCACCTTGTACCACTGTGTCAAAGATGACTGGCTCTATACTCAGACAGTAGACTCCCTCAAAGCTGCACAGCTGAGCTGTAGCTATGAATATGCCTACCATGCACTTGCCAAGAAACATCAAGAAGCTGAACTCTCAGGCCATATCTGAGCTGCAGCTAGAGCCACTGGCAACAAGAACATAACAGGCCAAACCAGCAAACCCCAGCAAGTTCTTAACCATGAAGGCTACAACAGGGGTAGGTGTGATCCTGCAAACCCTAGTGAACTGGCTAAGTGCTACAAGTGCAGGCAACCAGGGCACATTGTGATAAATTGCACCAACAACCAAGAACACACCCTGGCACAGCAGGGATAGGAACTAGGGTGCACCCTTTTTGTAAGCAATGCTGGCAGCTGCGACTGAGACAGTACATGGATCCTCAACTCTGGAGCTACACATCACATGGTATGTGATGAGAACAAGCTCATTGCTCCAATGCCGAGACAAGGATTCATAGATACCACTGGGCAAGAACAGTTGCAAGTGCAGGTGATAGGTGATGTGACCTTACAAGTAGGAGATGCTAAGATACCACTCACTGATGTACTTTATGTCCCCAACCTTAGCAAGAACCTATTGTCTGTCCCAGTGCTAACTGAAAATGGTGCATGTGTAATATTTGAGGAGTCTGGGGCTACCATACTCCAGCATGATGGAAGTGTGGTCAAAAGTAAGACCAGCCAATGTAAGAAAAGATGGGAGATCCATGGTGACTCCCTAGCAGCACAGCTCAATGATCCCCTTGAGGGCATTGGCATCAACACAACACCAGCAGAGCATGCAAGTTATACAATCAGCAAACTATGGCATGAACAATTCAGCCACCCTGGCAGAAACAAGACCAAACAGATCCAAGCACACTACTTGGGCAAGGAAACACAGCTAGAACACAATGCAAAAGACTGCAACTGCTGTAGTCAAGCCAAGCAGACATGAGCAAGAATGGGAAACAGCAAAATGGAGTGAGCTCAAGCACTGCTGGAACTGGTACATGTCGATCTGATGACCGACCTTCAAGGTCACCCCAACTACCACCATGCACTGGTAGTTGTGGACAACTCATCAACCTACATACATGTGAAACCACTTCTTAGTAAGGCTGAAGCATTCCCAGCTCTAAGGACATGGATTAAAGCAGCTGAGACAACAACTGACCACACACTAAAGTGTATATGCAGTGACAATGGATCAGAGTGGTCAAGCTCAGAAGCAGAAGAATGGAAAAGGCAAGCAGGATTCATATGGCAGAAAACCACTCTGTATGTCAGCATTCAAAATGGAAGAGTGGAACATATGATCAGATCCCTCCAAGAGAGAATGCATGCAATGCTTGTGCAGAGATCAGCACCAAAGGAGCTATGGCCATATGCAATCATGGCAGTGGGACACACTCTGAACCTGACACCCTCTGCCAGCACAAATAAGGTCCCATACAAGGAGTTCTACCAAAGGACTGCACATGGCTTAGCCAAGCTGCTGCAAGTCTTTGGCTGTCTCACATGGATCCACCTCCTGAAGAAAGATCACACAGGCAAGCATGGTACGAGAGCCATCCCAGGCATCATGATCAGATATGACAATGAGCACAAAGGCTGGAAGTTTTATACTCCCAGCTACAGCCCATCCATATGATGGAGCAACTCAGCTACATTCCATGAATCTAAAAGCTGGCACAACCAGCCTAGAATACAGAGCCCATTGCAGTTCAGATTCGAGAGCCTAGAAGCCAAAGGTATGAAACAAGTAACAGACAGCAATGAGCCTGAACTGGAAGTGGAAGTACTCAATATATGGGACCTGCTCCTAGATGAACACACCACACTGCTTGCCAACCCCATGGTTGATGACAGATCAGAAATTGCAGTCAAAGAGATACTTGGAGAGGCACAAATGATGATTCTGAATCTCATGCCAATGCTGAAAGAAGCACTTGCTGGCGATGATGCACAACAATGGCAAGAAGCTATATGCAAGGAACTGGATGGACTCAAAGCAATGGGAACATGGGAGATTGTAGACATACCACCAAATGCCAACCTTGTAGACTCCAAAATTGTCCTCAAGCTCAAACTAGATGCTGATGGAATACCAGCCCAGCACAAGGCAAGACTTGTCGCATGAGGCTTCACTCAGCGAGAAGGCATTGACTTTGAAGAGACATTCATGCCTGTGGCACTGCTCAGTGCAATAAGGGCCCTATTGTCCTTAGCAGTGGAACATGGCTGGGAAGTCCAGCAGCTCGACATTACAATGGCATACCTCAATTCCACACTCAAGCATATGAAATATATGAAACCTCCAGAAGGTGCCAAAGTGCCAGAAGGGAAGGCCTACCAAGTCATCAAGGGTTTGTATGGTCTCAGACAATCAGGATGGGAATGGAATATGGAGTTCGACAAGTTCCTCTGACATTCACACTTCCACAGGCTTGATTGTGTGCCATGCATTTACACCAGGGGAAAGGATGACAATTTTGCAATAGTAATTATCTACATCAACAATACATTGATCATAGCCCCAAAACTGGAAACAGTCAAGCACATCAAGAAGGAGATAGGTAGAAGATGGAAGATGGAGGAAGGCAGTGATGTATTACACTTCTTAGGAATCAAGATCTCCAGGGATAGAGAAGCAAAAACTATGGACCTTGAGCAGACTAGCTACATCAAGCAACTGCTGGATGAACACTTGGACAAATGCCGGAGGAAGTCCAGTGTACCACTTCAAGACATCCTGATCCCAGAAACAACAGCAAGCATCACAGAATGAAAGGAGTACCCACAGGTTGTAGGCAAACTCCTGTGGCTCTCCAATGGGACATGTCCTGACATCAGTCAAGCTGTTGGAGTTCTTGCACATTACATGACCAAGCCATCGAAGGAACACTATAATGCAGCACAAAAGGTACTCCAATACTTGGACCATATGCAAGACATTCACTTGCAATATGGAGGTGACAAGCAACAAGATTTCTTGACAGTGCATAGTGACATGAATTGGGCAAGTGACACCACAGTGCAGAGAAGGAGCTCATCCAGCTCAGCAGTATTTGTACATGGAAACCTAGTAGCATGGAAGTCAGCATTGCAGCATTGCACTTCTCTATCAGCAGTAGAAGCTGAATTTGTGGCTGTGACAGAAGCCACATGAGAGGTCCTATTCTTCAAGCATCTTTTCAAGGCCATTGGAATCAATGTTGGTATCCCTACCATCTTTTCAGACAACACTGGTACCATCCAGGTAAGCAAAGATCCTGCACAACACTGGAAACTAAAACATATCAACACCAAATATCATTTCATCAGGGATAACATACAAGATGGTAAGATCAAGATCAAGTATATTAATACTGTGGAAAATTTGGTGGACATCTTCACTAAACCCATTGGTAGGGAAGTACTACAGTGTGCACAAATGGGATTAGGACTAATGACTCAGCAGCATACAGCAGCTCAGCAGTCTACTGCCTTGCTGCTGAGGGAGGCAATTGAGGAAATTGGTTTGCCCAAGATGCATATGGAAGCAAGGACTGCAAATAAACAGCCTGCATATGAGATGCATAATGGTTGTCATGGTAATGACCCAGGAGCCATGCATAAGGAGACAACCAGGAGCATGTTGCAGCAAGTACACAATCAAGCAATATATAGCAGTGTACACAGAGATCATGCCAAAGCATATATATACACCAATGTAGCCAAGCATTCATAAAAGTAAAATATATAAGCATTTTCGACGAAACCACAACTAGAAGACCCTGGATAGGCATTGGGTGCAGTTGAAGATGTGACGGAATTAACAGAAGGATTATCCGAGCACCAAGCAAACTGAGAGTTGGCAAATGAGACTCATGAAGACCAAGTGATGGAAGCTGAGCCACATGATAGGCTGAGCAACATGCATGTGGGATGCATGCTGATTGGCCCAGCAATCAGTCAGGAGTTTCATTGGAAGGATAGCATGCAGAACACACAACCTGTTTGACAGGACCAAAACAAGTGCTAGGAGTGATCATAAGGTATATATAGACATGTAGTTACACTCACACAATGAATGAAGATCAAGCATTGCACCTACAATATGTCAGGGGTCTCGCGCCTGAAACCCAGGTCGATCTGTCGAGATACTCGGTGACTATCAAACTATGCGACAGCTATTGTCTCAGTATCAGTCTCGATGAGCTAGTTGCTTGGCAACTATCAAGTTGTGCAATGGGTGGCATTTGGGTATATACTATTGTAGGTTTTGGCTGACCTCTGTGGACACTCCATTCAGGGGTAGCTCAGCACGATCAATATCAATGTGTAGATTATGATGACACCAAGGTCTGGTGTGGGTGTTGATGATGATGAGGTTGATGGTGTTGGTGATAAGGTTGGTGGCATCAACATGAGTGTCCAGTGTGTTGACTGATGCTTGAGGTGATCCCTGGACTGCAGTGGACTACTGCCTTCGGTTCTATCTTGTTCCGGACTGCTAACCTGCTATGGGGTGCCTTCGGACATCAGGTAGTGGTGATACAACACACACACTATGATGAGGAGCAACCTTGATAGATTGCTGCTATGCTGACTGAAACTAATATATACTTATGCTGAAGTGATAACTAGTTATGATGGTTGTGTGTAGAGTGGATGAGGATCCACTTGACCTTTGATGATGAGAAAGCATGTGTCAGGGGTCTCGTGCCTGAAACCCAGGCCGATCTGTCGAGATACTCGGTGACTATCAAACTGTGCGACAGCTATTGTCTCGGTATCGGTGACTATCAAGTTGCGCAGTGACAGCAGGTGGCGTTCGTTGTATATACTATTGTAGGTTTCGGCTGACCTCTGTGGACACTCCGTTCAGGGGTAGCTCGGCACGATCAATATCAATGCTTCGGTTATGATGACACCAAGGTCTGGTGTGAGTGTTGATGATGATGAGGTTGATGATGTTGGTGATAAGGTTGGTGAGTGTTGATGATAATGAGGTTGATGGTGTTGGTGATAAGGTTGGTGGCATCAACATGAGTGTCCAGTGTGTTGACTATGACACTTGAAGTGATCCCCGGACTGCAGTGGACTACTGCCTTCGGTTCTATCTATATCCAGACCGCTAACCTGCTATGGGGTGCCTACGGACGTCAGGTAGTGGTGATACAACACACACACTATGATGAGGAGCAACCTTGATAGATTGCTGCTATGCTGACTGTAACTAATGAGTACTTGTGTTTCTAAAGTATTGACTAGTTGTATGGTGAGTAGAGTGGATGAGGATCCACTCGACCTATGATGATGAGAAAGCATGGTTATATACCTCTTCACAGCATCGCCAGCAATGCTGCTCTTGCTCCCTCTCCAGAGAGTACCTTCTTCATCGAGTACTGTTCAGGGGACCTCTCCTGCTTGGCACCCCTGTGCCTCTTGAGCTGTGTCGACTCCTTCGACACTGCTCCTCCTCCTCATGACCTGGTGTCGACTCCTTCGACACTGCTCCTCTTCCTCATGACCTGGTGTCGACTCCTTCGACACTGCTCCTCTTCCTCATGACCTGGTGTCGACTCCTTCGACACTGCTCCTCTTCCTCAGGACCTGGTGTTGACTCCTTTGACTCTTGTCTCTCAAGCCCCTGAGTGGTAACCATCTGCATGCTCCTTGAGCTTGGTCCTCTTTGTGGCTGTGCCTGCTCCTTGAGCTTGGTCCTCCTCGTGGCTGTGCCTGGCCCTCCTCGCATATGGGCTCAGTGCTCCTTTGCATGTGAGTCTGTAGGAGTCCATGGTCTCCATGGAGACTGCACTACGACCATGCTCTCTACTGGTATCGACTAGATCTTCGATACCTGTGCTCCTTCCATATGAACCAGTGACCCTCCTGCTTCTTGAGCATCCAGGCCCATGACACAATACACCTGTGCAAAAGGAGCTAAGCAGTAGCCCTGACAAAGTGGTGTTCAGCATAACTTCAACTGGCATGCTGTGCGCACGAAATGCGAAATCGATCAGAACGAGCCCATCTGGCAGATTTAACCAAACACACCACAAGAAGGACTCATTCATGCAACACAGATTGAGCAATCACATAAGAGCAACAAGACAGCTGTAGAAGGCTTGTCTCCATTGCTGGTGGCAAGCGGAGAGTTATGGGAGGAGGCAATATGCATGGAAGAGGTCCAAGCATGGGAGCACATGTAGGAGTTACCACATGGGGAAATGGACACATGTGGGTCGAGGAGGTGCCCACACAACTCAGGAGGAGCAGGAGCAATGTCAAGGGGGTGCTCATACAAGACAGGAGGAGTATGAGCAGTGTCACATAGGTTATACACCTCTTAGAAGGAGCAGGAGCAGTGTCACCTGCAACACTGTATATACCTATATATACATACATTCTCTTTGTAATAGTAGACAAGTGGATCCTCATCCACTCTACACTTTACACACTTTACTTGTTTCGCCATACACTCAGTATAGCTTATCAGTCTATCTCTTTAAGTATCATCTCAGTTGCAATTGCCTGCAATTGCAACTGATCTATGTGTGTGTGTTGTATCACTGCTACTTGATGTTGTCAACACCTCCATTGACACTACAGAACCTCAACCATAGGCAGCACCTCCACTGTGGTCCTGGCACCACAGCCAGTACCATCATACAACTGTCAAAGCATCATGAACACTTGTGCCAAGACAGGTGTCAACCATACTGCCTTACAATACCTTGGTATAGTCATATAATCAGTCAATCCAAATATTCAAGACCACCAAATGTGCTGCACTAACTCTGAACAGAGTGTTCACAGCAGTCAGTCAAAATCTGTCAGAATACAGTCATCCAATGTATTTCACCAAAATTGGTTGGAAGGAGCTCACTTGACATCTCACTGAAGTCGGTTGGATCATGCTCTTCCAGCAGATTTCGGATTTCAGGCACACAAACCCTGACAGACAGCTGCTGTAAGTAACTAACACTGTGTGACCAGATATTTCGTTTGCAGTAGGGACCGCACATGGAAGGCAGCGATTCATGTGGTAAAGTACCTGAATCAGACAAGTGAATATTGTTTACAATTGGGAGGCAAGTCGAACAAGCACACAAATCAGCCAGTGGTCACATATGTCAGAGGTCTCGTGCCTAAAACCTGAAATCTGTGGTAGAATTGCAACTACTATTGATCCTATTGAGATCTGTGATAACAGGCCTTTATTATTATTCTTGCTGAGATCTGTCATAGAAGCCTTCTATGACTTTTCTCACTCAAATATGTGATAGCTTGATGGTTATTGCAGGTTTTGACTAACCACTGCAGACACTCCATCCAGAGGTAGCTTGACATGATCAATAACTATAGATACATTGTGATGACACCAAGGTCTGGCACTGATGAGGTTGCTTCGACATGAGTGTCCAGTGTGTCAATAGAATGAGAGGTGATCCCTGGACTGCAGTGGACGACTGCCTTCAGTTTCTAATGATTGAGAGAGCTGGACTGCAGAGTGAACCGCCTTCAGATGGTGTCAATGAGCGGTGATACAACATATGTGCTACAATAGAAGCAATGCTATGTGATTGCTACTTGTTGACAGAAAGCTACTATGTATACTTATGCTGAAGTGATGACTAGTAATGTGTAAGGTGTAGAGTGGATGGGGATCCACTTGACTACTATGACGAGAAGGTATGACTATATAACATCCTTACAGTGTCACCTGCGACTCTGCACCAACCCCCCCTCCAGAGGGTACCTTCTTTGTCGAGTACTGTGTCAGAGGCCTCTACTGAGGTGTCTCCTCCTTGTCAGGCCCTGCCTCTCCTGCTCCTGAGTTGTGGAGAGCCAGCACCACCTCATCACTGATAGGGGTTGCCCCCACCTCATTCCAATGGGGTGCACCCCTCCTTTCATCATGTTCTCCTGATGGCAATGCCCACCCTCTGGTGCCACCTTCATTGTCATATGGGGTCCCTACTTGATTGGATGTCAAGCCCCTTCCTTATTTGCTGCCCACCTGCTGTGAGATTGGTGATAGATGTGTCCTTGACCCAGTCTCCATGAGATCTGTCATTACAAGCTTGGTCCTACTGACCTTGACAAACTCTGTAATAAGTCTTCTGCTTCTGTTGACCCCAATGAGTTCTGTCATAGGGCCCCAGTTCCTACCAATCTTGCTGAACCCTGTCAGAACTCTCTTTTGGCCCAATTCACAATTGTTACACATGGTTCCTTCATATGAAACCAGTTCTTCCTGTGCATGCTTCCAGCCACATGACAACATATACCAATGCAAACTGGACATCAGATCCTAAAAACAGGTGTAGAAGCATGTCAGGGGCAGTAACATATGTATATGGATGCCCAGTCAGTTGGAAGTCACACATGCAGAAATGCATGGTGTTGTCAGCAGTAGAGGTGGAGTTTGTTGCTGCCTCTGAAGCAGCATGAGAAGCACTTTTTTCTCATACCTACTCAGGGAGCTGGAAAAAGGGGATGTTAAGCTGGTACTATGTATGGACAGCCAGGGATGCATACAGGTAAGCAAGGATCTGGCTAAGCACTGGAAGCTCAAGCACATTGACACTTGGTATTACTTTGTCAGGGGCCACATGCAAGAAGGTGACATAGTAATTGAGTTAGTTGGAACAGCTGATAACATGGCAGACATTCTGAGAAGCCATTAAAGGGACTGGAAACATCCTGACTAGCTCAGTTGATAGGACTGGAAATGCTGTCAAGGGGGGGGGGGGGGGGAAGCTGAAGAAACATTGGAAAATTTCCAGGGTTCATCCAGAATGCCAATATAGCAAAGCTTGTGAAAGCAAATGCCACTTATTCACAAGCTTTGTCCAGACACATGAAATGCATGAAGGTTGACATGACAACAGCTCAGGAGCTCTGCAGGAGAGACACTCAACTCACCTAAGGCTGCTTGATGTTCTCAGAGACAATGTGAAGATATACATACTTGTGTTTATGGCCTTAGTTCACTTGAATATGTTAAGCATTGCAGTTGCTACACACCTGTACAAAGATAACCTGATTGTGGCCTCAACAAAGTGGGGCATATATTTTAACTGTCACTCTTTCCCTTTCAGTCTCAAGCAGCGGCTAGAAATTTCCGGCACCACACAGCGCTTTCACTCAAATCCAAGATGGCTTGGCTGTGCGTCAAATGACGGCGATTTTCCATTCAGCACTCTCAGGCGAGGCGCAGCTTCTCTCCACCTCCATTATATTCCAAACAGGTCCGTGTTTTACCCCATCCTTCACTCCTTGCTTCCCACACCACAAACAAACACCTTTCATTCTCTCCCGCCTCACCAACACCCCCTTTTATAAGTCTTACACGATGTCTTTCATGGACAAATTCCGCTCAGCGGCCCAAAAGGCCTCTATTCAAGCCAACGCATTCGCACAACAAACTTCACGCACTATCAACGAACAAGCCGCTTCAGCCCGTGCAGGTTTCTCTCTCCCCAAGGAATGCGATAAAGCAGCCAAAATCCTTTCCGCCTTCCTTGCCGACCCCGATCACCCCGACTCTGCACTCAACTCTATCCCTAAAGCCGTATTGCAAAACGCTAAAGGTTTGGCAGTGTTTAGCGTTGTCAAGGCTGGATTTGTTTGGTCTGGCAAGTTGGGGTCTGGTGTAGTGATTGCAAGGTTGCCAGACGGAAGTTGGTCCGCACCTAGTTGTATCGGAACGGGAGCGGTCGGGTTTGGTTTGCAGATTGGTGCGGATATTACCGAGTTTGTGATCGTGATGAATAGTGAGGATGCGGTAAAGGCTTTTGCTCATGCTGGCAACTTGACTATTGGTGGTTCGTTGAGTGCTGCCGCTGGTCCCATCGGAACGGGAGGGGCGATCAATGCTGCGATTCGCGATCCTGCTCCGTTGTTCACCTACTCGAGATCGAAGGGTCTGTTCGCAGGCATTAGTCTGGAAGGAACAGTACTGGTGGAAAGGAAAGAGACGAACAAAGATTTCTACGGACAACCAATCCCAGCGGTGGATCTATTGACGGGCAAGGTTCCTGCACCGGAAGCAGCAAGTGCGATGTATGAAGTGGTAGAAGCGGCCGAAATGGTGGATGAAAGTGGTGTGCCTCAGCAGAGTTATGTTCCTGATACCGCAGTGCAGGGTCAGCAGGGACAGGGTGGTGTTGCTGGCTATGACCTTAGCGGTGGTGCAGCGCTTGGTTCGACGACAACAGCAACGCCTGCGACTGGAGCTACGACTGCAAGTGGTGCAGAGGCGAACAAGCCTATCTTCGATGCGTAAGTCATTGCTACTGCCCCAAAGAATCTCGATGAGGTGCAACAAACTGACAGTTGTGGTACTCTTGTGTTTGATGTTTGGATAGCGAGAAACACACTTGACCGAGCTCAACAGGTTTCCTAGCAGGGAAACATTGTCGCTGCTCCATATCCCAATCCACCTTTCCAACTTCGACTCTCCCCTCTACTGCGGCCAAGATCAGGCGCCACATGTACGCTACTTTCTGCCCCTCTTCACATATGCAAATTCAATTCCTCAACGACACTCAGCACAGACTGAAAAGGATTGTGTACGGGAACCAAGTGCGATTGTGTATGCGGTAACGTTTATGTGTAGGGATCTGTATTGGGCGAACACTGCTTCTACGATTATGCAGGTCGATTCGAACGTCCACTTCTTCCTTCCAAGTTGGGATTATATTGAGCAAGCTGAGCCTGTTGATGAGTCCTCAATTGTTGCGTCAACTCTCCCCTACTATTCATGGGGCTACTACTGAACGGTTCGTCCAAACTCGGTGGTACTGGTACCGCTCCTCTCATCCGCATCCCTCCTACACCCCTGGAGCCGTTCGGCATGGCGCTGAAACTCACCCCCAAACTCGGACTTAGCAAAGCTGTAGGGGAGTTAGCCCCGCTCTCGCCGGACTGCGATTCATTGCTCGAGTTCTCACCCCATCTTCTGGTTCCCATTCCGGGATAAGAGGAGGCGGGGATAGGAGGTGCTGGTCTAACACCGGGAATTCCGCGGAGGGTGGAAGCGGTCATTTCACGGGTTTTGGGTGGAGAACTCATTCCGGATCCCGAACTGGAAGAGATCCAGCCATCAGGGCGAATGCGGTCTCGTGCGCGTTGTCTTGCTTCGCCTGTGACGGTGGAGTTGGAGGCACTGCTGCTGGGGCTGAATTTCCCACCGCCACCACCACCATTACCAGCGCCACCACTTCGGGTACCTTCGCCTTCAGTGGCCGTACTGGTATACGATAAAACGCGCGAGGTCATGCGGGGGGAACGCATCTGAGCATACATTGAGGACTCGGCTTTCCGCATGTACCCTTTCCCGGGTCCTTCGCGAGTTCGGTTCGACCCAGAACGAGAGATGGTGGGGGAAGGAGTACTGCGTCTCGCTGTACTGGGCGTGCTGGCTGTCGACTGAGTAGGCTGTTCGTTCTCGTTATCCTTATCGGAAGACTCGTCATCATCGGAGGATTCATCATCACCATCCCGGGAATCCGACGCTTCGCCCTCGCGCCCATCCTCTTCCACTACCAAACTCGACCTTTGTTCACCTCCAAGATTGAGAGGAGCCGGTCGAAACGTATTCGACGGCGAACCTTGCCGGCTTGCGCCCGACCGTGCTTGTCTTGTCGAACTAGATTCGCGAGAGCCAGCACGCTCCTGCTCAGCAACAGCACGAGACCGCCTTCCCTCAGGCGAAGGAGATGGTTGCGACCGACGATTCCAAAGGCTGGCAAAGTTTCCGATCACTCCATCCCGATCCCATGCGTTCACAAAAGCTAGGTTAGCAGGTAACCCTCTCGAATGCTGTGCTGCAGCAGCGGCTGCTGTTGCTGGACCTACTCGGTTCTGTTCATCGCTACCCAGCTTAGGTGTTGTCTGAGCGGAATCCGCTTGCTGCGGAGGTGAGGAACGTCGACGTGGTTCATCGGGGAATACACGACTAGGCGCACCTCCTGTCTGCTGCTGCCTCTCCCAGGGGAAGATCGGCTTGACTTTGCTTGGGTCAGGCTTCGCAGAGCCCAAATTGTCGAACACATGATCGCGTCGGAGCTGAGCAGGGATGTAACCAGGTCCGCCTTGTGGTCGACCGCCTTTTTGCTTGTTGGGTGATTGTTGGGGCACGAAGAATGCAGCTTTCTGTTCAGCGAGGGTGCGTGGCGTCTTTTGGCGAGCATCCCAGACGTTCGAATAGAAGGCATCGATTGGGTTGCGCATCTGGTAGAGAGACGCGTCAGGACCTGTGGGTGGTGGTTCGTATGCGGGGTTCCATGACAGCTTGGGAGGTGAGAAGTGCTCGGGTGAGTTGTTGTCGCTGTCATCACTGCCTTTCTTGTTGGCTGCACGACCTGGAATAGGGATGGGAGCAGCGGCTGCAGCGGCTCCACTGGATCGCGCCTCAGCATCAATCGACTCTCGTGTAGGCGTAGGAGGGGAAGGTGTGCGTGCGACCTCGGGTGAGGGAGCGATAAGGGAGCTTCGTCCATCAAGTGGCAAACTGGCATAAGATGCTTCCCATGCCGGTGGGTGTTGTCCTCGTCCATATGCACCTGCTGCATAGCCGCCTTCGCCTGCATATCCTGGAGCACCCTCTTCGCGCGCCTCTGCGTCCCACACAGCATGGTAGGTAGGCAAGGTGAACCTCGGAAGCTCCACCACCTCGACACCACGCTCTGTGTGAACAATCTCGATCTCGCTATCTGGCGAAGCAGATCCTGAGGTAGGATAGAGCGAGGCGAAAGCGCTGTGCCACAACGCCAGCAGATAGTCGGGTTGATCAGGGGTGATGGATTGACTGTCGAGGTCGCGAGGTCCGACTAGAGGATTGGGCTGAGCGTTACCGGTTGGTCTTGATCGGTTCCAAGGCTTGTGTTGACCGATGAAATGGACAATGTTGATCGACTTTCCATAGCGTTGGTATGCTGGTGCGAAGGTGTAGCCACCGTGACTGGTAACATTGTAGCGGAAACTCAACCTCTTCCATCCTCCACCTGGAGCTGATTGCGAAAGTGCATCGTCAGGCAAGTCTCCAGATCCATCTTCAGGTCCAAAAAAGTCGTTGAGCAACCCTTGATCCGCACCATCCCACGAGCTAGTGCTGCGAGCGAAAGATCGAATGGCTTCAAAAGTGTCGCTAGAAGGTGTGAGCATCATGACTCCACTGTTGAACGCATCCGGCCAGCCAGTGTCGGGTGCAGCGGCAAACTTGACTTGAGGACCAAAATCGAAGAGATGGTCGATAGGACGAAGCACCAAGGTGTCTGCATCGAGGAAGACGAGCTTGTCAAAGCCTTGCCATGTTGGGCTGGAGCCATCAAGCCCGGAAGAGGCACCTTGGGTAACAAGGTGAGTAGAATCGCGACCCAGTCTCCAAGCATGCAGTTTTGTCAAGGTATTGGTGAGATCAGGTCGACCGAGCAGTACGAGATTCTTCTCCATCTCCATGATTTTGGTATTGAGCTCCGAGTCGAGCATCGGAGGAAACAATGGCCTTGACTCGGTAGCTGTACTGGTGCCAGCTGAAAGTTGCGCTGGTGCTGAAGAAGAAGAGGAAGAAGAAGCCAAGATCTGCCGGAACCCGATCGGCTCAACGCCGACGATCCAGTCAAACAGACCACTGCGCCGCAACGCCTTTATCGACTGGACCGATAGAGTATCTGGTGTTATGAGCGCAACGATCTGGAAATTTGCATTTGAGCCGTTGCGGGTAGGAGCGTTTACTCTGGCTTTGCCTCTCTTGGGTAGACCATGAGTGAGGCGAAGCGATTCTGCCAGGATGAGAGCGCCTGGCAGATAATGGTCAGAGGTCAAGAGGGTGATGAATGCATTGTTGGTGCTGCTGTGCTGGGATGATGAACTCATTTGCTCCAGACCCACACAACGGGATTGCGAGGTGTTAGCGGCAACGCCCTCCGAAGGCAGACTTGCCTTGGGTTATCGGTGCAACGACAACGGAATGATGAAGTTCGAGGGTGGCGGCACAGTGGAGGCTGCGGAGGCGTTCGGTCGTCTTCGCAGCGAGAATGAAGCTGACGATGTTATGCTGGTGGGTCGCACTTGTCTAGACACTTGTGTCGATATCTTGTTTTGCTGTGGGTGGCTAATGACGCCGATATGAAGTTGGAGGATGCGAAAGAGTGGGTGTGTGTTGTGTGCTTCACAGACGAGCAGCCACACAAAACACACACACATGGGAAAGAGGAAAAAAAAAAAAAAAAAAAAAAAAAAAAAGGTTACAGCAGGCAAACCCGTTTCCGAACTCCGTGCGTTACCGTTCGTTCTCTTCTTCTGCTTCCTGTCGTAATTTCTCCCAACTTCAGGCTGATCCCCGGTTTACTGTATCTTGCGTTTGATCATCCTCTCAAATCCTGTTCGGCTCGACCGAAAGTCGTTCCAACGGCTACATCCGAACTTGATTTTGCTCTCAGACTCTAAGTTAGACTTCTCTTCACTTAGTGGCGTGGGAGAGTTGTAGCTGAGATCATCCTTTTGCTTTCGGAGAAGCCGAAGAGGGTCACTTACGCCAACTCAAAAAGCGGGAAGCAAAAGTTCCGAGTGACCGGCAACGAGTGTGTGTGTGTGTGTGATGATCGCAAGAGTCACGCCTTGTCTTGGAGTTGCAGCTGGGAGTGGGATAAAACTACAGACGCACAATAGAGGGCGTGGGGCCAACGAATCACCTGCTCGAATCCGTACCGCGAATCGAACCGTCAGCCGAACCAGCTTATTGTCCGGAACAGAGCAGCCTTGTATGTTTTAGAGAAGAGGCGGCAAAAGAACATCACTACACTTTGATCGACTCGATCAGCTGAGACCAGTATGCGTTGACCCGCGTTTCTTTCCGCTTGTCATCGACATTTTGAAGGCGGCCAAGGTTTGATTGCTGTCGTCTATCGAAAGAGTGCGGATTGGGATCGATCGCTACTGTAGGCTTCGTGATGAGAGGGTAACAGGGAGCACATCGAGACACGGTAGAATGCAGAACGTCGGTGAAATTCCGACTATTCTCTATTTTATTTTATCTCGAGTGTAGACCCTTTGTTTTGGCTGCAGCTATCGATCAAGCACGGCAGCAACGCCCAACCGATGAGAAAATTCTCCGCGTTCCAACTGAACATGCGTAATCAGTCACGTCTTGCATCTTTCGCGCAGGAGATTTCCGTCGGGTTTCGTCGCTCTTCTCGCTCAAGAAGCTGGCGCATAATTTACCGATCCACCGCACAGATAGTTGTAAGGGTGTTTTTATTGATGATGGAGGTGAAGCTAGCCTACATACAGAGGAGAAATTTTTTAAAATTCAGTTCTCTGCCGGAAGTCCGGTAACGGGCGCGCCTGACTTGAACTCAGATCTCACTCCGCCTCCAACTTGTTCCAAGACGAGTTGACAGGGGTTTGTGACAGGCCCCTAACCTCACCTCTGTTCAAAGAGTGGTGTGTTGTTGATGAGAATAAGCTGGTTGTCAATGCACGGATCGGTCAACTTTTAGAAATCTACTTTCGGATCTTTGAACCCGAACTCGGCACTCACACCTCTTTGCCCCGAACTTGTCGATCAAAACATACATCTATACACACACACACACACACACACACACACACACACACACACACACACACACACACACACACACACACACACACACACGCATCACATATTCCATGAACAAGGCTCGCACTCGTCGCCACGTACGTAAGATTAGAGCTCGCTTCACTTTCCATCCCTCGAAAAGGTGGACGAGATGGAGTTGGAAGATCGTGCGTTGTCCATCCGTTGCGAAACTCTACTGTACCTTGATTTCAATGCGCGATTCTTCTTGTTTCTGAAGAGTCTAATCTCAAGACAAGGTAGCGGCAGATCAGAACAAGTATACAGTCGAACCTTGGACACATCAAACAGGTTGCTTGGACGTGTTCTGATCGTGCTGTGATTGAGATTGCCGACTAGATACATTGCAATTTGAGCTAAAGCCAACTGCTCCAACCGATATACATCTTTGCCAAGTTGAGCGGGCTGGTGGCCTCCTTGATCAGCGCATCGACCAGATTGTTGGTTGAGTAGGGCGGTGTAGGCTCGCGGCATCCAAGTCGATATATCCTTCCGTCCAACTTGTTCGCGACGGGATCGAGCGCGCGTCTCGCCTCCGCAACACGTGGGTCCGCCGACTTCTTATTCGAGCTCTTCGACCGATGTCGATCCTCCGGGACACTCCATTCTCCCAATGGATCGTGCACCATCGCCTCCAATACACTCATGAGCGAATCTCGATTGTCGCGTAGGATACTCATCGTGATCTCGGCACTCTTGCGGAACACGTCGTCGCATCCAGTGACACCCATTGCATCCACCATGTTCTGCGTCAGTCGGAACGGCACCCGTTCAGGGATCTCGAATCGTTGTCCCTTGTCGAACAGACAGTTCAGATCAACATGCACTGTATCACCGCTGTTCGAGTCAAACAGAATGTTTTCTCCGTGTCGATCTCCCAGACCTAGCACAAAGCCCACCATCGACATGACTGCTGCAGTTCGAGCATACGCCGATCGAGCTTGCAACCACGCTGTCGGGTCAGGGAATGTAGCTAGGAACCATTCGTGGAATACCGGCTGGAACTTGGCCAACACCTTCTCCTGAAACACCTTCTCCGTGGTCCGTGGATCAAGCGACATCCGTGCTTCGTCCATGTGTGCCCTGACCTCCGATGAGTAGATCTGCATCCCTTTACCGCCGTACAGCTTGGTCAGAATGTGCCGGAAACCCACCGTGTGAGGCACCCATTCGATCAGTCCATGCTCCTCATTAAGAATGAGCACCGCATACGTTCGCACGTACAGCTTCCTCTTGCGCGACTCGGGTTGACTCTGCAACAGCTTGTTGATCATCGAGTCGAACTCCATCAGTCGTGCATCTTTACGCAGATCGTCTTTTGGTTTGCACAGGAAAGGGTAGCGGTTGCCGTCGTTACCAATGATCATCATCTTGCGTGGCTTTTGCAGACTGTTCATCACTTCGATCTGGTCTTCGAACGAGTGGATTGTTGGCAAATTGGACGGGAACGGTCGGTGCACTTCCGAGATCAGATGGTTGGATGGCAGAAGCACCGTCATCGAGCTCTGCAACGGTAGCAGCAACTCTGACGTGTTGGCCACCTCCAACAATCCTGGGAACAGCTTCTCCGCGCTCAGTGTCGTCTCGTTCTTGCCCACATTGTAGTCGCAGAGCCTCAAGAGCTCCTTAGCTAGACGCTGTGACGACGAGACCACCTTGACGACCTCTTTGTGGGTCGATCCACTCCGGGCGCTAAGTCGTTGGATGATCTCTGTGTAACGTTTCTTCCTTTCTGCATCCTTCGAGCTGGCACCGGCGACCATTGACCACATTGCTTGCTGTGGATACGCCAGCAGCACCTGTAAGATCACATCCTGCAGCACCGACCACGCCTCCTCGTTCTTCTGCACGATTCGCGCCACCAGCTGTGGGAACACGGCCAGCCACTGAAACGCCTTAAGTCGTCGACTGAATTTCCTCATCAGTGAGTTCAATTGTGAAAAGGCTTCCAGTTTTTGCAGCAGCTCTGTGTCCTTCGTGTTGGTCTTGTTGTTACTGTGTGTAAGGATCTGGGGGTCGGCAGCGAGGTCCATCCAGATGGTCAACACTCTCGGAAGCGTTCGGTAGAAAAACTTGGTGCCCACCTGTGCCGAGCGCAAGAAGGCTCGACAGACATTGTAGCGTTGCAATGTCATGTTGGGCAGAAGTCCCTCGTGCGTGTCTTGGAAGTGGCCAAGATGATACCACATCTTTTCCGAGTTGTGCTGTTCCTTGGCTGCTTCCTTGTACCGATCGAGGATCTCGCCAGCTGTGTATCGGAAGGTCGAGTCTTGCAGTCGTGCTCGTAGCAAACAGGCTTTGGCATAGGCAGCGCGGTCAACACGCAACATCCGTCCTTCTGTATCGGTCTGCTTCAGCTCGATGGGACCTGTCTTGCCCATCTCGCCCAGCTGTTCAGGTTTGAAGGTGCTGACCAGTGTGTTGAGCGAGTTGACCAGGTCGCGGATGGCTGCATGCGTCTGCTCCTCTTTCGCCAGCAACTTGACACGCTGAACGAAAGCAAAAGTGGCTTGGTTCTGAGTGGCTTGCAAGGTGGCAGAGTATGCCGTCTGCATGTGACCTGCACGGCGTGCGATCTTGGCAGTAGCAATCCAAGCTTCACCCACATCGTTGCTCGCACCGGCACCAAGTGAAGATGGCAGTGCAGCAAATGCAGTCCTTCTCAAGCTCAGCAGCGGCTCCTGCGTTCGGAACGAAGGCAAAGTGGCATTAAGTCGGGCAGCCAGGGATCGATTCAGGTCTGACACTGTGTCAGAGGCGTTTGCCCTTGTAAGAGCGCCGATTCGATCGCCTGCATGCGTTCTTGCATGGGATCGGATCATCTCCAGCTCTTGAAGCATGTGAAGGTGAAGCACCGATCCGTAAATAGAAGGATACGAGGCTTTGCCGGCAGCGACCAACGGCTTGCCCAGATCTTGACGTGCTTGCACCATCACCTGACCAAACATCTCGGAATCGGCTTGACGCATAGCTAGCAGAGCACGACCGATGGAGTGCTCTGGGCTCTTGGCTTGACTTTGTTTGGTGCGAGACTCCACCTCGCTCCAGTCGCCGAGAATGCATGCGCCCTCGACACGGAAAGCATCCAGCAGGTCTTCCCATTCGGGGTGAGCGCTCAGTGCGCCGCGAATATGCGTGCGCATCGTGTCGTAGTGGCCCAAGTTGCGAAGGCAGCGCAGTAGGCCGAGATGCAGATCCGGATCGTCAGGTCGCTGCTGAAGCTCTACTTCCCAACAACTCTGTGCCGAGGTCCATCGACCTGTACTCTCGTGTTCGCGAATCTGATGCTCGAGCGAAGGAGAGATGACTCGGGTCGAAATACCTTCCATGCCGTCAGGCTCGTCGAGATGCGCATAGATCCTGTGCATGTTTTCGTAGTAGCCTTGAAGATCGGGATCGCCTTTACCTTGGGCACGCATCGAGCGGACACGCAGCTCAAAGTTGAGAAGTGCTCGTGAGTAAGCTTTGCACTGCAGCGAGGCTTGGGCGAGAAGCTCTTGAGAGATGGGTCGCATGATGGACTCGACTTCGACCAGCACATCCTCACCGCCTTGAAACACTCGAGGTCGATGAGATGTGCGCGCCAGGTCTTGTCGCTTGCGTCGCATCCACACACCAATGTGGTCCATGATGGTGAAAAGCGTCTGTGCAGTCAGCAGCTTCCTTTCCGCTTCGTAGTCGGTCTGGCTTTCGACTTGATCGCACAGGACCGTCTGGATCTCGTCGACAATTGCTTCGCGGTCCATCGAGTCGCCAGAGATGATCGAATGCAGGACTAGATGTGGCAGCAAGTGGCGCGCAATGCCGACATCGTGCGAACGGATGGCGACGCGAAAGACGCCAAAGATGGTAGCAGCTGCACCTACAGCAGTCTTCCCTGCTCCTCCAGCACCAGCAGCGAGGGAAGCAGCCGCTGCAGCTGCCTCGGATCGTTCCACGGTTTTGGTGATGAGCCGACTTGTCCAGCTCTGCAGCCAATCGCTGTACGATCGTGAATGCATGTAGATGGGAGTTTCGCGGACACTCGGCCTGCCGACCTGTGCGCCGTACCTCGAGTCGAGCAGCGGAGTGATGGTATCGATGACATCCTGTGGCAAATCTGCCAAGCGCTGCCGAGTCTTGATGCTGACCGGTCGCGCGGTTGATCCTGTGTTGAGCATTGCACTGGTGAAACCAGCGACCTTGAGAAGCTCTTGGATGGCGTAGGCTAGTCCATTTTGCTGTGTTGTATCGGTAGCAGCTCGGAAAGCCGGCACTAGCAAGTCACGGATGAGGTGCAGCGAAAAGTCGCTCGCTTCTTCTTTGTCTTCGAAGTTGCTGAGCACAATCTTGAGCGGCTCTTCGACCGCATGCTCGATACGATCAGGATCGACGGCGCCAATAAGACCAAAGCAGCCAAAGCTGAGGTCTCGAATGTCGCCGTGTTGAGCATCGCTACGGGCTGCGACGTGCATCAGTGTACGAATGCATTGTCCGATCAGAGGGCTGAACGAATCACCTGATGTCAAAGCTTCGATGTACGCCCGCTCCTCCAACAGGAAAGCTTGCAGCTCCCTGAGCGACTCGTTGCAGATGGATGTGTTCTCGTGGGCTGAGCGATCGAGGATGTTACGGAAGCGTCGATCGTTATTCCACGTCTCTCGTACACCACGAAGACCACGACAGATGTCAGGGATCTCCGCGTCGAGGCGGTCAAGACTTGGGATATCGTCGATGAAGTCCTTGAGGTAGGCAGCGTTCTCGACGATCAGGTAATGCAAGATCGAGATGGCGATCCTTTTCCTCTCCAGGTTGAAGCGGTCCCATGCGGAAAGCAGTGCTGCTGCAGTTTGGCCGACAAAAGGACCTATGTCGTCGAAGCGTAATGTGGTGATGAAGATCTTCCAGCTTTCGAGGGTTGCTAGGCTAAGCGAGTCTGGCCGCAAATGGCTGTTGAGGGTTGCCATGATTTGAGGTGTGACAGCACTGATGGGTGGGCCGATGATCTCGACGAGTGCACCAATACTGCGCAGTGCAAACGCAAGGTCAGTGACGGTTCTTCTTCCATGCTCGCCCGAAAGCTCCTGATTGATCCAAGTCAAAACGGCGAGAATCTCGCCCTTGAGGAAAGCTGCCACCTTGGACTTGCGAAGTAGAGGGTCTTTTGATCTGGAAGCAGCGGATGTACCGTTGCTGGTCTCGATGATGAACTCGAGACCAGCGTAAGCTTCCATTCGCGTGGCTCGATTGCCGAGCTTTACCACAAGGTAGCCCACCACATCAGACTGGCGACTGCGTAGAAGCACCTTGAGACTGGCAGCATCGACACCGATCAGCTGCACCAGCGTACTCAAACCCAAGTCACGCAGGTTGGCGGATCGCATGAAGAAGGATCGGAAGATGGGCGTGATGTTGTCGTGACAGAGGCGTGGTACATCCGTCCCGAGAGCCCTGGCGATGAGCTCAATCATCTTGGTGCCGACTTCTGCCGTGCCAGGCCCGGAGCAGATCATGGTGATGAGGTGAGGCAGTGTATACTCCTTGGTGAGATTGAAGAAAGTGGCCTGATTCATCTTGATCAGGCTGAGGAAGCTGGTCCACAGATCCGGCATGGAGATGAAGCGCTCAACGATGGATGTCGACACCTTTTCGAAATGCTTTTGGACAAGCTGGAATGTAGTGCAGCGGTGAGCGGAGGCAATCTGTACAATCTGAGTGTATGCGCAGGCCTTGATGAATGGGTTAGAGTGACCGAGGTGCAGCACAAGCGTGAGCAGGCAAGTCTCCTGACAGCTCTCGACAGGGAGGTCGAAGAGCGAGGTCAGCCCGATCAAAGCAGTCTCATGGCAAGAAGATACGGTGGGATCAGCAAGGATGTCTTCGTAGGTTCGAGGCACCTGACCGAAGCGTGCGATCCACTCTTCCTCGTTACTTGCATCTCGCTGCTGCAGTAGGCGGGTTTGGTAGGCGAAGGCAAGCTGGTTGGCAGCAAGCCGGGAGCTTCGAGATTTTGATCGGAGCGAGAACGACAAGATGTTGATAACATTCCGTTCTCCGTTGTACGGCAGTGACGATGTAGGCGAGGAGTGCGCAACACATCGACGTAACATGTCGATGGTTCGAGATGAAACGAGACGGGAAGTCTTGACAGCACTGTGGACATCTTTCCATAGCGCAGCAGACGCCTGAGGATCGGCTTGATGGAGCTTGTCAACCACTCCAAAGCTGTCGTTGTTGACACTGATGTCGGTAGCATTTACGGAATCGCACATGCATCGACCGGTCTCTTCCTTGAATTTCAACGTCTGGTCTGTCTTGCTGGTATGATGACAAGATCGCATTATGAGACGACGTCGTGTCAACTCGTCCGTGTAGTCTGACCCTTGCTGGGCAGGTTGAAGGGGCAGCAGCGTGTCGATCACGCCCAGCGCTTTGCTCGGATCCTTTGCATGACCGATCTTGCGTCGCTTCAGATCCCGAATACGGGACCCCATCTCGGCTGAAACCTGATGCGGCTTTCCTTGGGGGGTTGTCACAGAGCTACGAAGATGTCGAAGCAGATGCTGGATTCTCGGCACCGATGCTTTGTCAGATAGATTTGAGTTTTGCTCGACGAGCTTGTCAGATCTCTCGATAAGTTCGGAGAGCTGCTCCTCGAGCTCCTGCAAGAACGACGGCTCGGTGCGGCGGCCGCTCGAAGTGATTGCGAAGACGGATGCCGAAAGGAAGCATCTTGATGCCTCCTCCTGGGGTTCGTCTGAGGACACGGTAGAGTCATCTGCACTAGACCGAACTTGGCTGGCAAGAAGAGTGAGATATGGCTGGAGAACGACTGCCAGCTCGCCTTGTCGCTGTGTCGGCGTGTCGAGAGCACATGCAGTGAAGCATGTGCCTAGCGCTGAAAGGGCATGCGACGCTTTGAGACGCTTGTCTTCGTCATCGGCGGCGTTGAGTTGATGCAGCACATCTGCTAGGGATGACATGTGGTCAGCGGCTACTTGCAGGCACTTGGCTAGACTGCTGGGATAGCACTCGGCGAGAAAGCTGGTGTGCTCAGCGAGGATGGTGTAGGATTGAGGAGCTGAAGGCATGTGCAAAGAGGGCTGAGGGTGTTTTTGCTTTGCACAGGTCCATTGATGTTGGAGATGCTCGGTGAACAGCAGCATGGCGTGATCTGCCAGATCCAACACATAGGTTGGGAACTTGGCTGCAAGACGGAGACAGAGGCCAATCGCCGAGAGGAAGAGCGCGCTGGCTCGATCGTTTACGTTGGCAGTGAAAGCATCGTCAGTTGGACTCGAATTCGAAGCTGTTGGTGCAAGACCGAGCGGGTATGAGACTGCAGCATCCATTTGTAGCGATGACAAGGCAGCGAGACCTTTGCCGCTGGGTTTTGGACGATCTTTGCGGGAAGTGAGACGGAAAGAAGCGTCAGAGAGAAAGGTGCGGAAGAAGGTGACTGTTGGTGGTGCAGAGCGTGATAGACCTTGATGCGATGCAGCAAAGTCTACAGAAGGGATGACAAAGTCAGGGAGTCGGGCATGTGGGCTGAACGAGGTATGGCCCGTCCGTGCCAGGGCATGGACCGAGGTGCAAAGGAATTCTGCAAGGATAAGTCGGACGTTGTCGATCTGACCAACGGCTTCGATAGAGGTAGACAGCACTTGCTCCAGGTGTTTCATGATTTGCGAGGAGAGATTTACACACTTCTGCGCGTACGATGGCTCTTTGACTGCCCGCGGAGAGCGACTGTCTGAGAGCAGGGAAGCAGCTGCACACAGCAAGCGTGGTGCTGCCCATACGTCGAAAGTGGTGTTGGCCATGTCCAGCGTCACTGCACTAGTCGAAGCGGTGGCAGATGCCTGTTCGTTGTTGGACTCGAAGAGGTGTTCGAGATATTTGGGAGATGTAGTGAGGGAACGAGAGAGGGTATCGAGTGCCTGACGGATGCTGATGCTAGCAGGAGCCTGTTGTGATTCCGTATCTTGCAAGCTGGAAGGCACTTGTATGAGCGGGACGACGACACCAGAAATGAGGAGTCGATTGAGAGCATGCGCTATGGTCTCTTCGCTGTGAGAGCCATCGTTACCATTGAGCGGTCTTTGACCCGCCGGCTTGCTGGCTTGCTGCTGGAGGCCATCGGCGAGAAACTGCGAGGCGGCAGCAAGAGCAGCCGCCGAGCGATCGCCGCCACCATTGCTTCGTCCATGGCCGTGGACAGCGCTGCGAGGAGCGCCGTTCATGCCGTCTGCATCGTCGGCGACTTGGCGGAGTAAGGCGCCGAGGGCTCCATCAGCCGCGGCATTAGATGGAGCAGGCATTTTGGAAGTTGCTAGGCTCCACCTAGCGGAGTAGCATCGTCTGTCACGGTGGCCAAATCAAAGTGTCGCCGTGGTAGTGGAAGGCGGTGGGTAGGTTGAGGTTTGATGATGGTCGAGATTATGGTGAGCTCTTTGCTAGTTGCGCAGCTGAATGGTCTCGAGGTGTCGGCTGTTCCGCTTTGAATGAATGATGAGCTCGACTCAGCTTTCTTTCTTTTGTTTCTTCTGCTCCACAAAATCACACTCCAAACGAGTGTGTGGCTTGTGTGGCTTGTGTGGCTTGTGTGACTTCTGAGAAGAGAGGGAAAAAGGTGGCAAAGCCAAAATAAAATGGCACGCGTAAATAAAATGGTACGCGTAAATAATTCTCTGACGCGTAAAGAGGGCAAAAGAGGAGAAACCAACACTTGTCAAAAGACCCTGATCGCGATCGCTCATCTGCCCCGTCTTGCCTCCATCATCCTTTCACCACCCGGATCGTCCACGATGGAAGACCAACGTGGTGTCGCAAGTCAAGAGACCATGTACAGTAAGTGCCTGCCTCTGAGACGGCTTTGGCGAACTAAGCAAAACTGCAGCAGAGAGCTGTCCCTACTTGCTTCCCATCACTGCGTTCTAATCATGTCCTCCAATGACAGTCCTGCATGATCTTTCACAACTTCTCAACACGGGACTCTCACGAGAGCAGCTGCGCGCCTGCGTCGAGCTGATCGAGAGTGGTGTTAATGCCGAAGCTGTCGCAGTAAGTTCGAACGCAGAGTCAAACTGGATCCTTAGAAGGATGGACGCTAACCGGTTTACTTTGCATTGCCTTTTCCAACGACTTGCAACGATTTGTAACTACCAACGGCTTTATCGACGTTGATACTCGCCGCGTTTGCTCTCGCGACGACAGGCGATTGTCGAGAATCTTCGCAAGGAGGCAGGCAAGCGTTAAAAAATCATCCAGCTTATCTCAGGATCCGGCTTGCTTGAGCAACACAACAGAAACAATGTCAAGGGCTCATCACTTTGATTCAGTTTGCTTTTGTGCTGTGTGCTATGAAAGTGTGAGATCGCCCAACAGAGCAACAGGTGAAGAGAGCGCCAAGCAGGAGAGACTTGAGCTTGGACAGCTTCTAGGCTCCGTATATATGTGTGACGAGCAATTTGAGTGAGCCCCTGAGTCTGAATCTTTGCCCATGCCTCGTTGTGTGCTGTGCTGTGCTGTGCTGTGCTGTGCTGTGCTGTGCTGTGAAAGTTGAAGCTCTCTCTGCCAAAATTAATCGAAAAATTAAAAACATCAAAAAGAAAAAAGAAAAACGCGAAGGCTGATAGTCACGTGATTTCATGTGAACGGATCCGTGGCCCTGATCGCACAGGTTGGCCCGATGACACCTATGCCTCACTTCCACCATCGCTTCTTCTTCGTGCTAACTCGCTTAGCTCGTCTTCGCATTTTCCCACCCTGTTCTCTTCCATGGTTTGCGCATCGTCGCTGTTTCATCCTGTACCTTCTCCCTCTGCGCTCCCGGTCCGCCTGCAGCTCCACCCGCAATACATTGATGCCTATTTTTTGACTCTTTCCTCGCCTTGTGTCCTGTCAGGATTGGATTCAGGGTCACTCTGCATCTTGAGTCTCTCTCATAGCCGGCGGCGGATCTGGAGTGTGGAGCTACAGGGGTTGATTTTGTTTTGGTTTTGGGTTTATTGCAGCCGCACACTCGCACACTTGCACAATCGCACAACGCAAGAGACCAACAATCGCTCACTGAAGCACCAGAACGTGTTGTCCGCATGAACTCACCTGCCGTTTAAGCAAGACTTTTCTCTCCTCAACTCAAGCCTGATGGAACCAACAAGGGAAACAGAGGGGCTCAAGACCCCCTTTGTCATTTCTTGGCTGCATCGTCCTTTCCTCACACAAAGCTGTGCCGGCGCTGGTTGTCAATTGCATCCTTGACTGCCAACTGGGATCGACAAAGCAGAAGAGCTTTCCCGAGCTTCGCTTTGTGTGGAGCAGATCGTGCCGACTCGCAGAACTCAGACCAACAGCAAGGCTTCCTCGATACTTTTCGACATCTGCTTACACATCATCACCCATCGACGACAGCATGCACATCCAATAGAATACATCCTCCCCTTCTTCTAACCCCGCCCAACCTATCCTCATCACCTTCTCCAGGCCAGTGCCAAGTTCAGGGACTACCGCCGCCCAATCGGGCTTCCGTCCCTGTAGACTCCTTCTAACGCCTTCTTTTGCGCGGTCGACATGTCTCACGCATACCATGGCAATCAGGCCGGCGGCACTTCCTACCCTTCTTATCCGCCCGTCGCTCCCTCTTCACCTTACTACCAGCAAAGCAACGGCCGGCGCTACAGCGTGGAAAGCAGCCGTCCGCCCTCACAAGCCGGAAGTTCGAAATCACCCTACGGCCAGCCACCACGCAGCCCTCTCCACCAACTATCACAACAACAACACGTTCGCGATGAGTCCGATGAATATGAGGTCAGAGACCTCGGAGAGATCGCAGCAGCAAACCAAGCAGCACAAGAACAACGTTGGGGTCCACACGCAGCACTCTCGGAAGCACCAGCTGGTTTCGAACTCTACCAAGATCAGCACCAGCCTTATGCTGCCGATCGTCATGCATCCATGCCAGTCATGCCGAGCTACGAACCCCCCCTCGCCTACGATGGCGGATTCTACATGGAACCTCCTGGTCTCTACGAACCGGCACCGCAGTCTAACCTCGCACCGAGCCTAGGTGCACCTTCAATAGCTTCTGGCCCTTCACTTGGCGGCAGATCTCGTCAGAGCTTGCCTGTCTACGCTTCTCCCTTGATGCATTCGGCTGCATCTGCGGCGGGGTCACCTGCATCGGAGCCGCCGAACATGTTCACTGTTACCGCCGCGCATCACTTGCCTGGCGGTCGTGGACGACCACAAGATCCCTTTGCGGGAGGAGTAGTAGGAGGAGATCCAAGAGCACAACCTGGAGCACGAATGGGTGATCCACTACCCGGGTTTCCGAATTGGTCACATACATGGTATGGGGGACATCTCTCAGCTGATGGACATGCGTATACTATGGTGCCGCCCGGTTCAGGGCAGAGTGGATGGGAGAGTGAGACGTTGAGTCGTCATGGACCACCCAATGCCATGACGGGAAACCCATACGGTCCAACACAGGGAATAAATGACTACGTTAAGGAAGAACGCATTCGAATGCTCGAAAAGGAGTTCGGCACCAGAGTCAAGCACAAGGGCAAGAGCAAAGGTGCAGAAGGTGCAGACTCTGACGATGACGACGTGGACGACCAACCAGCGGAAACCCCCCTCGGCGGTGTTGATGAGAAAGGTCGTTTGAAGCTCCCTCGTCACAAGATCCGTATCGCCACTCGCTGGTTGCAATGCATCGTCTCACTCGCAGCAGCCGGTTGCGGTATCGGTGGATTCATCATGATCCGTCCAGCAGAAAAGGCACCACCCTCCGGTACGCTCCCCTCTTTTGTGCTGTATGGCGTTTCAGCGCTCTCCACCATCATCTGTCTCTGGCTGTTCGCCTTCAAACCTTGCTGTCGATCCAACCGCGAACCCGCAGCCGGCGTCCCCGGAGCGGCAGGGAACGGGATGGTCATCCCTGTCATGTCCGGCGGCGGTGGTCCCGGAGGCAAACCATCCAAAGGAATGTTTGGCAAGAAAAAAGCCATGGGCACGCAAGGCACCACCGTCAACCTCATCGTCGATCCTGCCCTCCTCGGCGGGGGTAAGCGCAACTCCGACCCTGACCTTTCCTCCGACTCTGATTCCGACGAAAGCCTCCGAGGGGATGACCGTCGTCGTCGACGCCGCAAAAAGAAACGCGCAGCCAAACTAGGCATGCTGGGCAACATGAAGCTGCAAGCACGCTGGCGTGTTGCTCGTACCAGCTTGAAATGGCACTCCGCTTGGGACTGTGTTCTGTGTCTGATGTGGGGTGCTGCATCCCTGATGGCGTTGGGTGTTGGGAAGAAATGCCCGAGTGGGACTGCGGAAGGTTGGTGTAACTTGTACAATGGTGCGATAGCATGTGCTGTGATAGCGACGGTGTTGTGGCTGGTGGCAATCTATTGTGATGTGGTAGGGTTGAGGGTGAGTAAGATGCCTCCCAAGGCACGAATCTAGGCTTGTACAGATGGTACGGGGATGGTAGCTTGAACGATGTTGATGACATTGATGTGGACTCTATTGCATTACGGAAACAGCACTTTGCATGACTTTTGATACCAAAGAATCGGAACTATCTTTTTTTTTTTTTCCACCCCTTCCTCCTCCTGACCTGCTGAGAGCATGACTGTAAAAGCATTAAGCATCACCCAATGCCCCACCCGCCGCTAGCCTATCGATCCCCAACTCATCCTCCAATCCCATATCAACAAAGAACTTCCTTAATCCAGCTGAATCTGCTCCACCCAGATCCACCCTCCCCTCTTCTCCCTTTTCCGCCTCAATCCCAATCCCTCTCTCAGCCAAGTTGCTATAACTTGCCTCTAGAGCCTTCTGTACCGCAAAAATCCCCGCTGTTGGGAAGATAGCAAGTTTAAACCCTAATCTCTCTACCTCTTTTGCTGTCCATAACGGACTTTTCCCCCCTGTAACACAATTCGCTAGCAGTGGCCAGGGAGCTAACGCCTGGATTGCTGTTCGTGCTTCTTGGTCACTCCTTAGACCTTCTAAAAAGCCCATCTCGGCACCAGCATCCCTCGCTTTCTTCAGCCTTTCTATCGCCTCTTCTAACCCCAGATCAGCTAAAGCGTCAGTTCGAGCAATGATCAGGATCCTGTCCTCTTTCGGACAGGGGAGAGAGTTGCTCGCATTTGCCGCTGCTGTAATCCTGGAAATAAACGTATCCGTATCCACGAGTTGCTTCGAATTCAAATGACCACATCTTTTGTTCGTCACTTGATCTTCGATATGCAGTGCAGCTATACCGGCACGATGATATTCGAGAACGGTACGAGCGACTTGAGGGGGCCCGCCGAACCCTGTATCTGCATCAGCGATTACAGGGGTGAGAAGGGAGGGGTCGGCAGTGATAGATACTCCAGCAGCAGCAGTCATGTCTGACAGGGAGAGAAAACCTAGATCGGCCCGGGCTAGGCGGGAGGCGGAAGTGCCTGCTCCAGTTTGATAGAGGGCATGATGGCCGGTTTTGATGGCTAGACGGGCGGAGATGCCGTCAAACACGCCAGGAGCGATGACGAGGGGGAGGGTTGAGAGCAGGTAGCGGAGTTTTGCTGCTGATGTGTGAGGTGCAGTTGGAGTCATCATTGTGGTGGTGGGCTGGCTGGGGGTGTGAGGGTGGCGGAGTCTTAGTTGGGAAGATCGGTGGGAAGAAGATGGAAGAGGAAAAGGTTGCGGCTATACTTTCGGTTATACCCTCAACCTCCACTCGCCGCACGAAGCAGGTTCAAGAAGAAAACCCAAAAAAGAAGCAAAGAAAAAGATGACCTCAAAAAGAGTTGAGAATTTTGGCGCTAAGTTGCCGATGAGTCATTTTTGAGTGCTATTTACATAAGCATATATATACATGCATGCTTGGCAGTTACCTTCAGCCTGTGCCCATCTATGACTAGTTCACCCCTCACATCACTCCTAAGTTGTCATGGTAACACCTATGCATCCCACATGCATAACCACTGATGTGTGGTTTTGTATCATCAATGGTTATTTGCCCTCTGTGGACCCTGTAGGCTCTGTTTGGTTCCGACATGTCTCCAACCATTGTTACATTTCCCTCAACTGTCTCCCTCAGTGGGAAGCAGGGAACTGCTGAGCTGCTGTACCTTGCTGTGGTGTCAGTCCCAACCCCTGCCATGCACATCATAATGCTTCCTTGCCTACTGGCTTGGTGAAGATGTTGGCCAAGTTGTCCTTGGTGCCAATATATTTGATTTTGACATTTCCATCTTGCACGTTATCTCTGATAAAGTGGTACTTGGTGTCAATATGCTTCAACTTCCAATGTTGTGCTGGATCCTTACTAACCTGAATGGTGCCTGTGTTGTCTGAAAAGATTGTGGGGGTGCTGACATCAATTCCAATAGCTTTGAAGAGATGCCTGAAGAAAAGTACTTCTTGTGCAGCTTCAGTTGCTGCCACAAACTCTGCTTCCACCACCAACAAAGCAGTGCAGCATTGTAGTGCTGACTTCCATGTGACCAGGTTCCCATGTACAAACACTGCTGAGCCTGATGAGCTTCTTCATTGTGCGGTAGCATCACTTGCCCAGTTCACGTCACTATGCACTGTTAAAAACTCTTGTTCCTTGTCGCCACCATATCATAGATGGACATCCTGGGTGCCATCTAGGTATTGTAGTACCTTCTGCACTGCATTGCAATGCTCTTTTGATGGTTGAGTCATATAGCATGCAAGGACCCCTACTGCTTGGCTGATATCTGGGCATGTTCCATTCAAGAGCCATAGGAGCTTGCCAACAATCTGTGGGTATTCCTTTTGTTCAGCTGTGCTCACTGCTGTCTCTGGGGCCAGTATGTCTTGGAGCGGTATGCTGGATTTTCTCCTGCATTTGTCTAGGTGTTCATCCAGTAGTTGTTTAATGTAACTGGTCTGCCTGAGGTCCATTGTCTTTTCTTCACGATCCCTGGTGATCTTGATTCCAAGGAAGTGAGACATGTTGCCACCCTCCTCCATCTTCCACTTCTTGCCTATTTCCTCCTTGATGCATTTGACTGTTTCTAGCTTTGGAGATATAATCAATGTATCATCAACATAGATAATCACTATTGCAAAGTTGTCCCCCTTTCCTCTGGTGTAGATACATGGTGCGCAATCGAGTCTATGGAAGTTTGAGCACCACAGGAACTTATCAAACTCCATGTTCCACTCCCATCCTGATTGCTTGAGTCCATATAACCCTTTCACTACCCAATAAGCTTTTCCTTTTGGTACCTTTGCCCCTTCCAGTGGTTTCATATAGATGACATGCTTGAGTGTGGAGTTGAGGTAGGCCATCATGATGTCAAGTTGATGGACCTCCCAGTCCCACTCCACTGCCAGTGACAACAGGGCTCTTATCACACTAAGTGGTGCCACCAGTGCAAAAGTTTCTTCAAAGTCTATGCCCTCTCATTGTGTGAATCCTTGTGTGATGAGTCTTGCTTTATGTTGGACAGGTACCCCATCAGCATCCAGCTTGAGATGGAGGACAATCTTAGAGTTGATGAGTTTGGTGTTTGGTGGTACGTCCACAATTTCCCAAGTTCCCATGGCCTCCAGTCCATCCAACTCCTTGCATATGGCTTCTTGCCATTGCTGTGTGTCTTCACTGGCAAGTGCTTCTTTCATTGTTGGTGTGAGGTTTAGGGTGGTGGTGTTCGCTCCCCTGATCAAGTCTTCAACTGCTATCTCTGATCGGTTGTCTTCAGTATCATTGATCGGTTGTTCAATGGGTGCATGTTGGAGTGAGTCTTGCTTGTCAAGCTCTTTGATTTCTGGTTCAGGTTCGAGGTCATTTGCCTCTGGTTTGGCACTTTCTGCTTCAAGGCTCTCAAACCCGATTTGCAGCAGGCTTTGTACTTTGGGTTGATCATGCCAACCTTTGTGTTCATGGAATGTAGCTGAATTGCTCCACCAGATGGATGGCGTGTGGTCTGGAGTGAAGAATTTCCATCCCTTGTGCTCGTCATCGTAACCGATCATGATTCCTGGTATGGCTCTCACACCATGCTTACCTGCATGATCTTTTTTTGGGAGGTGAACCCATGCAAGACAACCAAAGACACACAATTGTTTTGCCAAGCTGTGAGCTGTCATGTGGTGAAAGTCTTCATATGGAATTCTGTTGGCATTTGCTGATGGTGTCAAGTTAAGTACATGTCCAGCAGCCATGATGGTGTAGGGCCATAGTCCTTTTGGCACCAATCTTTGGACAAGCATTGCACACATCTTCTCTTGGAGTGATCTGATAGTGTGCTCTGCTCTCCCATTCTGTATGCTGACATATGGGGTGGTTTTTTGCCACTTAAACCCTGCTTCCTGCTTCCATTCCTCTGCTGCTAAGCTTGACCATTCTGTTCCATTATCACTGTGAATACACTTTAATGTGTGATCTGTTGCTATCTCCACTGTTTTGGTCCATGCTTTTAGGGTGGGGAATGCTTCTGCTTTGCTTAGGAGTGGTTTCACATACATGTAGGATGAGGCATTGTTGACAACTACCAGTGCATGGTGATAATTTGGACATCCTTGTAAGTCTGTCATTAAGCTGATGTGTATCAACTCTAGTGGTTCCTGTGCTCGTTCCATTTTGCTGCTTGCCATTCTTGCATGTGTTTGTTTTGCTTGACTGCAACAGTTGCAGTCTCTTGCATTGTGCTCGAGCTGTGTGTCCTTTCCCAAATAATGAGCCTGGATTTGCTTAGTTTTGTTTCTGCTGGGGTGGCTGAATCATTCGTGCCATAGTTTGCTTATCATGTGGTTTGCAGGCCTTGCTGGTGTCATGTTATCATCAATGCCCTCAAGGGGTTCATTGAGCTGTGCTGCTAGGGAGTCACTGTGAACTTCCCATCTTTTCTGGCATCGGTTGGTCTTGCTCTTAACCATGCTTCTGTCATGTTGGAGGATTGTAGCTCCAGATTCTTCAAATATCACTTGTGCACCATTTTCAGTTAATGCTGGGACAGACAATAGATTCTTGCTAAGGTTGGGAATGTAAAGTACATCTGTGAGGGGTATTTTAACATTTCCAACTTGCAAGGTCACATCTCCTATTGCTTGTACTCACAACCATTCATGCCTGGCAGTATCTATGGATCCTTTCTTTGGCATCAGAGCAATGAGCTTATCCTCATCACGTACCATATGATGTGTAGCTCCAGAGTCAAGAATCCATGTACTGCCTTGATTACAGTTGCCAGTGTTGCTTACGAAAAGGGTGCACCTGAATTCCTATCCCTGCTGAGTAGAAGTTTGCTCCTGGCTGCTGATGCAATTGATTGCAATGTGCCCAGGTTGCCTGCATTTGTAACACTTAGCTGGCTCATTAGGGTTTGCAGGATCACATCTGCCTCTGTTGTAGCCTTCTTGGTTTAGGATTTGGCTAGGTCCACTGGCTTGGTTGGTTATGTTCTTGTTGCCAGTGAGTCTGGTTGCGGCTCAGATATGGCCTGAGAGTTCAGCTTCTTGATGTTTCTTGGCAAGTGCATGGTAGGCATATTCATAGCTACAGCTCGGCTGTGCAGCTTTGAGGGAGTCTACTGTCTGAGTATAGAGCCAGTCATCTTTGACACAGTGGTACAAGGTGGACTTCTTGAGCTTTTCATCCATGCGACTGCCCAGCCTCACAGCATCATTCCAAATTTGATCTAGTTCCTTTCCAAGGTTGATGACATTTCAGTGTACTAGCTTGATCTCATGCACTCAGTCATGAATTGCAGAAAGTTTGACTTCATCATTGATCATGAGCACTGCTTTGAGTTTCTTATACAGTGTGGAGCCAAGTTGTTCCTCTTCACCTTGTTCTCGAACAGTGTATGTATGAATACTGCTCTCAGGACTGTGGTTGCATGATGACAGGATGAGGCCTAACAGGTGACTGTTTAGTTCTTCATCATAGTCTGTGTGGTTGCTAGATATTTCCCTGGTGAGGATTTGTTTTGTGTTCTTGATGGGCCATATGCAGTCCATAAACATGGGCTCCCAGATGGCCCAGTTGTTCTCATTGAGCTTGACGATCTGTGATACAATGCTGAGTACTGACTTAGGAATCTTTTTGACTTGGCTGGTATTTGGTTGGAGATTCATCATAGAGAAGGCACACTCCAAGATTTGGTCTTTGTTCCAGTCAGTGTGAACCTCTCTGATCATTTGCATGGTGCATTTGAGTAGAGCTATGCTGTCTACTCTGGGCGGCATCTTGATGGCAAAGTGCCTTGAAGCTGCTGAGCTTCAGACTCTTAATCAGTTGAGAATTTTGGCGCTAAGTTGCTGATGAGTCATTTTTGAGTGCTATTTACATAAGCATATATATACATGCATGCTTGGCAGTTACCTTCAGCCTGTGCCCATCTATGACTAGTTCACCCCTCACATCACTCCTAAGTTGTCATGGTAATGCCTATGCATCCCACATGCATAACCACCAATGTGTGGTTTCGTATCATCAATGGTTATTTGCCCTCTGTGGACCCTGTAGGCTCTGTTTGGTTCTGACACATCTCCAACCATTGTTACGTTTCCCTCAACTAAAAGGCAGCTGTGATTCGTAACACCTGCTTATCTTGTTTTTGCTGATTGGTGAGGTTCGAATCAAGGGTCCAACTCTTTTCTCTGGCTCGAACCAACACATTTTCCATCTCGCTCACCACCTCGTACACAGCGCCATGCACCCACCCGATCTATTCCCTACGGCAGAAGAGGGAAACGACGATCTGGAAACATACCTATTCCTCCTTCTCTCAGACTCCAACCTCCCCACTGGAGGCTTCGTAGCTTCTTCCGGTCTAGAATCCTTTTTCGCCCATGGCTTACTTCATAATTCCCGCTTCAACCTCCCCCCTCCCACTTTCTCCTCTTCCTCCAAACCTGCATCAGGAAGAGTGATCGCACCATCACAAGCCCAACTCTCATCAGCAACCCTCTCCTTCGCCAAATCAACCCTGCATTCTTATGCTCGATCCAGCTTTCCTTTTGTCGCTCGAGTACACTATGCTGTGATCCGTTACCTAAACGAAGCGAAGGGGGAGGAATTGGAAGCGTGCTTATCCACAATCTCTCGGCTAGACTATTCCTATCATACCCTCTTGCTCAATCATGTTGCCAGACGAGCAAGCAAAGCGCAAGGCATAGCCTTATTGACGTTGTACAGTAAAGCTTTTGCTCGACCTATCAACCTGTCTTCTGAACCTTTTGACGGTTCTCCTCTTGCCTATCGCTCCTCTGCCTCCTGCTCAACTACGGAAGAGCTGAAAAGGATAGAGCTGGCAGCTGCCCTAGTGGATAAACTCAAACAGCACATTCGACAATCTACCAGCTCCTCTGACAGGGAAGGAGAAGGACGGGTAGAGAAGGGTTGTCAACACGGACATCTACCCATCTGTTGGGCCGTATTTAGCGCCTGTTTAGGTCTCTCGCTGGAGAAGGCAGTGTATTTGCATCTGTTTCTGCAAGCAAGGAGTCTGTTCAGTAGTAGTGTGAGATTGGGTACGTTAGGTCCGTATATGGCTCATCAAGTTATGCGGTTTCACTTACGAGCGGTGGTGGAGGATCTACTTGGGGAGATTCAGAGCGAGGGGCTGCTCACAATACCCAACTCTTCCCATAGAGCAAAAGGAAAGCAGAAGGCGGAAGAAGTGGAAGGATACACAATCGACCCATACCCAACAGCGCCTTCCCTTAAGAAAGAAGAAAAGGTCAAAGCGTTCCGTACAACAGCTACAATGTGCTCGAACGCAAATGTTAAGGGGAAGGGGAAGGTGGAGGAATTGAGAACAGGCAAAGGACAACTAATACCAGTCGATGATAACGAAGATACCGATCAAGGTTGGGCTTGGGATTGGCCGGAAGATCCCGACCCACTCCACCAACCTAACAGTGACGGAGAAGAGGGCAGGGATAGTGAAATAGGGTTCTGGACAAGTGATGCTGCTCCGGCAACTACCTTTCCTTTGGGTGAGATAGTTCAGGCTCGACATGATTGTCTACATTCCCGTCTGTTTAATAGTTGACAAACGAATTCACAATCTATCACCAGTGAGCAATCGCGGCAATCGCACAAGCACAAGCAAAGACAAGATAACATCTTGTTGAACTAGATTGGAGGATGAGCAAGACAGCGATACTATTACTTGATTACATTCCAGTCCTTGTCGATGTGAAAATCTGCAGCGAGATGGAAGGCTGTGGTATGAGCTGGATGGAAGTATCTACTTTTCCTTCTTGTGGTTTATTCCGAGTCCTTTCTGAGATGCGATTGATGCGAGCGCGGGTGGAGGCATCTTCTACCTCCTATTCTTCTACTTTGTGCCGTCTTCTTGCACTCACTTTTCGAGCTTGCTGCTTCCGGCTTAGTTCAAAACCTTAGGTCCGATCTCAAACATCCCCGGTCTAGGACCTTGAGTCAAGAACCTCCAAGTTTTCTCATACGCTCTCAGAAAAACACTCTTCTGCGGCAGCCCACCTTCAGTCCCCGGAATTCTAATCCTTGGCGAGTTATCGACAAGCTTCTTGAAATCTTTTGCCTTGTGCCTAAGATCAAAGTTTAAGCCTACAGCTGCTACTCCCTCTCTCGCCTCGCCTGCCTCTGGCAGAATGCTCTCGTTGTTGAAGAACCTCCTTAGTGGCCCAGTGGCAGTTAAGAACCCGCTTGAAGTGTCTCTCGCGTGTTCGTCGGCAATAGGGCTGTATTTGGAGTGTACCAAATACTCCCAGAGGATAGTAGCTAGGAAGAGATAGATGGAGATGCGAAGGATGACTTGGATTCGGCGTTGACTTGTTTCTTCTTGGTCTGTTGCCGTCTTCTCAATTCGTCTACCCTTGACGGCTTTTCCGGAGGCGGAGTAGCGGAGGATGAACAAAGCAATGCATGTGCCGAGGGAAATACCTTGGAGAAGGGAGATGGCGAATGCGAGTCCACGTTCAAATTCAGGCGTCCAGTGACCGGTTCGATTGAGGAGTACGTAAATGCCGTAGATGGGAAGGGTGACATGCATTAGGAGGAGGGAGGAACCGAAACCGCCATGCTGGATGGTACTGTAGATGGCTTTGCCGAGATGGAAGTGGCCTTTTCGCTCGGTGCCTGGTTCTGGGTGAAGGCGGAATTTGGTCGACATCTTGAATCGAGGCTACTGCGAGTTTGTGTCTTTAGAGTATGTACTGTAGATGAGAGAGCTTTTGTTCACCGTGTAGGGGATGGCAAGTCGTTCTTGAGGCGAATGCTGTGGCTGCGTGTGGGTTATTTGTCTCGAAAAGGAGATAGGAAGAGGTGGTTGGGTGCGAATGCTGAGTAGATAAAGCAAAGCGGATGTAGCTTTGATCTACAATGGATGATGGTTGGATGGAAGCAAGGACGGCGTCAGAGTTCAAGAGGCACAAGAGACAACTTTTAGCCGGCGAGAAGAAGAATCTAGCTGCAACAATGAGACTGTGAATTGCGGAGTGAAAGCAGCTCATCAGCGGGGGATTGGAGCAGAGAGGGTCCCCCACTTGGCATCCATCCAAAGGCGGAGACGAGAAAGCTCTGGAAAAGCGCCCTCGGCTAAAGAGTCAAGACGATGGATACCTTTTCTTTTTTGGATGGTTGACGTTGCTCCACCTTTTTCCCCTTCAAAAAAGACAGACTCACGTTCATTTTCTTTTCTGCAGGCGGAACCGAATTTGCACCTCTGCTCACCTGCCTCTCTCTGTGTAAGGCAAAGCATGGATTTTGTCTCCGTGTGAGGCTGACTTTGAGTTTGTCGGAACGTGAATGCGATTACGGCTCCGCACCAATTATCCAGCGCGACAAACAAAGTTGCTTTTCGCTTTGCCGACAGTTTCACAAAGTCTAACACATCCCCTTTCTTGTTACACCGACATAGATGACACCCAATGGAAAAGGCGACTGAAAAGGCACGTGATGTTTCACGCTCAAAACGCGCTCCAGCACAAAAATGATAAGCAAAAAGGGCCAAAAAATAAAAGCGTTCTCTTTTCAGCATATCGAAGCATCACAAGCAAAAGCTCTCTCTTGGCTCATTCGGCTTTATGGGCCTCGATAAGGATGACATTGATTGCGATGCTCAGAATCCGTTCACGATCGCAAAAGCTGACCAACCGATGCTTGTAGCGATCACGTCATCGTCCTCATCGACTTGCCAATACGAGTCTATTGAGTCGAGCTGATGGCAGGCGACTTTCATCGCTTGTTGCTGCTATTCGTCGAAACACATCTCCTGCCCTGTATCATAAATGCCAATCCTAACCCCCAGAGCGAGAAGCGGTTCTTGATACGCTTGTTCGACCGTGATTAGATTGTCGTAGGAAGCGGTCATGTCGGTTCGAATTCGTGTCGAATGCCAGAACATTGGTTCATGCTGCCCAACCTTTGCCGAGCAGCATGACAATGGCTTTGAAGCGTGCCATGGTTCATGGCAAGCCAGACTAGCTTGAAACCTTATCAAACTTTGCAAAGGAGATCATTGCAGAAGTATCGTCTGGCGAGGCTAAGAATAACACAACACACGCACATCCCATTATGATCTGCACAACTGAGCGACTGTACAGGCTTGTGCAGATAGGAGAGTGATGCACGGCCATCCTACCTTAACCCCCTTCTGCTTGATGTTGAACATTGTTCAGTCGGCTGTGCTCTCCTTGATTGGGCGTCGCAAAGAGTGTCATTTGGCTCATCATCATCATCAAAAAGCCTCTTTCTAATGCGAGGTTCCTTCATCGAGGCTCAGATGCGGCGGCAGAAGCAGAGAGAATAATCAACGCATTGTGGAGTCCCGCAGCGAATTTTCCTCACCAACTCGCCATATTGAAAGTCCCCTTTCATCATCCTTCTTCCCCTTCTTCCCCTTCTTTTCTTTCATCCACCATCATCCCAACCTTTCTTTTCCCGCGTCGTCAAATCTCTCTCCTGGCACCCAATCAAATCGCTCACCGTAGTCGGCAAAACTCATCCGTCTCTCACCTTATTGTGCACTACTCCTGCCGTCTGCGCTTGTTCAGAAAACTCACACATCGCAAGCAACTTCTTACCCGTCCCCACGCGACCCCCTTGCCCTGGAAGCAAGACGTGCCTGATCTGCACCACACGCCTGTTGGACAGGCTCCTGTCTTTGGCCCCCTTTGCTTCCTCCACGCCATCAACAACATCGATAGAGTCCACAAATAACCTTCAATCTTCACTCAACACAGTTCCTCCAGCTTCAACCCTGTCTCTAGTTCTTCCACTAGCCTCAGCCACGCTTTAGCCTCAATCCTTCAGCCACCACTCACGTCAAGATTGTAAACATGACTTCTCCAGCACAAGCTACGAATAGACCCCGAGCACCGCTCGCCGAGCTCCCCCTCCATCATTTCGTATCTCAATCCCTCGCTTCCTCATCGCCCAAGTCTTCACCCGGAAATCTCCTCAAGACGCCCTCCCGCTCTCGATCCCGCTCGCCTTCTCTCTCCAGCAGTCGTAACGGCTCTATTTCTGTCTCGCCTCACAAGCAAGCCTTGCTCCAAAACCATCGATTCGTCCGAGAAGGATCGGCTGCCTCCCCATCCTCCTCTTCCACAACTCAACCTTTGGAGCAGGTGGAGAACATGACCGACGCCGACCTAGCAGTCTTGCCTCTAAGGCTGTTCGCCGATCCACCCTCCTCCAAGACAGCAGGCTCGGACCTTTCGTTGGAAGCCAGTCCGATAGTGCCTCGCTCCAGTGCTGGTCCGATGGAATCAAGATTTTCACCCCGAAACGTCAAGAATTTGGCTCATCACAGCAGGCCTAGCACGCCAAAGGGAGCCACGACGACGCCGTTGAATGTTAGACAGCATCGTCCGCCGCATACTTCGGGTCCGAAGCCGGCGCAGTTTGTTGAGCCTAGTCCGACGACGCAGCGTATGTCTCAACGTATGTCTGAGTCTAGGTTGAGTCGACGTGGGGTTGATGCGCCAGAGGAGGTGCCTGCTACGCCTTCGCGTGCGCGCGTTTTAGCGTCTCCCGCTGCAAAGGCCCGATCTCAAGATCTCAGTGCACCCATCAACGCTGCAAAGGAACAAGGTTCGGGAACAATGACTCCACTCCAAGTTCCTACCCACTTACTTTCGCTCTCCAACAACGCACCGCAAAGCCTTCCAAAGAAGAAACACCGAGTGTCACAGACAGAAATCGCCATCGCACATGAAGAAGCAGGTGCAGGACCCATTGCTTCTCCTTCCCCCCGCAAAATGACTGATTACTTTTCCCCTGCCTTTTTTGGCTCCTCTGACGACGCAAACAAGACTCGGCTGCGGACCGATAGCATCTCCAACCCACTTCTCTCCATGCAGGACTTGATGAGTAAGTCGAGCGTAAACAGCCTCACCCTAACCAAATCTGGGCTGTTTCTTGGGGTTGTAGCTAGACCCATCCCTGGTTGGACCGTACACGAAGATTCCCCCTTGTCCAGCTGTGATACTGCTCCATCGCAAGACCATCCGCCTAGTGAAGTGGAGAGTCCCGTGCAGAGTGTTCAGTCAACGCCGAATAAGGAGAATCGCACTCCCGATGCCAGCTTCCTCACAGGCAAGGTAGTACCGTTGGTGCTGCCGGACAGAGCGTATAGCGTTGATGTTCTGCCTCTTGTGGGCGGCAGTGTTAGTCCGGGTGGGAAGAAGAGGTCTAGTTCCAGACTGACAACTCAAGAGAGTAGTCCCGCTGGAGCGGTGGGGGTAGGAGTTGGGGGATCGAGAAAGAAAGGTACAGGTGGAAGGTTGAGTTTGTTGGCTGATGCAGATGCTGAGTTGGAGGGTGATGAGGAGTTGGGGAAGAAAACTAAGGGTACTAATCAGCAGAATTCGCCTTTGATTGGAAGGAGAAAATCTTCAGCATCGCAACACCAAAGCAAGATTTCTGCGAGGAGTAGTAGGAAGAGTTCAAGTGTCTATGGAGCAGGGGAGGTGGGGGAGGGTATTGCTAGTCGCACTCGATCTCGTACTCGGGTGTAGGTTGGTGGTTGAGGGTTTTTGTGATATGGACTCTTACTTTCTGGTCATATTCCGTTTTCGTGTTCCTGTGTCTCCGTTCCGCTCGCTTTTCTGCATTCAGCATCGTACTGCCTCGCTCTAGCTCTCTTGCATAGCTCTCTCCTCCATAGCTCCGTTCCTTGATATTCGCTGTATTCTACCCCGCTCTGACCCGATTTTCGTTCGAATCAAATCTCTTGCTCCTCGTATGCAATGCAATCCGTGTCGATCGGCAATCAGAAACCTTGGCCCAATTCACGGCATTTCTCCCGGCAAAAACGCCAAAAGTGAGCTTCACCGCCGGCTCTCATGGACACCGCGCACAAACCAACCCTCTTTTCGTAGTCCACCTTACTCACCCCCAACCACGAACCACAATGTCCCCCAACCACCCAACCTCAACCCTCGATCTCATACACCAGCTCTGGGCGCAAGCCTCCCTACCCCCCTCCATCCTACGCAACACCATCAACGCAGGACATATCATTCTCCCCCACGAGCCTTCTTTGCATGGACAGGCGATTCGAAGTTCTTTCCAGCTAACAGCAGTTGCACAGGCAGCTGCAAGTGTTGTTGCTCTCACTCACTCCCTGTATATCCGTCTTTTGCAGTTGAGTTCGGATGAGGTTACAGAGGAGATAGTGGAGGGGGTTGTCTTGGATCGGGTAGAAGTGGATGCGAGGCATGCTATAGCAGAATACTTTGGTTGGACTCGACTCGCACCCCACTCGTCCTCTGCAGTGGGTACGCAGGAGAACTTGGCTAATTCAATACCGACAGATAGTTCAGAGGGGAGAAAGGTCTTAGGGATCTCTCCAGATGCTGTTGCCGATTGGGACGATCTAGCGGGGTTGTACGAAACAAAACCAGGTGGGAGGGGGATAAAGGGGGTTGTGAGGATTCATACCAATTTCCCGCATCACAAGCTCGGAATCCTCCAACTCCTTGGTCTCCTACCTCCTGAGATACGATGGAATGATGAAGGGATACAGAGAGTTTTTGAGCGGGTTAGGAAGGAAGATATACAGAGAAGAGTGAAGAATTGGGATGCGTTCGAGTTCGAGGCTGCTGCTCAGGGAAGGGGGCTTTGTGTTACTGCGTATAGGAGCAGGGATGAGTGGATGGGGAGTGCGATGGGCAAGGTGTTGCGGAACTGGATGGAGGAGAATGTTGATAGCAGTGCGTTCCGGATTTCAAGAATCGCGTCCGGAGACTGCTTAGAGCAAAAGAGAGAAAAGGGAAGGGGAAGGGGGAGGGGAAGGTTGAAGGTGATAGATATGTCCAGAGTCATAGCTGGGCCGGTAGCAACCCGCTCTCTAGCCGCGCTCGGAGCAGATGTTCTCCTCATCTCATCTCCGCATCTTCCGAACCTACCATTACGAGAAGTAGACACCGCTCGGGGAAAGAGGACTACTTTCCTCCACCTCGCTACCTCCTCCTCTGAGCTTCCTCCAGAACTCATCTCCCTGATCGAGCAAGCGGATGTATTTTCACAAGCATACCGCCCAGCCTCCCTCGCCAGCAAAGGTTTAACTCCGGAAAAGTTGCAACAGCTCAGACCAGGGATCATATACGCCGAGCTGTGCGCCTTCGGTTTCACCGGTCCCTGGTCCGATCGGAGAGCGTATGATTCTCTCACGCAGACAGCTGTGGGAATGAACTATCTCGAATCTACACACTACTCAGACTATCTCGGGAAAAAAGAGGAAGAGGAGCGTGTGGAACCAAAGCCGTTACCAGTGCAAGCGTTAGATTATGTTGCAGGGAGTTTAATGTGTTTTGCGACCTTAAGCGCGAAATGTAGAGCGATGTTGGAGGGGGATGAAGGAGTGGGATGGAAAGTTCAGGTTAGTTTGGCTAGTGTTGCGGAATGGATTATCTCCCTGGGGCAGCTGGAGGGGATGGAGGCTTGGGAGGAGCCGCCGGAAAGAGCTCTGCCCGAGGACGGTGCGGGGTGGGTGGAGGTGTACAAAGTTAGAGGGTCGAAGAAGGGGGAGGAGGGGAGAGTGGAAGTACTAGCCATTAGACCAGCCTCAATTGCGGCTCGAGCAGCTGTCGAACAACGCCAGCAGGAGGAGCAGGAGGGAAAGGGAGGAGGGGGGTTGCAGTGGACTGTTCCAGCACATCTCAACGTCGATGCTCTCAAATGGATAGATTAGAGTCGACACTACCGGAACAGTTTCTGGTAGCATCTTGCTCTTCATCACTAATACTAGCATCATTATCAGAGCCTCAGAAAGGATATACCCAATCTCACCTACTTTGAAGGAATCGCACGGTGTGAGCGAGAGCTGTCATAGACAGCAACGAAGTTGAAGATACATCGGTATTGCCAAGAAATAATGTGTTAGATCAGAACACTCATGATCGGGGAATCGGGAAGACACCAAGCGACAAGGAGGATGAGATGGATGCAAAGCTAGTGGGGCACATGCAACTTATGCTTGAGGGTCAACACCATGGCATGCAGGAGGTATGATAACATGACAATGGTAATGAAAGGAAGATACATGGCACATGGGCATGACTTGAGAGAGTAGGCTTAGCTGGATGCCAAAGCATGTATATATACTCCTGTCTAGCCGTCACTTCCTCATGGAAATATAAGCACTTTTGTGAAGATCCACTTGCTTAAGTTGAGCACCTGACTGTGGCCTTACTAAGTGGTGTACCTAAATTCAACTGGCTCCCAACATGGGGCTTGAACCCATGACATTCAGTATGGCAGGAGAAAGTGATCACCAAGCCAGTACAAGCAAAGCAGCCAGGAAGACTAAAGGGGGAAGAAAGGGCAAGACAACACAATGAGTACAAATCAACAAAGAGGCCACCGATGGTAATGAGACCGAGTATTTTGACAATGAGGATGAACGAGGATCAGAATTGGATGATGATGATGACTGATATGATTACCGTACCTTAGCCAAAATCTTGGAGACAGTTCCCAAGCTCACATCATGCAACTACTACAGCTGGTGCACACTCATCAAGGCCAATCTTTGGGTAGTCCCTCATGCCACATGCCACCTAGAGAGCAAATACAACAGAAGCCACCCAAAATGGGACAGAACCTTCAACAATGCCCTAGTAGGTGTCCTATGCAGCACCCTAGACACCGAAGGAGAGCACAACGTCCTCTACCTCCTGCTAGACATCAGCAAGAATCACCTAACCTTTCACCAAGCCTGGAAGAAGATCGAAAGGAGCCTGACCAGTGAAGCAGCTAGAACCTCGTGATGAATAGCACTGCTTGCCCAACTCAATGAGGCCAAGATGTTCCATGCTGATGCCCATAAGCTAATTCAAGAAATCAGGGCCATGCAGACAGAAACTAGTCTTCTAGGGGCCCCATTCAGTGATGATGCGCTATATGCCACACTCCAAAGGTGTATGATCCAACATCCCATCTACAAGGAGACAGTTGCTACCATTCACCAAGTTAGTTTTGATGCCCTGGCAACAGCCTTAACTATGCATCAGTCTGCAATGGAGAATGTTCCTAGTCAGAAAGTGGATCCATGCCAAGCGAGCACCAGGACTGCCAGCACCAACGAAGAACAGGCCTACGATGCTGAGTCAGACATGGGCAATGCAAGGACCGCAGTCAAACTGAAAAGGATCCGCTGCTGGGTGTGCAAATGTCATGGGCACAGCACTAGGCAATGCAATGCCTCTATCACCATTCCTGAAAATTCCCCTTTCGCCAAAACCAACTAGGAGGTCTGGTGCTCTTTCACCCTGAGTTGGCGACAGCTCCCAAAGTCAGGAGAAACCACATGTTGGATCCTTGATTCAGGAGCAAGTTATCATATGGTTAATGACCACAGTATGCTCATACATCCAAGAAACTGCAGAAAGCATGTATACACTGCTGGAAGCAAAGTATTGGAGGCAACTGCTGTGGGAGATGTCAGCATAGCAACAGAATATGGAGATGTCTATCTCCAAAACGTGTTGTATATTAAAAGACTCAACATTAATCTATTGTCAACCAATTCACTGATGGATGAAGGAGCACATGTAACTTTAGATCCCACAGGTGGACAAATACACCTGGCAAACGGCATGCTGCTGAAAATAGCAAAAGATCGTGAGCACAGACTATTAGAGTTCTGAGGCGATACATGGCAACAAAGTGCAATGACTACATCAACACTGCTGTTTGAAGGAGTTGATGAAGAGTTCGAGCTGGCCAACCGGAGACCAAAGATCTCCACAAGACAGCTCTGGCACAAATGTCTAGGACATCCAGGTCAAGACAAATCCAGAGCGATTGTTGATAAACTGAAAGGCGAACCTGTAGCAGCATTGGACCCAGATACAGCTCTGACATGTGAGCAGTGTATACAGTCCAAAAGTACAGTTGCTCAGATGGGGCAAGGTAGCAGTGAAAGAGCTGTGGGGCCCCTAGACCTCATCCACATCGATTTGATCATAGACTCATCACATGTGACAGAGTACACATGCATGTTAGTGCTGGTCAATGATTATAGCAAGTATGTACATGTGCAGCTGCTTTTGTGAAAGGGTCACACATTTACACAACTCAAAAGGATTGTATCATTCCTAGAGACACAGATGGATAGGAAGCTAAAGGCAATCTGATCTGATCAAGGAACTGAATGGAAGAGCAATGAAGCATTAGAATGGTTGTTATCAAAGGGTATAGAATGGCAAACAACTGTGGGATACAATAGCAGACAAAATGGATGGGTAGAACAGATGAACAGGAGCCTAGGTGAAAAGATGCAAATGCTATTGATGCAAAGGAGCCTACCAAAGAGATTTTGGCCACATGCAATACAAGCGGCAGCATTCAAGCTCAATCTCACTCCCAGCATTGATGGAGAGTTCCCATACCAGCTCATGTTCAGCAAATCACCAGAATGATTCATTCACCTCATGTGCATATTTGGATGCTTAGCTTGGGTAAACATTCTGAAGGCTAAGCGAAACAACAAGAAGTTAGACCAGTGGGCAGTTGCAGCTATATTCCTAGGATACAGCTTAGAGAGAAAGGGATGGCTATTCTACAGCCCTGACTATACTCCAAACATCTTCTGGAGCAATTTGGCAAGGTTTATGGAAACACAGTGTTGGTCAGATCGATCAGAGTGGTGACCAATGAGCATACAACCACCACCAGTCCCAACTATCGAAGAGGATCTCGATGACTTGGGGTACACAGAAGAGAATCTGTTTGATGAAAGAGAGCAAGAGCCCTTAGAGGAGTATGTCGACATGGAGTCAACCCTCGAGGGGGGGGAATTTGAAGAGCCACACATTGAAGCCGAAGCCCCTAATGGAGGCCCAAAAGAAAGGGGGGAGTATACACCAGTACCACCCGAGAAGAGGGGCCCATGGCCGAACTGGAGGCCAGCCAGGAATATGCACAATCTGGAGAATTGGGTAAAGAAGAGCTACTTCGGACTGACAGCAACAAGAGCTGAGAAAGGAAAGAAGGACTTGAACCCAACCATTTGCGAGGCGCTGGCCAGAGAGGATAAGAGGCTCTGGGAGGAAGCAATGTGCAAGGAACTGGACAGCCTAGAGGCAATGGGAACATGGGAAATAACCAACCTGCCATGGGGGATGAACACAGTCGACACACGATGGGTGCTCAAGATCAAAACTGACACAAACATGATCCCTATGAAGTACAAAGCAAGACTAGTAGCACGAGGATTCACCCAGAGAGAGGGCCTAGATTACGTGGAGATCTTTGCACCAGTGGTGCCCATCCAGGCAATAAGAGGAGTGCTGGCCATAGCGGTGGTATGAGATTGGGAGGTTGACTCAATCGACGTCAAGCAGGCCTACTGTCAGAGGTCGCGCACCTGAAACCTGAGATCGGTAGTTGTATCAATACTATTACCGATTCTGTTGAGTTATGTGACAGCACTTGTGGTATTGCGATTCTTCACGAGATATGTAGTAGAGCCATCTCTATTACTTTTCTTGCTCGAATCTGTAGTTGTGATGAGGCTACTGCAGATTTCGACTGACCACTGTCAGACACTCTGTTCAGAGGTAGCTCAGCACAATCAATAACTTATGCGAACTTGCTGATGACACCAAAGGTCTGGTGTGGATATGGATTGGTGGTGTCAACTCAAGTGTCCAGTGTGTCGACTATGCTTGAGGTGATCCCCGGACCGCAGTGGACAACTGCCTTTGGTTCTATTGTTATCCAGACTGCTGGTTGCTACGAACTGCCTTTGGATGTCAGGAAACAGTGATACAACACACATGCTTCAGTGAGGAGCAATCTATTGATTGCAACTTATGCTGACTTGAAAACTAATGAGTACTTATGTTTCTAAAGTATTGACTAGTTGTATGGTGAGTAGAGTGGATGTCCCTACACTCAACCATTTGTGACGAGAAGGTATGGTTATATACCTCTTCACAGCGTCACCAGCGACACTGCTCCAACTCCCTCTCCAGAGAGTACCTTCACCGCCAAGTACTGTGCAGGAGTCTCCATTGAAACTCCTCCCTCACCACGCCTCGTCGCTCCTGTCTTTTCTGAGCTGTATCAACTCCATCAACACTGCTCCTCCTCCTCATGATTGTTCACCGGTGCCCGCCACACAGCTCCTCTTCCCTCAACCAGCAATGGTTCTCTTGTCTGCATATCTCCTGAGCCCCTGAGCAGTAACCATCTGCATGCTTCATGAGCTCGGTCCCTGTCTCAGCAGTGCTCAATCCTCCTCGCTTGCGAGCATAGTCCCTCTTGCATGTGAAATCGTCATACGAACATTGTTGTCACTGATCTCAATGAAATCTGCCATACTATTGTACTTACTGCAGATTCTGGTAAGATCTGTGATATCGAGTTCATTCATGCAGATCCCAATGAGATCTGTCATAGAACTGGGTCTACTACTGATTCTGCTGAATTCTTCCGTAAATCCACCAATCCACCTGATCCTTCGATTCCTGCACTACCTTCATATGAACTGTCGGGTCTTCCTGCTTCCTGCACCGCCAAGCCCATGACATTACCCCCCTCTTAAGGGCTGAGCTCCGTTGAGGCCAGCCTTGCTTCTTGTCTATGCCATACTATCTCTCTTGTGCTGTTCGTTGCCCTCATTGAGTCACCCCTTTCCAATATGACTTCTCCTTACCATACTCATTCACAGTCAGCAGCCACAAGTGCGCCCCCTCCTCTTCCCTGCTGTCATCAGATCGTTGCTCGGCTGCATCCACATGAGGACTTGACTCCTGCAACCGAGTCTCCTGCCTTGCCAGTTCCAACTCGTGTAGTTAATCCCCTGGCCTCCCCTGTAGCTCCTCGTTCACCGTTGGAGCCGCTTTTCTTGGGGATGGATGATGACACGGTCATCCCCAGCCCCCCTCCTTCCCTGTTCCTGATCCCTCCTTCTGCACTTGGGGGGAGTGACTATTCTCCAGCTTCCCTGGAGATCGACTTGTATGAGGTGGATGCGAGATGCCCTGCACCAGAGATGTCGACTCCGGAGCGCCAAGCGGCATGGGAGGTTGAGTTAGCTCGCTCTCCTACTCCTCCTCCTGCCACCGACGATATCATCGACATGGTCTTGGAGGTCTCCTGCACTGGTACTCCGGTTTTCCATCCTGGGGTTCAACCCCTGATGCCTCCTCCTCGTTGGATGGGGTGTCGAACTCCTCCTCCTCCCCCTCCTGACTGCCATCTCCTGACAAATGGGGAAATCGCCGGATGGTCTGAGAGATTCTTTGTCGCTGAGCTCATGGCTCGGATTGCTGACCGATACTTCCCTTTGGATTGGGACGTCCCCACCAGTTCCTTGCCTGAGCGCCGCCTTCACAGGCTGGTTATGCTGCACCTTACTGAGGGTTGTATACCCTGGCCTAGTTGGCAGTGCCAGCGATGCTTTAACCTTGGTACTCCGTAAGTATCTCCTTCCCCACTTCTTCCACAATCTGCTAGTGCTAATCCTCCTTCTTTCATTCAGTTGTTTCCCTTTGGCTTTCACCAACCCTTTTGGTGAATGCCACTGAATTCCACGTGCTTGCACCCATTGCTACTTGGCTGGCTTGGGTCATTGCGAGTGTACGATTCCTGCCCATCCGGGCATAGAATATCCCGGTGACGGTACCCCGGACATGCAGCCATGGGGCTCGCATCGGGCTGAGCGAGCCCATCTAACCATGCATGATGGCGATGGCCCTGGCCTAGTTCGTTCCCAGGAGCGAACAATCAACCCTGTCATGACTCAAGACTGGGTGACCGCGATGCACGTCATTTGGCATCTTCGTTGCCAAGAACTAGTAAGTTCACTTCTCTGGGCGCTTCAGACTTATGTTGAGTGCCACAATTGACTATACTCTGAGTGCCAGCCTCATGAGTCTGTAATGGAGTCTGGTGGTCCTCCAGACTTTATCAATGAGTGGGTGGCCCCTACTGAGGAGGAGCTGGTGATTCGTTCGTCTCTTGCTCCTCCCCCTCCTCCTTCCTCCTATGTCAACATGTAGCAACATGTCACATTCTGCAATATCGATGTCTCTTGTTCCTGAATGAGTCTGTGTCCTGACTCCTGTGGTGTCGCTTATGAGCCTGGCTGTTGATTACCATGCTCTTGAGCCACTCCTTGTATGTTGAGGGTAGTATTTCAGATCCTCTTCCTGAAATCTGCCATACCACTAGTACTGTGACAGATTTCCATGTAGTCTGTAATAGTGCCTATTCTGTCACAGATTTCGCTCAAATCAGTTCTAGCTCCCTTCTTACCGATTTCTCCTTTTCCTCGTGCTTGCTAGTCTCGTCCCCCCACTGACACCTCATACTCCTGGATGAGGTCAGGGCAATTGAGATTCGACACTGGTTCCCAAGAGGCAGCCTCTTCTGGGTACCCTCTCCAGAGCACCTTATATTCGGTCATCCTGTTGCATGAACATTTGCCAATGAGTGCTTTGACTTCAAAATCGAGATCCTCCTCTGGTAGCGGTGGTATGATTGGTTGTTCTGACCATTGAGCTAGGGAGCTCATCCTTGCTGGTTCAAGCAAGGACACATGAAACACATCATGTACTCTGAGGCTGGCTGGCAACGTGATCCTATATGCTCATTGGCCCACCCTTTCCTGAATTGGGTAAGGTCCCGCAAACCTAGTGTCAAGTTTCAGCTTTGGTTGTCTGGTTTTCCAGTTTCAGCGATTGATGTAAACCATATCGCCCACCTTAAACTCGATGTCTTTGTGTTTCCGGTTGTACTGTTCCACTGTGTGATGTTGTGCTTCCCTAATCTGGTCCTGGAGGTACTTGCAGCGCTCTTTTCCATTGACTAAGAACTCGGAATGATCTGGGTCATTGACTCCCAGCCACTGAGGAATGTCAGGGTGAGCCTTCGGGTTCCAACCATAACAAGTGAAGAACAGTGAGACACCGATACTATTGTGGACTGTGTTGTTATACACAAATGCCACTGTCTTGAGCAGATCAGCCCAATCGTTCTGCTCATAGTTGCAATACATTCTCAAGTACTGCTCTACCACCTGGTTGACCCTCTCAGTTTGTCCATCAGTCTGTGGGTGATAAGCTGTGCTGAGGGAGTGCTTAGCACCTATACCCTTAGTGAACGCTTTCCATGCCTTTGAAATGAACTGTCTTCCTCAGTCGGAGACCATATGGTCTGGGTAACCAAAGTGTTGAACCATGTACCTCCAAAGTAGTATGGCGGTTTGTGTCGCCGTGACTGTCTTATGAGTTGGTGCCAAGATAGCATACTTGGTCAGTCTATCGACAATGACCAGGATGGAATCAAACCCCTTTGACACTGGAAGGCCCTCAATGAAGTCCAATGATACTGAACCCCATGGTCTGTCTGGTGTGGCAAGCGGTTGGAGCAAGCCATATGGATGATGGCGAGGGGCTTTGTACCTAGCACAGACAGGGCAGCTTGCAACATAGTCAGCAATCCAAGCTGTCATGTTGGGCCACCAATAGTGCCTCTGGGCCGCTCTGATGGTGGTGTCTCATCCCACATGACTGGCAGTGATGCTGTCATGGCATTGGGTCATGACCATGAACTGTAGATGTTCGACAGAGAGGGATTGGCCATCCACTTCCTGAGCACTTCGTGACCAGCAGTCATTGGTTCGTCCAGGCATTGTTACCTTTGGTATAACCAATCTTCCCCCACTATGCCATAAGCCATCTTTGGTCTCGAATGGCTTCTTGGCATGTATCTCCTGTAGCTCTGGATCCAAAGGCTGAAAGATCTTGGTCAGGTCCCTGAGTCCTTTCATTGCTATGGTATCCATCATGAGCATGGGAGCTGCCAATACAGACTCATTCTCTAAGTCTGTTGGTAAGACCGATTCCGCCGAAATTGGTAGTATTGCGCTTGTTATTATGTTTTCTGCTGGAATCTGTTGTAACCCACTTCCTATTTCGATGCCGGATTCCACCTTTTCGAACACCCGAGAAGGCAGCAGTTGCCACACATTGTGTTCCTGTTCTTCACTGATTGGCTGCATGTCAATTCATCTAGTGAGGGCATCAGGTTCGCCTCCCTTGTCTCCTGGGCGATACTGCAATATGAAGTCAAAATCTGCTAGTAGTACGGCCCATCGAGCTTGTCATCCCATGATACGATGCTGTGACTTGAAGTATTTGAGTGCTTCATGATCTGTAAGGATGACCAACTGACTCGGCAATCCTGCTAACATGTGTTGCCATTGAGTGAGACAAGCTACCACTGCTAGAAGTTCTTTATCATGAATTTCATAGTTCTTTTCAGCTGAGGACATCTTCCTGGAGTAGAATGCTACCAGATGCCAACATCCCTCGTGCTCTTGTTTGAGCACCCCAGTGATGGCGAAATCACTTGCATCTGTCTCCAGCCTTGTGGGAAGGTGGTAATTAAAATGCTGAAGCACTCCAGCCATTGTGAATGCTTGTATGAGCTTGTGAAAGGCTTGTTGAGCCTCTTCTGGTAGCTCAAACTTCTTGAAGTGTTCTGTTGGTTTCACCAGTGAGGTTAACGGCTTGGTGATTCATGCAAAGTGAGCTATGAATCGCTGGTAGAAGTTGGTGAAGCTGAGAAACTGTTGGATGTCATGGATTGTCTCTGGCATTGGCCATTCCTTCACAGTTTGCACCTTCTCCGGGTCCATCTCAATCCCAGTGGGGTTGATGATGTACCCCAGGAATTCCACTGTGGTGATGTGGAACTCACATTTGGACAGCTTGGCAAAAAGTCGATTGCTCCATAATCACATGAGGACTTCTGTGACATGCTGTACATGTTCTTCCTCTGTACTGCTGAAGATGAGGAAGTCATCTAAGTATACAACCACATAGACTCTGATGATGTCCCAGAAGATGTGATTGATGAAGGACTGGAAATGAGCTGGCACATTCGCCAGGCCGAAAGGCATTACCAGGTACTCATAGAGTCCCAATTGTGTGCCAAATGCAGTCTTCCATTCATCTCCTTTTGCTATGCGAATGAGATTGTAAGCTGCTCGCAAGTCTAGTTTCATATAGACCTTTGCCTTCTGAAGTAGGAAAAGCTGCTCCTTGATGAGGGGCAACAGCACCCAATTCTTGAGGGTGATCTCATTCAAGCCATGATAATCCACACACAGTCTGAGACCTCCATCCTTCTTGGGTACAAAGAGCACTGGTGATCTCGCCGGGCTCTTTGAGGGCCATATGAACCCCTTCACTAGGTTCTCATCCAGGTACTTCCATAACTCAGCCATCTCCTTGGGTCCCTTGAGGTACAGCGGACCCTGGGGTGGCCTACTGTCCTCCATTAACTCAAGATGGAGGTCATGTTCGGTATGGTGGGGCAGCTTATCTGCTTCCACCTCATCAAACACGTCCCAAAGATGTTGATATGGCACAGGTATCTCTTCCACTGATACCTCCTTATCAATCTCGACTTCCATTTCTATTCCCTTGTCGTCGCCGGTGGGTACAAAACCAAAAGCTGGGAGCAACGATGGTGGGAGGTCCAAGAGTATGACCCCGATGGGTCTGTCTTCAAGAGCTGCCTGTATCAGACTTGCCGCTGAAACGAATTCATTACCATGTATGGTTGGACATGTCGTTCCCTTGTCATAGGGGCCCATTACTACCGAATTCGGTGAAATCAGTAATAAGTTGTCTTCTGTAGCAAGCTCCTTTTTTTGCTTGCTTGTTACAGCAGTTTTCATCGAATTCTGTGATAGTTCCACCACTACAATCGATTTCGTCGATTTCGTGTGTAAACCCTCAGCTACCACTTTCTCAGGGGGCTGCTTCGGGGGTCGCTCCTGTACTTGGGGCCTGAACTCTAGTTGCCCTGTATCCTATCGTATGGTTGGTTTGAGCCTTCTAAGTTCAGTGAACCCCAATATGAGGTCATAGTCGGCCGTATTGGCTACCGATATGTCAACTACACCTAAACTGTGGTCACTGATAGCAACCTGTATGCTTGCAGCGCTATTGATGACGAGTTGGTGTCCAGTGACACCATAGATCGATCTTGTTTTTGAGGGTTTTGTGGGTATTTGGTGCCTGCTAATGAAAGAGTCTGAAACTATGGACAAACCGGCACCAGTGTCAGCAAGTATATGAGCTGGGTGGTCTTGGACCGTCCTGGAGAGCTCCAATACCACTTTTCCTCCGCTGGTAGAGAAACATACCTTACAATCTTGATATATACATAGCAATGGCAAGGAGGTTTGTAGAGCCATGCATGCCATCAGTGCATCGCCCCACTGTCATTTCCCTCATCGACATCGTCTTTGGCCTCCTCATTGTTGGTGTCCATGGGTGGCTGGTACAGACTGAAATCTAGGTCTTCGGACTCACCTGTCTCGGGACTACCCATTTGTCCATCTCCTGAGTCAGTGGCTCCTTCCCCAAAGAGGTCTTCAGTGGTTATCATGACCTTTGGGCCCATGGTTCGTGGGCCCAGGGAGTCTGCCTTCTTGCTTGGGCAGTCTCTGGCCCAATGACCAATACCTTTGCACACATGGCAAGTGCTGCTGCTTAATGCAGGGCTTCCTTGTTTCGGACCCTGAACAAGCTGGTGGGGGGAGAGGTGATTGGTTGGTCGATTAATGTTCCCTGACAATGTCTGTGTCAGTGGTCGAGTTGGAATGGTCTGTGCCAGTTGTCGAGCAGGGTATGAACCTTGAGCCAGTGGCATAGGTCGAGCTGCAGGGTTTGGTCACGATGGAGCAGCACTTGGGTGCTGGGCAGAGGACTGCTGTAGCAGCATCCTTTGCCAGTCGATCTCTTCGACCTCTCGATACCATTCCCACCTCTTCATGGGTGGGTTCTGCTCAAACTTCTCCTGGAGACTCCGTGTGAGACTGCCTCTGAACAAGTCTATGACCAATTCATTGTCATCTAGGTTAACCTGTCCTTCTAAGTCTCTGAACCGCTCAACATGGTGTGTGGCAGCACCTGGTGCATCGCTTGTGAGCCAGAGAGCCAACAGTTTGTTGTAGGCCTCCATTCTGGCATTCTGAGGATTG